GGGGTCTGAACTGACACTAAACGGGCCGAGTCAGCGGCGATACGACGACGTGTTTTTTCTTGTGTTCGACTTACGTTACGGCCTTTTTTCACGACCAAGTAAGTATACGACGTCTTTTCTCACGACGATATGGGGGCCAACGCAGGCAATAGAGGCGGGTTTAGAGCCCGTTTTATAATGTTAACTTACGAGGTGCTGTGTCTTTTTACGAGTTCTTTACGACATGTATCAATATCTGTTTGTAGCATATATAGAAGTCTTTGGGGTCCGATTAATGAGCGTTCGATGTCCGTTCAGACGTTTTGAGCGCTCACCTGAGAAGCGATCACTTATCTGCTATAAGATACTAAGCTCGTAAGCGATTCCGAATCGATTTATCATGATTAACTAGAAGGCCTCAAACGGTACCCAAACGAACAACAAGACGGCCTGTTTGATGAGAAAGTCTTTTCACTGGCTCGATCAAGTCGGATCAAGTCAGACCCTAGTGCAAGGAATACTAGCCCATACTAAACGGGGGTCATTCAGGGTTGGATTGGCCCGCATTGATCGCAAGGTGACGGGTCTCAAGGCAGTGAGAGTGTGTGTATTCAGTTCCCAACAACAAGGCTCCTCTTCGAACTGGTTGGGTTCCCACATTTGTACACCCAGATTGGGGCTACATAAGAGGGTGGTTAACACGAAGCTGTGAGAGTGATTGGTCGATTGATACTGACTGATCTGAGTAGACGTGCTCGGTCTCTCCCCTGTAAGCAATGCTTCTACGGCCTAGAAGCAGTACAAACTCCCGCGATTGACCCCCGTTTGTGGCAGCCTTCACCGTAAGGATGTTATCCAGCAATATCAAGGATGGCGAGTCATAGGTACAGTAAAGTACGTTGCGAGAGGGCTGATAAATGGCCATTCGATCCCTGAACGACTCCAAGTTGGCAGTTGTAGGATCAGCCTTCAAATTCCACGTATTGAAGCCTTTGTAATGGGTGTCCAATCGGGCATGTTTCTTGACCATTCGTTGGATGAAATAGGTGTTGTCCAAGTCTTCCCCTTGAGGTACTTCAGCCCCTCGTTCACGGAAGGCGTAAGTAACATTCCCGTCATTTTGTTCACTGTTCATGAGAGTTTGGAGTACGATAGGACGCAGGTTGGGTTCAAGATAGGACAGCGGTGCTGGAGTAACCTTCAGTGGACCAAGAAGTCGGCCGTTCAGGGACCGATAAACGCCAGCTTCTACTTGGGCTGCGTCGGCTTGCATCTCGGCATAGAGCTCTGAAGCAGATGACCCACGAGCCTGGTCGTTCTTTAGGAAACCTGACTGGAACGAGGCCAGTTTGAGTACCGCTTCTTGATCTTCTGGATGTTCTGTGTAGCGTGACAGGACTGATTGTATGAGACCGGCTGTACTGGCCTTTAAACGGGCATTGATTGCAGTAATTTCGAGGGTCTTTTTGTTGGTGTTGCCATTCTTGATGCACTTGCCGCATCGCTCGCCACACATACACCAGTGCGAGTAGATAGGCCCATGCGCCCTGATGTCGTCTATAATGTGTATTAACTGGTGTAGGTTACGGGTGGCTCTAAGGCCCGGTCGGATCTTAAGGGCCAGAGGTACCAAGCGCTTGATCAACTTCTCCGCTTCTTGCAGCTGTATCTCACTGATTTCGGGCCTGATTAAGACCAGATTGATGCCCGATAGTAGAAGCAGCATCTCGACCTCTTCTGGGGTGATCCGAGTATTTGACTTTCCCCTATTGGTGGTGTTTCGGGCCTCGTTCGAGCGGGATAAGAGGGCAATTTCGGGGAGAATCAATGGGACATAAAACTCCATGAAGCACCGCCACTGAACGGCCGACATTGACCCCCCTTTGAGGTCCGAAAATGTCGATGGCAGACGTGGGAAGACAGATCGATTGCTAGGCGTAATCACCTGTGCAGATGTATTGAAACTCAGCATAAACGCACATTAAACGGTCCTTTAAAGTTCCACTCACAGTGCCGATTGTATCTTTGATCAAAGACAACTGATGGGCTGTCAGAGTCAATGGTTTATCACCGACTCGATCATCCAGTCGTAGGGTAGCAACGCGGGGGGGACGGGGCCCAAACAGGCCTTGCGAACCACGTGTAGAGCCCTCTCCATTTGACTCCACATCATCAGTCTCAGTTTCCGATGCCGATCGATTTCCAGACTCAACCGGGCCTTTGTCGGTCTTGTATTCGCCCTGAACAACGCATGATCGCCAAAGAGTCTTGTTCACGCCCAAGAGGATGTTGTGCATGGCATCGAAAACGCCAGCAACTGCAGTCGCCACGTAGGGGAGCAGATACAGGGCGCTCAAGTGGCCCGGTGAAGGCCTGTTTTGAGGTAGATTGGCTACACGTTGTGCAGCTAGCCTGCTGAAAGGCATGGGGCGATGAGCGGGGGGTATTCGGGCCCCTAACTCGCGCGGTTGAGACCTGTGTGTTTCCCGACCTGCGTCAAACAAGATTTGAAGATTTCTTTGGCGTTCTTCGTGCTCTAAACGGGCCTCTTCGACCGCCGCTGCCACTCGGGTTTCACTCTCTAGAAAATCACGAGCCTGTTTGACCGAATCTCTAGGCTCCCCAACTGGAACAGCCGTCAGCGATACATGTGAAACTGGAACGAGGATCAAACGCACCTTGATTGGCCGCAAAACCATCCTCAGTAAGGGTGCATCGCGTACAAATGTGATCCTTCGACATCTGTCCGGTAAACCCAGCGAGCGACGTGAAGGCTGGCCTATCACAACTGATTGTGGCCAGATAAATGCGACATAAGACCCCGTCTGGGTGCTTTGGCGTCCTGATCAAAACTGGCTTTTCCCAAGTCCGACGAAGTTGCATGATGATCGGAAGCATGAATTGCCAAAGGGTCATTTTACTGGGTTCTTTCGGGCCTGTTAAGAGTACGTTTAAACCCAATGTACACGAATGGCTAGCGATCAACAAAGCTTACCTGGAGTCAAACCGCAACACATAACCATGGCCTGAAGCCCCCTCATTGACTGCGGAAGATTGCCCATTTGGAGTAGGATTGGGCCGACAGAATATCCAGGTCCATGCGATGACGAGTTGATGTTGAGCCAGTCGAGAGACAGATTCACAAATATCTCTTTTACCCCTTCAAACGGGCCCTGATCCACCCTGTTCCCGTCAGGATCGAGCAGTGAATGTAAATATGAGCCATCCGTCTGGTCCCGGTAGATTTTCAGGTCGGGGTAATCATGTTTAGCCAGTTGGGTGTCGACCTCGTGCCTTTCACGCCAGTTAAAGGCCAGTTCTTCTACCCCTGGGTATGCTAGCAGTCTCTCAATCTCGCTGGTGAGGGGAAGTGTCGGAAATACTGCAGGGGTAGATGGTCCTCTAGTTGAGCCCGGTTGGGCCCAGTCTAGGCCGCACTTCGGGCACTTCTCTACCCCCTGCAAAGCCCCAGCGGCAGTCGACATCGTGGTAATTTCATACAGCACTGCTTGACAGTCCTTGTTTGGGCAAACAGGATGGGCGATTGTAGACAGATCGATGCCCATTCGCTTGCGGACTGTTTTGAGAGTTTGTGCGGGCGAGTCGTCGATGATCTGCTCGTCGGTGAAGTCTCTTCGGGCCTTTAACAGTGTCATATTGGCCACACAAATCATGGCTTTGAGGGCGTATTCTGCTTTATCCCTAGGTACGCCGACAGCCTCCAGCGTAAGCGATACCGTGTAGATGAACCTTTCGACAAAAGGCAAATCGGCCGTTTGTTGGTCGCTAATCAGACCTGATAAAGGCTGACTAAGGGGGCTGTCTTGCAAGCACTGAGGAATATCGTTCGGCCAGATGTCGATCACGTCGTGTAGACCAGGAGCTGTGTGCAGTGCTGGGCCGGTTTGGTCCGTTTGATGGTCATTTGAGGACCGTTCCACATCAGGATTGATGTTCTCGGGGAAGTCATTGAAGGCCCGAAGATGATCACCCAGGGACATTTCTGCTGGTGCTTCAAACGGTGTATCAACACCCTCTGATTGGGGTGTAATAGGCCGCATTTCTGGCTCTTCTGGCTCAGGGGGAGCTGGAGGGGGGTGAGTCGCTGCGGCGAGTCGATCCAGATCTCTCTGCCTGGCAAATTCCCGGTTGTCAATCAGGGTCCATTCGGCCACTGAATGGGCGTAATAAGTCCGTCCTAAGATAGCGACGCCGCCCGGTCCACATTTGGTACAGTAGCACTTGCCAAATTTTCGCTTTGGCTGATGCTGGTAATCAGTGGGGGTTCAGAGAGGCCCGTTTGACGACCATCTAGCGTACCACTCGTTTCAATATCTCGTCCAACCCAAGTGACAACGGGTACTGTTGATCCCACCTTGGAGCGTTGTGTCTAAAGCCGCTCATTGTTGTCAGTTTGAGGTGGGTTTAGAGTACCTTTGTAGGTCGATTACTAGGATTTGGTACAAGTGGTAAAGTGAGAGGTATGAACGTATGAACATAGTTGGTCTTACATGAATGTAGAACAGGTCAAATACATGCCCGGTTAGGCCCCAAACAAGGCTGACGTAAGCTTGACTTTTGATAAGCCCTAAACGGACCCCAAACGGGGTTTAGTTCGCGACATGAAAATTGCGGAAATTTGCGGAGAGGGCTGGAAAAAAGTCATTTCTAAACGGGCATCAAACGGACCGCGCGTAACGTCTAAACGGGCCCCTCGCCCCGCTGTGACTTCGACAGTCTACATCAATCCCAATCGCTACTCGACGGAACAACGTCACCTCAACCCCATTTTCTTACCCCGCGCCGCGTAAATACAAACCCGACAACCCAGGCATTTTCACCTTGCCAACCTCGTCACATTATCGGCACCCTCTTGACATAATCGACAATCACACGCTCTTCGACTCGCAGCACAGCACCAGGTTCGACCTTGCTTGGCCTAGCGTTCGCTTCATAAACATAGCCTCATTCATAAACCTATTCTCGATTATCGACCATACCTTTGCCCATTCCGTAGGATAGGATTCAGGACGTAACCTACCCTCGATCTACCTCGTTCATAACAAACCGAACAACCCGAAAGCATTTCAGCTTTCGACCGGTTCCATCCAGTACATCGACATTACCCCTGTCTTTGTCTTATAACGCATCCTCCCGCAATGTCCAACTCGGAATCCACCCCTGGCTCTGAGCGAAGAAACCTCTTGTTCAACCTGGTCATGTTCACCATTACCGGACTCGTGCTGGTGGTCTATACGTGCACTTTCATCTCGCACATCTTGGCCGGATTAGCGAGCAGCCTGACGGACGAGTTACGTGAGTCCGAGCGCCGTCTCAACATGCCATTCTTGTTCGCGCCGACTGACCTGACCTGTATTTACCTCAATCACACAGTTTTGCTCGCTATGATCTGTTGCGCGGGCTTCTATGGGATCGCTCTGAATCAATCGTACCAGACGTACGTGCGTACCAACGGATCATCGTTCTCTATCGGACCTTTTACTATCCTATCGACCTCGATCCTCCCCTCTTCCGCGACCTTTGTCGCCCCTCCGACGCCCATGACCACCTCCCAAGAGTCATCCCAAGCGACTTTCGAGCGATTCTCGCCGAAGATGGATACCCCTGGCATGATGTACGACGTGACGCCGCGTCAGAGCTTTGATGCTACCGTCTGCCCGCCCACACCCGACAGCGTCGCGTCCAACCAGACCCCTATGCTTGTCACCCCGCATATGGATGCGCTTTACTACAAGTCGGCCGAGCAGGAGACTCCATCGCGGATGTCTGCCAAGATCAACCGATACCGACTCGGTGGCCTCAATGGCGGGCGGGGCAAGCCAGGGTTCGAGGACGTCGAGAAGGGCCCTGAGATGTACGGGCTCGGTATGGGAGACATTGGCAGCGACGAACCTCAGGGCGTCAGGCCGTAAAGTGAGGAAAGCATCAATCAGGAGCTCATACGCGAGCCATTCCCCTTTCCCACCTCTCCTCCCGTAACCCCCGGAACCCTGCCTTGCCTTCAATACGGCGACGTAGCGGATGGACGATATGGACCTCACAAGCGATCGCGCTTATCGGTCCAACGACGTTGACGAACACAAGACGAAGGGTACAGCCCTATCATGGACAATATTTTCTACATCATTATTACGAATCAACTTGCTATACACATACTCGTATATCCCGCTTCCCTTATCTTCCCCCCCCCCCACCTGTGTGCGAATCTACCCACCTCCACGTTGAGTACTCGACAGTCCCACCTTGTATCTAGCCTCCGGCCTCTTGCATATCCATCACATTGGGAAGAACAGGATAACGAGTGCCGAGCCCAGGCTGTTATCGTTTCTGTCGACAAAACTCGTTTCGCAGCCTAAGCCTGTTGGCGCTAGTTGAATGCTTTGCTGCTGTTGAAGAGTGGACGATTGGGATATAAAACCGGTTTGTAAACGGAACCTCTGATGACGCACTAGGTAGGAAACATGAATTCAGGTTCTACCATCCTCCAATCGAACTTTTCCTGGTTGCCGGGAGGATAGCGTCTTGCGACGGCCTTTGTCAGTGAACTGTACGCCTCTAGACCGAGCTCTTGGATAACCGCCCAAGAGAACTTTTCAGGCCTTTCCGTCTTGCCGAAACGATATACGGCGTAACGTGCCAAAGCTCCGAGTTTGAGGGCAACCGCCACTTGATAGACCTTGAAGGCAGATTTCTCGCTCTTTTCGACGCCGTCCCAAAGGACTTGCATCAATAGTCGAGGTACTAGGGCCAGGTCGTACTTGTCGGCCAGAGTAACGAGGTTCTTCAAACGGGCGACAGGATGGTCATCCAGCTTCACAGGTTCTTTGTGATTTTCCAAGAGATTGAACATCAAGCGCATCGATTCAGCATCGTCATCGACCGGGATCGTGTCTTCCGGGATCCTATCTTCATCTTGATCAGATGTGGTTTTCCGCTTCTTCCCCACTGGTTGAGATGAACCGGATGGTATCTGTGACTCGATCGCCGAGGCATTGCCAACCTCTAGCATGTCGCGAAACACAGGACTAGTTGTAGATGTGAGCGAACGGCCACTAGCTGACTGTCGCAAGAAGTACTTACCTTAAGAGAAGGATCCCCCTCGTAACGACCACCTCTTTGTCCTGCTGGCACCTCAAGGTGAAAGTCTGCTCATATGTTTCTTCCATTTCTGTAATGATTGGGATTGAGCAATGAACACGGAAGAATGGCAAGATGTGTATGATTCGAGCAGAAGACTCTCATCGTCCATAAACACCGCGTTCTTGCCCAGACTTACTGCGTTCGATCGAGCTCCACGTCAGCGTCGTACTAGCAGAAATCCGATAGCTTCGGCAGTGTGACAAGAACTCAGGGTGGATGGAGGCGAGAAATAGCAGTAGTGTATTTCTTTAGTTCAGTTTGAAGTATTTTGGGGTTTGAGGTGATTCAGACTCGGACTTGAGCGAAGGTCGGGCTTGTCATGAGTAAAGTCACGTGATAGCGTTCGTAATGGTTGATCTCCTTTAATATGGGCAAGAAGCAAGGTCGTCGAAATACATGAATGTTCATAAGGATGATAAGACACGTCGTAAATCAGGCTTTCGTAAAACGATCACTCTGCGATCGATGCGTAAGGTTGTAGCGATATCTGTTATTTCCCCCAGGAATTATCGGTCGTCTGATTCTCTCTCCAGCTCTGTAAACTCTCTCTCGGTCAAACTACTCAGAAGGCGAGTCTACCGGCTGTTCGTCCCATCTATGAACGATAGTCGGCTCAGGTATCAGTCAGGACAAGTCGGCTGAGAGGTAGATGCGCTAAAACTCACTCGGCAGGTAGCTCGAGATGGTCCGCAACCTTGTCCCAGGCGAATGGTTTGCACTTCTCGCACGCCTGAATCAGATAATACCATGCCCTGAACCCCACGAACTCCACAACTCCTAGCGACCAGGTTACCGGTAGAGTTTTTCTCCTCCCACACGCATAGTCTCCATATGTGCGCGCGGCGTATCGAGCGAGAGCCCCGTGCTTGAGCTCGATGGCGGCTGAAAACACCCGTAATGCGCTCCCACCGCCTTCTGCGGCCCGTTCCCAAAGGGATCCGAGAAATATTGATTCGTAAAGGGAGTAGTCGTACTTGTCCGCAATTTCCAGCGTCTTTAGCCACGTAGAGACGTTCCAAACTCTGATATTCGAGCTCTTCGGATTGGCGAGAAGTGAGAACATGCATTCTAAAGTGGCAGCGTCATCATCAACGGGGATTTCTTCCTGTGCCTTTTCGATTCGCGGTCTCTTCTTGGGGCGTTCATTGTCGTCATTCCTTCCCACCGTTGAACTCTCTCCGATATCCATCATGTCTCTGAATACGGGACTGAGCATTTGCAAGACGTCAATTTTTAGCGCTCGGAGCTAACGACCCGTCGGAAGCTCACCTGAGCATCAGGATCTTCCGAGTGACCTCCACTGAACCACCCCTCGGGCATCGTAGCGTCCATTTTTGCTCGTCATCCATGGTCGAAAGACTCGACTGAGAGCCTTCTCCAGTCGCTAGCGGAGCCGTATATAGATGCTGATGGTTCAGATCGTTCGCGACCAGGCTGATGAGACAGAATTCCGTTCCGCAAGTAGTCGGCCCAAAAACTTTCAATGTAATCAAGTATCTAAGCTCTATCATTAGTGTACTGACGAGAATGTCTATCGATCTGTTACTTACAATTAATGTTGTTTGGTCAAGCTGATGGCCCGCTTGACTCGCTCCTGAGCTGATGACCACGGCCGAATTGCGGGTATTCGCAAACAATCTAACGCCGAGCTTGATTGGTAATTAGCGGATAACCTGATGGAAGAAGCCTGTTACCGGTCAGAGGCAGTGGGAGAACGTTGAGAATGTCTTTGACGAACTCGTCCTTGATGCCTGTCCGGAGTCGACCGACCCATTTGATCACGTGATCGTTGTTGATCCCTCTGCCGACCTGATTCATCATCGAGCGGCGGCCGACCTATACTACTTGCTGCGCGCTGCGTATGTCCTGTGCTACGTATAAGATCAGCTGCTTTGACGAACAACTTTCACCTCACTACTCAACCACCTGCCACTTGCTGCATTCAAAAAACGAGCAATCATGTCCTCCATCTTCTCTGGTCCTGCTCGAGCGTTGGTCGTAGGCGGAACGTCGGGTATCGGTAGGTATCGATGAACGAGAATCACACTCTAAGATAATCGCTAACCATGATGCGCCTTGCTCCACTGTCCACCAGGTGCCGCCATCGCCAGCAACCTCGCTCGATCCTTACCCTCTACCTCCAAGCTCACCATCGCCGGACGAAATAAGTCCTCTGTCGATGAACTCATATCACAATACCCGGGCACGGACTTCCAACCGATCAACGCGTTCTTGATGAAAGATGTCAAGCGGTTCTGCGCCGAATACGCTTCCCACGTCCGGTCATCTTCTTCCGACTTGAAAGAGGTCGATATACTCGTTCTCACTCAGGGGATCCTGACGTTACAAGGCAGGACCCCGACCGCACCCGAGAATATCGATCAGAAGATGGCCCTGCATTATTACTCGAGAATGCTCATCGTCCGAGAACTCGAACCCATTCTTTCACCCAAAGCGCTAGTCCTCTCCGTCCTGGATGGTCGGGGTTCGAACATTCACGATGGTGGTATCAAGTGGTCAGACCTCGACCTGGCTCAACCTGGCAGTTACGGAGTCCCGGCTGCCGCTAGACATTGTCAGGCGATGAACGACGGTATGCTCCAGGCATTCGCCCAGCGTCACGGATCCGAGGGCAGGACGTTCGTTCACGCCTACCCCGGTTTCGTCTCCACACCGCTGTTGACCAAGAACATGCCGCTCTACGCTAAGCTTCCCATGAAGCTCATCGGCGCGGTCATGTCGGTCCCCCCGGAAACCTGTGCCGAGCGCTTGTTGCAAGGATCAGCAGACGTGCACGCAAAGGGTCGGGGCAACTTCAACATTGACGATAAGGGCAGAGAGGTGCAAAAGATGCCTGCGACCAAGGAGCAGATGGACAAGCTGTGGGAACATACGTGGGGTCTCGTCGATCGGCAGTAGACCCGCTAGAGCGCTCTTGCACGACAGGACAATTGTATCTAGGTATATTGAGACCACGCCGTAATCTTTTTCGAGCTTGTACACTACACATAACCGATATAATCCCCTTGCACCCAAAACCATCCGGAATAGTCAACAGATCGTCCGACCAAAATCGTTCCATCAGTTTCCCCAGGTATTCTTTCCGATCCCTCATCTATCCACCCCTTGTACCCGTCTAGCCCAAAAATCCTATCCATACACCGACACGCTCATCTATCTCAAGCGTAAACGTCGCTCCCGAAAGCCCGGTTTCCTTCCCGGGACAGGCTGAAGATGTGATCCCCAATAAGACGTTCGGCGAATCCGATCTCGCAGTAGACGCTGAAAGTGGAGTACGATAGTGATTGGTCAGTACGAGCGGCGGAATGGTTATCTGTTCAGGCATTGCAACTCACAAGTAGTCTGAGAGCGCACAAGAACGAACAACCACGATGATTAGCATGACGAGACATATGGGCGAAATTACTAAAAGAACTACCGGCTTACAGATCCATTTCCGCTTGAACACCTCGACATCGGCTGGTGACATTTCCGGGTGCTCGTCCCGCAACGCCGGCCTGATATCACGATCAAAGTTTTTCAAGAACCTCAACCTCCATTCTCGCAAGGTCCTCGCGTAGTGTGGCTGCGTGCAGAAGCAACCAAGATATGTCAGTGGAAATACGGGAAGAGAATGATTTGAGGGCGAGTACATACGCCGATGTTGACTATCGAGTCGATGGTGAGTCTGTTCTGACTACCCTTGCTGATCATCTCTGAGGTATAAGCGACGCTAGGCAAGAATCCACCTGGGAAGACTATGAGAGTGAAGACGGAGAAGGTCAGTCAGATCCAGATCAATACCTTTGTTCAAGTCGTATAGCAGACAAACGCACTGCAAAAGAGGTCAGAATCGACGAGATTAGCTCAGGCAACATTACATCGCGATCTCGGAATGCTCACCTCCACTTTTGGATGAAATCCGCATTATTCGAATCTGTCCCGCAAGATTGTCATCATCAGCACTCCGCGGACCTCCACCCACAAGGGGAAGTGACCCGGACTCGACTCACAGTTCTCAAACCTGGACTCTGGGATGGTGATGACCTGGAACACGGCCACCCCACTCTCGTTCAACACCTCGTCGATCATCTTGAAGTACGGCTCGATGTATTCCTTGCCGACGGCTTCGAGCATCTCGACAGAGACGAGCCGGTCGAACGAGTGTTTCCACGATTCCGGAATGCTGCACGTAGAATTGTCAGGTCAGAGAGATCAGCAAGACCGACCTGGCTATCGAAATTGATGATGGAATGCTCGGACGTACCTCCTGAAATCCATCAAGTGCACCTTGATACTATCTTGCAGTCCCGCCTTCCGGATCCTCTCCTCAGCCAAAACCTTTTGCTGCGTACTCAGAGTCAACGTGTCCACCGTACACCCCGTCAACCTCACAGCCTCGATGGCCATGCTCCCCCATCCGCTGCCAATCTCCAGTACCCGATGACCACGCCTGATCTTGGCTTTCCTGATGATATGGTGCAATTTGGCATACTGAGCCGTCTCGAGCGCGTCGGTAGTGGCGTGGGATGCTTCAGAGGGGTAAGAGTCGGGCTGGTAAATCGGGTTGAATTCGTTGTTCTCGAGCGAAGAGGAGAGGTCGCCATCGAGCGTCGGGAAGATGGCACAAGAGTAGGTCATCTGAAGACGAACGTTGTAGTCAGTCTCCTCGAATCCGCTTCGAGATGCGACGACCTGATGTATATCCAAAGAGCTTCGCCACTCACGTCGGCGCTCAAGAAGCTCGCAAACATCCGATTACTGATATCGTAATGCGCCCTGATATTCCCCACACTGTTCCTCACGCTATTCACCACGCTCGAATTTGTCGTGTAATTTCCGATCGTGGAAAAGATCGTAGCGGGCAGAGAATTGAGTCCACCGGTGATCCCCCTTGATGAGGAAGAGGCGTTGGGATGGGCGAGGTGGTAGGCGTACGAAGAGGTCGAGGCCGGGTGGTCGGACCTGATGGCGATCTGCGAGAAAGAGCTCGGGTCAACGAGGCTCAATTCGTGATACTCTAGTCTACAGACGTACCTTGAAGAGCTCCAACAACTCCTCCCCCTCCCTGACTCCCTTCAACCCATCGACGACCGCGTTCCCGTAATACCCCTCGTCCAACCTCTGTCCCTTCACATCCCCATCATCGATCGTGATTCCTGCCATCGTGACCTCGACCTCGGCTTCAGATCCGGTGTAATAGATATCACACTCTCCAGCCATATAAGCCTCTGCGAACCCAAGGTCCCCGGAGAGCAAGAGCCTCAAGAAGAACGTCGAGCTCTTCACCCGGATGGTCACGGGGACCGGCTGGTCTTCTTCCCTCACACCTTCATCACCGACGGAGAAAGACCCGACGAGATCCAACCGGGATCCTTTTCCCCGGAATCCCTCGTCGACCGAAGTAGGAGGCGTAGAGACGCCCGATTGTGTCCCATTCGTCTGAGTTCCGAATTGAGAGTCTTCACCTCCGCGGGAAGAAGAGCCGGAAGAGATTGGGTATTCATATTTACCCGTCCGCCTGCTGGTCTGGTTCTCGTTGATAGCGATAGTCGACGCAGTATTCTTGCTAGGTCGAGGGGATGGGCCGAAGGTATACGTCTTGTTTGAAGGGAGGACGAGGGTGAGTTGCCCGTATTGGACTTGTTTCTGCATGACCCTATTGTGAATCATCGTAAACGAAACCGCAAGAAGCAGCGGATTGTCATATCAGCTAACCCGTCTCTACCGCCGCTGAATATGGAAAGACCAGCTTTGAGGACATGCCGAAACTCACCTGATCAACCCCTTCTCCAAGACCTTTCCTACGACAGGATTCCCCGCTACGGTACCCCCGACGAGCACGATGGTGTCCTTGGCGAGGTTGACGGCTCCGTTTCCTACACCCTGGGCGAGGTGCAAGCCCGAGGTGAGCGGCGAGGTGAGAGTGCTGAGGACGGTCATCTTCGAAAACGTTTGTGCTGAGATTTCGTTCTGGTTTGCGGTTTTGTTTGGCGAGGTTGAGCTCCCGGGTTTGCTGACATACAGGCAGACAGGTACTCGTCAGTACAGCAAAAGACTGTTGACAACAGTATGAAGGAGGTTATACTCACTGTCTGTCTTGACTTCAAACTATATTCTTAGCACAATGCTCTCGGCGGAATGTACTGCGTTCCGAGCGGAATGACCTGGATGCTAACGTTATATGACGTGTAGAGAGGCCTCGTTTCTCCCCTTTTCCTTTCCTTTGATACGAGATCCGTTTGATATTATAAAGTCCAGGAGAAGAAGGTTGAAGGTCGAGAAGCAGCGAAGCAGAAAGTGAGAGCCGGATCACCTATCTAATCGTCGAGGATATGAAGGATGAGCCCGCTCATGTCCATGCATGGCACGGTCCTGGCAATGGCCGCTCGTGTAATCGCTCTGATGCCCGTCTCTCACACACACACTCGCGGCGATCGATCGAGAACCAGGCCAGCCAAGGAACTGCGGAAACAAAATCACCCCTACCTCGGCAACAACCCACTCGCCGCGCGTCGCCCCTGACAATCTTCCGGTGCAAAAGCCCCTCACGTCACTGTCCTCGGCAAGTTGATCGGCAGGGTGGCGACGCGAAACACGTTTCAGATCTGTTCGAAGATCAAAGATCGAAGCGATGTGTTCCGACACATCATGCAATTTCATTGACATTCATAAAATTCATAGGTCCTCGTAATCTATTGCTCGTATAAGTATTCGCCAATCGCACATGTTATACCTGTATCTCGTAAATATTTCCCCAATCCTCGTAAGCCACAATTCACTCCTTCTTCGTCTTCCCCCCGACCCTGGATCAAATCGGCACTCTGCCCCAGACGACCCTCTCCCCACCCATATCCCTATCAACCACCGACCCTTGCAGAAACCCATCCGGCATCGATCCTCGAGCCATGATATGCAGCAAGAGGTACCGGGCAAAGGAATCTTGAGAAGGGGGTGCGTATTCTTGGGCCACTTTCGGGTGAAAGATTTCGATTTCGAAGGTCAGCGTCGAGGGGCAAACGAAATATCAAAACCCCAGGACGCAAGCTCAAGACTCACGCATCCACCCCAAGATGACCGCAGGCAATACCAAGCAGATCGTCTTGATCCAGCTCAACGTCCCGCTCTTCCTCTTCACCTCGACGTCGTTGTGTGTCGGAACTCGAGCAGCGATCTCAGAGGTCAAATCTGGCCTGACAATGTCCTCGACCTCGACTTTAGCTTCAGCATCGGTGATCGACACCGCGGGGTCGGAAGGATTCTTTTCCCTCTCTGAACCACATCAAAATGTCTCGTCAGCATCTCAATTCGACCGACATCTTCTACCCCGGAAATAGAGGAGCAAAAACGACAAGATCAAGTATCCCAACTTACCCTCGCTTAATCGTCCGATGACCTGTTCTTGCCTGACCTTCAGAGCCTCTTCCAAGACCTCGCACCGAACGCCCACCTCGGCACACAACCCCGCGTACATCTGTGCGATCTTGGCCATACCTTCCAACGTCCCGTCCGCCGTATCATCAGCACGACCATGTCCATGACCGTCATCGGAAGAGGCCGAATTGGGCCCAGAGCCAGAGTCGGTCAGGGGGACCAACTTCGGATGAACCTTCTCGATAGCACTGGAGACGATCTCGCTCTCCGGCCTAGGCGTATAGGGGGGCAACATCGCGCCCAAGTTGTGAGACTCGTCCGTCTGGCTGAACGCATCCGCCATGGCTCGGGACGGAGGTGGAGAGGTCGAACGGTCCGTGTAACTGATGGTGCGGTCGGTATGGTGGATCTCTTCTGCTATGGCGGGTTGATCGGCCTTGCTTGTTTGTTGTTGGCTCGTCGTGCGGGGTCGCTATGGAGCATGAGGATATCAAATCAGCAAGGCCGTTCTGAGTTATAACGGGAAGCGCTAATACGGAGGCTTACTACGACCCGCCTGACCGTGGTAGTATGGTAGATCGTCGTCACACCGTCTTCACCTTGGACATATTCCTCCCGGCCGCCGGCCGCTGCCTCTTGCTCCTCTTCGTCATCCTCTTCATCGAGTCCATCACCCAACTCGGTAGCCAAACTTCTCTTCGCCCTCGCGGTCATTCCACCCACACCACCCCCTAATACCGCATCTCCATTCCCGAACGCGCTCGTCTCGGTGCCTCCCCTGGCATGCGAATGGCTCAGTCTCAACCTCAGATCCCCGACCTCTTGGTTCAGATTATTGATCGTCTCTTGTAGCTCGTCTTGTTGCTGCAACTGCTGCTTCAGCTCGCGATTGTGCTGACGCACGCTGTCCAGCTGGGTTGTGTTTTGGTCGTATCGTTGGGACAAGTCTTGCAGGTCCCTCGCAAGCTGTCCACAGGTGTGCGCCTGGTCAGCTCGGACGGCATGGATTTCGAGTAGGTCATCTTACCGAATCCTTATCCTCCTTGAGTTCGCTTAGATCGCTCATCAGATTCGAAATTTCATCCTCCTTATCCCTGATCGCCCGCGTCAAGTCTTGTACCTCGTCTATCGAGGCCAGTGCGTTGATTGTATCGTCGGGTTAGCTACATATTCATCAAGTTTGCCGATGGTGCTTCTGTGAACGCACCTTTCAGCTTATTATTCGTCGATGTCGAGCTGGCCAAAGCAGACTTTAGATCTCTCAGCTGTTCCTGCGTTGTCGATAGTTTGTGCTCCAGCTGAACTCGAGGTCTCGTATCAGCAAACATCCTTTGCGAGACGAGCGACTCAGTACCGTTATCTCTCACCTCGGTCAGCGCCGTCTGGTTTTCCCTATCCTTCGCTTTGATCTCCCTCTCCAACCTCTTCTTTTCGGTCGTCTCGTCCCTGAGGTTGTTCTCCAGATCGAGCATCCTCCCTTGCATCGTTTCGTTGTCATTACTACAACGCGATACGTTACAGCCGACGATTCTACGAAATCTGATCTCGTTCCAGACTCACCCTTGCGCAGTCAACTTGTCCTCCAAGACCCGGTTCTTGTTGTTCAATTCTTGGTTCTCGCCTTCGAGCTGGTCCACCTTGGCCCTGATGACCATCGAACTCGTCGAATCCGTCTGTTGGATATCTCAAAGCGAATCAGCGACGGTCGAAGTTGTGCAAGTTGGAATGCAGACGGAAACTGACCGAAATCCTCTTCATCCTCTCGCCACTAATTTTCCTCCTCCTGCCTCCTACGCCCTCTCCGTAATCCATCCCATACATGTTGTACCCATCGTCTAAGCTGGCCATCCCCGCGTTCAGATCCATAGTGGTATCCGCGATACTACCCCTGCCCATCCTAGAGATGTCGGCCTCGGCCTGAACGATCCCGGGCTCATACTCCTCCGCCGTCTGGGTCAACTCGCCGACAAACGATTGATCATCCAGCAAGGAGACGTCGGGAAGTTTCATCTCCTTCAAATCGGGTGAGCCGGGAGTAGCGGGGCTGCTACCCGAGCTCGAGCGGGGAAAAGCTAAAGGTTGTTTACGTTGAGCCGAGGTCTGGCGGGGAGGTCGGGGACGGTTCAGTCCCGGTTGCGAGCGGTTCGAAGTAGAGTGTCTCTGACGAGCATCAAGTGAGTTTTGATATTAGCTCGATGTTACGGCTGTAAATTCTGTGTCTGCAACTCACCTCGTGCTTGTCAAACACCATATCTCCATCGACGATCGTCTCCTGACTCTCCCTCCTCGACCTAGCCACCGAAGGAGGCCGCGATATCCCTCCGATCCCAGTGCTATACCCAACTCCCATTCCGAACGAAGCACCCGGCGCGGGCTGCCCGATCCTGGTCGACCCATCTGCCGATCCTGATCTAGCCCTTCCGCTTTTGGCTTTACCCGGACTCCCAAAGGCGAACGATGAAGGTGGAGCCGTGCCCCTGGAGCCGGAAGCCACGGGTTGAGCGACGGCGGGCCTGGAAGGGTCAGACCTTCGACTGGCTCGAGGGATCCCTGATGTAAATGTCGCGCTGGGTGGGGAGAGGATGCGTTCGGTGGGGAAAGAGACGCCCTGAGCGGTCTTTGCACGGTGTCGTGCTAGATGTTCCGGGGTTGTCGGAATGTTGGTATTGATCGACAGGCGAGATGCGGAACGTTTCTCCAACCTCGAGGTGGGTCTGGATGGTTCAGCTTCATCAACCTGCGAGATGATGCTGAGATCGCCACCGAGAGGTTCTTTTTCGTTGACCAACAAGCTCTCTTCGACGTCCATCTCGCTTCCATCCGAGCTCGAGTTGTCGTTCATCCCTCGAATGCGGTATTCGTTGCTAGTCCTTCTCCTCCCTTGCAAATCCTTGAAGGAGGAAGGCGGCGCGTTCTTCGTATCGTCATCCTCCTTGCCATGTTTGAGCTTGTCACCGAAGACCTCCTTGATGCTATCGTCCGACTTGTCATGATTTCCCTCACTTTCTGATGTCATCCGGTCGGCTTCCATCTGCAACATCTTGATGATCTGGATAGCATTGTCTTTGGGCGTCTCGTCATTCGCGCACTTGTTGAAAAAGGCCTGGGTCCGCTCCCTCTCGTTCAAATTGAAGAAGAGTTCGGAACCTCGAGCTCTCTCGAAAGATTCAATAACTGTCATTCGATAAGACGCGTCTTGTCGTCAGCTCCGTGTCAAGGTCAATCCAAGAATTTTTGTTGCGACTTGCCGTTCATCAGATTCCCAAACTTGATCGTCGGTTCTGACAACAGAGCGTCCAACAGCTCGGTTTCCGCTCTGTCGTCTTTCATCTTGCCCACTTCTTGACTCTGCAAAGATTTGGCAACGATAAGTTAGCTTCTCCCTATGGGTTTTCGTCAGGTGGGAACGCACCATTCTGAAGAAGATGACGAGACCTTCCGATCAATTCTCGCAAGTGTGTTGGCCGTGTTTTGGATATGTGGTCGAGGCTTTCGAGTAGAGTGTGAGGTGTCGCTTTACAGAGTATCTTGAGCTCGCTCGCTGTTGATGTAACGATTCAGTGAAGTATGGTAGCTGTGAAGATGAAGGGTCTGTCTTGACCGAAAGGTAGGTCCAAGTCCCAGATCAGTTTGAATCATCAAACAACGATCATCATCAACAAACTCGCGAACCCGGTCATCGCCGGAGAGGGGAAGGGTGACGATGCGCGTCGCCCTGCTGCCTTCCTTTTAATCCCAGCATCGTCGCAAAGACCTATGAACCCTGAACGAGTTTATGCGCAAAGATACAGGAGTATGGCCAGGACGATATAGTAGTCATGTAGATACCCGTACCAAGATATACTCAAAATCCGTCCCATACTGGGAGGACCAACAGTCCCCGCGATGTTCCCAAGGCTCAATGTATGCTACTCCCCCAACACTCCATCAAATACCTAGCGAACCTCTCCGAGATCGCCTCTTCCGTCCATGTTCCCTCCCTCGCCCCTGTACCTCCGCTGACGAGAGCACGTTTCTGAATCCCTTCGAACTGCCGTTTCAGGCGTTGAAGTTCGCTCGGCGAGACCGCTCGCGGTGGGAGGTGGATCAGGAACTTTTCCCCGGGTGACTTCGATTTCGATTTCGAGGTTGAGGAGCCGGTCGTCAGAAGGGGAAAAGCGGGAGAAGGGGATGGGTTCATAGCGAGGTGTGTTTGAAGAGCTGAGAGGAGGGAAGACGTCGTCTTGGTTAAGACCTGCAGGGCGTCCGGTGGAGGTTTTGTCGCCTGTAACATAACAAACGCCAATGCATCGGCGACGAACTTGACATCCCGATACCGCGCAGATCTGCTCGCAGACTCACCTGAGCAACCGCCGCCGTCGGCCCTTTCTTCGCTCCCGTCGTCACAGCAGCCCAAATATCATCCAGAGTCGTATTCCGTCGGAATTCAGCCACCGACTCCCCCTGCACCTCGCCTGACGCGCTTTCGTTCAAGATATCGTCGTCCCACGCTATACTGAATAACGGAGAATCCCATCTGACCATTGAGGAAGGTTCTTCGAACCGCATGAAGAGGTTGTCCAGCCTGATCAATTCGATGATGATATCAATGAGCCTCTGGATGCTCCCAATCAGACACTTTAGCCAGAGGAGCTCACGTTTCTGGCTTGTACCGATCCTCCTCATTCTTCGTTGCTTCAAACCTCCTACACACCTCTTCAGGCGCAGCGACATAACACGTAGCCTGCCGCACCCTCGCTTCCCTAGCCGCACACCAAAGCTGATACCGGAACCCTTTGATGTAGTTGAGACCGTCCAGGATGACCAGGCGTGATGGGGAGAGCATACGAGTGACCTGCGTAAAGACGTGTGCTCGAGCGGGTTTCTCCGTGAGGGAGTCTAAGCTGGGTGGACAAGGTCAGCTTGACGTCGAACCGTTCCGTAATGATAAGACGACCGACTCACTATCATAAGGCTTGCGGCCGTCATAGTCGATATCGTTGATGATAACGACCTCCCGGATCCCATCTACAACTCCGTCGTTCTCTCGTATTCGTCGTTCGTAGTCCGTCTTCATTTGCTCCGCCCGGGTTGATTTCCCGGAAGAAGGGTATCCTGAGATTACGACGAGTGCCATTGTATCGATGTGATGTGTCCAGATCCGCAGGTTTAGGTCGTAGATCGCTGAGGTAATAAACAACAAGCAGGAATGCGCGATGCTCCCAGCGGATATCTGATTGTTAAAGGCGGTTGGTATGGTGTATGGCAAGAGATAAGGCAATGAACTTGTGGCTAAGGTAGAGGAAGGATGATGGTGATGAGGGATATCAACCAAAGTTCGGGAACGCCGGATTTGACGCGGACATCGGCACGTTTCACAAAACGCTCAGATCTCCTCGATCACAATTGGCAAGCAATTCAAGCAATGAGCGAAACTCTCGTCTTTTCCCGCAGCAGAAGCACCATCGCAAGTTTATTATAGGCGAAATCGATACAACCGGCTTGACAAAAGAAATGGCCTCTTGAGTTTGTACTACAACGTTGAAGACCACCATACCACCAGCCTTGTGAGAATGTGAATTATAATACCGACGTCAAGGTCGAATAAGATCTGAAACGACCATAGTAAGCATCGTATAGGGCCACTATCAGCACTTGCGCAAAGCTTGTGCAACTTAGGCCACTTACGAGATGATCACCAAAGACGCTTCAATGACGGCCCACAAGAAAGGAACCCAGCTAAAGTCGGATGCGCTCAAAATTCAGCATCTGATCCTTCGATGGCCGGGTAGCCGACTCACGTAGACATCTCAAACCCGGCGGTGTTATAAACCGCACTCAAAACGAACCCGATGATGGTCGACATGATCACCGCGCTCGTCAAACCCCAGACCGCAAAGAATGGGAAAGGCAGAGCGGCCAGCCAGATTGGAGCGGGTCGGCGGCTGTGCTTTGGTTTAGGTCTTCGTGGAGTGGGGTGTCGGGGTATTTTAGCACCTGTGGTTGTATCGGTGTCGGAACGATGTAAATGGATGTGGTTGGAACGGGGGTGGTTTGGGTCGTGTTCGCGGTGCGAAGAAAAGAAGGACTTGATCGGCCCGAACCGATCATGCTCCTGTCCATCATGTCCATGCTCTCCAAGGGCTCGTTGTGACTTCCCCGTAGAAGCCTCCCGACTTAGATCTTCCTCCCGGTGTAGAGAATACTGCGACTGATTAGGAATCGGTACGTCCGTATGCGAGATCGGCCTGTTAAGGGTCAAGTCCGGATCATCACCATCATCTGTCGCGGAGTAGTCTTGGTCGGGCTCCGGGTCGGGGCTCATCGAAGGCGGAGAAGGTGTCCGAGGCGGTAACCTCAGGAGCGGACCTTTCTTCGGATCCGCGAACGCTTCTGAAGGATGTGTCTCCAGCTCGCTAGATTGGTCCGAATGCGAACTCAACAGCGAATTCGTTTGATGACGTGGGTATTGTTCGTGATGCCGAGGTTTCGGGTGGTGCAAGATCGAGGAGGAAGATCCCCTGGCCGATGGCCCGCCCTGACTTCCGCTGCGGCTCAATCCGCTCTTGGTCGGTCTGAGCGGGATATCGTCCGCCCCCTCTGCGAAATCCATGATCTTCAACCCGTCCGCTCTAGACGCCCGTCTAGACCTTCCCTCCATTCTCTCCTCTTCCGCTGCCTCTACTTCATCTTCCAATGTCCAGAGAGGATCCCTATGCTGCCCCGGTCCTCGGATAGGTCGACCGCCAGACCCCCTCCTAGATCTGGACCTCGACCTCGATCTCTTCCGAAGTCCACCTTTGGCAGCGTCGTTATCGCTAGCCGACCCTTTCCTGCCCTTCCCGATACTATTGTGATCGTCAAGATCGACTTCTCCATCGATGCCCATAGTCATCCCAGATCCCAGTCCGATCCCTAAAGCGCCTTCCTCAGCCACCTCGGTGTTCGTCCTGAAATCCGTCCTCGCCCGTCTGATCTTATTCCTGTCACCTCCGTCAGGGCCGCCGTTGAAAGTGCCAAAAGAACGGACTCCGACGCTAGATGTAGGGGAGAGGAGGGCGACAAAGGTGAACCATGCTCCGGTTAGTCCGAATATAGCGGCGTGGAAGATCATGTGCCAGTAGAGGGTAAAGTGGAAGATGTCTGCGGTTCAAGTAGGTGATATGCGTATCATGTACAGAGAGTCAAGGCCATAAACATAACGAGTCTTCAGGGGAGTCGGAACGTAATGGCCCGGACTTGCCTTCAGCGTAGTACAAGAAATAACCATCGCTAGGTCGACTGAAGTACCCGATGATGTCCGGCCGATAGAGTGATGGGAAGTCTGGCGTCACATATCCCGGTGGAGGATTAACTTGACCGTCCTGAGGAGACGTTGTCAGTCGATTGCAAGTTATATAGAGCGGGAAGAGTACATTAGCCTCAATCTTGGCGAGAGAGTTGCTGCTTGCTTTTGAGAGCTACTGGTACACTTACAGCAGGGTTCGAACCGCCGCTGAAGGCTTGACCCATGGTCAGAGGCTCAGGTGTTGCGGTACGGGTATCAGGTGGCAGGAGCTAGTATTGATAGATGATCGATGATAGAGGATTGTCTTGTGTATTTGCGAACTTGTGGGTGCTTGTGCTGCATAGGTCGAGGACGTCGACAGTCCGGATCTCTTGTGATCGACGTGGTTACGTAATCGACAACCTCGGGCACTCGTCGTCGTCATGAGAACGAGAGGTGTGTATGACGATATCGCGATATATAACTTACATCCCGCAAACGTCTCAACTGTTCAAACATGCAAACTGGAGCATAGGGAACTCTGCCATCGCATTCATCCACAAATCTCGCCATTTACTAGCTCATTAGCAGCCAAATCCCGCTCAAGCGGACGAGCTACCGGCGATTCCGAGCTCATTCCGGTTGACGATCGCATCATGTCATCCGACCTCCTCGGTTCTACCCAGTCTTCGGCATTCCCCTCTGCCACATCCTCGACCGTCTCTTCTCCTCGTCTCCGACATAGATCAGGGTTTGAACTCTCTTTCGATGACGGAGATCTACCTCGCCAGCTTGACCCAAACCATGCCTCCTCCTCAAACATACCTGAACCTAAACCAGCATCTGGATCTGATTCGAAGCGTCCCGACGGCCTAACCCGCGAAGCCTCAACAGACTCCACCAACTCCTTACTAAAAGGAACGACTAACCTCGGGCGAAATGTGATCGAAGGTCTGCAGTTGGATAGCTTGAGGGAGAGGATGAGCAAGTTGCCGAAGATGATGGAGATGCCAGAGATCAAGATGCCGACTCCCAATCTGGACGTCGACGTACAGTGAGTGCGGGCTCATCATATAGACTGTGTCATATCGTATTTCCTAACACTATCACTGATTGATCTGCCATTTCTTCGTTGTAAATAGCTTCGCCCCGCTCTCAATTCCTCTCCAACGTCGAACACAGACGGCCGTTGTCGCAATCTGGTCGTTCCTCTTATTCGCAAGCGTAGTCCTCTTTCTCTTCCTCTGGTAAGCCTTCCTATCTCCTTTCTTCTCTGCGCAAGTAATCGAATACAAACCAAGTCAATCGGCTGACCCTCGATTCTTGCGCACTCTGCTCTCTCATATCGACTCAAATCACGCACGTATGATCCATAATCCACAGCTCGATCCCCCTCTTCTGGCCAATCGTATTCCCTTACCTGATCTTCATGTACATGGACAAGGCGCCGGCTTATGGAGGACGGGTCAGTCGGAAGTTGAGGCGGTCGATCTTCTTTCAACATTTTGCCGGCGAGTCACCAGGTTCATATGGGAGGTTCGAGGTAGCTAAACCTCCTCTGCTTGCTTTGCATTCTTGGGTCGAGGGTTTAGGTTATTACCCCGTCAGGTGAGCTTCGAGCGTGGGGAAGGGTATGATAGTCGAGCGAGATCGCTGATCAGTTTGATGACCCCTATTGTCATGGTCATTGTTCAGCATGATCAAGGTGAGCGACTTCTCGGAGGACCTCACTTCATTCGACGATCAGAACGCTGAAGTACTCAATATTCGGTATTGTAGGAAGCCGAGCTACCTGCGGACAAGCCGTATGTGTTCGGATATCACCCGCATGGTACATAGCCCTTCCGTCGAAGGCTCGACTACCGCAGAACAAAGCTGTATCAAGCTGATATCCTTTGTTTCACCATAGGTATCATCGGGACGGGAGCGTTCGTCAACTTTGCGACGGATGGTAAGCTACATCAAGCAATGTCCCTTTATCAGTGCGGCCGCTTACCATCACACGTTACTTGTAACTCGCAGCAACCGGGTTTTCGGAAAAGTTTCCTGGGATCAAGCCTCATCTCCTTACCTTGAGCAAGTCGGAGAACGCCCTCTGTATCTCGCTGACAAGATGAGCTAACTGTTACAACCCGGTCTTGAACTTCGCAGCCTCCAACTTCAAGATCCCTCTGTACCGGGACATACTCCTCGCCCTGGGCGTCTGTTCCGTCTCCAAGAAATCATGCTCAAACATCCTGCGCAAAGGTCCCGGGAACAGCATCACCATCGTCGTCGGCGGAGCTGCGGAAAGCTTGGCGGCTCACCCGGGAACGAACGATTTGACCTTGAAGAAGCGGTTGGGGTTCATCAAGCTGGCTGTCAGGGAAGGGTGAGTCGATGATCGAAGAGGCGGGATCTGAAAGGATTGGATAGAGCAGGCTGATTTCGAGGAAATCTGGGTAGAGCTGGGTTGGTCCCCGTGTTTTCGTTTGGAGAGAATGACGTGAGTGGGGAGACTTCCCCAATCCGCGCTGTGTCTGTTTACTGAAACTCTCGCTGCTGCGATCAGGTCTACGAACAATTGTGGGTTGTCCTTTCGCCTTATATAGGCAATTCAATGCCCTCTGAAGCTGATCGTTGCGGTAACCGTAGGGCAAACAATCGAGGTACGACCGTCTACAAGCTTCAGAAGAAGTTTCAAAAGGTGTTCGGATTCACGTTGCCCTTGTTTCACGGTCGAGGGTGAGCTGCTACTTGATGCGAATGCCGTTTGCATGAAGTACTAACGTTGGGATGGTTTGCGAACCTGGGTCTGGCCATCGATAGCGTTTTCAACTGTGAGTTTGAGCTTCAAGGTAATTTCAAGGTGGGCTAGGCTGACTGGGATTCACCATTACTTGCGAGTAGATAACCTCGGTCTAATGGTGAGTGGACTATTTACCATCCGCTATCGGTTGTTGCGCTCAGAAGCTGATTTATCTACCTTTCTGCCTGCCGCCACAGCCTTTCCGGCATCCGATCGTATCTGTCGGTAAGTCAAAATTCACATCGCGGGAGGCGGATAGTGCTGCTAGAGCTAAAGGTACCGTTCATCACAGTTGGTCGGCCGATCATCGTCAAGCAGAACCAGAACCCTTCGAACGAAGAATTACATGATTACCAGAAACAATACATCGACGAACTCATGCGGTGAGTAGATCTCGGAGTCGAACCCCAAGTCATCGAGACTGAACATGCACTTTGTCATCGCAGCATCTGGAACAGGTACAAAGACGTCTACGCGCGAAATCGGACGAGAGAGCTGAGACTGGTCGAGTAGACGTTCGATCCCTCACCACAGTCTGTATATCGTTTCAAATTCACCTAGATGGTTTCTCACATGTAGCGATTAGCGTCTGCGTCCCCCAAGGTCGAGTCGATCTTGTGTGTCTTATTACGATTATAGAATACGGGTTTGCGAGACGGTAGCCGTACAGCTGGTCTTGCAACGCCTGGATACGCCTGTCATATCCCCATAGTCACGGAGTCCTCGTCAGCTCTTGTCGTATGGGACAGTTAGATTTGCCGGTTTCATGGCGCGAAGATGCTATTCCCTCATGCAATTCAGTATTGAGAAATCGTACGGCAGAAATCAACTTCGGGAAGTACCTTATTACATCAACACTGATACTCGTCCAACAGTCCCTTCCTCTTCAAGCCATGTCTTGATTCCCCAGATATCACCGAAATCGAGTGATGCCATCAGTCTCCCTCGCGATCATCATGATCATCGGGCTTCTTTGCCACGCGATGCCGCGTTTCAAGTTGATCCGCGCGGCGGCGTGGCGTGTGGCGGCGGGGGACTTCGGCACGAGCAAATCGCTGATCACACGCGATTGTTTCTACCCGGGCGTATAGGCGAGTCGGACTGATCATCGCATCCTTTGACCCCTTTGATAAGGTTTCAACGGGTTCCTCCCGCTTCCAGCCTGTGCCCTTCTCCCTTTGATGATCAAAATGTCTTTGATGCGGAGAAGGGATGATGATGATGATGATGATGATCAAAACAACAGTTCTAACGTGTCGTCGAAACCTCGATAAAGCAGCGACTCCGCCCTCGACCCCGTTTCCCGATCTTCCAGGCACATGAAGATGGGATCCATCTCTAAACATCTGATCCCTTCAATTTGCTTTCGTATATATAGTCTGCCACTACATCACCGCATTGACCGATTTGCGCATCCGTACTACTCGCAAGATCACACGGAAACGACCACACGTCATCGGAAGAGCCGCAAACGCCATAGAAAGTTCAATCCTTCTCGTCTTTGGTAGAAAGGGCCTCCCCGCCCATATTCAGATCATATATAGGTATGCCAACACAAACCGTTCGATCCACGTAAGCGATATCGCCTGACTCGTTCGATCATCGTGCATCTTGCTCGCAGGATGAAGTCCAGCTCAGCCGCCCACCGTGACCCCCATGGATACACCACATTCAGCAAACTCCCTCCTGGGGGTCCACGTATACATATATCTCATCCAGGCGACCCTCCTTTGACGAGTAAAGGTCCGCAAACCTTAACGCAGCCACGCCCTGGGCCCGTCATGGGAACGTTCTACAGAGCCCCCGGTACGTGAAATCAAATCGCTCGAGTCGCCTGGCTCGTCCAGCTGACAGGCCGATCACATGACAGATCTCGGCTCTAGGTCCGGCGTACCGTTCCTTCCGCCTATCGTCACGTCCGACAATGCTAGCAAATATACTAGCAACGGGCACGCATACCAATACCCACCGCGAAACATATCGAGGCAATCCCAACAGCATCAACATCAGCACCGACATGCTCAAAGCCAAGCGGGACCATCTCAGCCGGCTAGGTCTGTACATCGTCCGTCTGAGCCGAATCGTGACCAAGTCATGCTCAAAGAGCGGTACCAGCGGTATCAGCAAGATCTGGAGCGACACCAGCAAGAGCAGGACTACCTGCGATTACAGCGCGCACGCGAACAATCGTTGGCGTCTAGGATAGCTGCCCGGGTTGATATTCCTGTTGAGGAAAAACGTACTGGTGCTGCTAGCTCAGGATTCAACTTTATTCCACCGCCACCTCCCGGTCTAGCACCATGGATTCCACCTGCTTCAGCTTCATCTTTCAATGAGCGGGTGCTCGGCTTGCCTGATGAGGTTGATTTCGACTTCATGCTTCGCCCAGAGAATTCTCAACAGCATCGACAGCCTTCCACTCTGATTTTGCCAGGCCGACCGTCCTTCTCTACAGGTCCGACAGGCACCTCGTCTCGAGCTCGAGATCCGCCAAGACGACCGGATATCCCGGCCTCCAAGCCAGATCGACCGGGTGTTTCGGACGGGTTTCACCTTCCACCGGCTCTTCGACCTCCACCTCATCCCGCTTCCGGCCGTCCTCCCGCCGTCATTCCTGAAAGAACTCAGACTCAAGCCTCGATTCGTTCTCCTACTGCCGATAAGGTTGCACCTACGAACCAAGTACCTATAAAGATTCCCGCTTGCCCGACGGCGATCGATGTTATCGATGCGTCAGCCACAGTCACAGCGACGGTACAGGTGGCACCAGCTTCAAGTCCAGCACCAATCTTGCCAGCCCAGTTATCAGCTGCTGCAACTGCACCTGGATTGGCGGCCGTATCCGTATCTGAAGCTGCACCTGCACCGGTACCGTTACAGACAAACGTATCGGTAACGATCCCAGGACCAACCTCGACACCGGATCCGCTTGTAATCAAGCTCTTCCCCACGAAAGAACCTTCGGTCGAGGCAGACAACGAGAAGGAAAGGAAAGAAAAAGACAGAGAGGGGGCGGGGGTCCAAGTGGTAGATCTGACGGAGGAGGTACCGGAGGATACGATCCTAGTCATTCGTAGTCCGATCAAGCGGAGTCCTACCAAGCCTCCCAGCGTCGTTCCTGTTCCTGCCGCCAAACCTGGTAAGTACGCCTGCCATGAGACCTGTAACCGTGCATTGTAAAGCTAAGTGCCCGGGAATATCTTCGTCGGAATCATATAGCACCCCGGAGCCACAAACGAAAACGTCCCGTCTCACCCGACTCTGATCTCGGACTTCGACCGAAACATAACGCAGGACCACCTATATCAGGCCCTTCGTCCCGTAGTCAAAGGTACGAGAGGTATCAACGCCGACAATTCGAGATCGTCGCTGGGAAGAGTCGAAGTGTCAGCTATAACAGCGAGAGCGAGGGAGGTAGTGAGGGTCCGCCTCGTCGACGGGTCCGGGGGAAAGGGTCTAGGACGACCGGCGCGCAAAAGAAGAAGAAGAGGAAACCTTGCAAGGTCATCGATGTCGATCTAGCCCTCGATCAGAACCAAAATCGAGGAGGAAGTGCCGAGAGCTCTGCCTCGTCTTCTTGGCGGGTCACCCCTTCTCCGCGTCTATCCCCTCGAGCCGAGAGGATATACAAGGAGAAGTATTTCTACGTCCTTTCCTACGAGCGGGAAGATTCGGGGGAGACCAAGTTGGTCGATCTGTTAGGTATCTCTGAAGCGGACGAGAGAGCTTGGGAGGAGGAAATGCAGGATTGAAGGTAGAGCAAGAACCTGGTGATTGTGGCAAACTGTCGATATTAAGAAGACCTCGAGGAGGTAGGAATGTCGGCCGCAATCGATTATAATCAATCCCTTCCTGCATCTATTTGTAACTTACAACCTGAACCTCGGGACATCCTCCCAATTCGCCTTATCGAGCACCACACCTCGTCCCATCCCGCACATATCTCCCCTCAACCCGTGAACTCCAATCTCACTCGAGTCTTTGCTTTGTGCCGCGATCTCGATCAGTTGTCGAGATAGACCTTGAAAGCGTCCAGCCAGACCTGTTTGGCACCCGTCTCGATGACGTCTCCGTGACAGGGGATCAGCCTGTCGAAGTCCCAAGCGGCGACGATCTTGGTATCCCTGGACATGGCACTGCGTACAGCACGGTAGATACGATCCCACTAATGAGCCTCGAAATCTTCTCATCCGCGATGCTGAACATCTAGATTTTCGCCATGAACTCACGCCTTGTCCTTCCCCGTCAACCTCGGGATGGCATTCTTCATACCCGATTGTAACAGGCTCAACGGCCAGATCGGTTTCGAGCTCTGGCTCGTCTTCGAGTATTGTTCCGTCGGCGGGAGGTTAAAGTAGAGGTCGGCCTCGACGAGCGTCTTTGTGGGCATGTGGAGGACGGCGATCTCCTTGTTCACGTGGCCGGGGAAGTATTGCAGTTTGAGCTAAGGAGGGCAGCCAGGGTGGGTTTCGGAGGAGGTTAGTGACACGGATCAACGGGAGTAGTGGCGAGATTTCAAGGGGAGGGGTTCTCGTCTTACCTCGTCCTCGAACCCATACGTCTTTGACTCGCCTCCCTCTCCATATACGCCCGCCCACTTGACGTCCGGTTTCTTCTGAGCGATACCTTCGGGTCCGATACATTTGGCATCCGGGTAAAGCTTGAAGAAGTCGGAGATGTACATGGCATGTACGAAATCTGGCGTCAACAGGTACCTGTCATGACAAAGAAACAAGGCACTGCGAGATCAGCCTCATCCCGGCAGAAAAGCGAGACGTAGACATCGCGTGAGCCGAGACCTACTTGACGGTACCCATAGCGTTAATAGTATCGATGGTCTCCTTGTCAGCCGGACTAGAGGCGAGCACGAAAACCTCGTCGTTCTTGAGCTTGATGGCGGTCGAACGACCTCCGATGGGCAAGATCCCGAATCGAGAGAAGGGTACCGAGAAGATGGTGATGGACGAGTTGATGGCGCGGATGACGGTTTCGGACATGGTTGCAGAGTGGTTCTGGTTGAATGCTACTGATTGAAGGTTGCAGAATGAAGTACTGGGTTTCCTTTCAGGCCGCTGTTTATCTTGATTATCATAGAAGGTCGAAACTTTAAACTGCATCCTACTTTTTGCAAACGGTAACTTGGGCCTGGTTTATATAGCCAGGGCGGTTGGAATGACGTAGTAAGGTCCACACGACCGATCACGTGATTAGCGGCCACCGACTACCCGGCCGCCGATCATCAGCTGCTCGACCTTCAAACACCGAGGGGCCAACAAGCCAAAAAGCCATCCCTACCCTGGAGACTTACCAATCACTCTTTCTCTCTTCAGGACATCGTCGTTGAGGCATCGTACGATCATGCAAGTAGAATCTGAGGTGACTGCCGAACAATTCTACCCAAGCGGGGATACCGCCTATGTCCGAGTCACCGGGCAGGGCGAACGGGAGATCATCTCGTTCCATCGCTTATCCAGTGCGAGCGCCTTGAATCTGAACATCATCGCACGGCAACTCGCACAATTCGTTCAGGACCCGAACGAGACTATCCGGCTGGTCGGAGAGGTAGCAAACCCGATCTTGCATTTTTTGAAGGTTATTGATCAGGATCGAAACCTTTCAGAAGGGTATTGTGCTATTCAGATCAAGCTTGCGGGACAGGAAGAATCTGTACAGGGTTATAGGTGGCATATGGACGGACCGTACTTTACAGCAGCCACGGGACCTCTCAAGCCGAGATACAAGTAAGGCTGTGTGCTCGTAGGCCAGCCAACCGTCTTTCTGCGAACTTGTCCTGTGGAGGTATTACGGCAAGTAGCTGCATGTCAACTATCCAACCGGGCCGAAGTCAAAATCGACGGGTCGTACGATCCCATCTCTTGGTCCCGCATCGTCAACAGGAATTCCGAGCTGCATCACCTTGTAGGGAGTCAGCCTATGGTCTGGGCGGCGCATCATGGGGTAGCTTTGAAGTGGCGAGCTGATTTCACGGGGGACGTACATTCCGAGCCAATAGACGGGTCAGGAAGGATGTTCGTAGGTGTGATTTGCGGGACAAAGGAGGAGATCGAGGAGTATCACGAGAAAGTGTATGGGCAGCCTGTCCATGCTGCTCAAGTGAGGTTCAATTGAGGAGACCATTATGCTCCGTGACTGGAAGCGAGCAGGTCATCAAATCTGATCGATCTACATAATTGAGCTGTTAATTTACAAGTCATCGAATCCGATAAACATCTCGTCCTCCTCAAGATCGCCCTCTTCAGCTATATGGGTCTGCAGATCATCTACCATCCCATCTTCGACCTCGCAATCCAGACCTGCCATATTGGTCATTGTCGCTGCAGCCCCATCAGCCTTTATCGTCTCTACCTCGGATGCTAAGCGCGAGGTGGACCAGATCGAAGCGAACGATCCTCGACGAGACCTGACAGCTGAAGCTCCTTCTCGGACCCGTTCCCAAGTACCCATCGGTTTGCTCTCCACCTCAGAGACGGCTTTGGGCACGATCTCGCGTACGCTCCCCGAACGACCTCGTCTCAATGATCCGATTGTTTTCAGGCTGTCGGTCGAGGTCTGCCGGGACAAGGTCGACAGTCGATCGAGGTCGGACGATTTGTTGATGTTGTTGTTGCCGATGTGATACTGGACTGGAGTCCTGGATCTTCTCGTCGTCGGCCGAAGCTCTCGTCTACTATTCCCTTGCCCATGGCCAGGCACGGCAGGAGCAGGCCGATGTGCCAGATAAGCCATGCGACCGGGCTCTTGTGAAACACCGGACTGGATCGCAGGCAGACCTTGTAACAACGAATCCGAGGCGTTTCGTTTATGCCCCATCCCATCCGGATCCCTTATCCCGTTCCTCAACGAGACCGAGCGTCTCAGACTAGGTTCTCGAGGAAGCGAGAGCCGGTCTTCCCATTTCGCCAAGGACAACCGAGGCCCGACCCGATCGACGGTGGTCATCGGTACATTCACGTGCTTGTTGTGTGATGGCATGGCCCACGTACTGGTCACCTCGATCTGACTCACGCGAGGTTCAGCCAAAGCCGAACGAAACCCACCTCCTCGTGAAGAAGAACAGGGCGAGTCGGTCGCGCTCGCAGGTGATTCGCAGACGTACTCGTGTGGGGGCATCGTGCCCGTCGGTGGGGACAATGTGAATTTGGCTAGACATTCTATCGGGGGAGACAGAGGGTGAAGGATCTCGGCGGGGGCTCGGGGTGGAGGGAGGCTTCCCCATGTATGATGACCTATCTCTGGCGAGATGGTGGAGGATCGTTTCGGGACGGGCCTTAGGAGCTTCTTCTTCCCCTTCAGCCCGTTATCAGCTTTGTCCCTGGCATCGAGCTTGCCGATCGGCATAAGCTCTTCATGCTCAGCGATAGTCTGAGGCGGGGGAAGGACGAGCGAGACGGCCCGGGTCCGACTGTTCGGGCTGACATTAGGGAAATCGAGCGGGGCGTGTATCGTCAATGGGGAATCATAAGAAGTCGGCTTGCGACTGTGACCGGATCTGTTTCGAACGCTAGTACTGGCTGTGGTGGTCGTCCCGGTCGACGTTGTGACAGGGGATGAGGCGGGGGAACAAAAAGCGCTCAGACCGCCAGGGGAGCTAAACACCGAACGTAGTGCCGGTCGACGTGATTCGTAGTATACTGGAGGTGAAGTGTCGATCAAGGAGGTGATCAGTGTAAGGGATTGCTTCAAGGAAGGTGTGTTTTGTTGGCTGGTGGTTGTGGTCGACATCGTCTCGTCGTGATGTGGTGTGCTGATGCCACAGTGATGGTTTGTTGCAGATCAAGGTACAGAGCGAATGTTGTTTCTACTCACGACTGCACGGGAGAGCCCTGCTACCCGCAATCGAATCCGAAAGTGAACGTAAAGATTCCAGACGAGGACACGAAGTCTCTCTTCAAACGAGTGTCGGGTGAAACCCGTATTCGTCTATGTAGTTCGGGCATGTTGGTACGAAACGAACGAAACGTCCCAAGGAGCGTACGAGCGACCAGGACTTGTGCGCATAAAGGAGCCCGTGAACGTCGTGTTTCAGAAGTGCGCGCAGGATCTTCATGACAGCTCTAGAGACGCCGCCTAGTGCCGAAAACCAACTGCAGATGCCAAAGGACTTCTGGTAACGCCTTGAGAACCCTCCATGGGCAACGGAACTCTCCAGCTACCTTCAACTTCAATTCATGCGCGCTGAGACGTTCAACTTGTCGAACGGGTGCAGCTAAGACAGGTGTTGGGGCTCGTTGCGTAGTGGCGGGAGGATCGGGATGAGGTTTGGCCGCTTGCAAACTCTAGGATCATCCTGAAAGCACTTAGTAGACTTGCTGCGGCGATCGTGGTTGCGATGCGATGCCGTAACTGGAATCCTCCCGTCGAGGAACGCCGAGGGTTGGTCTATAAAAAGGATCCGGCGGTCAAGGGTTCGACTTCGGTAGATAATTCCACCAACGCCCCGACCCGATGGCGACATCGAGATGATGTGCGGGAAAAGAGATCACAGGCCAGGGTATACAAAGATATTTGTTCAATCTAGTTCACGCTAGAGTATACGTTACCAACTCGGATCTATGCAATTCGCTCTGGACGTCGAACATGGGCAGAATGACAGGCAGCCCACAACAAGATCAGACGTTTCTCCCTGCGAAGAGCGCGATTAGCCAGGGTCTAGAAGATACACCGCCAACACCGGTTCTCCTGGAAAGACCCTTCGAAAGAGTCTATCGTCCAGCAAAATCCTTCGCTGAAGACCACTCTGGCTATCGCATCATGTACGACCTCGACGAGCTTTTTGTGGGCCATGGCGGGTCAATCGGTGTTGTTGATGCTCCCGGCCATCGGGCGTGATCTGGAGATTTCCCAAGAGAACCTCACTTGGATCCTGAACAGCTATGTACTGTCATACGTAAGCATTTCTGCAGAGCATTTGCGGCTTCCAGTCGATACTGTGCGACTTGACTGATTCCGTTCGGATATATCATGCCAGGGCTGTCTACTGCTCCTCTCCGGTCGGATCGCCGACATCATCTCCAGGAAATACACCTTCATCCTAGGCATGTTCCTCTTCTGCGTATTCAGCCTAGGCTGCGGCCTGGTCCGTGATTCGCAAGCTGTACCGTTCTTCATCCTGAGAGCTCTGGCTGGGTTGGGGGCCTCGTTAGGCGCCCCGTCAGCCATCGGGATCATCGCCGAGAATCACCCCGAGGGGCGGAGGAGGAGTATCATGTATGCGGCATATGGGGCGGGAAACCCGATTGGTGCAGCGGTGGGTGTACTGCTTGGGGGGTCGTTGGCGGATAGTGGAAGGCAAGTTTCATTTGCTTTGACTGTCCTAGTCCTGCGCTGTCTGACCTTGTTACCGTAGTAGTCACGGATGGCGCACCGCTTTCTACATCACCTGCGGGATCGCCATCATCCCGGTGATCGGCGCCTTCTGGGCCGTCCCTTCGCATCGACCAGAACCCGGGGCGGATAGGAGGATCGATCTCATCGGGGCCTTGTTGTCCACAGCGGGGCTCGTCATGTTGCTCTATGTGTTTACGTCAGGTCCGACGGCGTCTCAAGGTTTCCGTACACCAGGTGAGCAGCATGAGCATATTCTGATCGTATTCGAACTCGCATGACTGAAATCGAGTCTGTCTTTGTGTAGAGATCATTGCCATGCTCGTCGTTTCCGTATGCCTCCTGGCAATCTTCATCTGCTGGGAATGGTATATCGAAAACCGCCTCAACAGGCCGCCTCTCCTCAAGCTGGCCCTTTTCACGCGAGGCAAGGGGAAGCTGTCCGTGGTCTACGGTTTCATCGTGAGTATTTTAGCTTGAGAGATGGCAATCAAACAGCCAAACTGATGACCCCCGAACAGTTTTTCAATTTCGCCTCCTTTAGCGGGTACTTCCTGCTCACCGACTTGTACTACCAACAAGTCCTCCACCTCAAGCCTTCTCAAACAATGGCAAGTGGTTCATCTCCCTCTCAAGCAAGACACGCGCTAATCAATCTCGTTGCTCTATAGCTTCGCTTCCTGCCTACTTCAGTCAGTGGACTGGCATGCAACATCCTCATCGCCTTTCTGGTACCGCATGTCACTGGCCAGATCTTGTTGTGCGTCGGTGCCGTCATGACAGCGATCGCGCCCCTGCTCTACGCGGTGATCAAACCGGGCGCCATCTTCTGGACGAACGAGTTCTGGGCGATGATCCTCTGCGTGGCCGGGGCGGATTTCGGAGTCGCCGTCGGACTCATCTTCGTCTCCAAGCTGTCCCTCTCCTCGGAACACAGCTCGGCGGGAGGGCTGTTTCAGACGGCTTTGCAGGTCGGGAACGCTTTCGGCACGGCGATCGCCACGCTGGTCTACACGTCGATCGCGCAAAAGAAGGTCGAACAGAGTTCGAGTGTGGTCGAGAACGTCGTCAGTCATGGAGAATATCCTCCCGATGCGCTCTTGCCAGGTCTCAAGTCTGGGTTCTGGACGAGCTGTGGGGTTGCATTGGGCGGTGAGTTGGAGTTGGAGTCTCCCTTCATATAGTCGCGGGACCAGGGCGAAAGCTTATATGATGTACTTGGCCAACTCGCAGCCTTCCTGTTGTCAGCAATCTTCTTGGGCGGGATGGGAACCGTCGAGAAGAAGATAGTCGCCATCAAGAGCGATCCCGAGGTTGCACACTCTCTCACCATGGACGACAAGTACGGCGGGTTGGAGAACCCAGAAAGTTTCGGACAGGACAAGACATCACGCCTAGTCGCGCATGTTCGGTAATATAGGCGCAGGGGGTTCACCAAAATTGTACTGTACTAGTATCTAGGGAAATCAGCATGCTATATAATTTCGTCACATGCATCGGCGATATAGCATCATTCCTGCTCGACCCGCTACATCTCCCTACACGAACTCCCAGTGCGCCATGCTTTCGCCTCAATCCTGATGTGAGATGCGAGATTCAGACTCGTACCGATCGATTTTGTGGACCACCATCTACTGGCTCTTGAGCTTGTCTCGCTGTTGTTTCTTCAAAGCCCTCGCCCTGATATCCTTGTGCAGCCCTGATCCAGTTCTCCGTGTCAATATCTCATTGCGCCCTAGCTCATCGGAATTACCAAACGCCAACTCACTCAAGTTGTACCAAACGGTAATACTCTCAGGCACGAATCCGACGATGTAATCCATCGCCGCGTGAGTCCAATACGGAGTGGACTCGTATACCCTCGACTGTGCGCCTCGGTTCAGTCCGATAGACTTTAGGGTGGATGAGACGAACGTCTGCGGGGTGGGGACCATCATCGACGGACGCCTGATCTTGGACATCTTCGAGACCTGGTAATCGAATTCGCACATCGGATTAGTTTCGATTCAAGTTCCGTCTCATACCAGAATGAAATGAAACGGGTCGTTCGATCATGGGGTAGCGTAACTTACGACGAAACCGGGCAAGACGAGCCTAACGACAACGCCATCCTTCTTGACCTCTTCACCCAGAGCCTTGTTCCAGGTCGCGAGGAAAGCTTTTGAGGCGGAATAAGTAGCCAGTAAAGGGGAGGGCACGGTCCCGCCGAAAGAACCGATGTTGAGGATGAGGGATTTGACTTTGGGACCAGGGGTGGATTTCTTGGTGAGCAGGTGCGGGAGGGTAAGACGGGTCAGGAGGAGGGTGGCGTGGATGTTCTGTCGGCAAGGAGAGGACAAGAATCATCAGATAAAACTGATTCAATTCGTAGTCTAGAAACAAAGGCATCGTCAAGCTCTCGACGACTTACGACCTGCAAGATGTTGTCCATCTCCTCCAAAGTTGTCTCGGCGAAAGACACCGGCATCGAGTGAGAAACCCCAGCGTTGTTGACCAACACGCCGACTTGGACTTCAGGCTGGGCGATCCATTTAGAGTAGGCGGAGAATGTTTCCGGAGTCGGATGAGAGAGGTCGATGGGGATGACGGTGGTCTGCACCAAGGGCGACTTGGCCGCTGCGCGATATACCGTATTTAACGATCAGCATTGCATTCCCGGAATCGGGATAGAGAGGAAAATCGAGATCGATCACGCGAAGACGTACAGATTTCTTGCTCCAGCTTCCTCAGACTCTCCACGTTCCTCCCGATCAAACACACGTTGAATCCAGCCCTGGCGAGTTGCTTGGCGAAAGCTTCCCCGATCCCGGACGTACAACCGGTGATTACTGCCCATCTGTTTTGTTTGGCTCCGAATGTCTTCAACTATACCAAGCGAGAATTATAGTACCAGTTGGAAAGGGACGTGTAGTATGGTATGTCGATAAGCGATCCGTGATCATGAGCGTGAAGCTGTACCGGACGTACGCTTTCTCCGGTGAAGAGGAAAGTCTCGGCGAGGAAGACGAGGATGGAGACGACCAGCTTTCCTAGAGCGATCGCTCCGATCAGAGAAAGGATGACCGCAGAGACAGGAACGTCCATAACTGCAAGCGAAAAGTTTAACGAGTGAGCCAGAATTTTCAAGCATTGAATGGCATTCTTGTGAACCCTTACCGATAGGTTTCCCGAAGATGTGGATGATGTGATGTCCGACGGAATCGCTAGCGTGAGCCGAGTGAGCGGCGACGAACGGTTCTGCGACCATGATGACAGTAAGTTCTTCCAGAAACGTCTAGTAGTTGCCGATGGACGGTACTTTAGTTGCAAAGGTTGACGTTGAACAGATCAACCATCATCATCGTTTGAAGAATCCGACCCCCCGGGAATGCGAAAGACACCGACGAAAGCAAGCGGCCTGCCTGATGCCGTCATTCACACTCGAAGGGATTTGATTCCGCTCCTCGCAGGTGATGCATGATGCATGATCTTGTGCTCGAGATAGTCTCGTCGCTCGTCGGTCTTGATCCTGAATCCTCGCAGTGTGAAGCAGGTCACAGCCCATACAGCCACGCATCAAGTGGTCACTACATCAAGCCCTTGTCATGCCGCCTTTTCAGAGCTTTCGTCTGATCTCCGGGATCAAGGAAAAGGTCGAAGCCGTCCTGCCCATAGGTGAGTCGTTGCTTCGTCATACACCATACTCCCAGCTCGACCTAGCTGGCTTACAAGCTATAACTGTTGATTGTCCCAGGAAGCAAGATCTATGTAGCGCTTGCGGGTGGAATCATACAGACGTATCAGCTCGAAGGCCTACAGGATGGTAAGCTTCAGTCTTTCTACCTACTCAACTTTTGCTAACAAATAACGCTGTCACCTTTGCCTACTGTAGTTGGTTCGAGCGTACCAAAAGCAAAGCTGATTAGCACGAGAAAAGGCCTAACGAGAAAACCGATCGATCAGTTGGAATATTTGGAGGATCTGGACGCTTTGGCCGTTCTGAGCGGTGAGTCTGGCACGACGTGACATCAGTGTTCAAGCGGATCATTAGCTCTGATAGACATGAACTGAATACCCATCTGGTTATCTCGTTCCTGTAGACCAAACCGTCACGCTTTATGACCTCCCGAACCTGAAAACACCTACTGTGATCTCTCAGGCTCGATACGTTCAATCCATCTGTACCCGTACCGTCTGGGTCGCCGCATCAAACCTCTCTCCCAAATCCGCAAGTGGTAAATCCAAGAGAACGCCGGACCTCGAAGCTAGCTCCAGGGTCGAGGACGAAAAGATCCGGATATCCATCCTCATCATAGGCGCTCGGAAGAAAGTCCATCTACTCACTTATCTCTCCGGCAAACCACATACTGTCAAAGAGATCGCATTACCTCATACGCCGAGGTTGATGCTCTTTCCCGCTGGGGTCAAGGCTTGGGGGTCTTACAATAAGCAGAAGGACGATAAAAAGCGGGTACCGACGGTCCATCTGCATTACAATGCCAATGACTGGGGGATCCTTGAGTTGGACTTGTTCTCCACCGAACGGGGATCCTCGGCGGGTTTGAAAGTGACCGAATCGCCAGCTCCAACCGGATCCACGACGACGTCGAATCCTTCAGGATCAGGCGCTGCGGGACCGAACTTGGGGATGACACCTAGTACCAGTGCTCAGGATAAGACGGGAGGTCTAGGCGTGGGAGCCGCTTTTGGAGGATTAGGGGGTTATGTGGGGAAAGGGTTCCGAGCTGTTTCGGGGGCTAGCACGGCGATCAACTCGATCGTCGGTCTAGGAGTCGGGAGTGACTATCTCGGCGAGGAAGGAGAAGCCGGAGCGGCACCTGGGGATGCTGTCACGGATGGGGAGACTTTGGTACTCCGAGGTGACCAAGGAGTGTTTTACGACTCTATGGGACGGATGACGAATACCCCACCGATCGACTTTTCTTCAACCGGGGATTCGCATATCCCAGATGATATGGTCTTCGCCGACCCGTTCATCATCAGCGCCATCCCTGCCTCATCCTCAACCTCGTCAACAACCCAGAGTCAAAACTCGTCGGGTGGGAGCAAGATCGAAGTCAGGCTTAAACAGACCTTGGCTGTGCAGCAAGAAGTTGCCGTAGGCGGGGGACAGGTGGATCTGGATAGTCCTGCTGCGGCGACAACTGGGGCGGGACATATCGAGAATACGGCAATCCGGTGTCTGTCCGTCTCGGCCAGACCGACATCTTGGGATCTTGAGAGTGATGGCACGGAAGATGTTCGACCGAGTTCAGCTTTCTGGGTGACCGTTCCTCTGGACAAACTACAACTGCAGACGGAAGGCAGCGCGCTCTGGTGTCTACGTGGAGAACCCTGGAAGGCGATCCTGGAAGATTCGTTGAGGGAAGGAAGGTTCGAAGATGGGCGGGGGATGTTGACTGCGATAAGGGGTAGAAAGGTCGAGGAAGTGGATAGCGTGAGTCCGGCTCGGGCAGCGTTGTTCTGAGAGACATCTGTTGATCGCGGCGAACTGAATCGTCCACAGGAAGAATACGGCTTGAAATTTCGGAAACTCAACGCCCTCGCTGCTTTCTCCAAAGAGAAATGGGAGACCGCCATCGAGGAATTCATCCAGCTCGATATCGCACCGGCGAAAGTAGTCTCGCTATATCCGGCGGATACCGTCAGTGGGCCTCTACATGTGCCACAAGAGAATTGGGTTCAAGTGTTCGGCGGGCCTGAAGATGGCAGGCTTACGCCGATCCAAAAGAGCCTGGAAGAGGGGAAACGACATACGACGGCCCAGAGTACAGTCGATATGCTCAAGGGAATAGCTCATATCGGAGGCATCAAGAAGGACAGTGCCAGTATCAAAGGCAAAGATAGTGCTAGCATCAGGGGAAAGGACAGCGCGAGTGTAAAAGGCAGGGACGGGGATGCGGGTTCTGTGATGGGCGACGAGGCGACTTTACACGAGTCCAGCAAAGATTCGGTGGTCGAGTATGAAGGTGGGTGATGTAGAGTGCTCCATTTCACGTTTCTTCTTCTTCATCTTCTCATATCTCTCGCTCTCACGATAGTATACCCGCCAGCAGCACTGGAATCGTTGATACACTACCTGTCCGATCGGAGACAAAAGCTCGTCGGCGCCATGGCGGCTGTACCAGGCGGTCCGCCGACGATCGACAGCCTGCCGCCATTCAAAGGTATACCTCGATCTGATCTTCGTGACTATCCGGACGTCCCCTTCAGCGAACTCTCGCCAGAACAACTCGTCCGGACAGCTCAGATCGTTTATACGGCACTCCTCAAAGTCTACCTGGCGATCAGGCCTGTTCTGGTTGGTAGTCTTTGTCGAATCCAGAATTGGTGCGAGGTCGAGGAAGTGGAAGAGTTGCTATTGGAGAAGAAGGTGAGTCATCTCTTCGCGGTCAATATGTACGGCAGACTGATTGTGACATCACAGAGGTATTCAGATCTCATCGATCTGTATCAAGGTAAACGGATGCACGAGAAGGCCTTGGATCTGCTCAGACAGTAAGACACGTTCCCTCTTCATCGCACTTCGTATCGGTTTACAAATACTGCTTCTGCGCCAGACTTGCGAAAGACGAGGAAGACAAGCTGGACAAGCTCGACCCGACCGTGCGATATCTGCAAAAGCTAGGACCGGATCATTTGGACTTGATCTTGCGGGAATCAGATTGGATTTTCAAGGAAGACCCCGTCTTTGGCTTGCGGGTAAGCGTAATCCCGAGACCTACGTTCCTGGTTGCTCCCTAACAAACCTGCTATCCAGATTTTTACCGCCGACGAGGCCGAAGTGGAGGCGCTACCACGGCACCGGGTTCTCGGATACCTCGAAGGGACGGATGAAGCGTCGTGCATTGGCTACCTGGAACATATCACGGGAGAGTTGGGAGAGGCTGGCCCCGACTTTCACGATAAACTCGCCGAGCTGTATCTCAAATCGGCGCGACGTGATCCAGAACATGAGAAGCGTAAGTTTCACCTCACTGAAAACGATATCAAGGCGTAGAGTCTGACGCGAAAAAAATGCACAGATGGCGAAGCACGGTTGTTACAGTTCCTCAGGACTTCGGAACAATACAGGCCAGACCGTCTGCTAGGCAAAATGCAGTCAGAAGGTATGCCTGTCGTTCGCCTTGACATCGATGACGCCTACTCACCTTTCATGCTCCGACACAGAACTTCCTCGTGTTCGCGCTATCCTGCTTGGCAAGCTCGGCAATCACGATGCAGCCTTACAGATATACGTCTATCGGCTGGACAGCCTCAAAGAGGCAGAGGAGTGAGTTCGAGCGTTATCCTCGATGCCAGCATTGAAACTTACACCATGCCTCTCAAGATACTGCTCACGCGTCTATCAAGATCAGCCTGACCCCAACGGCATCTTCCTGTCACTACTTCGCATCTACTTGCGACCCAGCGGCACAAGGCCTCCTCTGATCAATCCGGCACTAGCACTCATAGCCAATCACGGCACCCGGATCGACGCCACGAAAACGATAGACTTGCTCACACCTTTGGTCTCGATGCAGGACGTGCATCAGTTCTTCCTCAGAACACTACGGAACAGCCACTCGAAAGCGAGTCAAGCCAAGATCACTAAAGGTCTCTTGACGGCTCGTCGAGATCAGGTCGATCGGAATCTGGCCCTATGTCAGCAGAAGAGGGTCAGGATCTCTGACATGCGAATGTGAGTCCTGCGCGAGGTCAATAGGGTTATTCTTCCTGAATTTCGACGACTCTTTGATAGTTGCCCACAATGTCAGAAGCGCATCGGACAATCCGCCATAGCTGTACACGCCCCAAGGTGAGTACGAGCTGGTTATCAGATACGATCTCCGATCTCGTCGACTGATGTGATGATTCAACCTTATATTAGAGGCGAGGTTACGCACTACAACTGCAAGGATACATATTCACGGACGCTTGCGATGCACCGAACATGAGCAGACTGTATTTTATGAACTGTATCCAATACCCATGATAGGTCGGATTCAGATCTTGCCTTTGGCATTTCGAAGCTCTTCCAAAGACTTTGAGTAGATCGACAGCTGCGCCGAAGCTGGATCTTGTTTGCTCGCTCTGCATCTTCCACATCTGTCTCAGGCAAATGTATGAGACCGTGCAATAATCAAAGAGCAGATCTTTACCCGTTGATTCAAGGCAATATGCAAAATCATCTGTGTAGCAATCATCAGTGCAAGCACAAGTGTAGCGGAAGCAACCGCTGTCTCGATGTTGTAGAGCCTGGAGACAACCTACGCTGAGAGTGTGCAAAGCACATCAGAGAAAGCGCCAAGATGAACCAGAAGGCCAGTCAGAATCTGTCCCACAAGAGGGCAGAGTCTACCCCATCGGTATCATCCCTTTGCTTCGTTCCCCTACAACCACCACCCGTCTTCCTGGTCTCCACCACCAAAGGACCTCTTATCTCATTCTGTCCCAGCCTGGCAAACGCTGAAGAGAAGGTCCGACAGCTTTGCGCATGCTCCGGCTGACATGTAGGATGGACATATATCGAGTGTAGCCTCGGTTGTCGATAAACTCGGGTACAAATGGGTATTATGACGGAGTCACGTCTTGTAATGCACTCCCGGCTGCCGATTCTATTGCAGATTTTAATCGCTTCCTCTCCAATGCCTTCTCTTGCTTTTCCTTCTTCCTTTGAGCTGCATCAAGCTGTTCGTGAGTTGCGGCATCATCGTCTTCCGCGCTACGAGTTCGTATCGAGTTGTTGGTCAGCTCGGTCCAGCGAGAGGTTTGAGAGACAAGGCTTACATATCGAGCATAAACTCGCTGACGGCTTTTTCGCCAATCTCAGCATCGGCTCTCGATCCCCACCTCCATTCGTATTGCGTTTCGTGCCCAGCGCCGACGTCTCCAACGACTCCCTGTATTTTCACCTATACGTCGTGCCTGGTGTCAGGGTTGTAGTACGGTAGAAATCGATATCACGGTAACTTACCTTCTGAAGATAGTTCTGCCGTACCAGAAGAGCCAGAAATTCGCTAAACTTGATTGATCGGATGGGCGAATCCTTGGCCGCAAAAGGTAAGATCGTTTCCGAATGCAGGTTGAGCTTCTCTTCCAACTCTTTCATGAATCGCGCTGAAGAGACAACAGACTATAAGCATTACGGTCATAGATAGTTCAGAGTCTGGGATATGGCCCAACTTACAGTCCGATATTGAGCGATCCCTGACCAGAATGAGCGCCAATAACGTAAAAAGAATTCCTTTCAGTGCGACACCTCCACCTGCTATCCCGTCCCCCTTGTCCCAATGTAAAAGAGCTCCGCAGTCTTTGATTGCCGGGTGATTTTCTTCGTCCTCGCCACGAGAGACGATCTCATTCGGCAAATTCATCGCGGCGATCAGCTCTGGCGGTAGCGTCGATCGTAAGATCCATGACTTTGATCCGGAAGCCGCTGCGAGTTGTGTACAATCTAAGGTAAGCTCTCTGTCAGAACAACAGCGGCGTATCATGTCGATCTCACCTTTCTTTTTAGCTGGCGCATCTGCTGCATCATCCGCATCGTTGGCTCGTTTCTTGCCCTTTCCCTGCACCTGGGACTCGTTTGTGTCTACTGTTTCCTACGACAAAGAAAGCGAATCTCGTATAAGAACCCTCTGCTTCTTTGCATATCACTCCCTCGCAAAGCACGTACCCTCAGGGTGGGATCACCTTGTCCTGCCGATCGAAGCTCTACTAGTTCCATCCCGAATACATCCCGTAACTTGAGTTGTGCGTCCGCTAATACCGCTGGCCAGATTGCTGTCTTCTTTGACAGAACTTTGGTGTGTATACAAGAGGGGAGATATTGTATGTCAGCACCTCAACTCTGTCTGGATCGAGTATGGAAATCTTTCAACGCACTCTTCTTGTTGATATCGTCCTTCTTGATCGCTTGTCGTCGTTGTGTTGCATATAATGCCATCGTGATCGTTTCTGTTACCAGTTTTTCGTATGCCTGGGGACAGTTTAAATCATCTAAGCTCTCCAGGCTTCCGTAACAGGAAAGTAAAGAACTGCTACTGACGGCATGACCCATTCCGGCCTTCATGTTGGCTGCCGCCCTGCTTTGATGACTCTCAGCTGCACCAGCCTGCGTTCCAGTCTGTGCTGTCCCTTGCGTCGGCCTGCTCTGAAAGTCGGCTTCGTCATCTTCACTCGCTGATCCTCCCTCGGAATCTGTCCTATCTCGATCCGATTCTGCTCGAACAGCTCGACGAGCTCCAGCAGTGGAAGATTCGGCATGATTCGATCGACGAGAAGCGTAGGTTATAGCATTTGACCGAGCCATCCTGCAGCCAGCGAACCGGTTTCCAGAGCCCCGGCCGAAGCTATCTTGCAGGTCAGATCGATATGATCTACTTCCTGGTCGAGCAGGTGTTTGATGGTGGTTGACAATTGTTCCAACGTTCTAACTCGTTCATCATATTCAAGCAGCGAGCTGATCGCTCCTGCCCGTAATCTTTGATCTGATCGCGTTCAAACGCGTCGCGTGAGAGTGGTACTTTTCAATCGGAAAGTAATGCTCAGCATATTATTCGAAGCTTCACCCATTTCAGACCGGCCTTGATGAACCGAGCCTTGATCGACCAGTTCAGACCGTGCTTAGTTGATTAGTTGTCGAGATCGAGCTGCAAGCTGCAGGATATACAACCTCCGTAACGTGTCTACACCTGTTCATCTGCCTACGTAGAATCTAGAGCTCAACAATGTCCAACGCGCATCGACCGACGTAAGTTCAGCAGCTCTCTGTCCAGCTAGTTGCCGATACTCACCTCAATCGTATAACCCAGATGGACGCCCGCTATGGGCAAGGAGACCAAAGCTGGTTCCCGGTCCTACTTCCAGCAAGACTACTCTGCTAGAACCAAGCTCAAGTTCCGTCAACCGGGTCAGATCTCACAGACGGACGTTCAGAAGCGGGACCTCCGGGCCGAGCTGTTAAAGGCCGAAAGGGAGGCTACGGACAAGAAGCGGAAAGCAGCTGGATTGGCTCCTTTGCCTCCTGTCGCTTCGGATCTGCTCTTGACGGACGGAGGTGCTTCGAACGGGGACGACAATGGAGAGGAGCAGGCGAGCAAGAGGAGGAAGATATTGGAGGAAGCTGCTCAGCTCGATGCGGATGATGAGAGCGATGACGAGGATGCGGATCAATCGGAGAAGAAGAAGGGCAAACAGAGGGCTACGGATGGACAGGATGAGGATATGGAGGGCAACGGCGCGGCTGCAGCAGGGAACGATGATGACGAGGATGACGACGACGATGACGACAGGTGAGCCTGAACCACTTTGCCTAATCAACGGATTTGTGGACTGACCGGGATCGTTTGTCTGAATCAGCGATGACGATTCGGATGATGACGAGGATGAGACAGCAGCGTTGATGGCCGAGTTGAACAAGATCAAGCAGGAGCGAGCAGAGGAAAAGGCACGACAAGTGAGTCGACCGACCATGGGATTGAATCGTAGTTCCGGTTGACTCAACATCCGCCTTGCTGCGTTTCTCTTCTCAGGAGCAAGAGGCTTCGGAGTCCAACCGCATAGACAGAGAGACCGAGATCGCCACCGGAAACCCGCTTCTGAACCTTCAAGCCGCTCTTGGTCAAATGCCCTCTACGCCGCGATCCGACGCTGGGACATCGACCACCGGAAGCTTTGCCGTCAAGCGTCGATGGGATGACGACCTCATCTTCAAGAACCAGGCTGCTGGAGTGGACGACAAGCCGAAAAAGGAGTTTGTCAACGATATCTTGCGAAGCGAGTTCCACCGTGAGTCGGTAGTCTGATTGTTGCGTGTTGCACCAAAGAGTTCGCGACCGACTGATTCTGCTTGTCCCCGGGAACCTCCAGGCAAGTTCATGTCCAAGTTCGTCAAGTAGATACGATGCTTTCCCCTTCACCTGGCTCCCACTCTCAATATCATACACCCCATACGCATCTGGCTTTTGCGTTGCCTGTTGTACTGCTAGAGATCTAGAGATGAACCGACCCGGTACGGGATGTCACTATTTGCATCCGATATCAATATGCCGTAACCGAAAGTGGAGGTCATCGGAGGGTGATTCAACCTCGATGCCCGGGCGATCATGATCGTTTGTTTTGGATTTGGGTGGATGCACCCTGTTCCAAGCTTTCTGCTCCCACTAGACCTAGCTTCAGCACTTAGAAATTGTCAGCAAACGGGTCGGTTTCCAGATTGACGCCTTCGACTGGTTGCTCGAATTGCTCGCTGCTCATCCAAGCTGCCGGCAAACTTACCAAAAGTTACGAGACAAAGTCATTGAAAGATGTAAGACCGGTCCTTACATTCGCGTTACACCTCAGCTAAGCGGGTTTGCTGGATCATGTAGGGCGTCCCTCGACAAGCTCGCCATTCGAGGGATCAGGGCTTTCGACGACAAGCATACGAATGTCATTCAATTCCAGAGCCCGGTTACCGTTATTGTCGGGACGAACGGGACGGGAAAAACCGTGAGTACCAGTCCTCTGGCTATACATTCCGTCTTCCGTCTTCCCGCTCATCTGACCCCTGGTCCGCTGTGATTGCTCAGACCATCATCGAATGCCTGAAATATGCTACCACGGGAGAGCTTCCTCCGAACACAAAAGGAGGTGCTTTCGTGCATGACCCGAAGATGGCGGGGGAGAAGGAGGTCAAGGCTCAAGTCCGCCTTCGATTCTGGAACGTCAAGCGGGAGAGAATGGTCGTCAATAGGAACCTGCAGGTAACAGTCAAGAAGGGTGGCGGGATGACGATGAAGACGCTAGAAGGGATGCTTTCGAAGTGCGATACGGGTGACGGCGGAGAGAGGGTACGTTTGAGGGCATTCCTGCTTCTTACTACCGGACAGCTGATCAAGCCCTTCAACAGCGGAATGCGATCTCTACTAAATGCGCCGAGATGGATGCCGAAGTGCCTCGACTTATGGGCGTGTCAAAGGCTATCCTCGAGAATGTCATCTTCTGTCATCAAGAGGAATCAAATTGGCCTCTCGCCGAGCCTTCAGCGCTCAAGAAAAAGTTCGACGATATCTTCGAAGCGAGCAAGTGAGTTATATTCGCTTCCGGTCATTCGTCGAGTCTAAGACATGTCCTTAGCTCATCAAGGCATCGTAATCTCTAGATTCACGAAAGCGTTGGATCACATCAAATCTATCAGGAAGGAGCAGAATGTTAACTTGAAAGTCGATCAAGAGAGGTTGACTCACCTCAAGGTGGATCGAGACAAGTCGGGAAGGGTGAGTTGACCGCCCGACTCTGCTTCTTGGCTCGCTTCTGACCTCTCCTTACGCGTCGGACTACAGCTTCGAGAACAAATCGCGGCAGATCGAACCAAGTTGTCACAGAAGGAAGCGGAAGCCGAGAAGCTGCAAGAGGAAGTCAAAGAGTTGACGAGGGCGAACCAGCAGTTTTACGAAAAGGCAACCACTTTCACTGCCATCTTTGAAAAAGCGCAGAGTTTGACCAATCAGAAGCAGATGTATGAGAACAACCAACAAAGTCTGAAGCGGACTATCAAACTCCTGAAAGGTAGAGGATGACCGCTGTTGGTGTTCCGTAAGACTCCTCATGCTAATAGTTTCTCCGCCCCTCATCAGAATCTGATGAAGTCCTGGAAGAACAGCTGCGAAACTTCGAGCGAGACACTTCCGACCTCCAGGAAAAGCAAAAGTCGAAGCAGCGTACGAAAGAGCAGCGGAACCAGAAGTTGCAGGGGTTCCGAGCTCGACAGAGGACGGAGACCAGTCTTTTGGGTTCGAGGAAGGCTAATCGGAAGGTGAGAACAATCATACACGATCTTGCGACTATGGCTCAGCAGCTCTCTTGATCGTTAGGCATACGATGACAATGCCAAAGCTCGTCAAGAACTGGTACATCGACAGTGTCAAGACTTGGGTATCGAGGGCTTTGCAGGCGAATTGGGACGTGAGGAGATCCGCTCATACATCGAACAGGTCAAGGAGGCCATGGCGCAGCTCAGTGCTCAAGCAGAGAGGGTCAAGGTACGCAGCCAGTATCGTTGGCGACTGCATACGGGACTGCACTTACGAAGATGTCTTCGTTCAGGCCGATGGGCGAAAGACCGAGAATGCGCTCAACGATGAACTCAACAATCTCCGAGCCAAGAAGTCTACCTGTCTGCAAATTATTCGGGACAGGAATAGCCAGCTGGTAAGTATACATACCACGCAGTCGATTCATACAACCTGCTGACATCTCGATTCTCAGAATAACTTACAAAAGAGTACGAGAGACCTCGAGGCAGATATGGAATCCATCAGTACAATCGAGATCGAGGTGAAGAGCATCGACCGAGAGATTTCCGGGCTTCAGCAGATGATTGCGAACATCCGAGAGGAGTTTGCCCAAGCTGGATATGACGACAAGCTGCGGGAACTCGGATCGCAACTGCGTTTCCTAGAAAGCGAGAAGGAATCGCTTAATCAGGAGTACAGTCAGCTTATGCGACAGGGAGAGAGTCGACTCAAGTTGGACCTAGCTAGAGAGAAGGTGCAGGATTTGGCAAAGCAGATCAACGACCAGTAAGTTTGATCCCCGTCAGAAAAATGTATCGAAACTTAGACATTTGACTGTACAGCGTCAATACTCACGGTGCCAAGTTCCACGATATCGTTGGGGAAGATCTCGTGCCTGTTCAGATGAAGGAAAAGGTCGATGCCGCCAAAAGGTAAGTTCGAGTCGTACAAACGTCTAGCTGCGTGCTAAGGTGTCCTCCTTTGTTTCCGGCAGGACCAACGAAGCTACCCTATCCGCTACCGATCAAGCCCGCCAAAGCCACAAGAATGAGCAAGTCAGGTTGGAGACAGAACTGCAATCCCTTCAGGCGAGCATCGGCACCATGGAACAGGAGTGTATTGGTGAGTGGGATCAAGGTTTTCGCTCGAGCTAGACACTAATGCTGGCATGCTTGTAGCTGTTGAGCGAGAGATACAGACTACCCTGTCTGACGCTCATTATAGCTCGTTAGAGGAAGCAGTTAAAGACGCTAAAAGCGAAATTGAGATCCGAGAAAAGTAAGGACAGTCTGAGCCGACTCAAGGAGAAAGGCATGACTCTGACCCGATCCGAGTAGCTTTTTGAGAACAGCCGAGCATCAAGAAGACTTCTATCGGTCACTCTTGACTCACCAAGAGAAGAAACAGGTGTGCCGAGGTTGCAATCGAGGATTCGAGGACGACGAGGTCCCGGCGTTCAAGAAATACGTAAGAGATCGTTCGTAACCTCGCTGTACTTGCGTCAAGCTGACTGTTCCCCGTCTACAGATCGAAAGACAAATTGCCAAGTTCCGAAGCGGCAGCCAGAAACAAGTTCAGGAGATGACCGTCGAACTGAAGAGCTGGCAACAGCAAGAGTCGACCTACCAGAAATTGATTCATGAATTTGCCGAGTCGAGCAAGAAGGCTGGCGAGTCGATTCCAGAGATCAAGGAGAAGATCAAGAGGTTGCAGGGCAAGATCGAAACTGCCAACAAGGACATCAACGAGGTGCGATACTGGCTGTTGCGGAGGAGAAAGATCGCAGCGTCGCGTGTTCTAACCGACTTTTTCGATTAGAGCGAGCAAAAGAAGGTTAAGTACAAGCAGAGGGCAAGGGATCTGGAAGCTCTGGAAAGGTCTGCTATCGACGTGCTTCGATGCCTCACGGAGACAGAGAAAGCAGAGAGCGAGGTAGAGAGCTTGGAACGAGCCCTTGCGAACACCGGTTCGACAAAGACGCCAGGGGACGTTCAGGCCAAGATGCAGGAGCACGACAAGCAAATGTAAGACTACCAGAAGCACTCTGCCTGACGTATAACAAGCTGACAAGTCGCGCCTGGATAGCAAATCGAAGCGAGAAGACGAAAACCGGATCAAGTCGGACCGAGATCAGACAAACGAAAGACTGAGGCAGCGAGAGTCCGAACTGGAGCGACGGCGCGTACAATTGGCGGAAGCCAAAGTCAAGCAGGCTCGTCGACAAGAGTTGGAGAGGAAACTTGCTGATCTGAACGAAGCTGCCGCCAAGTGCACGGCTGATATCAAGGTATGATCACATTTTGTCTATACACGTAGGGCTGCCTCGTTGATAGCTTGTGTGACCCTTACAGTCCAGCGAAAAGGAGTCTGCCGAATTGGACGGGCCAACCAAGGTCGCAGCCGAAAAGGTACAAACACACGCAACCAAGTATACCCAGGAACATCAGGAACTATCACAAAAATATGAAACATACAAGAATGCAAAGATGGAGGTCGATTCCATCACTCGTTCGATCAAGAAGTAAGCGATAGTGAACGGCTTGGCCGCGCGCGAATTTTGACTCGCCCAATTTCATCAGATACGACGACGAGGACGGTGATGGCAAGCTGACTGAAGCTGAGGAGTCTGTCAAGGAGGTCGAGCGGGAAATAGTTCGGGCTGAAGACGAATTGGAGACACTTCAAGAAGAAATTGCGGCGCTAGCTCAACAGATCTCGGAGAGCGACAACCGTCGTTCCACCATCAACTCGAATTTGCGATACCGCGAAGCCGAGCGCAAGATCGTCGATTTGCGAAAGGAAATTGAAGAGATCGATGTGGACGGTGCTGCCAAAGCCAAACGAGATTTTGAGACAAAGTACGGACAGGTAGACCGGGAGAGGACCGCCAAGCACGGCAAGGTCAGTCGGATTTGGGTTGGCACTTCTCCATGGTCTGAAGCGCTCACACATTCGCCAATAGCATCAACAACTCGTAGGAGAAATCTCACAGATGAGGGAGAACTTGTCTCGCATTCAGAAGCAGTTGGCCACCGAATACAAGGGAATTCAAGACGATTACACGGAGTGTCTCGTCAAGTTCAAGGTAGGTCGATCTGAAATGAGCAGAGCCGGTTGTGCTTTGGTAAGAACTTGCGGACATAGACTGGGCAGATGGCCAGTGCCGATCTCGAAAAGTACGGAAAAGCTCTTGATAAGTAAGTCGCTTTGCAAGCCACGTTTTCGACTATGCCCACACGTGGCTGACCGGGTTTACCTTTCCTCGTTCAGCGCCATCATGCAGTACGTACTATGCCGTCATCGCGAATCGAACGTCATCTAACCGCCGTGCTGCAGATACCACGCTTTGAAGATGCAGGAAGTCAACGATACCCTTCAATCGCTATGGCACGACGTGTACACCGGAACAGGTGAGAGCGGTTCTTGCGAATAGCGTATTATAATAGGCTGATGTAGATTCTTGCGATTATTCTAGATATCGACTTTATCGCGATCAGAGCCGAGGCGGGACCGGAGACTGCGACCAGGAGGACTTACAATTACCGTGTCGGTGAGTGAACAGTCCTGGGCAGATCTGGCAGTCCGCTAACGAGATATCGAGCTTACCCGGGGCTCCTTTACCGACAGTTATGGTTAAGAGTGTGTACAAGCGGGCCTATCATCCGGCTGATCTGCGCTGACGGTCCACTCTTTGGCAGACCAAACTGAGCTTGACATGCGAGGACGATGCAGTGCCGGCCAGAAGGTCCTGGCGAGTATCCTGATCAGGATCGCTCTGGCGGAGAGCTTGTCCTTGAATTGTGGAGTCTTGGCGTTGGACGAACCGACGACCAACTTGGACGTCGATCACATCGAGAGTCTCGCGCGAAGTCTGGCAGCGTAAGTTCAGGGTCTTCGAGGAGGTTCGCATAGACTGCGGAGGATCTGTAACTCATGGTCATCGATACACGTGGATATAGGCTCATCAACCTGAGAAGGGACAATGCGTCTTCCCAACTCGTCATCATCACCCACGACGAGAACTTCTTGCGTCAGTTGGCGGCGGAAGACGCGTGTGACTTCTTCTGGTCAGTTTAAAACCCATGTCAGCCTCCCGTCCGAACACACTGACCAATCGTCCTTGAACAACACAGGCGAGTCTCTCGAGACCAGAACATGAACAGCGTGGTGGAACGACAGCGAATCAGTCTGGTCTAGAGGCCTGCTGTCGCGCTATAGGCACCCAAGCCGGATGAATCCTAGTCTCTTCGAACGGTTGAGCAAGGCGCTTTTACGATTCTGTATTACGATTTCCCATTTACGACGAACGATATGCAACAGTGATCAAGACCTATTCTGATAGCTGGTGAGGCAGGTCGCGTCGCGTTAGGTCGAACGCGTGTGAACGCGTCATTTAGCAAGACGTCATTATTGTCTTGTCCGAATCTGGAAGGGAGCGACCGATATCGATCAATCGATCAATCTCGAACGACCTTGACATCTCGACTGGTCTCTAGAATCTCATAACTATAATCATTTCCAGCGTCGTCAGGATCCAATCTACTCACAACGCTGTAGCTCCCATACTGTCTAGCCCTACATCCCAACCCACCGTCGAACGAAACAGCAATCATCTCGAAATGTCCTCGAAGACGAGACCTCGAACGACACAGTCTGCGTTAGGCTTCTCGGCTAAAAAGTCCATTCATAAATCGCCAACCAAGAAGAAGGCTCCTGTCAGGATTGCACAAGCTCAAGCTATCGACCTTACCCGATCCTCTCCGCCTCAAAACCCCAAACACGCACCCCTCTTCACCCGACCGAACCGTTCGGCGACAGCGTTCTCTGACACCAACCCGTTTTTAGAAGACGATGGTGCCGAAAAGGATGAGAAGCCGCAGCCTGCGGTCGAGAGGGACGAATTCGGATTCGTAAGGACCGTTCCTCTCGATTACTCGCCGCTTGGGAAAGGCAAGCCAACGCAGGCGATGATCGCGAACCTTGTCGGAGAGAAAGCGAAGGAGGACGAGGAACGGAAGGAAGAGAAGGGCGAGGTTGATGAAAGTGACGAGGGCGGGGACCGGGCGTTCTTTCTCATTGAAAAACGTCGTGGGGATGTGAAGAGCGCCAGGATCGAGGAAGGAGGCAAGCTCAACGTGAAGGACAAGAGGTGGAATGAGCTCTTTAAGGAGACCAAGGAGAAGATGGGAAACGCAGAGCCCAGTAAGCTTTTCCCGCTGCTCTTGCCCAAACCCTCTCCGGCCGCGAGTACTGTGTTGACTGGGATTGCTTGTCGCATCGTCAGTCCATTGTGATTCGAAGTCCCACAACCGCGTACATCATATTCTTCGGGTCTTTGATCTCAGTTCGCAGTGGGGCCCCTGCGTAGGAATCAGCAGATTAGATCGGTGGAACCGTGCCGAGGAGTGGGGACTCGAACCTCCCGTAGAGGTGAGTACATGAGTTGTAACTTATGCCCGAATCACATCTGACATCTGTGTGTAACAGGTCCGGGACATCCTCCTGACGCAAGAGGGCCAGAAGGACGATTCGTACAAGGAGACCGTCTTTCACAACACCGGTATCTACGTCCCGTAACGTAGTCGACATCTCCATCAACATCTCCATCAATTATGTATCCCTTCACTTGTAGCCAAACAACAGCATGTCGCTTCTCTCCAAACGTTGTACTCAGCTCAGCCGGAGTCATTATGCACCACACACAATATACCATACGCGAATCAATACTGGCTAGCATTCGGCAGAGTTCCGGTCGACCCGTCGTGAGCTCGACTTGATAAAAGCTCGCGTTAGCTGGACTCGAGGATTCAGTTTGCGATCAGCAGCACTCCGTCTAATCTCGGTCCGCTCCAGCTGTTTGGTCGGTCTCGCGCCCTCAGGGCATTACAATCAATCGAGCGAAGAAGAATCTTGCGACAGCTGGGCGACCCCGATGGAAAGCTTTCACGCCGGCGAGAGATTCCGACTGAGTGGGCTGCGTTGATTGAGTGGCAAATCACAAGAACGGAGGATGATCGTTTCTTTCCGCTTTAAACTTTCGAGGTCCGGTCGCGAGAGTTTGTCTTCTGATCGCAAGGAGAAGCGAGAATTTCGGACTTCTTGCGTCTCGAAGTGAAGCTCTGACAATCCTCCAGATCTTCGTGGTGTCAGCGAACAAGATCTGAACAAGTCCGATAAAGCGTCCGTGCTTATCCGCCGCCTCAGATTATTACTGCCGGCTTCCCTGCATCGATGCCTCATGCGATGTATTACGCTACATCAGACGGTTTCGCGAACGTCTCCTGATGACGGGTACAACCAATGCGAGAGGCGCCGGATCATATGAGATCGTAACATGAGAACATGTTTCAGGGCCGTGAAGCCGACGAGAGGACATAAGACTGGGGTTTCTATCTACATCGAGAGAAGCGGAAGCTCCCATGGGAGATCATTCAATCTTCCTTGCCCGTCTTAGATCCGAGACCAGCAGACTTGACTCTGGCCTTGATATCCTCCTCAGTTTCGCGAAGAAAGGTAGGTCCACCCTTAAGCAGGAATCGGATAAGCCCAGCCAGATTGTGTTCCCAAACGTGGCATCCCCCGGTCTCAAGCTGGTTCTGCGGGCACTCTGACGGCGGGAAGTCTCTCCTAGTCCCATCCCGGATATCGATCAGTTGCAAATACGCTTGTTCTGATATCCGCATGATGGTTAGACACGACGAATACGACTTGACCCTCTCAATGCTTACCTCCGTACTTGTTGTTGTTATACAAGAGCCAATTCTTCCAAATGAAGGTATACGAGTCATCCCTGAAATGCGGCGCAATCGGAAGAGAAAGAGACAGTTGAGCACGATGACTGCCGTTCCCTCGAGGTGCCGCCGACTACTCACTCGTGCATGTGGAAGCATTTGAATGGCTGTAATCCATGCGCGCGTAGGTTTTGACTAGATATTTTCAAAGGATCGGGCTTGGGAGGCACTGCGGGTGTCGTTGAGCGTTAGACGATGCCTCTGCTTCGAGAGATGACTCAGTGGTTTTCTTACCTGGATTACGCTTCAACTCCCTCTGAGCTTTGAAGTATTTGAGTTCCTGGCGAAGGGCTCTGAAAAACATGTTGTGCGGATCACTAGCCTATCGAAATGATACCGCAGAGACATATACTACTACATGGCGTTGCAATTGAGGGCTCATAATTCGCGCAATGCAACTCTTTCTTATATCACAGCCCGCTGAGAAGCAACGACCGAAGCCCTGACGTGCACTGACGTTCTTGCTTCCAGTGAATCTATTATCAAAAGAGCGAAGAATGTCCCGGCCTTCCGAATAACAGGAAGGAGTTACTACAAGATTACAAAGGCCGAGAAAAAGCAACGGCGACGGACGACAGACGACGATCAAGACAGAGATCTGCGTCTCGATCCTTGATCCTCCTTTGACGACAACGCTTAGCGCGAACGATCAGCGGTGGCGCGGTGGATCGTGTTCCATCGTTCGAAACCTAAAACCATGAAGGCTCAAAGGAGGGCGAATTGGCAAGAAACTTCTCGGGAGTTCGGACTAGAGCTGAACGACTGAGTGTAAATAACGACAAGCGACCGTCCGAGGGATTCGCGCTGTTGCTCCAAACTCTAATTCCGAACCCATCGGTGACGGTAGAATCCCTCTGTTGTAGTCGTGCTTCGCGACAGCGTTCATCGCGGCGAAACACTACAACAACAAAATTTTGCAACCCCGATTCTTTCCATGTTGTCACCGCAAGCGAATCTAAGGGACGGCCTCGGCTCGGCTGGAAACATCGTAGAGTATGACAATAAGACATTGGTCGTCATGACGGCATGATTCGCCATCGGGGATACATCGTGGTAACAGAAGATTTCGTCCAAAGGAAGGTCGTGGTAATGAAACAGCAATCATGCCAAGTAGTTGCTGTACCACGAGTAATGCAATTAGCAATCTGTGTCGACTACGAGAACGGCCTTCGTGACTTACTAGGTGTCGTTTTGTCCATCAGCTCGCTCGAGGTAGTCCTGGTCTACCAAGTGCTCAATCGTCTTTTTGATCATCGAAACTACTGGCGGGAAGTTCTTGGACACGTGCTGGGAGACTTCATTGATCAAGTGCTGATGCTTCATAGTCTAAAGACAGCGCACAGACGAGATGCGCGTCAGCAATAACCCTTGCAAATCGACCCATTCGCGCAAGCGTACCTTTCGCGACTTCATGATCCTGAGAGCGTGATATGGGTCGGTATTATTAGCGAATGCACATACAGATCAATTGACGCAATGAACGTACCGGACGATGGTAGCCTGGTAGATGTATTTTCGGTCTTCCTCGGCCGCCTTCGTAACCTCATCCGACTCCTTCTTCTGCTCCGCCTTCATCGGTACGTTGATATTCAATCGGACCTAGAGAAAGCACAGCAGGATGAGTTCCAGTTCGGCCAATCACTCGGATGCGTCAGTACTCGCCTTCTTTGACTTCATGTTATAGTTGATGTCATAGGTGTCTCCATCGACTAGCAAGACCTTCGACTTGACCAAGATAGTCATGACCGGTTTAAGGATTTCGGGCGACAGCTTGGTCCGAGCCTCGATGTCGGCAAAGTGTAGACTCTCTTCCTCGTTGAAGAGCATGAGGACGGCCAGCTGGTAAGTGCTGCACATGAGCGTGATCTTGGGCTTGAGGTAAGACAGCTGGACCTCGTTCTTCGAGTATAGCCACATCCAGGTCAGGGCACGACCGCTGTGGCAAGGACAACAATCAATTTTCCGTCCTTTATGCTTCCATCAGAGTGGACTTGCCTATGACTGTTGTTGTAATAACCCTTGAATCGATCAAGCATTGGCTGCAGCTCTCGAGGCACCTGGAAGTCGACGGCTTTGCTCGCCAACGGCCAGTTGACAGAACCACCGACAATGACCGAAAAGTCCACTATGAGACCGCCATCTTGTCAGCTTGCACACCACAAGGAGAGGTTCCAGAATCGATTCGAAACCCACCTTTGTCGTCGTGGCCATTGTTCGCCATCTTTTCGTTAAAGCTTTCGGTCAACTCCTTGCTCAAGCTTACGTCTGCGACGACAACGCACACCCTCAGTCACTCCATTACAATCGAGCGTTTACACCACTCACCAGTGAGCATCTTTTGCAGCTTGGTCACATAATCGTATCCGCATTGATCCTTGAGCTTCGAGATCATGCTTCCCTCAGCCTCTTCGGACATCGACGTGCCTCTCAGGAGACGATCCGCCAGTCGTCGGGAATAGAACCTCATAAAGATGTCTCGGTGATCCAGGTATTTGAACAAGGTCATCTGCGGCAAGGGGTGCGCGATCAGTAAAAGAATTTGCGGTAACTAGACTGAACATGCCTGTGCCTTACGGAATCGTTGAGGGCCTCCTCCATGGACTCGTCCGCGGTCTCCTTGTTGCTCTTCTTCAACTGCTGATCGACATATAGGGCGATCAACTCGGGCGCCTTGTTGGCCTCGGCCGCTGCAGGGTTCTTGTTGATGAACGTTCGACAGGCCTGGAGATGTCGTTATAAGCACGTCAATAGCTGCGTCGACAGCCTCAATGATCGGCCGCGCTTGACATACCTTGTCCAAAGCGGCTTGGAACCCGGTATCTCCCTCGAAGGGCTTCTCGACTACCGCCAAGTTCTTCTTGTACACCTCCAAGAGCGCCGTAACATAAGTCTTGGGATCCTGTCAAGCGCCAATTATCGAAGTTGTCAGCGGTAGTCCTGCGAGTCGGACGGGACCACAAGGCCTCGGCTTACCATGTTCTCCTGCTTGCCATCCGCTCCCACTGTGCCCTGGCTGGCCCGAGAGACGGCGTCCAGACCGTTCTTGGTGACGTGTTCCTGGAAGGTCTCTCGAAGAGGGCCCAATCCGTCTACTCGGTTCAAGAGCTTCCACATCCTCGCCAGATCTGATTGCGTGCGAGCCAAAGTCAGTTCGGGTTTACAAGCACTGCCTATTTGTTCGCCCCTTACCCTCCTGACGATCGGCATCTAACAACGGTCCGAACTCTTCCTGCATCCGTGCCAAATGACTCGTGACTAACGCATTCTCCGCCCGTTGCAACAACTAGTTCAGATACACATGTTACAAGTTCAGCTCTGAAATTCTCATTGACAAGCCCTCGCAAAGACAACGACTCACCGGCTGTTTGGTCTGCGAATGCATATACAGATTGACCCTGTTCTCCTCCTCGTCCAATCGCTTCTCTGCCAACCTCAAGTAATCGCTGATATTGTTCTCGGCCAAGAACCCTTCAGACTCGGCCTTGTAGTAATTCTCGGTGGCCGTCAAGAACGGCTTTTGGAAGTGTTCCCGGTAGACTTCGATGTGCGTCTTGTTATCCTTGCCGCCGTGATGCTGTTCGTCCTCTAGACCCAGGCTGACTGTAAATCACGCCAACAAAGCATGTTGCACCGTGAGTCTCCTCGATTCCTCCCTTCTTCACAATCAGCCGTCTCGAGACACGCACCCATGCTGTCGACGATCGACTTGATCATTCCACCATCGACCTGCTCTCCGTTCCGATGGCTCTCAATCTGCTTCAAGAGGGCCGTGATGAGTCGGTTGTTGTTGTCCTTGACCATCCCCAGGAAGAAATGTTCCTTCCACTGGACGAGCGATAGCTGTTGCGTTTTGTTGTTTTCATGTCGAAATAAGCCTTCCACACCATCTTCACAAACACTTCGAGCTCTTTGGACTGACCGTGTAGACCGTATAAATCCCCTTTCTCCCCTCATCCTTCTCCCTCTTGACCCAATGTCGGTTCAGGTACGCAAACAAACGGTTGACATAGTTGGCTCCCGTCGTGTACCGTTTCCACTCTTTCGTGTAGAATTGCAACAAGGCGAGGTCGGATAGGTTTTCGGATTCCTGCGCAAAGGAGGTCGAATTGAAGTACGATGTACAATAAGTATTCATGCATCAAAAAGAGAGCTGATGGGGAACCGATCGACTCACGGTCCGTAGCCTGGCCAAGTGGGTCTTCAGATAATCGCTCAATTTGTTGTAAAGATCGCTTCCCATCAAATGCGCTCCGGCTATACATACCCACAGAACAGACTTTGACGTCAGCGCTCTCCTCTGACTGATGCTGGTTGCTGAACATCGATTGAAAGACGACATTTGACTCACCTTTCACCGTCCCGCTACTCCCCACAGGTACGCTCCCATACCCCGAGATCTCGTGCTGCTTGTTGCTACTGATACAGTAGTTGTAGCAAGCGGTATAGAGGAGCATGTAATAGGAGTATGACATTCCATGTTCCAGCCTAAGGGAAAGAGGTCGAGGCGGTCAGCGAGTTGAAGCGGCGACGGAGATGAGGAGTGCGGAACATGAAAGGGTCAAGAGAAGATAGGAAGGAGGACTCACTTGACCATGATCCGATCGACACCGGTCTTCAGGAAGTTCCATGAGGTCTGTCATCACAGGGACACATGCCATCAGCATCATCGATACAGAGGAAAGATCAGAGGCCAATCTGGCTCACCTCCAAGCTCGCATTGCTGTGGTATTATGTCAAGCAAGGCAAGAGGTAAGAAAGGTTGCCATTCAGAGAAAGAACGAGAAGAGCGCGAATGCAGCATATGATCAGCTGATCCTTCCAAACGCATATCTAAACTTATCAAACGAATGCGTTACTCACGTAGGAGGACCCTTGGTGGGCTCTTGAAGATCCGCCATGGCTCTGAACTCTTCCCCTTACTTGCAGCTTCTAGGCAGGTCGAGCTGATTAATCCGAGTTCAAGCTCCTCCTCTGTAGATTTGGTTCGTGGCGACTCGCGATCTTGATTTCTGACGGTACAAAGCTTTTGATATGAGTCTATCGACCTATTCTATGGGATGTGCTGCCCGACGTGAAGGACACCATCCAACTTTGACGATTGAACGAGGGATGATCATATCAATCGAGGAAAGAGAAGGTCAGGTCGCCTCGTTCGGTTCCGTCGACAAGTGAATTACGTAATCGATTCTCAGAAAATCCCATAGTTCAAGCGATCTCGACCTTTGGGATCGTGAACAAAAGTCGGAGAAAGGTCGACGACTCTGAGCTGACTACATCTCACGACAACTACGACGACTACGAGCAAGCACAAAAGGGGACCTTGATAATGTCACTCAAAACCATTCGCCCGATCGTCTCGGCGCTCCGCCAAACCACCTTGCGATCGCTAGCAACGGCAGCCCGACCCGCTCTCCCCGACTTTGAGGATGAAGCAGGTCTTCCCGAACTGCAAATCCCTTCCCCAGGGGTCTACCCAAAGACTGGCAGTAATGTGCTCGAAATCAAGAGCAATCTGTCATACCATACCCTCGCGCATACGATGGCTATCGTTCGAGCTGTGGAAGCGAAATGTGGGCGGGTGGTAAACATTTCGCAATCCAGGGTGAGTAGCTCGTGGAATTCAAATATAGCGAATAAGAAGCAATGTTACTAACGCTTTTCTGTGTTGTGATTTATTACAGTTTGCGGACAACCAACGTGCCCGGCCCATCTTCCAAGTGACCGTCCTCAACCCCGTCCTCTTCGACAAACCGCTCATCCTCGAGATCCCCCAACCGGATCTCTCCACCTCTCCTCGAATGACCCACTACGGACCTTCACTCCGATCTGTCCAATCGGCACTCTCTGCATCTTCGTCCTCGGCCTCCTCGTTTGGGATCAGAAAGAGAAAAGACGCCAGCGCCACGGCCGAAGACGTGGTTTCGTCCACCTTCACCGCGACCGTAGCCCTGGGAACACCGTTGAAGCAACGTCTTCGACCTCGAATGAAGCATCGGGAGAGGGCACCAGCCAAACACGACAAGGATCAAGCCGGTCGGTGGGCACGGGAAGATGAGGCGATCAGGAACGTCCTCGGAGGGGGTTTCAAGGGATTTTATGGAGGGTTCGAAGAGCTGAGCCGGTCAGTTGAGCTGGAGCAGCAGAGGAGACGGGAAGCAGGCTTGGATATGGAAGAAAAGCAGGAGGAAGTTCAGGCCGAAGAGGTTGAAGAGGTGGACTCGGTCGACGAGGGCGTTTCGGAGGGTGATTTGTTGCTGGACAAGGCGCTTCTGGGCAAGGTACGGATACCAGAGGGGTCTGCATCGGCCGCTTCCAGCGCTGCTACTGCCCCATCGTCTTCTACTCCGACATCTTCGACGACACCTTCTCCCACCCGAACCGCCACGCCATCCACCTCGACATCGTCATCGACACAGACTTCCCGACCTTCCCCTCGCGAACCGCCCGCACCCAAACAACCCACTGAGAGCAAACAAGACCGTCTCGCTCGTCTCATCCGCGAACGGCAATCCAACCCCAACAACTCCGACCTCCCTCCGCTCAATCTCAACTCGCGTTCCGCCCGAGCGTTGATCAGGGGTAAAGAGGACGTCTATCAATCGTTCCTCGAGCAAAAGGCTGAAAAGTCGAAGCAGAAGAGTCTGCGGATGAAGGAAGCCTCGGACAGGAAGAAACAGGAGGAGACGGCCAGAGGGGCTCTGGGTGCGATCAAGCATTGGTTTGGGTTCTAGGCGTGGTGGCGGGGTGTCGCGATTGACTCACGGGAGAAGAGGCAGGGTACAGGTGTGAAACCAGCTGTATTGGGCTGCAGCGTTCATATTCGGGGTGTCGCATGTATGAGTTGCATTTTACGAAACAATCCATGGCATTCATCTGAGCGCAGCTGAGTCATCAAGCTTCGGATAATGAGCTCGTATACCAATGTATATATACATGATGTCATGTGGAATGGGGAGGCGAGCAGACATCCAACCGAACTGACCATCCAAGTGCCAAGTGAGCATACCAATTTTCAACGAGTCACGCGCATGTATGCCCTTGACAGGGGGCCCAGCAACGTCTTCGACAACCAACTATGGAAATAATCCATTTGAGAGCGACAAAGAGATGGCGAAGACCCTGAGGTGGATCTCGTCGAAGAAGAAGGATCATGGTATTCACAAGGGTTTGTAAATCGATCAACCTCTTTCATGATGTAGATGATGATTGGCCTTCGAGTCATGCATCGTGAGCTACGAGTCCGTCTGCCTCGACGTCCTTTGCAATGAGAGCTGACTCGAGAGGCCCACCTTATAGGTACTCGGCATGCCGGACGAGAGGATCAAGCAAGACAGGAATGGGAAGCAGATTTTGGATGCCATTGGTGATCCCGGCCTTGAGGCCTTGAGAAAAGGGATTTCGCATTGACCTTTGATGCGGATTTATCCATCCTACTATTCCGGAAAGGCAACGATGTCCACGATCAACATCAGAATAGGTGTATCAGTGGTCCCCGATCAAAAGTCGAACGAAGTCTCTTGTCGTTGTCGACCACGTGTCATAAGTGCATGTTACAAAAGAAGATTCGTGAAATCGTGCTCCGCCCATCTCTTGCGTCCCTTATCTCTGACTCGCCCTTCTACAAGGCGAGGTAGTCTCGAACCTCGGCCTCGCTAAGTTTTCGGAACGTGGCGGGTAACCTCTCTCCGCTCTTGATATCCATCTGCTCGGCTGTCGGTACGCTGGCGATCCCGATCTCGATCGTCTTCTCGGTCATCTCTCCCTCGAAACCTTCCTTCAGGGTCAGGAGGGCGGTGTGAATGGCGTCTTCGAGCGAGATGTCGTCGCTGTACCTGTTGGAGGCAACAGCAAATCAAGGCATGTCGTGTCAATCAACTGCAAGCTGACGGTACAACGTGGACCACCGACGTACCTCTTTTCCAAAAAGGTCTTTGCGTTGCTCATGTTCTTCCCGATGGCGCTCGCCTTCCACGCCCAGAAACTACCCGAAGGGTCGATCTGGTAAAGAGACTGTCCCCGGTGGTTGTCCCATCCGCATACCAGTAGCGAGATACCGTATGGTCGAACACCTCTGAATCCGATAAGAAAAAGGACGATCATATCGATCAGCGAGTGGACTTGCGAAGATTGGGAAGGTCCACGCAGAAACAGCCCGACTCACCCGCTCTGAGTGGCCTTTTGCATGACAGCAGCAACATCCGCTACCAGAACCTTGACAGGAGGGTATTCTCCGTAGACTTTCCAGTAACTCTGAGCGATCTTCCTGGCTTTGGCGACCAAGACTCGGTAGTCGGGACCCATTCCGGCGTAAACGAAGCCGATGTTGGGGCAGATCATGGCGACCTTTTCTAAGGACGAGTCGTCGACCAAGGGGGAAGGGGTCTTCTTTTCCGTTGCGAGCACGACTCCGTTCTTGGCTGCGAGGTCGTCGATCATGGCCCGAGTCGTTGTGGTCAATAACGTTCCGTATTGTAATCCGCTTGCCTTTGATGCTAACCTTTGATCCCCAAACTAGTCTGTCCTCCGGACACGGCCGCCAAAGCATGTTCGATCTGAACGAGCTTTCCTGATGGCGAGAAGGTGGTAAGGGAGAAACTGGAGGAATTTGGCAGTGTAAACGGGTTGAAGGGTATGCAATCGGTCAATTCGGTTCGACCGGATGGTCTGATCGAGTTGATACGAACGAGTAAGCGCCGCCGCCTCCTGGTGCAGACATCCTTGGTTATTCGGAATAGATAGTGGGAGGTAGGAGAAGAGGGACTAAGAGTGAAGCCAAGCACTTGTCGATAGCGAGCAAACGATTGTGACAGCGGTTATCGCAGGATTGTCGAACGATCCCTTTCGAATATGGACAACCCATCCTTCGACGCTGATGAGTCCCTCGCTCGCTCGCGTCATCACCTGCTTTGAAAGAGCTAGAAGCGCGTCGACCCCTGACCTCTTGTACTCGGTCGATCAGTCGATCCGTCTTGATAAGTATCATACTGGATATATGCATAGGTAGGAGTTACAGTTGAGAAAGACAAGGACAGGAGACGAGTGATGGCGAAAAGCCGAGATTTCGATATCGCGATATCGCGCATGTCACGATCTCGCTCGTTGCGATTTTGAAACAGCCGCGAGCTGTCGTGACAGCTTTACTGCTTGGGAGTCAATCCTCGAAGGGTGATATCATACACCACATCTTCGCAACGCTTGACGTCGTACTTTAGGCTATCAAATCGTCGCCTCAAGGTATCGTTTCGCAGGTTGAGCTGTTTGCGCGTTTTTTACGTTCAGCGCGGTTTCGAAACGGACGATCTGCTAAATGTACTTACGAGGGAGTATCCGGCGAAGAGGTCCTTTTCGAAGGAAGCTATACGTAGGGGTAGAGCAAAGTTCTGAAGGGTGACCGAGTTCATAGCCAAGCGAGCCTATCAACATGGTCGCGAACCATCAGCGCTACGAGCACCATCAATCTGATTTCAGAAATCGACTTACCAACTCATTTGAGGCACCGATGACTCCCTGAAGATAGTCGTCCGGCGAGAGCTGGATCCTATCGTTCCACTCCGGCTTGACTATATACGTAAGGTCCGCAAGACAAGACGTCAGCCATCGCTCTCGGAAACCCAACCTGCTCACGACGATACTGACTGCCGATGGTAGATGTCACCGTCTCGATTGGCACAAGGTCGTCATGGAGAAGGAAGTAACAAAGGGTGATCGAGGTGGTAAAGGACTTGAGGATAAACGAAGGTTGATATTGGTACCTGTTCGATCGTGATTGCCAAAACGCATGGTATCGTTAGAAAATGCTTCAAACGTTTACACATATGCTAAATGATATCCTCACTTGTGGTATTCGCCGTTCGGTATACGCGCTGCGACCAATTCCCATTGCGACGCAGAAGCCTTGATCTGCTCGAGCGCCTGCTGAGCCAAGTTCTCGACTGAACGATGTTTGCGATAAAATTCAGCCATTTAGCATGTTGGTAGATCGCAGAGAGAAGTTGCAATCGCAGTTGCAGACTCACGTTGATCGCCGGGAGTAGAGTGACTACGGTTCAGCAGAGCGGTGACATTCCTCGAGACAGTATCGAGCGGCTGCAAGCTTTCCTTGATGCTCTTGTGGTCACAAATGGATCACGCCAGATCGGATCAGCCAGTGTGTATCGGAGGGGGGTCTACTTTCAATCCATCCTGGACACTGACCTCCTTGAGTGTCGACTCGTGCTCGAGATCAGTGCTAATCTTCTGCAAGATCGCACTGAGCGAAGAGGCGGTTCCTGATACTTGTTCCATATTGTTCTGCATCTTGTAAAGATATATGGTGAGATTGGATGATTCTGGTGGACTCCGGACTGGATCTGAACGAGCTTGATGAAAACTGTAAGGTTCAAGGTAAGAATGTTGGCAGGTGCTTCCTCCTGCGATCAACCTTTCGATCGTAACCTCGGTGATGACGACTTGACTCGATAATGCATAAAATTAGGTTGATACAAGTAATAACGCATCTAAGATTAGGGTGAGGCGAGCATTCCGTCTGTCAAATACATCATACACCTGACGTCTATGCGTTCCTATCCGCGGCCTTTCCTCCAAGTAGATGCCCCACACCTTCATAAGCCGCGATCATCATCCCGCAGGCCGGTGCGACCTTGGCCGTTCGCGGCACCACGCCCGCGAATAAAGCCTTCCATCCCTCGGTCTGCACGATATGCCTTAATAGGGGCATAGTGCTTGCAGGATGAGCCAAGGCTTCTGGGGAACAAGCTTTGGAGGGAGTGAAGACCTGTCGTCTAGTTTTGAGGACGTCGAAGGGGGAAGTGACCAGTGATGCGGCGGTACCGGATAAGGCACCCGAGATGAAGGTCATAGTGATTCCAGGTTGGATGAGCTGGGATTCGGTAAAGTATCTCTTGAGCGATTCGAAGCCTGCCCAGTAGAGCCCTGATCGAGTTGATAATACGAACAATCAGATGTCACGTTCCAGTATCATCGGGCGAGCGACAACTAAACTTACCTGAGAACGGCACATCCCGCCACAACGTGGGTCCCAGGCCACGCCAAAGGGCTCGAGTACCCTGCTCCTTGACCATAGTGGTGATGCTCGAGAACGTCGAAGCGTAGCTGGGTGCAGGCTGTCCCGCTGTCATGCCAGAGGCTAGGTCAGCCGTGTATCGCGGCCAGAAAACACAGAAGCAACCACTCACGAGCTGGCAGCGCCTGTAATCGGGTCCTAAACAGCTCGATGGGGCTAATCACCGTCGCACTGATCGTCCTCGCCATACTCCCAGCCACAAAGGGCACAGGTGACAGGTAAGCCTGATTCTGACCTGCTGTCGTCGAAGTCGACTGGGCGGACTGAGGCGTGGAACCGTTTGACAGTTCGAGCGTCGTGTGTTGCGGGGTGATCACCACTTGATTCCCGCCTGTCGTCGTCGATCCGGGTATTCGGCCGTTCAGAGCGACCAAGAGGTATTCGTAGCCCAACATGTAGATGCTCGCACTGGGGATCGACATAACCAGACCCGTCCCAACTCCCTTCCACAGCCCTCTCCATCCAGCGGGCTCGGCCATGATTACCTTGATCTCGTTGAAGAAGCCTCCTTCCGCCCCAGCTCCAGCCAGTTTCCGGCTAAGCTCTTTAGCTCCTTCTCGTGCTTGTTCCTGCAGGGCGGTGATACCCTTGCCGCCGAGCAGAGGGGAGCGACGGATACGCTCGGCTTCTTCCTGAGTGACGATCTCTCCCCAGATCCCTGCCCATTTGGATGGGTGGAGACAGCCTTCCGGTGCAGGTGGTACCAAGGTGGCTCCTGATGCTTGGATCGTACCAGCTTGGATCCCTGGTCGACCTATTGTCGCAGGGAACGAGGGCATAAAGGAGGGTCGGGCGGACGAGGACGGGATGGTCGCTCCCAGACAGGTAGCGTTGGCGGTATTCAATGGTGCTGATGAGGTGGGGGCGATTCGTTGACGTAAAGAATTGGGTCCTGGACCAGCTTGGGCCGATCCGTCGCTAGTTGGCAAGACGGCGGTTTGGCAACAGATCGTCTCGACAGAAGCGGGTGTGGCGCTGGGCACGATCGTCTGATTCGGTCGTACCGTTTGCAATCGAGTCTTGAGGACATCGAATGGCGTCACTGATCATAGTGTACGTCTAAGGTTAGCCACAGCTGTTTTAGGAAGACATCGATCACGGCCACGACTCACTCAGCAGACTGGTCGATATCGCCCCCGAGACACTGGCGATCGCCTTGGCCCCCAGAGGTCCGACGAGAGCATCGTCTACCTGACCCGAAGCCGGAAACTGCGCCTCGATGAGTTCCTCGTCACTAGGTTCGTATTGCCAGTCGATATGGCGATGACCGGTCGAAGCGGTAGACCCCGAGGCGGCAGAGGCGGTTGCGTTCGTCATCTAGGTAAGCGTTGAGCGGATCGCTCGAAATGTGATGGTTTGATGTGGGCGATTTGACGTATTTATGTCAGAGTATTGTAGAGGAGAGTGTCAAGTGCAGAAAAGTAGAGTTTAGAGTGTTCGAACGTCCGGATGAGCAGTCGAGAAGTCATCGCAGTCATCAAGGTCAACCCGCCGTCACTCCTAGAAATCCGAGATCGATGCGAATTATCGTCTCGGGGCGCGGGGCGCGGGTCGATCAGGCTCTCGGGGCGAGGCGACAAAATCGCTTACGTAACATGACGAAAGCTGTTGAAGCGGACATCGTCTGATCATATCGCAGAGGAGATACTCGGCGATCGGGTCGAACTGTGTGTATTCATCTGTTCGTCTTGACTTCCTCCTCTACTGGGCATAGTACAAATGGGCGACATGACTATAGGACGGAGCGATCCTATGCATACACTGCCCCACGCAAGAAGATCCCTGACTCGGGCGGGCGGGCGGTCAAGTTCGTGGCCATCTCTTCGCTCAACCTTCCTCTGCGTCTCGGAGTTTCAAACCCCTACTCCTGCTCATGTACCTCCGCAGGCTGGATCCCTTACATATATTCCCTCATCTCAATTCAATCTTGATGAAGACCTGCCTCGATCGATAGGCCGTATCTCCTTTGGTGACGAGACCATGAACCGTCTATCGTGCTGAATGGGCAAACCCTTGCCGTAAGTCCAGCATTACGACGATCCCCCGGCAACTCCACCTAACACCCCTTCGCAGCACTTCCAAAGAGCCTTCATGCTATCCCGACAACTCTCCTCCATCTCCTTGTCTGACAAGCCTGTCCGGGATGCCGAGTCCACGCACCGCGTGTATGTCTCGATCTGGGATTGACAGGTCGTCTTCAGGGATGACAGGTTCGGGATACTATGTCGAGAACAGAAGTTCAGTAGACTTGAGCCTCAGTAGCTGGCTGGCAACTTGGGAAATCGGCGAGTCGAGGGCTTACGTCTCGTTCGCACACTGCGTGACAGCTTGAGATTGATCTCTACAGATGTCCGCCCAGTTCCCATCCTGATTCTTCATCACGCACTGCCAAACAAATAGAGACCAGCTTTAGATACAGTTGTAGGTTGTTCTTGTCGAGCTTACTTCTTGATAAGCTTGCATCTGTTGTGCGCATTCTGTGGATAGGTTCAAGTTGACAATCCGTCGGCATGATCCCGTGCAATCCGGTTCGAGAGAACCTACTCGAAGCGACCAGGTTGTACGCGATATCCATTGTTGCTTGATTCAATGTGATCCCTAATTCTCTATTCTCTAAGCTATCTCTCTAGTCGGAATTGATGTAGCATCGATTCTGATCAAAGGATCAAGGACGGTTCTGTGAAATCTAATTCTGTACAAACGTCGATGTTGGACGCTCAGGGTCCGACTTTTTGCTTCCGCGATCTCTCGTAAAGTGACGCAAGCAGATCGAGAGACTAGCGATCCGGGGAAGTCTCGGTCGGTCTTCGTGTCTTTCGGTCCGAGAAGACCGTTGCTTTTTCGAGAGAGGACTTGACAATTGACAACATGTTGCAATCTTTCGATCTCGACTTCCTGTCACACCAAAGGATAATGGCTGTACTTTCAGGTTACTGATAGTCATCCAGGATCACACAAATTCATGATAGGACGTTCCGGATCTGGACCCTGATCGACGGCGACACGAACGATCTTCGACCCCTGCCTTTCGACTGTTTCGATCCTTTGTTTCTCTGCTCCTGACGACAATTGCCGCTGCTTACTTGCCCAGGAATCTTGTTATAAGTAGGACAAAGGCGAACTCCAAGTGGTAGAATCAGTACCGGCGGTAGGCTGGTCATATATGGACAAGTCGTTACACATTACGAGACCGTCGATCTGCATCGATCCGTAAAGCGACCAGATATCTTCAGGATCGGCAACCGGGTCATTCCCAGCAGCGATAGCAGAAGACATGACGACCACTATCAAAGATGGGTCTATACGTCCCAGAAATAGGCACGACCAGCCAGTCAAGATGGCACAATTTGAAAGAAGTGTGGAGAACAGGAAGATCTTGCTGGGCATCCTCATTCCCTTCGGACTCGCCATCCGGATCTTGTTACTCGCCCTGAACAAGGACAACAGGGGGTGGCCTGATGAAGGAGCCTTGGATACTACGATTTGGGGATGGGTCAACTTGGGTCTCATGGCGAGTCGTTTGCGGCCGGGCTGTCCGTCCCAAGTGCAAGATACTAAATATCATAAGCTTGATCTCGCAGTCTGTCACCACCCTGATCTATGTCCTTCATCTTTTTCCATGGTCGTACGATCACCCCACTTATCAGCGACATTCATATATCACGGTCTCTCTCTTTTACACTGTCACTCTTTCAGTCATCACCTACGTCTTGCCCAGCTTGCTCTATATCCTTACATACCGTCACAGACTTCCGGTTCGACCCGATACCTGGGAATCCGATCCCGTCTTCAATGGACTTCGTCTCATGGAAGTTCTCTCGGTCCTGCTCGCCTTTGTGACGATCGGAAGTACCAGGAGAGGACCTGAGCTCTTCTACGAGGCTCAAGAGCTTACGATCGGCTACGGGTGGTCGATGGAGGCGGCCAGGCCAGAGGACAAGCCTGTGAAGAAGATTCCGGGGCGTTTCTCCAAGCTGGTCGCGGCGAAGACTCGGCGAGGAAAGAAGTACCAGCAGCTTGACTCGGAAGCTCCAGCGGATTCTGATAGAGAGGTCGACGAAGACGCCGACGGGGATATCCAGGAAGATGCTCCGCTTCTCGGATCGTCAGCTACCTCCCCTACTGCTTATTCACCTGCATCCCCGCGCTCTGTCGACGAAGCCGATAGTGCCATTGAACGGCCACCCAACGTTCTCGACTACTACCAATGTAGTATCTTTGGGCTGCTCTTCATCGGGTACATCTGGCCCATCGCTTCACTCGCAGCCAGGCGACCTGAACTACGTCCCGAAGATTTGCCTCATCTTCCCGAAGCCCTTCGCTCGGAGAACGTCGAGTTGCCCGGGTCGAGGGAGCGCTTCGTTCTTACGCCAGAGGAGTTGAAAGAGAAGGAGTGGAATGACAAGCAGGGCTCCTCTGAGCTCATTTCAGGCCTGGCACAGAAGTGGACGCCTTGGACCTTGCTCGTCGAGGTCTGCCGAGGCCAGGGATGGTTGATCATCAGCTGTAGGTCGGGACGTTTCTAACGACGTGTGCGACAGGTCTCTGATTTGGTGTCGCTACTCGTCTCATCAGCCATTATATTCGAATGGATCTCCAATGCGACCACCTTCATACCGCAATATTGTATGCATGAGATTACGCAATCGTTCGAGAAGCCTAATCGTCAGGCCGACATGACGTACGCCTATCTTATGGCCTTTGGGTTGTTCTTCGGGACTTTCATGAGCAGTGAGTACAGGTTGTGATAGCAACAGCGTTTGCGATCTAATCCGCTTCGGCCACCACAGACTTGCTAAGCAGCTTCACACGGTGAGTGAGAACTTGCCTAGAGACCACGTGCGACCTCTAGCTCATGTTTCGGTTTCAGCATTCGAGAAAACTTCGTAAACCACAAAGCGATCAGGGTGAACTTGCGAACGATGGTGGGTCGATGATAGCAGCAGTCTAGTTTAGGCAGCTATGCTTACCCTCTTTTCCCCTTAGCTCTTCGCAAAAATCCTTTGTATCACGGACGACCAGTCTCCTGACGCTACGGGAACGGGAAGAGCCCAGGTCCGTTCCATCTATTCGTCTGGCTCATAACTGAGATGCTGATAATCAGAATGGGCCACCAGATCTTGAACCTGATGAACGTCGACGTGGGCGTAATCGCATCCCTAGCCACTCGAATTCTAGGCCTTAGCGAAGCTGCCGTGAAGCGTGAGTATTACCAGTATCCATCTGCGTTTCGACGACCTGAACTCACATCCTGCGCCTGTCAGTCGCGCTCTCTGGAGGATTCCTGTACTCATTGTTCAGTTGGTCCGCATTCGTCGCGATGGCTACTATTCCTCTCATGGCTCCTCTGAGCGGACTTGTCGCAAGACTTACGTTCAGTAAGCGGCTTGGGATCGCGAAGGATGCGTCTTTTTGCTCAAGCATGTTGTGCTTTGACCTATCATAGAGTGCGATCAAGATCTGGCGAAAGCCAGAGATGCGCGAATCGGCGCGATGAGGGAGATGTTGATTAGTGTCAAGGTGATCAAGGTGAGTACCGGGCGGTCTTGCTGGAATCAAGGCGCTGATGATTCGCGATGGCGATAGCTCAATGCTTGGGAAGGTGAGCTGAACATTCGCCCAAGACCCGAATCAGCGTCGGCCTGGATGCTGATCAGACGATCGATTAGAACACCACCTGCGTCGCATTTCGGAGCTCAGAGCAAAGGAGGTGCGCTTGCAAAGGTGGCGATATACCATTGGCACCAGCTTCAATGTGATTGCTCTCTTCACGCCCTTGCTGGCCTTGTGAGTCTCGGGTTGGCCTTTCAGTCGATTGAAATCTCTCCTGACTATGTCCATTCTTTCCTGACTTGGTCCGCAGGTTCGCCATGTTTACGTCGTATACCAAGCTACAAGGTCGGGTACTTACCCCTTCATCCGCTTTCGTCGCTTCGACCGTCTTCTCGTCTGTTCAAGGTGAGCTCCTTTGCTAAAGTACGCCCGGTTTGCAACATAGCTGAACCCTCGCGCCTGTCAATGCAGAGAGCTTGAGCAAGATACCCGAGGTCATACAAAAGCTACTGATGGCATTAGTGTCCCTGCGTCGACTCTGCAAATTCCTCAACTCCGATGAGGTCGAGAACAACAACATTCAAGCTGGCAATCATATCGCATTGGACAACGCAACAGTGACCTGGCCCGCGCGGGATCTGCAAGTTGGAGAGGTGCAACATCGTCAGCCGTTCACATTGACCAACATGTCCCTACGCATCCCGCCTGAAGCCAAGTTCGTGCTCGTATGTGGCCAAACTGGTGCCGGCAAGGTTCGTGTCCATCCCATCGCAATCCTCTCGGACTCCAACTGACCCTTTCCCCGCCAGACCCTGTTCCTTCTGAGTCTTTTGGGCGAAGCTAAGCTTCTTGGGGGAACGATTACGGCGCCCAAGTCGAGGTATGGGTCGATCCCGCTGTCCGACGAAATCAGCCAGTACGAAATGTCCGACCAAGAGGAATGGATCGAGGAGGATACTATTGCCTACGCCGGTGAGTACCGCCGCTTTGTGACCTATCGAACAATGAATCTACTTTACTCATGCGACGTTACCCGCCCGCCACAGCCCAAATCCCATACATAACGCATGGCACGCTCACAGATATGATCCTGTTCGGACTGCCATATGTACCCTCACGTTACGAATCGGTCGTCCATCAGTGCGGGCTCGCCTCGGACTTTGCAATGTTCCTAAACGGCGACCAAGAGGAAATAGGAGCCAGCGGTGTCACCCTCAGCGGAGGGCAGCGAGCTCGACTGAGTCTAGCGGTAAGCTGCGTCTCTCGTTAGGTCGGAGCGTTTATTGACTGGTCCTCAAGTAGCGCGCCGTCTATAGTCGGGCAGGTACCATATTGATCGATGATGTGTTGTCTTCCCTGGACGCCACAACCTCGCAATACGTGTACGCCAACTGTTTACGAGGTGATTTGGTCCGGAACCGTCGGATCATCATGGTTTCACACAACGTTTCGCTACTCCTGCCGGCGAGTGATCTGGTCATTCAATTGAAAGATGGGAGAATCGCAAGGTCTGGGACGCCGAAGGAGCTACGCGAAGTCTTATTGCAAGAAGAGGATCATACTATCACGGAGGAATTCAACTCGTTATTACTCCCTTCGCAAGAAGACAAGCCCAGATCGCTCGTCACAACCACCTTGTCAAGGCGTATCTACGAGGAAGAACACCAGGAGAAAGGAAACGTACGACTATCGCACTACCGTTTTGTCATCAAGAATGTCGGAGGCATAGGCTACTGGCTCGGCTTGCTTCTCTTGATCTCCATACCCGAATGTCTGCGGGTCGTTATGCGATTCGTGATGAGGCACTGGACATCGGAGCCGAACCGGAACGATTATTGGATACGAGTTTGGGCGGGTATAGCGGGGCTGCAGGTCCTCACATCGTCTGCCATGTGGTTTTGGCTTTACGGCAACAAGCGGGGAGGCTTTACCCAAAGAGGGGCTGCGAAGATGCACAACGCCATGGTGGACAGCATTCTGAATGCACCGCTGCGGTACTTTGACCGGACGCCGGAAGGTATGTAGGATGACTCGCGCGGGAACTAAGCGCTCAGATCTGATGCTGCGAACCATCAGGCCGTCTCTTGAACAGGTTTAGGTGAGAGCCCTCGACTCGGTTGTAGCTCGTTGTCTCGCGCTTATTCGCTGTCGGTTGCCGTCACCGCAGTAACGACATCAATAAGGCAGACGGAAATCTCCCTGATGGGTTTGGTAGAACGATCATGGAGAGCCTTACCGTGGCTGTCAATATTGCGATTCTAGGAATCAGCTTACCAGTAAGTGGTCGCTCGTGACTCGCAGCGATTTCTTAGCTCAGACTATGTCTTCAGCCGGTAGCCCTGGCTTGCGTTCTGGCCGCGTACCCCTTCGATCTACTTAGGAAATTGTAAGTCGTAGCGATATTCTTCTGGTTACTCGAGCTGATGCAGCTTCATCCAGCTTTGGGCGCATGAGGGCAAGCTTGGCTCGACTCGACGCTGTTCTGGCGAGTCCCATCAGCGGGCTGACTTACGAGGCCATCGGTAAGCAATCACATGTCGAAGCGGACGAGCCCGTTTGTTTACCCCCGCCTGCATCCAGGATCGATCGTCACCGTGAGAGCCTTTGGATCGTCGCGTTTCTTGTGTCAGCTGTTCGCTACATTCGAGGATATCAGTAATAGGATGTCCATGGCTTCCTGGGCGGCAAGTACCGTCACGATACGGAAAGCAAGAAACTTGATCTGACGTCGTTGTCGCATGTTACAGATTTGGCTAGCGTTCTCTAGCGCCATGTTGACGTTCACGTCCTTGATCCTCGGCGCATCTGGATTCTTCCTACTTGGCTCCAATCTCTCAGCACCCGCAGCTGGATTCGTCCTCACGTTCGCGCTGGATCTCAGTGGGCAGATTTTCTGGCTGTTGGATCGCATTGTCAATTTCGAGGAGCAGATGGTATCCGTCGAGCGTATTGCCGAGAGTAAGCTATTTTCTATCATACCGCACGAGAACGGTACCGCTGACATCGTTGTTTGGCGGCAGTCACCAACATTCCACCTGAAGCGCAAGGCGAAGAAGATTTCTCCGTACCTGAAGACTGGCCGCATGCAGGTGAAATCGTCTGCGAGCAGCTGGCCGTGCGATACGCCAGTGATCTGCCGCTGGTGCTCCAGGGCGTTTCGTTTGCCGCCAAAGTGAGTCCCTCCGCTTGTGCACGTTCATTACCAGACGAATTGACCGATACGCTTGCAGCCCGGAGAACGAGTCTGCATTGTTGGGCGGACAGGTGGTGGTAAGTCTGATCTAGCTCACGGGGCTTCGCGCACTGATCAGGCATCTCTTCCCAGGCAAGTCGACGATGGCCCTGTCGCTCCTGCGCGACCTCAGCGCGTCTTCAGGCCGCATCACCATTGATGGCATCGGTCAGTCTTACAGCTGGATTTACAACAGGTCGTGACTGATACCGCTCGAAGCGTAGACATCGCTCAAGTACCGCTTCACGTTCTGCGTTCCAAGCTATCCTACATTCCACAGGAAAGTCTTCTCACCTCGGGTACTCTCCGTGACGCGCTGGACATCACGGGCGAAAAGGACGACCACGAGCTCTACGCGGCCATGAAACAGGTTCACCTGGATATCGGACCGACGTCGCCTTTCTCTAGTCTGGACGCCTTGGTTTCTGCAGGTGAGTCCTCGCTGCTGCCTAACTATCTCGAGGGCGAAAAGCTGACATCCTAATTCTGTCCGTCTCCATCGACAGGGTACGTGTACTGTATTGAACGGCTTGAAACCGGACCTTGCTAATGATTTGCGCCCATCATACGCACAGGGGAATGAATTTTAGCTTGGGAGAGCGTCAGCTTCTTGTTCTAGCGAGGGCACTTTTGAAATCTGCCAAGGTGATCATTATGGACGAAGCCACGTCTTCTGTGGACTACGAAACGGATTCCAAGGTCACTACCGCGATCAAGGAGATGAAGGGGGTCACCGTGATCACTATCGCTCATAGGTGAGCAAACTTTGTAGCACGTGGGGAGCTGCCGTTTTTGCTAAGCCTTATCCCATATTCGATAAACTTAAAGGTTGAGAACGAGTGAGTCATCAGTACAGCATCGTTGGGGTTCATCAGCTGACTTCATCTCTCGAATACAGTCATCGATTATGATCGAGTGCTGGTTCTGAAGAAGGGTATGATCGTCGAGAACGATTCGCCTTCTACGTTGATCACCAGAGATGGTTCCGAGTTCAAGAGACTCTGCATGGCCGATGGACCTATCGAGTACCAGCAACTGTTGGCCATGGCGAGATCTACCAAGAACTGATTCGGGAGCTCGTCTGATTGTCGCATCTCTAACAAGAATCAGGATTGTATTTCCCCATACCCCGATCCCAAACCCATGATCATGTTGCGTGACGCGAGTGGAATGGAACTGCCGTCATAGGTCACCGAGGCATATTGTTCCTGCTATGAGCTTTAGGTTTCAGTAAGCTTACTCCCGACTTGCGCAGATGAAACGCTTTGGCAATGGTACGAGACGATCTATTTCTGATGTCCGCGAACAAGTGGATGTCCGCCTTGTCGGATCAGACCGATATCAGCAGTAGACGTCTGTCTACAAAACGTTTCGATCGACCCAGTTCGAAGATGTTCTACACTGTCATTTACTGGCAGCTGCTCAACTTTTAGTTCCATTTCGATCAGCATCTAGGAAACCCCATGACGGACAACAGTCAGCAATCTCGCGAGACACCTGAAGCGATGTCCCCGGACGAAATCGATGGGGTAACCCTCAAATGTATGACTCTCATTCGCGAAGACATGGGCCTGCGGAGGGCCGGCGCGAAAGAACAATTACCAAGGTCGCAAGTCTGCTACCGTGAACTAGACGTAGACGCGTTAACGGAGACTGTTTTGAGCACATACCAGTTGAGGGCCATCGACCCGGACAGACATTACCACAAAAGCGAGACCAAGCGCATCTGGACCAGGTTATTGACGAACATCATCCGGGCTATATCCGACGCCCAATGCCTTTTAGCTTACGACAAGCTCGATGCTACGGGATTTTGGAAGGAAGTGAAACCAACACCGATGGTCTTACTGGTAAGCTAACAGGAAAGGGGCGACTAGCAGAACACAAGTATCTGACGGACATCATATTTTCGCTCACATCTCGAACTCGCTATACAGAGCTTGCAACGTTTGACGAGGTGTCCCCTATTCGTGGGTCCAGGCGACAATCTCGGAGCGATGGTATCGCCATCTGCAAGCGGGAGGCAGCACCTATGCAATCAGGCGGATTGCAACAGGTACATCGAAAGGGTTCGCGCCGCTGATCTCAGAAAGCACAAAGGCAAGAAAGCTGGAGACTCGACGTTCACCTCAGACGAAGTAGATGAAGCAGAAGAGCTTGGCCCGCACGAGACTTCTTCCCAGGCTGGAAGCCCAGACCAAACGGAAAGCGCAACCACACGCGGCGAACTCACCGAGGGGTCCTCAACCCTAACCGACCGCGATGATTCAGGTGGAAAGAAAACTACAAACCATGTTGAGCCAGACTTTGGTCTGCTTTGGGAGGACATGAGTACCCCACATTATTACGGGTGCCCGCGATGTGCAGTTACGTTTGAAGCGAAGAGGTGGTGTGGTTCGCCCTACAAAGACAGTAGTAACAACGTGAGTTTTGACGCAAATTCGAAATCGGGCAGGTCGTCTCAATCCTCCATTCCCATTTCATCTTAGAGGCACATGCAGGCTTGCACATACTGCCGTATTGGCCAAGCGGCAGACGGATGTCTCTTTGGTTTAGCCGTTCATGGTCTCAAATTCCGGATTTATCAGTACACGGGACGCGATGAGCTCACAGCGTGGGTGCCGGATTGCAAGAAAGCGAGCGAGCTCCTGTACAGAGACAGCTTTGAAACGTTCCACTCGGATGAATACATGTTCACGATTGCTGAAGACATTCGATAGTGGGTCTAACCTCGAGTCCGAAACGCTTGTTCAGCAGATTTTTCAATAACGTCCGGTCCCGCAGTCCCGAGGACAGCAATGTTGGACTCTCCAACCTCATTCGCCTCTTGATCAGCATTACTGTCGGTTTGTCAAACAGGAACTCTCGGCCCCTAGGTTTAGGAGGCTCATATTCAGTCGACCTGAGCCTGGACAAAGTTCACCCTATCAAGATATCCGGGGTTACCATCGAAGCGGTCACCCCTCGATCGGCGGTACGAGGACGGCCGGTTGACACGGGTTCCGAGCGAGATCGCTTGAGCGGAGGTGTTAGTGCCGGCAAACGCGAAATGACTCGGGAAGAATTACATTCGGGGCCGCCAGGAAATGAAGTCACTTGGCGAGCATTGGAGGAGCAGGTTGCTTATTATGCAGACCACGGCGCGACAGATCAAGACGAGAAAGAGAGCGTCAATGCCCGCCGCGTTCAATCTTGGCTGGGATCTGTCGACCTCGGTACAAGACCGACAGACCGGACAGATTGATCTTGTTGTTTTACCTAACGTTCTCCTCCTATATAGAGTGCCGGGTTGCACAACGTGGAGTCACGCACGAAAGCGGCCTCGTCACTTGTTCTGTCCAATTTATATATGATATATTTCCTTTCTCTCCTTCCACTTTTGCTGCCACATCCACTCGTCTCCGTCTCGATGCGATACCCTCAACTCGTCTTCCAATCCTTTGCCAGCAGTAACGACAGTACCACCAGCGAGGCCGGAAGTAAAGGGAAAGGGTAACTCCACGCTACGTTTGCGAGAAAGATGGGACGATCTAGTGGTGGCCGTTCTTGTGGTGCTCTGTTACGCGGAAAGTAACGTGTTCATCAGCGTTCGATCGTCCTTGAGATGGTTTGGCATTTTGTGGTAAATGAGAAACTCACTCAAGTGCACTGTAGATTTCAAGTTGTGATCGCGCGAGAGGAAAAGCAAAGCATGAAAAAGTCACAATCAGCTTTCCGTCATCAGGTGGCAGGCCAGTGCTCGCCAGACCCGACGCAGATTCTCGACGGAATCGTGCCCAAGGCGATAGTCGCAACGAAAAAGAATAAGGACGAGCACTCACTCTGGTAGTCGATCTGAGGAAGTAGAGCATAGAACAGAGACGGTCGGTCAGCATGCGCGATCTCGTCAGGTCAAGATGCATCGATCGCGGGGGCACGAGGTGCAGATGGTGACAAGATGCTAGACGTACGGTGTAGCCGATTCCGAAGAGGGCGAGGATGGTGGCCAAGACGGGAGCGCTGTTTTTCGGTTGGGCGACCGATGCGTGGTTCAAGTGAGATGCCGAGGTTGCGGCCCCAGACAGATGCGGCAGGTTGTATGGCGAGGTATAGGGCAACGAGGTCGTCGCGAGGGAACGATGAATAGGAAGAGCAGAATCATAGTGGGTCAGCTTTTCGAATCTTTGAATAGTCTCCGCCTTCCTCGGTTTGGATGTAGCGAGAGGTCCTCGGAAGGAGAGGGATCGTCTCGAGGATGTCTTTCTCGCCGAAGGTTTTCCATTGTGTTACTAGGCTGCGGATGAGACAGACTCCCATGGTCGATTATGCACGCAGTAGAATGGGGGGAGGTATCCTGATCGCCAGTACCCGGCACCTCGGTATCCGCCGTGGTTCTCTGCGTATGATTTTTCAAGCCTGATTTTCAGTCTGGTTCTTCCTAGTCCTCCATCCCGCTCTTCGTCCATCCAGAAAGACTTTCCTTCCATCCTAAAACCCCCTATCCCCTCTCCGACCCATGTAGTCCACAAGCACTCTAAACGCTTCGAGACTCACCCGCTAGCGTTCTTGCCCTCAAAGTATCTGCCCCTCAATCCGCCGGCCTTGTGCTCCGAGGGTCCCTTGGGGAGGGACTTGTAGAAAGCGACGACGTTCTCGGTTCGGGCGGAGGAAGCTCCGGAGGACTGGGTCGGGGTGCGAGTCGATTCGTTAAGCGCAGGTGGTTGACAAGCGGTTGAGAGTGTGGATAACGGCCGTGGAAAGAGAACACAGGGGGGAAATAAGTAGCATGATCAGCTTTTCTCGTTCTCCATCCGTCTTTCCGTAGCATATCCCTGCTGCAACCCCGACACTCACGACCGACGAAGGGGTAGCGATCTTGGGGGGGATCAATCCCTGGAGAGCTCGGGCGACGGAGGTGGGACGCATATTGACGAGTCTGAGAAGAGATGTTGTCTTTTGGGGGTATATATATCTATGAGAGGGTGACGATCCGAGGTGAATACCAATGTAATCAAGTCGTCGGAGATCCGTTGTATCGAGGTCGTCGACGTGCCTCCTTGCCCGTTTTCGGCGGGCTTATTGGTTGCAGCGATTGATGTGACGTGTAATAATTGGTGACTCTTCAAATTAGTTGATAAGCACACCTCATCGCCTTATCACCCCCAACCCGAATGCTAACGACTACGTAGTAGCAGTTGGTATGACCTCTCTAAGCTCGTCATAACCTTTCACGTACCCCCCCCTTCTTTTACGGAAACAAGAATCCAAAACTTATACCAAAAAACGATGTCTGACGTTCGAGCTCCTTCCGCTGACGAGCCCCAGGCTAAAAAGGTCAAGACCACCCACGAGTCGGGCAGTGAGTTGCAGAGTCTTTTGCAGTTTCTGCAGAGCGAGCGGGTGGTATGAAGATGAGAGGACGGCAAGCTGATTGTGATTATTGTTGTCTTGTTCTGTTCTGCTATGGGGGATTATCGTTGATCGGGGAGTTTAGAGAAAGTCTGTCTGATGTAAGTCGACCCGGATCTTGCTCTTCTAGTTGGCATTCCGCACTCGAATTCGACTCATTCAATCTTCGTCTTATAGCGTCCACGACGGATGGGGTCTCTCCAGCAACGAAAAGGGCAACGCCGTCTTTCACGGAGAGACGACCCACATGGACCACATCCGGGACACCCACAACCACGTAGAGCTCGAAGCTCACGGTCTGGCCGTCGGGTTGAAGGACGGGTTGATGGGCAACTCGGAGGTCGGGCATTTGAACATCGGCGCCGGGAGGATCGTTTGGCAGGATATCGTCAAGATCGATCAGAGTGGGTCGTCCGTGCGGGTCATGTTGACCGTATGAAATGCAGAGGGCTAATGCCTTGTGGCTTCTCTTTCCGGACGATTTCGCAGCGATCAAGAAGGACGAGTTCAAGGACACTCCCAACATCGTGGCCGCTATGAAGCACGCCAAGGAGAACAACGGGAGGTTGCACTTGATGGGTCTCGTATGTGCCTCGCGTTCTACATACATTGCTGCATCGCCAAATCTCATCGATCCGAGCTGATCCGAATCATTGGCACAATTTCGGTCGGCAGGTCTCTGACGGCGGTGTCCACGCACACATTCTCCACCTGTTCGAGCTCCTCAAGGTCGCCAAGTCTTACGAGATCCCCCACGTCTACGTTCACTTTTTCGGTGACGGTCGGGACACTTCGCCCAAGTCCGCCGCTGGGTACTTGAAGCAGTTGCTCGACTTTATCAAGGAGAACGGGGTTGGAGAGGTCGCGACCATCGTCGGGAGGTACTATGCTATGGACAGGGATAAGCGATGGGAGAGGGTCAAGATCGCCGTCGACGGGTTGGTCAAGGGAGAGGGAGAAAAGTCGGACGACCCGCTGGCGACTGTCAACCAGCGCTACGAGGCTGGCGAGACGGACGAGTTCCTCAAGCCCATCATTTGCGGTTCGCCGGAGTCCCGTGTCCAAAAGGGCGACACGGTCTTCACCTTCAACTACCGTTCCGACCGAGTCAGGGAGATCGTTACCGTCCTCGGTATGCCCGACAAGCCCATGGACGTCGAGGTTCCCGAGGACCTGCACATCACCACGATGACCAGGTACAACGCCGAGTTTCCGTTCGCGATCGCTTTCCCGCCGATGAGCATGGACGACGTGTTGGCCGAGTGGTTGGGCAAGCAGGGAGTCAAGCAGTGTCACATTGCCGGTGAGTTCGAGGGTGTTCGTCGTCGTCCTTGACACAGAGCACATTGCTAAAACCTTGTGCGCGACGACATGGTAGAAACCGAAAAGTACGCCCACGTCACCTTTTTCTTCAACGGAGGTGTGGAGAAGCAATTCCCGGGCGAAGAGCGTGTCATGATCCCGTCCCCCAAGGTGGCGACCTACGACAAGCAACCCGAGATGAACGCCCAGGGTGTAGCCGACTCGGTCGCCGAGACGGTCAAGTCGGGCAAGTACGAATTCGTCATGTGCAACTTTGCGCCGCCCGACATGGTCGGACATACCGGGGATTTCGAGGCTGCCGTCAAGGCGATCACGGCTACGGACAAGGCGGTCAGGACGATCTACGATGCGTGCATGGAGGCTGGGTACGAGATTGCCATCACCGCCGATCACGGCAACGCCGAGCAGGTGAGCCCGCGAACGTTCTCGCGCAGTATCTTTTCGCTTGCTAACGTTTGAATTTGGTTCGATTTGATCTCGTTGTGATGATGTGTTCGCCCCGACGCAGATGCTCGACCCCGAGACTGGCAACCCGCACACGGCGCACACGACCAACCCGGTCCCCTTCATCACCTCGTTCCCGCTGAAACAAGAGGGAGGGTGTCTCGCCGATGTCGCCCCGACTGTCTTGGCCGTTATGGTGGGTTTTCGCGTCAACTTGATCTCTTACTTTCAATTTCAAGAGACTGACGTACATCGTTGTCATCGCCGGAAATCGCAGGGTTTGCCTCAACCCGAGGCCATGACCGGGAAGAGCTTGTTGGCTTGAGCTCGATCTTAGGGCTGGTGTTGTATGCGAAAAAGACCAAGGCTAGAGGCCGGCAAAAAAGGTGAAGAAGGTGCTGGACTGGGTATGATTGAATTATACGAAATACATATAGATGGTCTTGCACCTCTCCTCTCCTGTCTTTCCTTGCATAAGCGTCTTGACTCTGCGTTATATCCCAGACGGTGCTATTCGACCTCGAGTTCTACTAAACACGCCGTCTCTTGTCATCGCCACCCTGCCCGCGCATCTCTTTCCGTTCCCCGACCCGACCGAGGAAATCTTGTCGTTCGAGGTACCCGCCCGTTCGTCGATTGGCCTCTAATTCGGTGGAGAGCGTCGGGGTGGAGGTGGTCAGGGAGTTCCAGTCTAGTTGACTCTGCGTGGAGTGACCGGGTAACACAAAGCAAACAAGATTATGATCAGCTCGTGCGCAAAGAGTCGGTGCAAGCGCACACGAAAGCCAAAGCAACCCAACCCCGCGACGCACCTTTTCAAACGTCGTCATCTTCCTCGCTACCGAAGCTTGACGGACGAGCTCGGCGTTCATGCTCTCTAGCGATTGACGTGGTTTGCGGCGACGAGGTGGGGGGTTGCGGGGGAGAGGTTTCGAATTGGGGTCAGAGGTGGGTGTGGGTGTCGTACGGCTGGACGTATCGGTTCTTGTGGTCGTGCTTGAAGGGGTGGTTGTGGTTGTGGTCGTAGTCGTGGCCGGGTCAATGGGCGCGGCTTGTGGTGATGGTATTGTCGAAGAGGGCGGAGACGTCGATGAAGTTTTGGATAGTATATCCGGGTTCGGCTCTGTTTTCGTTCCAGGCTGATCTTGTAGTTTAGAGGAAGGGGGAGGGGACGAGGTGTACTTTTTGACGTCCGGATGGTCGGCTGGTAGACGGACCGTCTCACTGCAATTCCCAAAATTTAGCTCAGACGACCTGACAAGATGTATTCGCGAAGCAGACAGAACTTACTAGATAATCTCTCCAGCGAAATTCCTCGGTCTTCTCACCTCTACCATGCGAACCGTCTCTCCCTTCTCTTGCTTGTCGTCCACCATCGAAGCAGAAGAAGAGGAAGTGCCCATCCGTTCCCTCTTGGCTTCTTCCTCCACGCGCATCAGCGCCGCCCATTCTTCATCAGCTTTCCGTCTCCTCTCCACCTTCTGCTTCTCTTCTTCGATCTTTCTGTCCTTTTCAGTCAGTTCTGCTCGCTCAGGGTTGTCGAAGGAGACATGGACCTCGGCTTTTCTGCGTTTACTAGCTCGAGCACCGGTGGTCTCTTCGGGCAGGGCATAGTCGGCGTCGGAAGCGTCATCGGACGAGTCGTTGGGGTCGATCGAATCGAGCAGGTTCTGAGGACGTTTGTTGGCCATCTTGTCGGGGGTTGGCGGGGACGTTCATGAGGTACCTACTGGAACACTATAGGTTGTACATTAGTATTGTACTGGTTTCGAAGTTAAAAGTCGAGATACTACTGTATGCTCAACATGCCTTGTCCTGAGACTCGTCGCTCACCCAACTCCATCCCTAACCGGGTTCGACCGAACTCCTGCTTTGCTTGTTCTTGACCATTCATCGGCATGTCAACTCGAATCCTGTTCAGGTCTTACTGTCAATCACAGCCTACTCGTGATTGTTTCTTGAACCTCTTGGAAGAAAATCGTATCTGCTCGTTTCCCGGGTCGCCAGACCACGCAAAGATGCAGGACCTCAAACGGAAATCGGACAAGGCCGAACTCGACAACCATCATAATGGCAATGATCCGATGGTCGGGCTGGACGGGGCCGGTCGGAAAGCTTGGTTATTGAACGAGATGAGGTTGATGCAGGATCATTATAAGGTTGGTCGAGCTGCTTACCTAGGTCGCAAATCGAGAGATGATCGCATAGGGGGTCTACTCAGGAAGCTGAACGATGATGGTTTTCTTTAGAAAGCATGCGTTCGGCGAGCCAAGATCATGCAGTACCACGCTGATATTCTCGAAAGGTGGTTATCGATTGCCTCAACCATCTTCTCAGGCCTGCTTGACTCATGAGACGTGATACTTACTTCTTCTTTGCCTGCTTTGGCTTTGTTGACTTGCGCAGGAACCTACATCAAGTCCGCCCGCGTGCTCCTACATATATGATCCTCGGCTACCAGAGCGCTTGCCGGGAATGGGATCGGTCGAGAAGGAACGTAGCTGCTTATGCCGTGAGCATCCATCTCTACCCTTTGCAATGTCTACTATACTTCGCGCTCGTTGATACGTTGCAGCCGAGCTGATCTTTGCATGTTTTTCTTTTTCGTTTCGGCTCTGGTCTGGCGCGGAGCAGAATCGAGCAGCGGAAGTCTATGTGGAACCGACAAGAGAAGCTTCTCCGCCTACCGTGGTGACAAACCCAGTCGAGATGAAACCCGAGTCGCAGGGACCGGGGACGTCGGGACCCATAGCTGTGGATAAGGACAAGGAAGTCGCCTCTACCTCGGCCTCCCAGCCGGCAGCGAAGCAGAGTTCGAATTCGAACCCGGAGCCGTCAGCTCTAATAACATCAGCCTCCAAACCCACACCCAATCCCGGCGTCGGATCCGAATCTGCGAATCCGACTGGTCTCCTCCCATCTATCGAGATTCTCCCTTCCCAGAACAACTCGACGTTCGCTCAAAATAACGGTATGAACGCTCCTCCGAATTCCTACTCTAACGGACAGAATATGGTTGCAAATCAGGCAACGCAATCGCAATCGCAAGCTGCATCTTCACAAATGGGCTTCGGTATGGGCATGGACCTCGATTCCTCTGAAGTGCCGGCCTTAGACGCTAGCGAGATGGCCCTGTTCGACTTTATCAATAGCGTAGCGAATTCTCCTACCGCTTATGATTCTGCACCGGCGATTGCGACGGGCACAATCAACGGAGGAGAGGCAGGTCCCGGTCAAAATGGGCCGGGTGGTCAATCGGGTCTGGGTTTGGGGATAGGGCTCGGGTTGGGATTGGGCGACGTTGGCAGTATGGGTATGCGAGAGCAGGCCGGATCGGGAGCGGGAGGAGGACTGGATTTCGGCTTGTTGGAAGCCGGGTTGCAGGAGGAGATCGCCCGGACTTCAGGCCCGGCTGGTCAGGATCAGGATCAGAATGGAGGGCAGGTGGGCGGGAATCAGGATCAAGGGGCCGCCGCTCCGAATGTGGGGGCTGCGCCATCTACCGATGCACCTCCATCATCGGGTCAACCAACTCAACCACAGCCAAACAACGATCAAACTCAGGTTCAGGCCCAACCTCAAGCTCAGAACGACGTCCAACCCATTGGAGGCGATGCGTTATCCTTGGAAGCCGGCACGGGATTGGCAGAACTCGATCTGTTCAGCCAGTACCCGGACTTGTTCCCTATGTACGGGGGCAACGACCTCGATGACAACAACAACAACAGTAACACATACAACAACCATGGTAGTGGCAATAATGCCGATGGGAATAACGACAACAACGCCAACGGCCAGAACGGGGAGGGGGAGGGGGATACGGGGATCGAAGGGTTTGATCCGACGCAATTCGATTATTCGTCGTTGGGCGAGGATTTCTTCATGAACGGGATGCAGGGGATGGAAGGGATGTAGCGGGAACGTGACAGTTCTACATCGAGGAGGCTCGAGGATTGGAATGTAAGACGGCTGGTTTGTGGCGCAGGGTTCTTTCTCCGGTGTTATATGTTGGGGATAAGGTTTGAAATTGTACAGGAACACAAAGAGGTGGGGGTCTTCACTTGATCTACTATGACGAGGGTTTGTAAAATATTCTTGATGACTATACCATGGTTCTTTTCCTTTGTCCTTCTTTTTCTATCTGATTTTATCCTCTACATGTAGCTCTCGTCCAACTGGACTATATCAACAAATGACGCCTCCCGTATCCAACAACTCACAAGGTCCTATGCCAACTTGGCAGATATACCCTTCACCGTGAAGAAGCGATCCGCTATGCTGCTCGGCAACGTTGTCAGGACGCCAACCATAAGGTAGCAGCAATACACTGTTCTGAATGATCTCGTAAAGCTGGAAGCCTTATGGCCAGGCACTTACCTGTCTTGCCATCCCCCCGTGCGCCATCCCCCTGTGCGCCATCCCCCCCTACCAGCTCAAATAACGCGCTCATACAAGGGTACATCTTGACAAAGCCTTGATGAGTCCAGGCAACAATTGCTCCATCCAGCTGCCAATGAAGTGGATCAACCCTCAAGCGTTTGAAGAGGTTGTGGGCGTCATAGGTGACGAGTTGATTGCAATGTTGAGTGTAGGGGCGTTGACGAGGTGTTATAGGTATCGTTACTGAGCCGTCGTCAATCCACGAATCCACAAATCCACAAATCTACGAAATGAATCAGGATGACTCAACCTGCCCACTCATTATTGACAACTTCAATCGCTATATGCTGGCCAGCCTTGTGCGACATGTCAGCCCGACAGTTTCTGCTGCTACCTCGGCGAAAGTACCCTGGCACTCGAGGCTTACAGAGCAGGAGGCGGCTCATGCTGCACAGGTACAGGTCACGCTCAAACGAAACGCATGCTTCAGTAAATCGTTTAGTTGCATCCTCGCAAGGATCTTGATGACGAGTTACAGGTACATCCACGCTCAGACGGAACGGCAAGCCCAATATCCACTAACAACCTGTTCAACCTTCGCTGTTCCGTCCTCACGCGGAACTCACTGTACAGCGCCTAGCTGCTTATGACCTCAAGTCACTTTGGGGGTGCATTTGCGCAATCGCTCACCATTGCAGACAGGAGTCGTATCCGCGAGGAGTAAGCGGATCTATATCCCCCGGTGCATACATGGGAAAGTTGATGATGGCCATCCTGAATACAAAGAACAAGGATCAGTATACCTCCCCCATTGAAGCCTACTTGAAATCGTTGAGATATTTGAGCGATTTTGTACGAATGGAGCACGAAAACCACCGGGTCTCCCTTGAGGACCTACCTCAATGGGTCATTGTTTGTAGCCAGGGGAGAAGCGATTACTAGAGCTTTGGCCGACCTCAACAGAGGTGAATAACTACAGTTTACTGTCTTACGTTTGTGCTTGTCTTTACAATCTAAATCTCATTTTCATTCCTTACAGGTTGGGTGCCCTGGCCCTCTACAGTGTTTATGGCTACCATTGATTACTGCTTGATCGCGGAAACCGGATCCACCGAATTTCGTGTTTTCATCATATGCTCCCAGCCCAACTATGACGCTAGTAACTCTAAATTCAGCTTTTCAGGAGTCTATGAGTAGCCGCGGATAATGGGGTTGTCATCTCTGCTTGGGTGCAAGATTCCACCGGCTCTGCAGCGCAAAAGCAATCAATCATCGAGGTATGCAATTTTCGGCTTAGTCTCGGTTCTGATGGCTGAGTTGTAGTCCTTGCGATAGGCACAGCACGCCTTTGTGGCGGTAGTACACCGCGGCAACGAGCAAGGACACTCCATCTAAACTCAGAACAATATTGCCGATACCATCTGGGAGACTCTGTGCCACAACTTGAAGGCGTTGAACAACGATTAGTATACGGAAAGAGGCCATACTATAAGAAGACCAAATGACGGTGATTGATGAGATGTCCCATTCCTCACGGTTGCTCAAAACGCAATCTGAGAGACTTGCCTGAAGTGGCGTGATATCCACTTCAATTTGGCTGTAGCTCTAACGAGAGCCTTTTTCCCATCAATCCCCTCCTGGCTATCTTCCCAACCGTCTCTATTGCAGCCGTGGACATGGCTTGATCTTCTGGCAGAGCACCATCGACATGATCTTACAGGCAAGTTTGCCCTCGGAAGGAACACGCGCCCTAGCAATCCGAGTAGCTCTTCCTTTACGAGTCCTTGACGAGCAGGCCATCACTTTCGGACTCTTCACGAAACGGCAGTCTCAGATTTCCTCTGTATTTCACGATGCTGCCCACCAATCAACTTAACTTGCTTCTATCGCCTAGCTCTATGCGTTATCACGGTTCTATATACATGTTGACCGTGAAGACGGCAATGTCAGACGATCCAGGACTTCTATAAGCGATACACCAAAATCTACGCGATCGAGACCCCTTAGCTACGTTTGTACGCTAGATGTAACCTGCCAAAACATCTGCCTCGACGCTATAGTACCACCTCGGTATCGTTTCCGCCTGTCGTGCCCACCACGTCCATCTTGGCATCAATGGACTTCTCCACCTCTTCCAACGCGACTTGTAGGGTGGCTAGTATCGGGGCGGCGATAGCGCTTGAGGTTGACGGTGACGATGACGAATTGACAGACTGCCTTTTCAGACGGCGAGCCAAGGAAATGGGACTTGAGCGGCTGCAACGAATCGATACGAAAAGGCCAATCAATAACGTCTATCGGGCTAAACTACTAGGGCGGCGGGCATCGAAACGAAAGCGGGACTCACAACTGCGTCCAGATCAATCCTAATGCAAACACCCACATCAAGTTGCCTCTCTCTGTCCAGCTATTTGTGCCGAGGGTCATGAGATGGGCACGCCAGCGATATACGATTGCTCCCAATGTGATTGACTTGATGAGACCTGTCTGGAAAGCGGCAAAGTGCAGGATCTTGGAGACGGTTTGAGGGTTCCACCCGGTCCTCACTGTACTCAGGCAAGAATGCTGTCAGAGGTCATTCGAGAGATTACAGAGCCTTGAGGAATCAAAGGGAACAAAGCTCACGTCCGATCGCGCCTATCAACGTGATCTGTTCAGTCGTTCCCTGGAACAGCCAGAGCAGCCCGACCTCTTTGTAGATAGGCAGTCGATCTTCCTCCAGCCTTCGAATCAAGTAAGCGATCCTGTTTTCCAGCATCGCACGTATGGTTCAGTCAAAGTTAAGACAAAGACAAAGGGGTTTCGAATTTTGGGAACTCACAGACCCATGGCGAGGACATGATGCGCCTGGCTGTTTGAACCCAATATCCGATGGCAGGGCTCGTCAGTATAAGGATTGAGTGCATAGTGTTGAGACTGTATCCCGACACTTACGCATGTGGTTTCATGGTCGGACGATATAACAGCTCAAACGCGTCTAGAAAGCACGTCTCGATAAAAATGAGTACTCTGCGGTTTCATAGAGAAGCTAGAACCAGTGCTCGGAAAGGCTCTGCTTACAGAGGGTTGACAGCATTGTTCCTAACAGTCGAACATCGCCTGTAAATTCTGGCCAAGGTCGATAGGATGAGATGTCATGCCGTAGCGCAATGTACTCGAATGACTGAATGACCAGTATCAAGGTAGAGACGACCACCTTTGCCGAGTCTGCGCAGCCGATTAGCCCTGTTAAGACGACGAGTATGAGTACTTTCCAGCGGCTCACAAAGCGGTATTAGATTCTGCTTCGCTGGGCGACCGTCTTTCCGCGTTCTGATACGAGGCCAGTTGATTCTTTAGTCCCAGTTCAACCGATCGCCCAGTCTAACCTGATATCCCGCCTACCTTTCATGGGCCATCCCCGCTATTGTGGCAGACACAACTAGGTTAAACTGGTCAGCGCTCGGTCAATTGTTTCTCAACAAGAAACTTTACTCACGGACCACTTGAGCTATCGTGTAGCCATTGCGTGATAGTAGTGACGGCAGAAGATCGCTCATTGCGAGAGAGCTGGTACTGATTCGGAGACGAAGATGGAGTTATCATAACGCAAATCCTGCAATTTTCACGCATTTCGAGCTTACAATGGCCCATCACTCTGGTTATGTATGCCACCTACCCCTTCGCGTGCTTTTTCGTCGACCGGTTGAGAAGCTCCAGTAGCCGGTTGCTAACAAAGGAAGTGGAGCGATGGATAGGTTTTCAGGGGTGAATGCGGACGAAGGGAGCTCGTTGCCGCCATTTCGCCTCCTTATCTGACGACATCATCGTCGATCCACGGAGAAGCTCAGGAGGAAGTCTTCTTTTGTTCACAGCCTCTTGGCGTCGCAAGGAGAGCTGTGGCGCGGTAGAACGCTCCATCGGTCCATGCGACGAACACGATGAAACGCGATCACGGCAAGCCACTGCGCCGATCATCATGCGGTCTCTTGCCGCGTGCGCGATGTCCTGCCGAACCTTGAGCCGGGACTTGCAATCCACCGAGGGGATCAACGGATCGATGGATCAAGGGATCGATGGGTCCACCGATAACGGAGCGTTCCCGTCGGTCGCCTTGGAGTTGGTTCTTTCTGCTTCTGGAAAGAATGCGCTATCAAATCCGGCGCCCATCAGCCGATTACATAGCGATCGGACGTTGCTTACTGATCACTATCTGCACGACGTCGTCTTTACGTTGGAGCGAGTGAGAATGTCGCGCTTATACTCGCCTGCTTGTTTTTCACTAACTGTTACTCCCTCCTGAGACAGGTACAACGGGCGGGTTTTTCTGGTTCCATCAAGCAATAGATGAAACACCATCTCGGTGGACAAGATATTGAGACTGATATGAGGAAGACCCGGTCGTCTGCCAACAGGGACTCTGACACTGATCAAGGTGAAGGCTTGACCGAGGTATTGGGTCTGAGCCCGATCACACGTACCTCCACTCGGACTGATCCATACCTCTGACTGGTCAATTGACCGATCAGACATGCTTGCCACCACCATACTCTTCCCTTTCATCCTCCCTGTCCTCCCTATCCTCCTCAAATGGATAGGGTTCACAGCCATCACCCTTTCCCGGATGGGGAACATCATGAGTTCTCACGCCCTCTCCCTTCCCGCCGTGAGTCTTCTCTCTAGTAGCATACTCACCGCTGATCTGCTGATCATGTACGCCCATGTTCAGATCAACATCATCTCCCCCACCGCCGCCTGTCGAGACGCGTCAAACCTCTGAGTGGAGGCTGTAGCTCTTCATCAAAAGATCACATTTACTATATCTTTCTCTTACTTTATCATTTGTATATTCTGTTTCTCAATCAAGTTCTTTGCTGATTGAGAAACAGGTTAGTTAATCTTTTATGAAAATCAAGTTCTTTGCTGATTGAGAAACAGATTTTCTTCATGGTAGCGGCTCTCTAACTCGATCATCACCGAGTACGAAATCGCGACTGTTTCTCAAAAAGCAACTCGATCGTCAGGCATACGATCGACCAGTAAAACTTCGACTTCATAGACCTAGTAGTCCTCCGGTATAGGACACAAGACGACATTCGACATGGGCGAAGATTCGGAAGCCCTCGGAAAGCACCGGCTCTCCGGGTCGTCAAACTACACGCGATGGTACCACTCGATCAAAGCACTCCTCATGGTCAAGGACCTTTGGTGGTACTCGGGAGCCGAAGGAGAGCTCTACGAACCCTATCCCACATACGCCATCGAGAAAGGCGAGATCAGAGACTTCTCAGTTAAGCCTCTTACGAAGACCGAAGAGAAAGCTCAAAAGGAATGGAAGATCAAAAATCTTCGAGCAGCGGCGTACATCGATGCTTCGGTCGAACCGAACATCATTCACCTCATCAGCGACCTGACTGACGCTAAACAGAAGCTGGAGCGACTGGCTCTCACCTACAAGCCTACGGGTGCCGGGATGGCACTGGTCCTGAGTCAGAAACTCGACTCGATCAAGATGGATGAAGGCGGCGATCCCGAGGCCCTGTACCTCGAGATCGTGGACGTCTGGCGAAAGCTACTCGAAGCCGGCGGAACCCGTAGCGAGTACGACGCTTGCCTCACCTTCCTACGAGCTCTTCCTCCTTCCTACTCTCCACTCGTCATGACTCTTACGACACTCATGAATCGTGACCCCACCTCCCATCGACTCGAGTGGGTCTTCAGCGAGATCACGGTCGAAACAGGTCGACGAAGACAAGCAGAGCAGGAAACGGCTACAGTCCAGGCACTCATGGCCAGGCAGAACCAAGGACGTCGATTCAGTCAGCCGAATCGAGGTGCCTCTGGAGGATTCCGAAGGGGCGGAGGGAAGAAACCGAGAGACCCCAGCACGATTGTATGCTACAGGTGTCAAGCGAAGGGACACTACTCGAAGGACTGCACAGCTCCCTCTCCCGTCCCTCGTGCTAGCTCCTCGCAGCAAGCGAACCACGCCTACCTTGACGAAGACGAGGAGAGCGTTAGCCTGGACGCTCACTTCGCCGGCGTGGCCATGACCCAAGGTCACAGGGAAAGAAGGACTCGCTACCCCACGTTCACCGAGGAGATCGTCTCTTCCCCACCTCCTACTCACTTCGGAAACCAAAATGCACACGTCGCGTTCGCGGATCCCGTTGAGCAAGACGTTCCCAGCATGGCCAGCGTATCCCCGCAGCTGGCTCTGACTGCAGCGAAGCAGGAAGGATCAATCGTCGTAGACTCGGGAGCTTCTTCTCACTTCATCAAGCATCGGAGCTGGTTCAGGACGTACCACGAACTGAGCGTACCGGTATCGGTTGGGAACGGTGCTCTCATCTACGCGAAAGGATACGGAGACGTGCCCATCCTTTGCCGACAACGAGACGGTACAATCACCGTTGTCGTGTTCCAAAACTGCCTGCACACTCCCGACATGGCTCTCAACCTGCTCTCGGTCGGAGCGATGAACAACAGCGGTCTCGACGTACAGATGGCAGCCTACGCGAAGCTCTGTCAAATCAGTCGGAACAGAAAGTCTCTCGGCATCGCTCACTTGAAGAAAGGACTCTTCATCCTCGACACACACCCAAGCGTAGTTCAAACAGTCATGCAAACGAAGCAGCTGTCCCTGATAACGATGGACGAAGCTCACAAGCGGCTGAATCATGTCGGATACGGGAAGATCAAGAAGGCCATATCCTCGAAGATGGCGGAAGGTATGGAAATTGAAAACATCGATCAACACAATATCTGCGAGGATTGCCTCTCTGGGAAGTTGAATCGAAAACCCTTCTCCGGTCACATGGAGCGAGCTACTGCAGTCGGCGACTTCATTCACTCCGACATCTGCGGCCCCATGGAAGTGACCTCGGTCTCGGGTCATCACAGATACATTCTTACCATCATCGACGACGCATCTCGATATGCCACCATCTTTCTTCTCAAACAGAAGTCCGAAACCTTCAACTGCATCAAAGCGTACTCTGCCGCCCTTGAGGCCAAGTTTCCTGGTCGACGCATTCGGAAACTGGTCTGTGACAATGGCGGAGAATATTTGTCGAACGACTTTGTCAGATGGCGAGAAGAAAAGGGTATCGAGACCATGACCACCGTGCCTCACACCTCCCAGATGAACGGCGTTGCGGAACGATACAATCAAACGATCATGGATGATACTCGAACTATCCTTCATCAATCGGGCCTCACCAAAGGGTGGTGGGGTTACGCAGCCAAGAGTGCTGTCTATACCCGGAACAGAGTTCCTCACTCTGCCGTTCCAGAACAGACCCCGTTCGAAAAATGGTTCGGCGTCAAACCAACCTACAAGGATCTCCGAGCTTTCGGAGCCCAACTGTACAAACACAATCCGACCAAGACGAGAACCAAACTACAAGACAAGGGTTCAAAGGGAGTACTAATCGGATACGGCGATGGAGATGACAGAGTCTACGACGTCTGGCTCATCAACGAGCGACGAGTAGTCCGAGCTAGACGAGAAGAATGCATTTTCACGGACAAAAGTAAGAACGCCGACCCTCTTACAAACGAGAATCCGATGGACAAACCGGAAGAAGACACCGGAGCAGTAGACGCTCCCAGCAAAGAGACCGAAAAGGAGGAGTCGACCAGCAAAGGAATGTCCGAATCGAGCAGCAATGACAGTCTTACGACCAAGACTTCGACCGCTTCCTCTGAAGCAAGGCCAACTCGGAACAGAAGGTTGCCAGCACATCTCAAAGACTACGTCCCGAGCGCCACTGCATCCATTGCCGAGAAACTCGAGTACTGCAGCTTGGCGAACGAGACCTTCACAGCTGGCAGCGTGCTGGACGGTCCTGACTCGGCCGAATGGAGGAAAGCGATGGAGAAGGAAATGACGTCCTTGCGCAAACGAGAGGTATACGAGCTAGTACCAAGGCCCACTGACACGAAGGTTATCTCCTGCAAGTGGGTTCTTCGAGTCAAATCAAACGGCACGAAGAAGGCAAGGATCGTTGTTCGCGGCTTTGAACAGAACGAGTACGGAGAAACTTACGCTCCCACCCTGAAGATGTCGACTCTGAGAATGGCTCTAGCCTTGGCTGCTCGGAACGATTGGGAGATGAACCAGATGGACGTCACCACTGCCTTCCTCTACGGTGATCTCGACAGCACCGTATACATGGAGCAACCGGACTTCTTCCAGAGTGATCGACAGCCAACCCACGTCTGGAGGTTGAAGAAGGCGCTATACGGACTCAAGGAAGCCCCAAAGTGCTGGCACGACAACATCTCCACGTCTCTGGAAAACTTCGGTCTCACTCGATCTCTGAACGACAGTTGTCTCTTCATTGGGGAAGTCAAAGGATCCGCCACGTACCTTCTCCTCTTCGTGGACGACTGTCTCATCCTCTCTCCGTCCAAGACCTCGGTCGATACGGTCAAAGATATGCTCTCGACCAAGTATGAGATGACCGATCTCGGAGAACCTGCAGTCTTCCTAGGCATCGAGATCTTCCGTGACCGACCTGCCAAAACCATTACCATCAATCAGGAGAAGTATGTTACGGAGGTTGTCAAACGTTTCGGCATGGACACGTCTCGCATGGTCAAGACGCCCTTCGCGAACAGTGCGGAACTCATCAAGGACTACCGAGAAGGAGACAAACCGGTGGACGCTCTTCCGTACATGTCGGCCATTGGGTCCATGATGTACGCCATGATCGCTACTCGACCCGATCTCTCGTTCCCGATGAACATCCTGTCTCGATTTTCGAGCAACCCGCAAGAGTCGCATTGGAAGGCGGCTAAACACCTTCTGCGCTGGATGAACGGAACTCGTGGATGGGGGATCCTCTTCGGTCCTGGAGACGGCCCTTTGCACGGATACTCCGACGCCGACTACAATACCGATCCCACCACCAGACGATCGGTGTCCGGCTGGTGCATGAAGCTCGGAAACAGCGTCGTCTCGTGGAGAGCCAAGCAACAGGGTCAGGTGGCCACCTCGACCACTCACGCCGAGTACATGGCTCTCTACGAGGTTACCAAAGAAGCGGTCTGGGCCAAGCGAATCTTGAGCGACCTCGGCGAGGAAACCCCCATCGTCACCATCTTCGAGGACAACAAGTCCACTGTCGCTTTGGCTAAGAATCCCTTGGTTTCGGAACGATCCAAGCATATCGACACCGCCTACCACTACGTCCGCGAGCAAGTCACGGACAGAATCATCGAAGTCTTACGAGTCGACACGAACGAGAATCACGCCGACATGTTTACGAAGGAAATGCCGCAGTCGAAGCTCCTCTACCATTTAGAGGGACTCAGCATGGACCTCCCGAACATCGAATCGGTGGAGGCCAAAGCGGAAGCCGACGACTAGACGTACTAGTACACGCACCATCGGGTCGACCAATGTCCCCGCACACGATCTTTACTTCAAGAATCTTTATACAATACGAAACCGAACGACAATAATCTCGACGAACAACAACGCTCGCTTTTACCTTTACGAAACCGACTGCGAGAGAAAGATACGGGATCGATCGCCAACGAAGAAGACTACATCGACTCAGAGTTTGGGTGGAGGTGTCGAGACGCGTCAAACCTCTGAGTGGAGGCTGTAGCTCTTCATCAAAAGATCACATTTACTATATCTTTCTCTTACTTTATCATTTGTATATTCTGTTTCTCAATCAAGTTCTTTGCTGATTGAGAAACAGGTTAGTTAATCTTTTATGAAAATCAAGTTCTTTGCTGATTGAGAAACAGATTTTCTTCACCGCCTTCACCGTGAGCAGCCCCGCAGCTGGTGAAGATATGACGCGCGCGGGCGCCGCTTCGTGTCCCGTTCAGGGATGAAACACCAGATCGTGGTTGTGTGATCAAGTTCAAAGGAGCGATGCCTTTAAGCAAGCAAGCCATGGGGTCGGTGTAGGTACTACGGAACTGGGAGTATATATATCCCAGGATCTAATTTCCTACAAGAGGGAAGGCATAGGCTATTCTTTCTTCCTCCTAGTTTGCGTCACACCCCACACAGACATCCAATCAAATCTCGAACCGGAACAAAGCAATACGACAACACGATCATGGGCTGGTTTTGTGGGCGCGGAGATAAAGATCCGGTAGATGTAGCAGCCAGGAGACATATTCCTGAAAAAACACGATGGATCAGCTCATCATCCAAGAGACGAGAAGCGAGGGAAGCCCTTTTGCTTCAAGGAGAAGACGAATACCTCCCAAACGATCGAAATGTCGCGCTATTAGATGGTATCCAGGCGCAGATCAAGGATGCGAAACGACAGAGTCGCTCATCGCATCTGACCAGTATGGAACGAGACAACAATGCCTCCGCCAATGGTGGATCATTTGAGGAACCTCCCAGTCCCTTGTCCTTCAAAACTGCAAGTGTTCTTACGAGTTGCACGATCCAAAGCGTGTCGAATTCAACCAAGGAGACAGGAAGCGGCGACGATGTCATCGGCAGTGGTTTAGAGAGGTTTAGCGGCCGTTCTGGATAATATGGCAACGTCTTTCGAGAAACACAGCGATTGTATAGCAACAGTACTTTAGTTGGCCAGACAATTGAGTCGATCATACAATGTGACCAAAGAGTATCGAAGACCGATGTGACTGGATCGTCATCATGGGCATACCGAGTGGCACCTCTTTGAATCATTTGTAGTATTCTCTATCGATCTAACAGACCGCAGACGATTGCGTTCAGCCTTGAATGCCTTAGGGATTATCACTGGATCATGACGCGCATATAGCATAGTCAGGCTAGAGATCTGAGGGCACAAGTGAGGTACAACCAAAAACAAAGATGGAGCAGAACAGATAACAGACGCCACCAGTAGTGATTACGCCTTCTTCTTCGGCTTCTTGTTCTTGCTATCCTTCCCGCTTGCCTCGACTGCCTTGCGCTTCCCTGCCGTCGAGGTCTTGTTGGACTTGTCGTTCGTCGTCGTCGTCGGCTTGGCTCCCTTGACGCTCACAACCGTCGACATGCCTTGTCTCCGGCTTGGGTCGGCCTTGCTCAACGCCTCGACGTGAGCTTGTGCCTCGGTGAAATCGGTTCCGTCGTCGATAGCATATCTGTGCGGGTAGAGTCAGGATCCTTCGCATGATATTGATCGCGCGCCCTTACTTACTGAGAAAGGTCCATCGAATCGATGAGTTCCCGTTGCATCGCTCGTGCGCGCTTGGTCTCCTCGTCGACCACCTCTTCCAGATCCTCCTCGACGGTGGTCTTCATCGGCTTCCAATCGCTAGTTCCCACGGCACTGCTGTCACTCTCGGCGACGTTTCTTCGAACAGTAGGCTCCTGCTCCGGTACATCCGCACCGACGGCATTTTTCTGCAAGTCGTGCAAGTGGCGGCTGAACTTGCGCATGATCTTGACAAACAGCGCGAGTCCTTGATTGACCGGGATGTTGAGCTCCTTCTCGACGTCTTCGATGGTCTTTCGCTGAAGTCCAAGGGCCAATAAAATGGCTTGTTGGGCTGCGGCCAGGGTGGTATCAGGGCCGAATCGTCGAGTGAAGAATATTGAAGCCAGCGAAGGGAGAAGGTCGAGGATGACGTGGTAGTCGAGCATGTTGTTCGAGTACGAGTCGATTCGCTTGAGGTCGAAGGGGGTAAACAGGTTTCCAAGCTCGGAAGGAGCCAGTACTACGGCAGAGAATGGAAAATCAGCTTGTCGATCTATACACGGTGATCTTGGAGAACGACTAACCGCTTGCGGATTCAGCCGAATCGGCCGAGCTAGCACCTTCAATTACGCTCAGTGCCAGAGCCGCATCAAACTCCCTGAACTTGTATGACAGAAGCGAGAGGAAACGTCGTCGGAAGTCTATGCCACCCGTAAGATCAGCAAACACGCACTAAAACCCATTCAAGTGCTGTGCCTCACCTTGAGCGAAAGCGGCCAACCAATTCGAGCTTCCCGCCACCTCGCCATTGAGCGTCTTCAGCATGACACACGTGTGCTCTCCCGTCAGATCGTTGGCGGTCTGTCGCACGTATAGTGGTGCGTATCCGGCCCGTTTCCAGAATCGCAACAGATCTTTCGTCAGACCGTATGAGACTCCGAGGTAGTCAAGCTGTTCCGGTCGCCTTTCCGATAGACGTTGCAGAAGAGGTGGCATCTTGTTGACATCTCGCACGCTGACGTTATCGTTCTGCAACGTAGTTCCCTTAATTCGCAAAGACAACCTCAATGCCGCGTCAACTACGCAAGGAGACAAGCTTCCAGCTCACCTTGTCAATCTTGGAAGCAGCCTCGGCAAAAGTCTCGACGCTGTCCTCCTCCATCACTTCATCCAGGTTGAGCAGATCTCCAGAGTAGAACGAGTTTAGCGATTCCAAAGCCCTAGCACCGTATCCCATCTGCCATTACCGATGGAAAGAATATGAGCTTCAAACCGTTCAAGCAAGTGTATACCGAGAACTTACTCTAGCGTAATCAGGGTGGGTTGCGATTCGTACCACCCTCGCACCGGAAAGCATGGCAAAGTCGTCGTCTTGGAACTGCAAATCAGAAGTTCATATGTGAGTTTAACGACGCTCATGAAATCGGTTATTCCGGTCAGCGACTTACCTGCTGTGAGACCAACCAAGGGATGAGATCTCCACCGCTCCTCGTACCCTTTGCCAGCTGGTTCATGATGTGGTCTTTTGAGATGTTTCCCTCGAGCGCGACCTGCACTACGACAAGAGGGTCCGGGAGGGTGCTCTCATCGTCCTTGAGCGGAGGAAGAAGGACAAAGAGGTGGTGCGCAGGAGCATCGGACATGAGTTGCAAGTCGTTAGGGGTGTTCTTGTAGTGTGAAGCTACGTAAAGGGCCATCATTCGTTGCAAGAAAACCTCAGATGCTGGGTGGTAGGAGAAGAGGGTATCTCGGTTGACGTAGTAGAGTTCGCATTGAGATGGGTGAGGGCATCCAGAAATGTGACGGGGCAAGGTGGTAGCGTCCAGACATAGCAGAGCGTTGAGCCACTTTTCGACAGGATCCGCCTGACCATAACGAATGGGCTGCTCCAGCTTAATCTCGGCGAGCGTACGGGCCATGCCCATCTTCTGCCCAGAAGTATTCGTAGAGACCGCTACCGGGGCATCTTTTCCAATGACAGGTCGGGTCTGCTCTCGCAGCTGCTGAATCAGTTTGATAGAGAGACTTCGACCGGTACCTTCGTAACCGTTGATGGTGGACGCCATGAAGACCAGGTAAGGTCCAAGGAGCTTTCGTACGAGAGGCAAGGGGATTGCAGCGGCCTCGTCGATGATGACCAGCTCGGCCTGACCCAAGACATGCGAGTCTTGAGGTTGAATATACTGCAGAGTTGGCTTGACATCAGTTGTGAAACACAAACAAACTTGGTTTTCGTGTAAACCCACCTGGATGGTCTGTCGGTGACCCTTAAAGATGTTCACCCTGACCACAGCTCGACCCCACTCCTCATTCCCGGTCCTGACAAAGTCATAATCCAAAGTCTCCTCATAGCCAAGGGCATCGAGACCCTTCTTCACGAATTCGAACAAGGTTTTCAAGTTTTCCGGTGTAGGGGACGTCACGAAGATGTTCGAATAGTCGTGAGCTACGGCCGAGGCGATGGCGAGACCCAAAGCTGCGGATTTCCCTCGTCCTCGACCTGCTGTCAGGGAGACGGTCGAGTTCATCTGCTTCGACGTGATCCCGTTTGAGACAAAGCTCAACAAAGCCTTCAGCTGGTCGGTAGTGGCAGTAAGTTTTGTAAGAGGTCCGATGACGGGAGTCTCCTTCAATTCGTTTTTCAGCGAGGTCAGCTCGGCTTGGCTGGCGGTGATGCGCGAACTGGGTCCAGCGTTCGGGTTTGCGACAATGTCCTTTCCGGCAGAGATGGGCAGGACGTTGAGTTCGTCGTCCAGGACGAGACATGCTGGGTTGCCTCCTAATGACAAGATGAAACGCTCATTGAATCGGGGTTGCACCGACGAGTGGTTCTCCGTTCTATACCGCGAGTGGACGTCCTGCGGAAGAGCAGAATAAATCCATCGATTAGCTTGTGGAGATCAGGGACTACACCATGATCGATACCTACCATACTCATAGTGTAAAGCTGCTTCAAACTCGACATGTTCTTCAGCAACAAGCAGACGACACCGCCACCCTCGACCGTCTCGATCGTTCTTGCGAGCAAGTTGGGAGTGATCGCCTCATAGTCTTGCAGCACGAGGAAACCGAACGTCTGACCCAGGATCTTGTGAGACTCCTTATAGTAGCTACAGAACCGTAGTTTCGAAGTCAGAGACATCCCATCGGACTTCCTCCGCCGACCTGACTCACTTGTATCGGATGTCGGTGACCGCTACAAACAACTCGAACGGGCTTTGTTCGTTTGCCTCCCGGATCCCTCGCTTAACCTCGTTCTTGATCTTCTTCTCCCTCTTCTTTCGGTGACTCGTGAACCCCAAGTCCTTCTTGTAACACCAAAGCACGTTCGGTCGAGCTGATACTCGGGTTTGGGATAGCAAGAAATGCAGGTTGACGACTTGGTCACGAGCATGATCTCCGATGAGGATGAAGAATGACCGGTGGTTGTTGGCGACGCCGTTGGAGATCAGAGCCGGGATTCGGGAATCTAGTTGCTTCCTCATTGTTTATCTAGATACGGTCCGACAAGTAGCTAAGTAGAACGATAAAGCCTCAAGTATCAAGTATGATTAGAGTTCAAATCTTTGAATAGAGCTGCATCGCGATGCCCAAGGTGGAGGTCAACTTTCAGAAATCTCGATAGCTCGGTTCACGCGGACATATAGAAGTATGACTGATGTCCGCGTCCGTAGGGTCTGGCAGCTGATAACTAACAATCTATCGTGGGCATAAGGCATGGGTATAAGGCATAAGGAATCGAGACTACACTTCATTACACAAGTGATCGTAAAGGTCGACCAGATAAAGCAAGATCATTCGTAGTCGTAATATCGTGAATGGGCGTTGCGACGTGCGTGTTTCGAGAGCCGGGCCGACGATCAGGCAAGAGGGGTAAAGGGGAATGGAGAGAGTTGACGATGAAGGTGATGGATCCTGGTCGAGACCGGAGCCGTGGAAAATATGCAGCCTAACCGGCGCTATGCCTGATCTGGAAGGGGCCGAACGACACAATCCGAGCAAGCCTGGGCTACGATTATGATGCTCGCGTTCCGTGGTAGGTTTGAGTGGGCTGGCTTCTTGACGCTAAAGTAGACCCTGCGACCGCCGGACGAGACCAAGCGGAAGCATAACCCACACATATAGCTAGTTAAGAATGCCTCCCAAAGATGAGAAGGCATATGTCCAGGAGCGCTTCCGAGGACCGTTGCCTTCTGTAAGTCGCTCAGGCTTGTGAACACGGATCTCCGCAAGGGTTCCGCGACAATTTCGGCGCCGAGAGCATCGACAATCTGACCGACCTGGAGGGCCTGATTCCTCCAGAAAAAGTCGGGGTCGATTTGTGTGAGGATCGAAAGTTTGATAGTTTCCATCAAACTGGCCGGTCCAGACGCGTTATGACGCCGGAACCTGATAAGCATTGCAGAATCGAGCAGTGCGTCGTGACGTACAGCGGAAAGCAGCTTTACTCGATAGCGACTCGCGAACGGATACCACGGATAACTCCGCAGTCGTTGGCGAGCAATGGCATCCTTGTATGTCTTCGGAGCAGGCGGGTCTCTCGACCAAGCTTCAGGTGCCGCAGCAAGATGCCTGTGGTCCAACAATTCACAGGCCTGAAGTGCAGGACCAAAATTGAAGTCGCCAGCGATACATCTCAAGTTGGTGAACGTGCCGAACAGCACGTTCGGCGCTGATGAAGCGATGTGATGATCATCTAACGGTCAGTAGAGACATCCCGGAGTATGGATCAATGTACGGTCTCTCACCTCCAGCGATTTCATTCCCTGTAAGATCCAGAAAATGTACGGCAAGACGTTGCTTGTCAAACAAGGACATCGCCGTGCTCTCTGAACCCTCTGTAATCGTGTTCAGGACACCCCTCGAGGATACATCAGAGAACCAGCGCATGCAACGAGACCATGGGAACTCGTTGAGAAGATCTGGGATCTCGTTCGCAAGAACCAAATCGCTGAGATCAAGGACCTGGGAGTGCGGTCCACCTAGAGCTTGGTGCAGTAGCAACCTGAGGACTCTTTGCTGGATATCAACGTACCCAAGGCTTAAAAGGCTCTTGGGAACGGGGTACTATTGATATTAATCGATTAGCGGTCTGGGCTGACTTCACGGCGAGTATACCGACTGACCCTCGCTTCATAGGCGCATATATCCCGCCAGCCATCGCTCTTTGTGTAGCGATCCATCGTCGTAAAGAACTGCACATGAGCTCTGGCTTCGGCTCCGGAAAGTCTTTCACGATATTTGGCATCGTTGTGAAATCGCGACTTGATATCAATCAGCCTACGATAGTTCCAAGCTGTCGTACATAAGATTCAGTCAGCAGAATAGCTGTACGAGCACGTGGATCCAAGCGAAGTACGTACCCATAGCTTTCTTAGCGGCCATCTTGATGCCATTTTCCTCGATCGCATGACCCTTTCGCGGCAGATTCAAGGCGATCAAGGCTTTGACAGCCGTCTGCCAGACCGTCTTTTCAGATGCGGGAAAGTACCGTCCCGACATGTAAGGTCGATCGATATAGAACAAGGCTTCTGACAGCTCAAAAAGCTGGATATGCAGGGTCTTGGTCTTCCTCGAGACGGTAGTGTTCACAGGCGCAATCTCGATCGGACAGCCGGAATCTGCGCTGGCGGCATGGCGGGGATCAATAAAGAACCCATCCTCGCTTCCGGAAGATGAAGAAGATGACGAGGAAGAGGATTCTGACGGTGAGGCTTCGCTACTTGATAGCGATTCCTCTTGTTCCGAGGACCATGGTGAATCCTCGCCGTTATCACTCATGCTTCTTCTGCTCGATGTGGGTCGACGGTGATGGGATGATCCCTCCTACGAGCGTGACTAGCGAATTAAGATCCTGTGGTTGCCATCCGGTTCTATAGCAATCAAGTAAGGTCGACCACGGAGTAAGGAGGATGATTGTTATGCCAAAGGAGTTTTGATCGATTCTTTCAGAGAGTTCAGCTCTTCTCTCGCTTTGTGAGAGGTGACGAATCCTAAGCGCGCCAGGCTTCGACCGCGATTCAGGCCAGGCAGAATATGATCGGAATCGTGACATTTTCTCTATCCCATCAAGGGTATCACATAAAAGACGTTTGACAGTACAGGTTTACCACGACTACTAAGAAAGGGGACATGCGTTGATCGTAAAAAGGGGGAGCGCAAGGCCGGATCGCCTCGAACGTGTCGTGAAAAGAGGGGTGGGAGGGGTATGGAGGACGTGATACCAAAATCTCTACTGTTCTTCGTTTCCTACTATCTTCATTCCCTAGACCCTCCTGACGACCTTCTTCAACCCGCGGGTCGCCCGTCGGACGAGACCGTCGGCAGAGTCGACGGTGACGGCGGAGTCGGTAGCCTCGGGTGCGCTGGGCTCGACGTAGGAAGTAGCAATGGCATCGACGTAGGAAGTGATGGGCTCGTCATCACCCGCGACGGCAGAAGCAGAGTCGGTGGCGGAAGCTTCGGCCCAGTAAGAGTCGGTAGCAGAGGCAGTAGCGGTAGGAGTGACAGATTCACCCGAGGCAGAGGCGGTCTCCGAGGCGGTCTCGGTAGCGGTGGCCCAAGCCTCGGTGGAAGAAGCCGACTCGGTGGCGGTGGTGTTGGCAGCGGCGGTCTCGTTCAAGGCAGCGGTGGCGTTGTTGGACTGGGGAGCGACGATGGTACCGTTGACCGAAGCGGTGTTCTCGCCCTCGAGCTGGTAGTCACCCTCGTCCTCGTCGTCACACTCCTCGATACTGCCGTCCTCGTTGTAGGCAGCCTCGTCGTCCTCGTCAACGTTCTCGTCATCCTCCTCTTCCCATTCCTCACAGTCCTCATCCTACAACGAAACAGAACAGGCCGGATCAGGGATCAGGCTTCTGTCGGCGCAAAGGACGTTCCAGAGCATGCTCACCTCGTCACCACCGTCCTGGTTCTCACCAGACTCAACAACAGCTCCAGATCCGGAACCGGATCCAGTCGAAACGGCAGCACCGGCAGAGACGGTAGGCGAAGCGCTCGACGAAGGCTTGCCGGTAGCGACCAAGTTTTGTCCAGCGACCGAGGTGGCAGCGGGAGCAGAACCCGAACCGGAACCAGCACCGGCGGTGACAGTTACGTATTGGGTGACAGTGACAGGACCGGAACCCTAGAGTAAGAAAAGGAAAGTCAACACAGCTGCACGCGGGAGTAGAGCAATATCCTTGAGACTCACATCGCACTGAGCGTCAGCATCGGCAGAGGCGGAAGCGGTGGGCGAACCGGCAACATCGGCAGTCTTTGAGACGGCGAGGTTGAGGTTGCCTCCGGTAGCAACGGCGTTCTGGCCAATCTTGCTAGTAGCAGCAGGAGCCGAACCGGATGAAGCAGACGATGATTGCCAGGCGGAACCGGATCCCGAGTTGTCGGCGTTGCCGTAGTCGGGCGAATCAGGAGTATCAGGCGAATCGGGGGTGTCCGGGGTGTCAGCCGAGTCGGATCCGTCGGCACCGTTGGGGTTCTCCGGGGTCTCGGGGGTCTCAGGAATCTCTTGACCGTCAGTGTACTCGCAGTCCTCGTCGTCATCATCCTCATCGTCGTCGTCTCCGTCGCACGAGATCTCCTCTACGCCGACGGTCTCGAGGTAAGCCTTGCACTCGTCGACACCAGTACAGGCGACCTGGGCGTTCTCATCGACAATGTAGGCGGTCCCGTTGGGGTAAGCCAACAAGGCCAAGTCGTACCCTTGCAAGAGGTCGGTGATGTTGACGGAATCGGCGTTGATATCGGCGACGACGGTGGTGTTGGCGTTCTCGAGCATCGACTCGGTCTCGGACGAGTTGACGATGGCGTTGGAGACACCGTCGAGGGTCACGTTGGAAGCAGGGACGGGAGTACCAGAGGCAGCGGCCGCAGTCGAGGACTCGGTCGCGGTGGCCTCGGATCCCCACCAGCCTCGAGGTCGAGGAGGGATTGAAGCACCCAACGCGAGCGTAGGGAGGACGAGGTAGAGAGCGGCGATCATTCGGATGGAGGAAGGCATCGTGTTCAGAGGTAAAAGCTGTTTGGTGGTGGTCGTGTAAAGAGGTTCCTTTGAGGTGAAAAGCTGACTAGGATAGATCTAGTCGGTTTTGTTTTTCGTAAAGAGGATGATAAGAAGGCCGAGAGGGAGAAAGCGATCGTGTGTCGTCCAAAGAGGGTAAAGAGTGTTGGTAATCCGTAAAAGCTATGTCGATAAATCTCTCTCGACGTCAAGCCAAAGAGTAGATAGATGTAGGAAGTTGAAAAGTGGTTGATTTCGTTGATGACACCGGGTTTGTTGTGGTGGCAAGTTCGTCCGATGTGATGAAGAAGTCGATTTCTATTTGTATAAAGGCTAAGCGGGAGAGAAGGCAGAGACAGAGGCAGGAGAGGAAGGGCAGGGAGAAAAAGCGAAACACGTCGGTTAGCACTTCGGTCGTATGTCGCTGTCGTCGTCGTCGCTCCTGCTCTCCCTTGATCAATCAATCAACGGGCTAAAGGAGTTCTCCTTTCGCCAGCTAATGACGACCCTCCTTTGAGACCCTCAAACTCACCTTGTCTAGATCAAAGACAGTGTATGTGGGCAGTCGACCGAGAAACTTGGTAAAAGTGAATGTGTTGTTGATGATGGCGATTGTCGAGAGGGGGATGTCGAAGGGATTAACCTGTAATCTCCTTTTGAGTCCTATAAGGTCGAGTCGTCGAGGGTCGGTGAGCTGATGAGAAGAAGAAGAGAAGAGAGAGTTCCCACGACAAAGGAGTTGATGGAAAGTTGCAAGTTTGATGATCAGAGGAGAGGATTGATGCGAGTGAGACCCTCACCCCTGCGTGAGCGCTCTGGCTGTGTGACCGCTGCGGCCATCGCGTCAGCTCCTTTGTTTTGATCGATGGAATGTGCTTCCGCTCCCCTCGGTCCTGTGCGCCTGTGCTCCCCTCCCTCTTCCGCTGTGGCAACCCTCGCCTCGGCCAAAGCTTGGCGACGCGCGTGGGCGGGGAGGGGAGCAAGGGGGAAGAACAAGGCGGTTTAGCTCGCGTTTCATCCGGAAGACAATCGACTGCGATCACACGCACGCACACGGGTACGTCCGATAGGACCATGTCACGTCACGAAACGAGGTGGATCGGATTGGGCACAAAAAAAGAAGGGTGCACAAGAACGATTAGCGAGAACAGGGGGGATGAGACGATGAGACACGCGACTTGACGTTTCACTTTGCCGTCGCCCGCACAAAGAAAGACGACGGCATGACCGGCGAGCTAGAACAAACGATTCGAATGCGATCAGCACATGGATGTTGATCGAACTTCCAACTCTAGGTGCGTCAGAACCCCCGTCCCTTATATGACCTCGAGTGGTACTCGACTTTTATAGCTTTCGGAGGCTGCTAGGATTTTTGCACTGAGCTCGACATCCGGATGGTCACAAGGTATGATTGGGGAATCGAAAGGAAACGGTGGCTATCGGGTTTCGTTACATGATCAGCAACGGTATTGTCGCCATCTCTCGCCATGGGTCGTGATATGGGGCAGGCTCGCGGCTCGCAGAGGCTACCCGTAGATCAGGTGATCTGGCGACATAAGGCTCTCTCCTTTCCAACAGACCTGTGAACAGGTGATCGGCTCGCTCAAGTTTAAGTCGTACGAACAGGTAACCCTCCGTTGTCCGTATCGCGTTATATGGCGCGTCGCCGTTGCCGATATCAAGAGCGGGACGGGTAGGTCGCTTGATCGCGGTTGACAGGATAAAGGTACAGCATCCAAAGCTGTGGGCGAGAGTATGGCAGTCTGCAAGGTCGTATGGCCTCAAGATCATCGGTACAGAAACGGAGGTGGACCTTCGGCAATTGATACTCTGCAAGCTGCGTCACTCGTGTTCTCGCGCCCTCTTGAGCGAATCGCGTTTCGTGATGATTCGAAGAGCAAAGGAGGACCATCGCAGGCGCGGTGTGGTCGCATGACGAGCGCAAAGGGGTAAGGACATCGTCTGGCCACAAAGGCCTGTCAAACCATAAAGTTTACCCCAGGCTTTCCTTTGTGGATGACGACGCTTGACGAACGGTCCTCCCGCAAAGCGGGGCGTATTGACATATGAAAGAAGGCTACCTACCTCACTTGAGGGAATTTCTTGGAGGACCTTGAACCTTTCCACCGTTGAACAAGACAAATCCTGTTAAGCAATACGCCCACCTATTGTACGACTGTCAACACCTCGCTTGATACTCCGAGAAGATGCCGTACTCATCCCGCCGCAGAGACTCCGGACGCGACTGGTATGCAGACTCGTCTGCGTATTATCAAAGTAAGCCCTCTTCGACATCTAGACAGGACTACCCTTCGACGCACAAATCATACGGACGGTCCTCGACATACACCAAACACCACGCTTATTCTACATACAACAATACACAACGGAGCGACCGACGCCGGAGGAGGACATATGACGACGAGCATGGGTACAGCGATATGGAGTTCGTACCGAAAAGCACAGGTAGTGATATCTGCCCTCAAGAGGGATACGAGTATAGCAAGCGGTCTACGAGATACCGAACCCATGGCGAACCTCAATCCCATTACGCATCGGTAGTGGCGGCAAGCTCTGTACTGCCTTCACTCGAACAAGTGAAACTAGGCTCTCAATTGATGGCGGACAACCTTCCTCCAGGCTATGATATCTGGTTTACAGACCCGGACGGCAAAGTGAGATCACCAGAGGAATTAGGATTTCCCGATACGTCCAACGGGCAGGATCAGTCATGGGATCCCGCTAATGGAGCCGCTCATAGCTTCCCCGACACTGGCAGGGACCGTCCATGGCATGAGTCGCAGGGAGGAGCACCGCCACCAAGTGCTAGCCCAGAAGATCATTCATGGGACCCGCCAACCGGAGACGGCCAGGGATACGCAAATGGCGAGTCCGAACAACCTGAGCCCGGTCGACGGGAATACCTGGAGAAGGTATTCGAAGGCGTCAGGATGGATTGGTCGCTCATCTGTTACTCTGATGACGAGTTGCAAGAGATGATCGAGATTATGATTCACATACGAAACTATTGTGTCCCGGCGCCGAGGGATCCTTCTTGCGGTTGCCCATGTCGGTATTACTACTACAGCCAGAATATCTATTCTACGACGACAGACGACGGCTCAGCATGCCTTGTGAGCTATCGGTAGCATTTGTGACTGGGGAAATCAGCTCATCCCCTTTCTGCGTTGATCACAGATCCAGCTCTTCCGTATAGCGGAGAACGCCGTCCGAGCCAGAAGGCCAAAGAGAGCAACGAACAGTGATGATCTGCAGGAAGTGCCGCACTGTTCACATCTATTCACGCCTTATACTGTATGATCAGCTCCTCGTGATACACTACTATTGCACATACAAAGTTCCGTACTACCACTTCTGTTGTACAGCTATTGAGATCACGGATCGAGACAGGGTGATGAGAGCTCGAGATCACGGCAACATCAAGGATAGCCGTCGCGTTCTGAACATTGCTTGGTTATAACGCAAGGCTGTGGACCCTTTCGCATTCTCAGCATCAAGTCGGACTTGTTGGCGTGGAGCGCCACCCGCCTGGACTGACATCACGAGTCGGGCGATTTCAACGATAAGCTCTAGGTTAGGACATCCAGGACTGATGGCAAATAGTGGGCCACATCGTCGACATCAAAGGAAGTTCCGAGAGTCGATATGATGTCGTCACTATATGTATGACGTGAGATGCCGACATAGCTGTGCCAGACAACATCATTCGATTTCGAAATCAGGTGCCGGGAGACATCACGGAGTCTTCCTTTCGCGCGATCGCACCACTAGGATTGACCAGAATATAAGTAGCTACATTGAACAGGTGTAAAAAGTGCTGCAGAACAGTCTTATCGAAGCCTAGACCAAGACATCGAAAGTAGAACACGCACAAGGCGGGATATTATGGTCTATACCATCAAGCCGGAACAAACTGCCGCCTCCTTCACCCCTGCTGCCCCTTACAGCTATAGCAGAGACGGCCACGGAACCCTCGATACGGGATGTTTCGATGTTGGTCCTAAAATGTTATTTGCAACTCTGTATCATCTGCTGACCTTGAGGAAATTCAGTCAATGGAAGAGAGATCTAAGAAACCCGGAGCTTCTCTCCTAACTGAGCGATTCAACATTTTCATCTTGGATGATGGACCACATGCGGATTTGCTGATCAGAGACAACGGCAGGAGTGATCCGACTGAACATTACGCGGACGATATGGTTGATTCCCACTCCAAATGGACCAGAAATTAATTGTACCTACCAAGACAGCAGCAGAAAGATCAGTCGACTTCCTTCTCGTTTCTCCGGACTCTCCAGAAAAGCTAAACGACATCACGGCCAGGTACAAGGATGCCCTCCAACGATTTCTCTGTTGAGATCTATCGGCGAAATCAATGCCGATGTGTATAGGAGGCTAGGAGACCAGGCCGAAGGGCGGAGTGATCATGCTGATTCAAGATACGTTGACGGGAAGCTTCACGCGATCACTGGAGAGACTGTCTTATGCAAGGTACGGCAAGCTCGTCTTTGTTACCACCTCAATATGCTTACGCGGATCATTTATAGGCTCAAGTGGACGATCTTCGTGAACAACTGAAACAAGCGAAGCTCGATAAGCAGGTGTCTGTCTGGAGGATCGACCTTGGACGTTGTTCAGGGTGTGCTCGCCGCACTCGAAAGTCATCGAAATACTTGTAGAGCAGCTTTACTATGGGACCGTTGTACACCTCTAGATATGCATCAGAAAATGTGCATAGCAGGATACATCACAACTAGAAGATAAAAATGAAGTTGCAACCCGGCAACATAATCGGAATGAGGTTGACTCAGTCTTCATCTTGACAAGAATCCGCAGGCGAGTCATCTGATATTCGAACAGCATGCTAAACACACTGTGCATGATACCTCGTTATGGCTCAGCTGAACATGTTCGGGAGACTATTTCAATCAGCAGATTAGCCAACCACCTGCTTATCGGCGTGATGCCGCTCATGCTTGAAGAGCTGTTGGTGTCTTCGCCCTTCTGCGGTTCAAACTTAGCCTGATCTCGCGCGCCGGCTTCTGCAATTTCGGAGCTTTAGATCGTTATGTCATACTCTTTAGCGAGCCCATCATGTGCATGGAGATTCACAACGACGCCTCGATTCGTGTGCATGTGTTGAGTAGAAAAGCTCATTCAGCTAACGTTCAGCTAGACTTCATGATCATCCAATGGTGTGATTTGGGCAGAATGGGATAACAAAGGATTCTGCAAGTCACATGAGGGTATCGGCTGCTGATGAATGAGGTAATATCTGGCGAAACATCGCGAAAACCTCGCCGCGACATAACTTGCAATTGAGATATCGAGATACAGTACGACGCCTCGATCGCGTGCTGATCAAAGCCGTGTGACGGCATGAAACAAGGTGGTCAGCTGGACTCTGGCGCGATTTAAGACAAAGGAGTATACGACTGTACATTTCGATGCATCTCTCCTGTATCATATAAATCAGTCCCGCTAGACATTGGGTTGTGAATGAGATTTCGCTTCGGGAAGACAATTGAGGTTCTTCGAGTGATCTCATCTGACCTAGAAGATCAGACGATTGCCATACACCAGTATACTTGCATGATGCCAATCTACACAAGAGAACCACTGAAGCTTGAACCCCCATCTCTTGAATCCGATGAAAGCCAGCCATCTACTCCGATTGAGGATGAGATAGTATGGACGTTGGGCCCTCTCACCTCTATCTTCCCGGGCACGCTTCCTCGATCCCTGGAGAATGAATCAGTCGGGAACGGCGCAACAACGATAGACGAAGAGACTTTGGAGCAAACTGTTCTTCGCATAATCAGAGACCCTAACAATAGGGGGGTCCGGCGGGCGGTAATAGCAGATTTGATAGCGGATGACCGCTCCAGTACAGCGAGCCTCTCACCGGAGCAGAGCGAAACTTCTCTGCAGACCATGCTAGAGTCGGAGGAGGAGATGCAACAAGAACGGTATGAGTGGCCGATACAAGCCCCGCTATACCGAGCCGAATGGTGTACCGACGATGACGCGGCGTTGAAATGGTTGTGGCGAAGAGATTACGAGCGAGGCGAGGTGGAACACCCCGAGCCTCACTGCTGGCTCGTCGTTCCTACACGAATGAAGATCGATGACTTGAAAGGTGATCGACTTCAGCGTGACAAGCAGCAAAAGATCAGGCACGGTCATCTTTGGCTGACCGATCACCTGGAAAAAGTGGAACACCAGGAAAAGAGGAACTGCGGTTGCTCCCAGCAATGGGTGCCTTACCTAGAACTGAAGATGCTCACAAGGCTGGATATCCTGTGCTCCGTGAGTCGCCAAGTGACCTTATCATCAAGCATAGCGTTTGCGCTGACATACTGTCGGGAACATCTTTGCAGATTCAAATCGAGGAGGTGGTAAAGAGGGTTGTGACTTGTTTCTACGACAATGGTGCCACAAGATTCCCAGATTTTATCGGAGAGTTTCCCACTTGTAACGAGCTACAGACAGCATAGAGTAATGCCATCAGCCTTTTTTTAATCAGACCAGTCCAATTTGAAGTACTCTATACGGAAGCATCGCTTTCGCCGCGATTTGGCGGAGAGCAGCGTGCAAGAAGGGGTTTTGTTTTTTTTGGATACTTTTGCCATATCAGATCAAAGATGCAGAGGAGCACGCTTGACACGGTTTCGATACAGAGTCACACATCTTGTCACGAATGGTCGGTGCTCAGATGACGTCTTTGACTAACTGGTCGGACCGAAGTAATAGAACGTGTCTGTGAAGTAGAAATCTAAAGGGCTGCGGGATCCGGACAAAGACGACTTGACCGATTATTACAAGGATCATATCGTCCTGTTGATCCCCTTCCCTATAGGCATACGACAGGTATTCCGCGACAAGGAGATACGACACGGAGCCCGTCTGCTGAAGATAGTAGACGTGATTCGAACCGGCTCATCGCTAGCTCGAGCGATATACGCCAAAGTGGTACCTGTGCCTTTTGTACCATCTGAGACCGCATGTGTTGCCATCAGAGCTGTACAGTGTAAATTGATTCATGGTTCAGGAGGCCGCATGCGCCAAAAGAAAAGCCCTTCGCTCTGCATTCAGGCTGAACCGCGAAAACGATCACGCGTCGTTCAAAGGATCATCATCGCGACAACTCATCTGATCATCTGACATGTCGTTCCAGCATGATATGACGTGCTAGTACGTGATATGCTGGCATATGACACAGTATGATCGCATCATGTGATATCAAAGGAAGACATTAGCATGACGTGACAGATCTTTCGAGAACCCTGGGTTTGTATTGCCTTTGTACGTATAAATACCAGCAGGATCAGGGAGAAAACCTGCTGCAGCCGAGGGGGGGATGTACCTTTCGACAACCCCCTTCTCGAACAACTACCTTTGGGCATCCAATAGACAAATTACTCTATCATGCCAGCTCCAGAGAACTCCACTGAACGATCTCGGTCGGACAGTATCGAAACCATCCGTGACGATAGTGTTGATCACGACGGGGATAGCACGGCGAGCATTCGGACTGGTCAACCTCCCTCGTCGACTCTCAGTAAAAAAGGACCTCCGAGCACCAAAATCAGCTACAGGGTTACCAAGCAGGTCGCCAGAGAGAAGCGAGCCGAGCTGGAAAAACTGCTTGCGAAGTTGAAGCAGGCCAAGGCTGATGGCTCGATAGAATTCGCTTCTTTCACCTTCGAATCAGGCGCTGACGACGATCATACTTGTGGTTCCTCCGTTGTCACCGAACGAGAGGGAAAGCCTTCCGGCCCCGGTGTCGGCAAGGAGACTGGTTACGCTCGCACCTATCTGACTTTCGACGCCCACAAACAGCGATTGGAAGATGCGGCTCGAAAGCGAGAATTCGAAGATGGGGAATTATACTTCTCGGATCACGGGATCGAGCTGTTTTATCCGAGTGAGGGGAAACTTGCATGGCTCCTGACACTCAGCCAAGCGGATCAGAACAAAGATTGGGCTTCCAGGTTCGCATTCGCTAAAGAGGCGATGAGGAAGAACTTGCCGAAAGTGCTAGCAAGCGACAGAGTGATGCATGGATGTGATAATGTATACTACAGTACTGACGGAATCAGAGAGATGATTGGAGAGAAATATACGAAGATCTGTGATGTAAGCACTTACCAAGCAATCTGCTTCGCGGTCACGGGAAATTGACATGTCGTCTCATCAACGCTCACAGATCCACATCGATTTCCTGATCATCAACCTACTCAAGGAGGTCTACAAAGGGTTCGGCATGCGAACGCTTCCGATTTTCACCGATCCAAATGGCCAGCTCAGATGTAGCAACGACAGAGAGACCCAATATCGAGACTGGTGAAGGTGATCGAGAGATGCGCTATCGCAAACCCAGACGAGTCAAGTTGAAGTAGTATGCCTTTTACCTGTAACATCTGACGTTGTATGGAGATCTATCATGACCGCGCCTACGCAACGTCCTGTATGCAGTCTGTTCAGCAGGTCGCCTGCGCCGAACAAAAGCGCTCTCGCCGTGCACTCGCTAGCTGAAACGCGACTCGGGAACAAAAGAGACGAAAAAAAAGAGGGTCACCGCTTTTTTGTTGTCGACCACGCGGGATCATACCTGTTTGATTCCGAAAAGCTTCCGACGAGGAGAAGCACACAGCCCGCTGCAGCCAGAGCAAGTGCTCGCTCCATCTTCGAATATCGTCATTGCCCTCGATTTTTCAGGATTTGGGAGGGTAGAGTCGTTCGCAGTTCGTATCCAACCTCACTCATACTTCATCGACATCGGAACTACAAGGCAAGAGAGAACGACCGTAAAACACAGGATCGACGACATTCTCTCTGGGAAATTCCGCGGCTCGTAAACAAAGACCGTCTTTACCGGAAACACAGGACAACAAGCAACGGAGGATCGACGTTGAATTCCTTTTTTTCTTTTTTACACCGACTACACCGACAGCCTGGAGAGATACGACAATACGAGATATACGACTCTTTTATTCACACTAGAGCCAGCTTCAAAGCCTAGACTTGGATCACACATCACGATACTGTAGCACGATAGCGTAAAATACCAATCCGGAGGCTGATTCGATAACTAGCTGGCTAGTTAGACGCGAATTAGACGTCGACCCCGGCAATACAAACAACGAACGAGCACACCAGCTCTCACTTTCAAGGAGGACATACTTATCAAGACGGAGAATAGGTAGGCATGCCTACATCAGTAGGAGACGTGGGGTCAAACCTCGTTGGATCATGGAATAACGGCTTGACGTGAGTATCTACCTAATGCGAAACCATCAAGGGGTCAGACTCTGCCTGAGAGAAAGGAGCTCATACAAAACATCCGTTTTCGTGGGAATTTTTATCCCTTGGGACATGCAGGTCGACCAAGGCTGTAGGATCGCAATTGGCGTTGATGAGCGCTCTTTCGGTGAGTGGACGAGGCTGTTGGTTTCGCAGTAGATGAGGATGAAGGAATGCTGATCGTTGTTACTGCTGCTATTTTTGGCTCATCGTTCTACTGTCCGTCATCTTTGTCGACTTCGTCCTCCCGACATCATACCCACGTCCTATAACCCAGCTGGTCACCCTGCTCGCCTTCTCCCTCCTCCGACCGCGGGACAAACGAGTCTACGCACCCAAGATCAAATACCATCAAGCGGTCGACCAACAAAAGCGCGCTTCGCGGTTACACCCTCCTCCCAACGGCTCTAATCATGTGAGGGACCATAGTACGGGGATGATCAACCCCAACGAGGGTGGGTATGGTTATGAGGCCAAAGGGCAGGCAGGGTTCGGATTCGAGAGGGATAGGGAGGATCATAATGCCGCCATCGAGGATCCGTTTGCGGATGCCGCGCCCCCTCCGCCGATCAGGAATGGGTTCTTCAGTTGGTTCAGCCCGGTGCTGCATGTGCATGAAGAGGCGATGTTGGAGCAGATCGGTGAGTCCGTGTGTTGATGACGAGTTGGCTTTGAGGGGATAAAAGCTGATTGGCAGGATCTGGATGTGACCGTTCAGGCCTGGACGGGGTGACGTTCTTGAGGGTTTTGAGGTTATTGAGGATTTGCTTTTCCGCCATCTCGGTGATCGCTGTCGGGGTTTTGCTGTAGGTCCACTTCCGAAAGTCTTTACACGGTGAACATGGCTAAAACGAAACGACCCCGCTCGTACAGCCCGATCTACGTCGTCTGGAACAAGAAAAAGTCGACCAACTACAACTTTTTCTCGATGATGACCGTCCAGAACCTCTCGGGCAGCATCATGTGGGCTCCCGTTGCTGCCACGTACATCATCATCTTCATCGTGTGTTACTTTGTCTGGTATCATTGGAAGAAGATGGTCCTCCTCCGACAGAGCTGGTTCAGGAGCCGAGGGTACAGGAGGAAGATTTATAGTAGGACCTTGATGGTCACGCTCGTACCCAAGGATTACCGGACCGACGAGGGGCTGGTCCATCTGATGGGGAAGCTCAAGGTCGATGGGATCAAGATCGGTCAACAGATCGACTGTACCTCGATCGGACGCAAACTCGAGGATTTCCCTGATCTCGTCGAGGAGCACAACAATACCGTCCGGGCCTTGGAAGAGGTCTTGGTGAAATACCTCAAGAACGACCAGATCGCTGCCAAGCGCCCGACCGCCAAGATCGGCTCGACGTTGGGTCTAGGCGGGACCAAGGTCGACGCGATCGACCATCACGCGAAAAAGGTCAAGGAGCTGCGGGACAAGATTGAAGCCAAACGTGCGGACATCGACGCGTTGATCAGGAAAGATAGGAACGCGAGGAAGCAGAAAAAGTCGGTCAAGCCGCACGGAGAGAATTATGGGTTTGTGACTTTCAAGACGATCGCCGAGGCGCATAGAATTGCGAGGGCTCATAGGGGCAGGCTGAAGGAGTTGGGTGGTGCCGAGTTGTCTTTGGCCCCGCCTTCCAGGGATCTGGTCAGTCTTGTGGGCGTATCGAGATGATTCGGGTTGGACGACTGATCCTTAGAACGACCGCAGATCTGGAAGAACGTCACTATGGAACCTAGCGAGCGGAGCTCCAAGGTCGTCATGGGGTTCATCTTTCTCGGAGTCGTCTGCTTCTTCAACACTGTTCCGCTCTTGGCCGTCTCGATTCTCGCCAACTTGACTGCAGTGAGTTTCACGGTTGAGCTGTCAGAGCGTATCAAGCTAACGTTTGTCCGATCGACGCGGTACAGCTTGCGGTGTACGTACCGTTTTTGGACAAGTGGAAGGGTGCCGGACAATGGGGAGAATGGTACGTCGACCCTGTGCTGCCTGCTACTGACCGGTGGCTGAGTAATGTATTCGCCCATCAGGACCTTCTCGATCGTCTCGGGTATCCTGCCGCCGACCATCTCGGCATTGTTCGGTTTCTTCCTGCCCATCATCATGAGGCGATTGACCAAGTATCAGGGCGCCATCACTCGGTCGCGTCTGGATCGAGCCGTCATGGCGCGGTACTTTGCGTTCTTGATCATCTCCAACTTTTTGACCTTTTCCCTGTTTGGTGCGGCGTGGAGTGAGTCTTCTCGGTCGTGCACATGAGGGGGCCGGCTTGATGCTGATTGATGGTTGTTGTAGATGCGGTCGCCCAGATTATCGAGCAAGCTGGCGAGAAGAAATCGTTCAAGGAGATTATGGACAACTTGGATGGGCTGCCCAACAGTAAGTTATGGCTAGCAAAGGCTTGGTAGAGATTTTGAGTGTTGACCCGGCGTCTGCTTTATCACCTAGGCATCCAGCAGGCGTACATCCAGCTTTCGGTCTATTGGTTGACTGCGTTCCCTCTGCGTGGATTCCTGGTCATCTTCGAAATCGCTCAATTGATCAAGTTGCTGCTCCTTTCGGTGCAACGACTGTAAGTTCGCTCCGTACATCTCATCCGAACAATGGACGGAGCTAACCGATTCGTTATAGCCTGTTTGCCAAAACGCCTCGTGATATCAAGGAATATACTAAGGTATGCACTGGCACAAGAAGGGAATCGTCTCGTCTCTGCTTATTGATAATGTTTGCTATAGCCGCCTTACTTCGAGACTTCGGTGGTCCTGACCAACTTGTTGTTCTCGGCGGCTGTCGCTTTGGTCGTAAGCCACGAAAAACATTCATGCTCGCTATTCTCTCGCCTATACTGATCTGCGCTCCTCGCAGTATGCACCCCTCGCACCCTTGGTCTGCCTCGGTTTCACCCTGGTCTTCTGGCTTTCCTCTTTCGTCTACAAATACCAGGTCAGTATGCTGGTTTGGAATAGCCGCAAATTCACATACTGATGGAAGCACTTTTCTATAGCTGCTCTACGTCTACGTATGTCGAGCAGAGTCCGGAGGCCGACTTTTCAACGTCGCTGCCAACCGTATCTTGGCTTGCTGCGTATTCATGTCGCTTTTGATGATTCTGAGTGAGCGAATATACTAGATCAAACATGATGCATCTTGCTGACAGTGCTCTCGCTTTTCGTAGCTATCGCCCTGAATCGACGGGTATACACCGATATTATTGGCGCAGCGGTTCCACTCCTCATCGTAATCGCCTTTAAATTCTTCGTGGTCCGCCCTCTCGAGAGGCAATTCAAGTACTACAACCCTTCGCCTCAGGAAGCCGAAGAAGAGTGGAACGCGGTCATGGGCGAGAAGCGAACGCACCACCGTGATATGGAAAAACGATTCTTGCACCCGGCCCTACAGAACAACGAGCTGTTCACAGTCATGGTTCACAAGAAGCAGGAGGCTCTCGCCCGTGACGTCATGTCTGCGTACCCCTGGTTCAACCCGAAAGTCGTCGCCGAGGTGAGTACTGACATGTGATTGAGGATTCCAACTCTGCGCTGAGCACAGCTCGTGACCTCCTCTAGGATCGCCTCGAGTTTGATCCGAACCGCGATCGAGCCAATGATGCGGATTGGGAGACTGGCTCGATTGCGTCTTCCCGAATGCTCGATGGTCGTTCAGAGATTGGCGTCAAATCGGAATTCGGCAGTACCCTCGGACCAGACAGGCTACAAGCGTATTACCAACAGGGTCACATGGCCCGTTCGGGTTCGGACTTGGGTATCACCGAACGAGGATCCGATCTCGGATATGCCAATCCTCTGGACCGATCGTCCGACAATCTCCTTTCGGCGAGCGATTACGCAGCTCAGCAAGGTCCGATAAGAAAGGCCAGCGTTCGGGAGTACAACCCTCGAAAGATGACCGACGATCCGATCTCGGTTCGACCGTTGCTGGAGAACGATTCCGAGGTCAACTTGCATCAACCGATGAGTCGACAGCCATCGACAAATTCGTTTGCTCCACCCTATCCACCTTCGCGACTGCATAGCCCGCCGGTGGGGTACACGCCTCCTGCAATGCCGGGAATGAGCAGGAATCAGAGTTATACGTCGAGCGAGGGTGGCAGGCAGGATGACCGCGCCTGGGGCCATGGTCAGAGGTACAACTGAGGAATTTTCTTATATAACAAGGACAGTCACAACTACACATCACTATTGTATCTCCTTTATTGCATTTGGCATCGAAAAAGCATGCCATGAACATGAACAGAGTCTGGTCCGGCCTGTCCTCGAGGTTGTCGATTTCATGCCCTACCCTTCTCAGGATTGACGATGGCCGATGACGAATGCCGCCGAGAGATTCGATTTCGCCAAAAGGGCGCCGTTGCGGATGACGTTCGACAATTCCGCTGCGGATAACGTCGTCGATCCTCGATATCCATCGTTTCTTCCCTCGCAGTACATTTGCTGAACCTGTCTAGCAGGTTGCGGACGTCAGGTCATCCCCAAGAACTAGCTTGATCCAGCGACTTAGCTATTACGGATTCCCTCGAGCATCATATCTAGGCCATGTCCTTCAACATGAGACACACCGGGAAACACGCCTTGAACCTGCACAGGCTTGGGGTCTTTGGCAACCGGTTACGACTGCAAGCTAGGAGAGGTATCGCCTCTGAGATCAAGGAGGCAGGAAAAGAGACGCTAGTCGTCCTCGGTGCAGGTTGGGCTGGGTACCAGTTCATAAGCAAGGTGGACAAGGTGAGTCGAGCAGGCGGCAGCTTTGTGCGGTTAGAAGCTGATTCGGTCGACTTCGCTGGCCTGGAGCAGAGCAAGTACAAGATCGTGTCCATAAGTGGGAGTACAACCTTTGTTACCACCCCACTGTTACCGAGTGCAGCGACCGGAGCGCTCTCATTCAGGGACATTGTCGAGCCATTACGTTCAACAAATGATGTCAACTATTACCACGCCTGGGCAGAAGATGTCGATTTCAAGAACAAGGTCATCACGGCCATTCCTGCCGCCAAACCCATCTTTAGAGGAAAAGATCCTCTTGTCAAGCAACAACAGCGGGATGCTAGAGCAGAGACGGTCGCCGAGGCTACGACCGAGTATCAGATCAAGTATGACAAGCTCGTCATCGCGACTGGGTGTTACAACCAGACGTTTGACACTCCTGGAGTCAAGGAGAATGCATAGTCAGTGTGGCTTGAGAAAAGCCTGACTATCAACGTATTGATTCAATCAATCCTCTCTTGCAGCTTCTTGAGGGATATTGAGAGCGCTGCAGCGATCAGATATCATATCTATGAAATGCTAGACAGTGCTACATGGCCAGAGTCAGTCCAGTATCCCATGCTCAAGTCCTTTTCACAAGCTGACACCTAGCCTGTATACAGCCTCTCGGACACGCTAAGACAAGCCCTCCTAACCTGGGTCATCGTAGGAGGAGGTCCGACTGGCTCAGAACTCGCTGCAGAGATGCACGACCTGGCTCGGTCTAAAGAGTTCAACAAGCTCTACCCGACGTTGGCTCCTCAGATCAAGATCAAGCTTTTGGATGCCGCGCCGGCTATCTTGACGAACTATGATAAGGCCTTGAGCAAGTATGCTGCAAAGAAGCTGAAACGCGACGTAAGTTGTCTTGAATGCTGCCTGTCGGAGATGCCTTCTGATTTTACGACCGATCCTTTCAACAGGGAATCGAGGTTTTGACTTCGCGTAAAGTCTTGCGTGTCGAGCCAGACAAGATTGTGACCGAGCAAGATGGCGAGAGTGAGCGACCGTCCTAGTACCTCACTGAAAGTCTAAAAGCAGCTAAATTCTGTCCCCTTGGATAGTTCCTGCCGGCCTGGTCGTGTGGTCCACTGGAAACAAGGCTTCACCGCTCAACGAGACCTTGGAATCGCTGCAGAGGGACAAGAAGAAGTCGTTTGTCGTTACCGAGGAATTGCAGGTCTTGAACAGACCGACGGTAGAGGGGCAACGAGGGGAGGTCGTCCCGGACGTCTGGGCGATGGGGGATTGTGCGCAGATCGATGGTCATCCTTTACCGGCTACTGCTCAGGTCAGTCGTCGGCTGCTAGATAATACTGTAATAGGATGCTGACATTCGTCATACAGGTTGCCAACCAAGAGGGAGTGTTCCTAGCAGACTTGCTCTCTGGCAGAATATCATATCCGGCCAAAAAGAGCTTCAAATACGTACATAGAGGTGAGCCAGCCATACCTGCACCTCCGGTTAGTCCGGGAGTCGGATCTGATTTCATTCATGATTGACCAGGAACCATGACGAACATCGGTGGTGGAGAAGGATTGGTCGAGGCTCCGTTTGCCAACCTCCGAGGTCGAATGGCTTATATAGCTTGGAGGGGGTACTATTGGATCAGCAGTCTGAGCTGGAGGAACAAGTTCAACTTGGCTTTCAGGTGAGGGACGATCGGTGGCGGCCTGGATGTTTCTCCTCCAGACGCTGATACTGATGATTTGGAGCTTTCAGATGGACACAGAACGCGATCATCGGGCGGGATATCTCCCGGATCTGAAGCTGTATCTCAGCGAGATCCTGTTCAGGTCCACTGTAATGATACTTGGCTCACCACACTCGATGTATCGTTCACGAATCTGATGACTCGTCCATCAATGCATCGAGTCGCAGCCGAGCCTGACATTTTTCGCGTGCCCGAGCTTGTGGGTTGTTGTGTTTGTCGCCTCTGGCCGCCCGTTCCCAGTCCAGATTCACATGCCAGACATCATCATCTACTTTCCTGCTTCTGCTCACTCCGACTTGATATGATCAGCCCGCTAGCCTTCACACAACTCCATAACATACTGGAGGTCTGTACCTCATAGCAAGCGGCACACTGGAGGCTTGTATCTGCCGGCGCATCGGCACAATGACTCTCGATATCCCCATGTCCCATACCAATGGTACGACTCACAGTAACTCCAATTCCACGCCCGTTTCCCCTATGACTACTGCTCAACGTCCCGGCTGGAGACACATCCCGAATTCCAACTCCTCGCTCGTCTCAGCTACTGCCGCTGGCGTTAATCCGTACTTCATGGACGAGGACACTGCCAATATCGGAATCCTCAACGACGAGATCGTCACGCTCATCGTCGATATGATGATGGAGGACGATGCTATGCGACACCACCGATCTTTCGAATGCCCCAACTTTCAAAAACACTACCCTCTCTTTCGTCTTCGACCTCATTCGGAGGGTCTTGCCAAGCTTTGCCTGGTTAGCAAACATATGCGACACCGGGTGTTGACCAGACTCTATCGGACGTTGAGGTTTCACGGAGGAGGAGCTGAGGCTCGGGATGAGTGGGAGCAGTTCAATGCCCATATGACGATCAAGGATACCCCGCAAGTACAACTATCTCAGCCCAAAATCTACATCAAGTGAGTCGAACCGCATTATATGTGTACCATGCTCGCCTTGCTGATGCTAGCCTTGTCCTTCGTAGAGAAATCCTCTGCGCCAGACCCGTCTCCAACAAGGAATACGCCGAGAACCTCTTCAACCTCATGCAATCCTGTCGCAACCTCGAGCGAATCGATCCCTCTTGCCTCAGTACTCACCAATTCTTCAATCAGAAACGCGTTCCCAATATCGTCCCTGCTACAGTGACCGAGCTCAGATGCGTCGGCATCCAGACCAAGGCCGAGATCACGGGATTGGTGGGGAAGCTCCAGCCGATGTTTAGCAATATTGGAAGGTTGCCGAGGAATGGTGGGATCAGAGGTCCTTACTGGAAACGAGACGATTTTCAGCACGTCACCAAGTTGGAGATCGTGCCGACGTTCTTGGCTTGGACAAAGATGCAGTTCGCCAACTCCGCTCGCAACAGGTATGAGGAGGCCGAGATACCCTATAGCGACATTAAAGAGTGGAAGCCGGAGGAGGATAATTGGGGAAACTTGGTCGGACTTGAGACCGTCTCGCTCGACTGCAGAGAGGTCGGGTTGTTGCCGAAATCGGAACAGTATCTCAGGGAATACGCGAACGACAGGTTCCGTCTCGAGACCAACTATGACCACGGCACGCCAAACCCGTACAAGATGCAGGGGAAGATGTGGCAGGAGAAGAGGAACAACAACGTGTTCTTCTGGGCGATGTTGGGTAATACCCCTCAGTTGCCGGAATTGAAGAGCTTGGAGATTGATTTGGAATTCAACCCGTGGGCTCCCGAGCCCGAGAAAGGCGAACTGATTTACGACGAATGGGTGAGCGGTCTCTCCTTTCAGGCGGACACCCCCTTGTACATCGCAATGACTGACGGTCTTTTTCACGCACAGTACTGGTTGCACGAATGGATCAAGCGGTTGAATGTCAAAGCCCGTACCCTCGTCGTCCGCCTTCACGTCAAATCGCCCATCCAAATGTTCACCGAGAAACGTCGATCGGACGGCAAGGTGCCCGAAGACCGTGACGCACCGGTATTCGAGGCTGGGTGGTTGTTGAACAAATTGCCGAGCGAGGAGAGGATGAGGGCCGTCTTTGCGGAATTCAACCGGTTCAAACCGACGTCGGGACCACTTCCCTGGAAGTACCTCGACGTTCAGCTCGTCGCGGAAAGGTTCCCTCGCTCGGAGAGGCAGATCGTCCTCCTGAGGGAGTGGAAGATTATCATGAACGAACATACCAGAAAGCTCGTCGAGAGCGGCAAGTCGAGCATGGTCGTTCACGACACCAGCTTCCTCGAGTTTGCCGACCATTTCAACACGCTCACTTGGTCGGAGCGACTCGAGAGACGCCTTCATGGTATCCCCACCAACTTGGTCGGGCTGATCTAGAGATCTAGACCGGATCGGGATCTCCCGGAGAAACGAAATATTACGAATTACCGCCATTGAGCGGGAGCGATCAGCCACATAGAGCTCGACGCATACACTTCCCCACCATTACGATACGAAAACGACAACCATCTTGAGAGATCGACAACGATAACCACATAGACAACACATCACAAACACGTCTCTTGGACGTAGACATACAATATCAGCAATAATTATACCCGACATCGCGACTGCAACTTTTGGGCTTCGGGGAACGGAGACGATACAAGCCTGGCACGGATCGCTGGGACGGTCGAACGTGATTTACATCCGCCAACGGTTATCGGGCTGGCCAATACATTTTCTGGACCTATCAATCATCAACAGTTTTTGCTTGACTGTAATCACATCCGGTCGAGATGATTATGAATACATCCGGATCTTTTCTTTGCCTTGAGATTCTTTCGGGCATAACGAGTGGCATTCGTACCCGGCATTAGCTTTTTCGAGAATACATGACGTAAGAACCTAATCGAGACTGATCCACCTCTGATCGCTTAGGTGAATAGGGTCTTGATCATTCGGGAGGACCCTCCTTTGGACAGAAGATCGGGATCGCCGCTTCCACCGGAATACGTCACGGGGGACATTCAATGTTTTGATCGGTCCCCGACCAGGGCGGATCGACCGTTCGTGATCTTTCCGTCTCGGAATGTCTTAGTCGACAAGGCGGCAGAGACGGCAACAGGAAGAAAGCTGAAACACTTGCCTTGATTTTTGCGGAAGCTAATCGATGGGGTACCTTTGGGTCAATGGTCTTCTCGGTTAGAAGCTTACGCCCGCGTAGACTTTGGCTAACAGATCGCTTTTGTTATTCGCAAGAGGTATATAGGTAGATGGGTCTTTCTTTGCGCCCTTGTTTCTCTGGCCTCTTGGACATCCACCAGGCCATCAGAACGACCCACTCTGGACCCCTTCCTTAATCGACATGAGTGTTCTGGCGGGAGCGACCCCATCCGACGGGTCGTTGATTTCCGGGATCTACGACGATGAGCTAGCTTTTGCCTTTGCTAGCCAGGAGGAGATCGATTCCGAAATCCAAGATAGTACGCTCAGCTGTACTTCGAAGCGAGATCGAGATGAAGCGTTTGGAAAGCAGGACGAAACGGAACTCGAGAGGAAATTCAGTGAGTCTGGCGCCTTGGCCGCGCTTGATCCGGTGACTGAAATTATATCTCCTCGATCGCAGAACGTACTGGCACCTGGGCTCGCATTGATAGCATCGAGGAGACCGAGGACCTGATCAGCATCAGCCAGGTTGACAAGAAGTACGAATACGACCCGGCGCTCAGGCCTTATACAGCCGTCTACCACAACAACCAGTACTCGTTCTCGGTGGACAAAGGGCGCGAGTCGAACCGGGTCTTTCGTACCGTTCCTGCGAATCGGTTCTTGATCTTGACCTTGCCGGAGATCAAGACCATGCGAGAGATCTTGAACATCTTGAAAAGAGACATCGTACACACTTTCCCCGAGACTGGTAAGTTCATGCTGGTATGCCATGCGACGAGCTTAGGCGCTTCTGACATGATCTCCCTTCGGTTTACAGGTATTAAGAAACGTTTCACCTTCCTGTCCTCAAGTGACAGTCGAATCCGAGTCAAAGACAGGAAGACCGTCTTGTTTTTCGAAGAAGGTCCCGATTATACGGCTAGGAGCCTGTTGCAAAAGTTCGGCGACCTGGACGCTATCCTGCTCAAGAGCGGTATCGGAAAATACTTTGCACGGCTTTCGTTGAACTTTTCGACCACGATTCCGACCATCGATATCGATAGGTTCCAAGTGGCCACGATCCCGGATCTGCAAGCCCCTGATGGCAAGGACTTTACCGATGGGTGTGGATGCATCACCAGGTCGGCCGCTCGTCGTGTAGCCAAAGCTCTCGGTTTGCAATACGTCCCATCGGTCTTCCAGTTCCGCTACGCCGGAGCCAAGGGGGTGTTGGTCCCGCACGAACCGGAGGATCTCGAAAGGTGGTTCCCTGGTCATTATGAACCGGGTATCGAGCTCTACCTTCGACCTTCGCAGATCAAGTACGAAGCATGGCAGTATACCTCGCTCGACATTAGCGATCACTCGAAACAACGCACCGTCTTCAAGTGTGCAAAGTTGCAACGCGCGATGATCAGGATCTTGACCGATCAAGGGGTCCCATTGAGGAACTTCAAGATGCTCTTGCGCAAAGAATTGGAACACCTCGTAGGCGTCTTGAAGGATCGACAGAAGGCCAGCGATTGGTTGAAACGGCAAGAGACCTCGCTCGACGCCGACGATAAATCGTCTCAGGCCTTGTGTAGGTGATGTTTCTGATACCGAAATCCTCTAAAGCTGACACGAACGGTATGAACCTCTCAGGCCTCCGAATGATTGCGGCTGGACACGATCTCTCGGAACCGTATCTCGCTCAAATGCTAGGAAGAATGTTGGCCAAGGATATCCTCCAACTTCGCCGCAAGCTTCACATTCCCGTAACCAACAGTATCTACCTCTTTGGGGTTTGCGACGAGTCGGGCGCTTTGCAAGATGACGAGATCTACTGCCATGCGGGTACAGACGGTTTCATCGAAGGAAAGGTTCTCATGACCCGTTCGCCTATGTGAGTCTCGATGTGACGTTCTTGAGCTGCGCGGTTTCTGAATACACGGTGCTGGCAGGATGCACCCTGGAGATATCCGTGTCGTCACCGCTGTCAAGCCTCCCGAAGACAGTCCATTCTACCGACATTCTGACTGCGTCGTCTTGCCGATCAGAGGCTATCAACCGCTAGCGGACAAGATGGGTGGTGGTAAGCATTTCCTTCACTCACCGATTTTTCATGGTACTGATCGGAACTCGCTCCTCAGGCGATCTCGATGGAGATCAATACTTCATCTCGTGGAATGAAGCGATTATTCCGGAGACGGTTGACCCTCCTAACCCGCGCGAAGTAACTCCTCCTAGTACCCCTCTCGAAGTAAAGGTCAAAAAGGAAAAGTCGGCTCGACCTGCGAAAACGTATGATCATATGGAGGAACTCAGGCGATATATCGGGAAACGAGTCCTCAGCTTTGACATCGGCGCAACGGCCAAGGCCTGGACGGAAGCGGCCAATGCGCGGGAACTTGGATCGAGAGACCCCTACTGCCTGGCTCTCAGCGCTCGGTACGAATGCTGCCTAGACACCAACAAGACCGGAGAAGAAATCCCGCCTATCCCTCCTGACGCCCTCAAGGGACCGTTGCGCACTGGTACGTACGCGCATATCATGGACGACCAAAGACGCGCCTTCGATAATATTCTTTACAGGCCCTTGCCCTTTCGAGCAACTGGACTTGATCATCCGCCAAGAAACGCTGGGTCTGGCATGCCCTTGGACGTTCGGTCAGGGCGATCGCACGAGTGAAATGCAGCAGCAGCGCTTCCAGCCGGATCCCGACTTGATGTTCCTGCAGAGCACTCCAGAATGGAGAAAGGCTTACGCCGATGTTTGTCGGCTTTTGGGGGAGTATTGGAAGGAGTTCCACAAGAACCTGAAGAAGATGGAAGGACCAAACAAGCCGTTGGTCAAGCTTGAAAGAGAGCCGGTCGATATATTCAGCCAACCAGGTGAGCAGCCCGGAATGCTCAGCGTTTCTTTGCTTCGTTAACGATCGGCGCCATTCAATCCTAGCGGTCACTGCCAAGGACTTGGCGCGCGAGGTCTTTCAGGAAGAGATGGACCGCTACCTGGAATCGCAACGTGTCACTCTTTTCAAACCGGACGAGAAGGATGCCGAATTCAACAGAGAAAACACCATAATCGCTTCGGCTTGCTATTCTGCGGTCTACAATAGAATGTCAAACGGGCTCGCTACACCGATCGAAATGGCTTGGTGGGGAGAACCATGGCTGAACAGTCTCAAAGCGCGTGAGTCGTCGCTCAATTTCGCTGCTGCTTGATTTACTCGGTAACTCAACCCAACAACGTTCATAGAAAGGATCAATGAATCTCTTGGATCGTTCGGACCACCAGTCTGTGTGTCCAGATCCTCCAACCGACGGGACTTCCAGATGGAACTTCGCGTCAAAGAAGTACGATATACGGCTACATCGACGAGCCTCCCCGCTCTAGCCACACAAGATTCTATTGACCCCTGAATCCTTTGGGCGAATGTCAAGATTGCGAATGGTTCTACCATACCTACTCCTTTATTCTTTACCCCTGATCTACACAGCAGCTTCGCTCGAGTAGCCTTTGTACCCTCATTTCGACGCAGCAAGATATATACGTACCTGTTCCAGCAGAATGATCCTTATGCGCTACGAACAACGCCTGTAACAGCAGTTAACTTATTCATCCTCCTTGCAGCAATGTCTTCAACTCTTGATCTGCTTTTCCTTGGGTCGGGCGCCTCTGCACCGGTACCAGAATTGAGATGTTTGGTCCGACCGAAGAAGTCGCCGCTGGGACCCTGCAATGTGTGCTTGGAGGCCCAGTCGAATCCCGTATCCAAGAATATCAGGGGATGTACTTCTGGAGTGATCGTGAAACAGTGGGATGATGGGAGGCGGAGGTGCGATGCGCTCGTCCGCCTCGATCTATTTGTCGTGTTTAGCTGATGTTCTAGCGCTTGCCTCCAACGATTTAGTACGATCTTGATCGACAGCGGGAAGACTTTCTTGGGCAGTGCTGTCAAGCAGTTGCCGAAGAACGACATCAGTCGAGTTGATGCTGTCTTTCTAAGTCACATCCATGCTGACGGTAGGTTTAACCAGGTTCTTCCTGGTAGTGACCTGTGTTGATGATGCACCCCTTACAGCTACTCAAGGCCTGGACGACCTCAGGATGTTCACGTTGGCGAATGAGATTCAGACCTCGATCGATGTCTACGCGGATCGAGCCACGCACGACGCTGTCGCTCGTAGATACCCGTAAGCCACATTCGCCGCAACACACCAATGTACGGCTGAAGTGACATCGTGGGATAGAGCTCTCTTCAACTCTGGTGCCGGTCGAGTCGGCGCAACTCCGGTAGCCGCTTTACGGTTCCATGTGTTCGAGTACGGCAAGGTCATCGAGATCGCTGGTATCGTACGTATCTTAGAAAAGGTTCTTGAAGGGTCGCGTGCGCTTATGCTCAGGATCGTGTCTTATTAATCATCAGCGTATCAAACCAGTCGCCGCCCCTCACGGCCAAACTCACATCAGCGACTACCTCGGCGCGACTGGACTGTCGGCGGACGACCCGAGCGTCGCAAACGATCGAGTTTTACCTCCGCTCTACTGCGCTGCGTTTGAAGTTGACGAAAAGATGCTCTGGTTGAGCGATGTGTCGACCTTTCCGGATGCAATGATGAAGCAACTCAAGGCTGATCGACCTTATGGCAGTGAAGATGTCTACGAAGTCGTCGCGCTGGATCTGACGGACCTGAAGGAAAGTGGCAGTCACATCGGTATTACCGGTTTCTGTCAGGCGGTGTTGAGGTTCCGGGCCAAGCAGACGTTGGCCGTTCAGATGTCGCACGAGATCGACGCGTACGGTCTTGACAACCTCGGCGAGATGATCCGAGGAGGTGAGAGGGATCACGCTCACGACGCATGGTTCGAGAAGGCTTGGGCGCATATCAGCAGGGTGCATCACTTGTGGGACGACTTACAGAACGTTCAGCCGTTCGTACGGGCAGCGTACGATGGTTTACGCCTGAGCCTCTCGGACGGAGACATCAAGGAAGTCACGCCGAAGTGATCCAAGAGAGCGTTCGCCGAGTGATGTTATGCATTGTTGTGGTCCCCATGTTGTATACATTCCATAGACGAAGGAATCTCATCTCGACTTGTTTGCTGCCTTTCTTCGAACTTCTTCCGAGACCATCCCGCCCATGCTCCATGCCAAGGTTCCCAATGCAAGAGCGCCGATGGTGTAGGTCACAGACGGCCCTTGCGTCCAGTACGTCGTGGTCGCTAGCAGAGGACCGATCGCTCGGCCCAGTTGACCCTGATGACGACCTGACATTCAGCTTGCTGTTGGCGTTCTACGTTTCGCGGAGACTTTCTGCAACTCACTGCCGACCTGAACCGACCGAGTGCCTTTCCTCTAGGCAGCTTTCCTCGTTGATCCGCCTCGTCCTCGACATCATCACAACAAGCAGCCGCGGCGCCCATCATCCCCGTCACGGCCGTTGCGCTCGTATAGCTCAACCCTGTAGCGATTGCGTACAATACCCAGGAACTCCATCTTGAATCCCTGACTCCCGTTAGGGGGAGGATAGCCATCAGGGCCAGGGAGACGGTGCAAGAGTAGATGCCTTGTCGGGTGAACGTGAGCTCGGAGGTCTTGTGTTTCGATAGTCTGGGGCGGACGAAACCTCCTTGCAGCAGGGATGAGAGGACGCCGATGTCTGCGAACATGTTGACGTTAGTGGAACACCTAGGCGGTAGGGATTCCAATCGGCTTACAGGATAGGAGCATTCCATTCTGCTTATTAGTAGCGAAGAACAGATCATACGCTACGATTCGCAATGCGTCCGGGAGAATCAATATCTGCTATGCACGCGCATCTTACAAGTTGATTGGCAACTTACTGAGGAAAGTCAAGGTAAACTCGGCCTGCACAAATACAACCTCGTGTCAATACGCCATCAAATGCGAGCAAGTAACACCGAAAACCCTGCACACTCACCCCGGAGAAGAAGAGCAAAAACAACCCATGCAGCCTTCCTAACTTTCTCAGTCTTTCTTTCCTAACCTCCACGCTCTCCCGCTTCACACCGCCCTCTTTCTCCTCTTTCTTCTGCTCTTCACCCGGACCCCCCTGAGGGACGTCTTTCAGGCCGACACGGGACTTGTAACCCCGGGTTTCTGGGAGGGAGACGTATAGGTAGAACGTCTCTATGCAGAGGAGGACGAGGGAGACGAGCGCGGGGAAGGCGTAGACATTGAGGACTGGTTTAGAGCTTTTATCGGGGGTGATGGGGGACGCTGTGGTAGGTAGAGAGCGGGAGGCGAAGTAAGCTCCGATGGACGGTCTGGTAGAACCATCGTTGTTGACTTTAGCTAAACCCAGAGTATCCTTCGCAGCGACCGATTTCCCCCAGGCGGACTCACCCGAAAGTGAAACACACGGAAAAGGCGATCCCGACGAGCGCCAACGATTTCGACCTGGTCTCCGGGGTCGTCACGTCCGAGATGATCGCTCTACCATTCCCCCAAAGTCGTCGTCGATATGTATGATCAGCCTTCAGGCGAGGAAAGAAGCGGTATAAAGGAGTGTGCAGGGCGGTTGTGGGTACGTACTGCGAGAGCTGTACGTTCCCTTCGCTAAGACCGCCTATAAGACGGGAGATCAGGTAGATCGACTACGAGCAACAGTCAACCACCAGGAAAGCTCAGTGTTCAATAGGAGGGACTAAACAGCTAGATATGACGGAGAAGACGGGAGATGGGGAGATGCTTACGAATGTCGTGCTCTTCAGCCAGATGAAGGCGGAGAGGATGTTCCCGAGCATCGTAAGCAACAAGATCGGTTTCCTCCCATACTTGTCCGAGACTAGCAGACCATGACCAAAATCCCCTCGAGTCAGTATGTCAAGGTCAAGACGGCCGGAAGAGATGCTGGGAGCTAGGATTGACAGACTCACGCGACCCGAGCGAAGGACTGATGATACATTGACACAACGAGAACACGCTCCCTAGGGCTCCTCCGAGGAGTACGACGTCCCACCGCTTGTTCCCCGCCGCAGCACTCGATAGAGTACTACTTTGGTTGTTTGAGGCGAGCGATCGGAAGGAACGGAATAGGGAAAGGACGCGGGAGAGGAAAGAGTTTGGGTTGGATGATTCTTGGGAGGTGTAGTAGTCGATCAGGCGAGGGAAGAGGGGGAGCGGGAGGGTAAAGGCTAAACGTCGAGATGAGAGAACCTTGAGTCAGCGAGTGTTGGAAATCTAGAACGGATCAGGTGGTATGAACGGCTCACCGAGCAGGTCGAGCACGAGAGCGAGAAAGACGGTCTTGACGATCCTGGACGACTCGCTCGACATCGCTTTAGGTGCTGATGCTGACATGATCGATGACTCGTGTCCGACCTCGATCAACTATGCTGTTTTAGGCTATGCGGGATCTTGCTGACGGCTAGAAGTGTCAAGGTCTATCTTGCGAACGTCAACCAACTTCGACCGAGAGAGGTCGACATGGTCGTGATCGAACTTAGTTGATGAGGTGGGACATCTGCCGGAATTTCCCGGAAGCTAATTTCGACCGTTTCGGAAGTAATTCTAACGGGATCAATCTCGTCTGGGTCCGCTTGTCCCCCTTTTAGCGCGAAAGTATATTTTGGATCTCGTCCGCTTTCTCTGTGTTTCGAGCTTCGAGGGGTTGTTTCGGGCAGTCTCGTATCGTGTTCCGAGAGCATCGGATAGACAGTGCTGTCTCCATCGTAATTTCGATGAAGATGGACCAAAGTTGAATTTTGAAGCAAGATGCGGTTCAATTAGGATGACGTCGATATGAGTTTGACGATAGACGTTCTTCGAGATCAAGGAGAAAGCAAAGTACCAAAGATTTAACTGGGATATTGCCTGGCCAGCTGTCATTATGGACTCTCAATTGTCTGTACACTAAGTACACGAGGGAAAGAGATGGAGAGATGAATCTTGCTTGCTATGGCCACTATATCGGATCTAGACAGGGTTGGCAATGCCTTCATGAGCTGGCTTTGTTCAGAACCGGTTGTGGCTCGATTCACATGCTGCCATGATCCGTTCCGTATATCGCAGCTTAGCGAAAGTCCAGACGAATGGCCCTGATAGTTGAAATCCGACGTCTGCGCAAAAGTTTCGGCAGGATGGATCGAGCTCGAGGCTGTTAATATTCGATACTGCATGTTCCCTCGACCTTTGCGCTCAGTCGACCTGTCAATCCGGTATTTGGGTACCTCTCCATTTCGGCGGGAAACGGCTGCGAACTTTCGATTGTTGATTGCTCATGACAACATGCTTCCCTTGCGTCGAACGTGCATACATACCTTCGTCAACGGAATCCCCCTACACCCAAATAACAAAACAACCGCTGAAACGCGAACCACCAACATTTTGTTTTAAGGAAAGGCGCGTGACGCGTGAGAAAGCAAATTCATACGTCGCGACCCTCGTCTTCCTGGCTCGTTCGTCGCTTCTGGGCTGGCGACTTGAAAATATTCGACTTCTTTTGCTTCTTCATCGTTCGACGTGTGATCTCTTCCTCTCCTGCAATACCAGCAAGACTCAATCCGATAGTCACGTTTGATCGTGAATACCCTGAGCCGGAAGGAGAACGTACGCCGCCTGATAGCTTGGTTTGAAAAGACGCCTGACATCGTGAGTAACCGCTTCTTCGTTCCACCCATCTTCCTTCTACCTCCTCTACCCAACCCCCCAATCCTTTCCCCGAATCTATCACTCCTCCCCCCCTGGTCTTCACCTCGAAACTACTCCTGCCTTCCGATCATCAAAAACCCGATCAATCACCCCACACACAAACACAAACACACACACACACACACACACACACACACATATACGTATGATGATCCACACAACCAGAAAAACACCCTAATCCAACCCGATCATCTCGAAACACCGAGGTCACCGAGGTTTCGAGGTTTCGAGACCCTTCCCCTTCTTTCTCTTTTCCGGGCCTCGAATTCAGATTCGAACTTCGGATTCGGAATTCTCGAGGAACGGAAAGACGGAGGGGGGGACAGTGGGGGTTCTTCCTTCCCTGGGAGGAAGTTGAGGAGATTTCATAATAATATACACATGATCTGATTTTTTTCTGGGTGGACGAGGACGAGGACGAGGACGGGGGTTGAGGTTTGGTTTTGTGGTGTGGCTCGGTTTTTGGATGGAGAAGCTTGTTTTGGAGCAGGGGAACTGATCGTTTTGGGTTTTCTCGTTCTCGTTTGGACAGGTACGAAGCGGTTTGTTGCAGCTGGATTTCGGGTTGTCTGGTCTACTTTGTGTGTTGGAGAGGGATCGATTGTGAGTCTTCGAGTGTCTGTCTCTCCTCTTCGAATCCGTACCCCACACACCGATAGCATACGTTGCTATGATGTCCGAGATTGCATCTGTGCGAGAACGTCGAACCCTCGGTGCAACTCGACCTCCACGTCGGACGCGACGCTTGCAGGCAATCGAGCTCTGCTTCGAGGGACAATGAGCGCACATCAGCTCCATCTGAGCAATGCTGGCTGGTGCCCTCTGGTCGTATGCGAATCGTTTTTAATCGTTCGAATACTAAGTCGTTCCGTTATATCTCCTCAGAGAGTCGCCATACCTTAAGCCGGACAGCGGTCAAGCCGAGCGTTCTTCTGCCTTCGGAGTATCAGTAAACTGTGAGTTGTCGATTGCTTCCGTCTTCTCTTGCGTTCCACGGGCCTCAAGGAAAACGAACCTACCGGTAAATCCACCGATTGTGATGATGAACAAAAATCCCACAGTCGCTCAATGTGAACAAGTCACCCATGAGAAAAGTCTCGACCTCCACGTCGGACGCGACTAAAGGCAATCGAGCTTTGCTCATGGGATCATGTGCACAAACAGTTACCCACATCTGACCACTATCAACCGATTCGACCAGTCATTCTCCGCTTCTTTATCGCGATGCCGATCTAATCAAACGAGTGCTAATTTTTTCTGACTTCTCCGTGGCCTCGGGTCGAACAGATACTCGCTGGAACGTGCCACTTGAATATCAAATTGTAAGTCTTCGATTATTTCTCCCTTTCCTGTTTTGAGTTCCCTGCAGTGAGAACAAATGGCAAATCGAGACCGGCCACCCATTCGCCCTGATGCCAAAGTCGTAGACTAAGATAGTATCCGAGAACTCAACCCGCCAAAGAGGACCTCGATCTCGACAGGCACGAGTTTTTTGCGCCTGTCGAGGCAATGGGGGTCTTTCTTACGGGTCCCGTGAGCGCCAAAAAACAATTACCAAATTACCTGAGCGATATGGCCCGGTCTTGATTTGCGATTTCTACACCTTGACGATCTTGTTAAGTGAACGAATACTGATCCTATGAATCTCATTCGTTTAGTAGACGCGAAATCTATCAGAAGAAACTATACGGCTGGCAAGTCATCGATCGTAAGTCCACTTTGACCGTTTCAACCCACCTCCGATTGCCCTTGCGACGAGAAAAGACGCATTCGATCATCTGGTCCGCCATGACGATGATATATTTACCTCATTCCGAGCTAAAGCAAGTGAAGGACCCGGGTCACCCTGGAGCCGGACGCGGCTCGTCGAGCGGTGTATCATCTCGGGGTTCTGTCGCGGTTACGCTTGCCAGCGCGAACGTAGCCTCGGTCAACTGGTCGGCCGCGACCTAACTTCCAGAGCTCTTTCGTTGCCGGTCTTTGAGCCGATTTAAACATTAGCGGAGCGACATCAGATGGTTGAAGCGTCTTTTCTCGTCGGATCGGCTCGTCTTGTCTTGTAGACGATGTGAAGCTTATCGAGCTGCTTTGAAATAGGTGCTACCTGTGTGAAGTCGGACTTCCAACTCGAGTTGACCCGCTACGACCCGTACATCGTGAGTTTTTCCTCCGAGCCCTCTCTTTTCGGCTTCCATCCCATTCCTACACTCGACTTTCCTTCTTTATCGTGATGAACACACCGATGGGCGGACCTATTTCTACCCAATCCTCACCCTAATCCAAACGTCTCGGTCCGGCACCCCGCCAATGTACAAAATTATAGGGGACCGTCGGGCCGGTGACGGGGGTGTAGGGGGTTTGAGGATGCTTATTATCATTGGATTTCTGATTACAAAGATGGGAGTCTTGTGGGGCGACGGCTGTTGGACGCGGCAAGCGGTATTCGGAGGCAGTTTTGGCATTCAGTTGCTGATATTGGTTCTGCTTCTAATACGGAACAGGCAGCAGAGGCATCCGCTATGGAGGAAACGAAGCTGAGGGTATTGACCCTGAACGTCTGGGGACTCAAGTTCATCTCCCCGGACCGACCTGTTCGATTGCAAGGGATCATCGACCATATTCGACAACCAGTCTCCGGGAGTCGCGGTGTCGAGAGCAAGAGCGACATCGCGTACGATGTTGTCTGCTTGCAAGAACTCTGGATCTACAGCGATTTTGAAAAGGTCAGAGATGGGCTAGAAGAGGTCTTGCCAGAGTCAAAGTTCTTCAGAAGGTGCGTCCCGTCCCTCTTGTCCTTTCGCGTTGACGCTTCGAACGACCGTCGATCACACGGCAACGTGAATGTAAAATCGCCGCTGGCGGACAATGACGCAGAAGTGAACCTTCTCGCTATGCCAATATTCATGATCATTCTTCGATCCCTCTTCTCTCTTGTTTCCTTCCTCTTCACAGACCGTATGTCGAGACGGAGAGGCTGAATCTTGGCCTGCCTTCGCCTCTCGTCTCGATAGCGGAGCTCTCGGTTCGGGTCTTGCCATCTTTTCACGTTTCCCGATCATCTCGACCCATACCCTGCCATACTCGTTGTCCGGTCTGCCGCTGCATGTCATCGCTGGCGATTTCTTCGTGAACAAGGCTGCGGGGAGCTGCGTTTTATTGCATCCCAAGTTGGGAGAAGTCGAGGTCTGGAGTACTCATGTGAGACAAGAGTCTGCTCGTTCATCTGCGCAAGACATATCTGACAGCGTTGCACGACGCAGATGCATGCTGCCAATGAGGGTTCAGAGATCGTCCAAGCTCACAGAATGGCACAAGCCTGGCAATTGGCTGATCACATCCGAGCGTCGGCAGAACGGGGAAGATATGTCATCGCTGTAAGTCTGCTGCGATGTATGTATGTTTGACGTCTGAGCTCACAGGTTTCCCCTTGCTTTCCGATACTCCTAGGCTGGAGACTACAACTCGTCGCCCTGGTCTTTACCCATCGCCATCCTTAAGGACTATGGCTGCATGCTGGACAGCTGGACTGAGGCGCACCCCGCAGCTAGTCTCAGGACAGAAAACCCGCAGTCGGCTGAAGATGCCATCGAGTCTTTCGGCATGACGTGTGATTCCCCTATCAACTCGTACTCGGCCGGGAAACCCTTGACGGATACGGCCAAGCAATGGAAGGGTAAACGGCTGGACTACATCTTCTACAGAGGGCCTGACATCGCTAGACGACGACCTCTCCAGTGGAAATTCAAGCGAGACCGAGGGCACGACCAGACGCACGACGAAGGTGACGGCGACGTATTACAGCAGGGAGAACCCATTTCGAGCTCGATGAACAAGGCGCCAACGTTGACCTGCAACTCGAGTCGGGTTGTCCTGACTGGTCTGGTACCAGGTCAAAGCTTTTCATACTCGGATCACTTTGGACTTTGCTCGACCTTTACCGTCGTGCCGGCCGATCCGAAAAGTGACCCGGCCGTCGAATCAGACGTACCGCAGAATCGCCCACTGCCGGCCGGAAGTAGCAACAACACATCGACCTCGGAACCGCTCGTCACCCTCGACCTGGACGAAGCTCAAGCCAGTTACAACTGGTCGCCGGCTCACGTCTCGCCTCGAACCCACAACCTGTCGGCCACCAAGACGCAGACCATCAATTCCGCTGTGCAGACTCTCAAGGCCTATACCATACTGGCGCGCAAGGACGCCCGGTTTCACCTTCGCATTTTCGGAACTTCGATCTTCTTCGCGCTAGCCCTTACGATCTCTTCTGCTTGGCAACCCAAGTCTTGGATCCAGCCGATCTGGACTTTGCTAGGCGTTGCGGCTGGAGCGCTTGGCGCGACCATGTTATACGTCGGTTTCGTTTGGGGCGAATGGGAACAGAACCTCTTGATGGAGGTCACGGAGCAGATGGAGCTTGAGCTACGAGTGTCGGAGCTGGAGGAAAAGGGCGGTTCGCCTTGATGAGCTGCATGTCGAACTCAAGTTGTATCAGTGAAAAGCCAAGTTGTATTGCTGATAGGATACTTTTCAAAGCGATTACGGACAGGCGTGCTTCTTTCGAGGGTAGGAATTAATGACTCGAGTTCAGAGAGCGTGTCAATGCTCGTAAACGCACAGTCAATGCTCATCTTGGTGCCAATCCATCAGTTGATTTGGGATTGGGTGGACAGCAGGAAGTGACATCAAGCGGCATTGGGATCAGTTCGTGCATTGACAGCCTGGATCTCAAGAGAGTAATCATTGAACCCCCTCAGATGATCCCCGTGTAGATGACATCAAATCTGAATCGCGAGGCAAATCAGGCTTTCCTTCAAATCACAGACTCCAGCTCATCCTCATCATTATACCCTTACAACATACTTTCCAGCAGTATCTGCATCCTCCTTAATCTGAAAGAGATTCTGATATCAACAAATCCTCCAGAGATATAGCAGTCAACTCTTGACTGTTGTTAGACTTGTCAGAATTGCTGAGTCTCATTTCTTCCCCGTCCCAATTATAGGTCCAGAAGAAAGGATTTATAAATAACAAAAGAAGGAAGGGCTGCTGTAACCTATTGCTAGCTGATTCAGCAGCTCCCTGTCTGCTGCAAGCATATCCGCCAATGTCAGTCTAGTCCTAGCGGCACAGCGAGCCTTTTCTGCCAAGGTACAAAGGTAGTGCATGTCGAGGTCGGGTGGTGCAACATCTATAACAACAACGGGTTTCGAGACCGGAAGATGGTTATTGAGACCACCGCCTGCATGGGTAAACGCTGGCCATAGGGGAGGCATCTTTGCATCTGAATCAATTACAGTCTCCTATCTCCTCCAAATACATGCCCGTCCTCGGGATCCGGCCGAGACTCCGGCCCAATAATGACTACGTCTTCGTCTCCATCTGCAGTCCGCTTACTTATGCCCGTATCGGCCGTCGAGCCAGAAGTAAAGGTGGTGATGCCGGCGGTAGGCGAGAGCGCCTTTGATCGATGTTGTTGGCGTGACGAATCGGAGAGGTCGGATAGGACCATGCCGATATCGATGTCAAGGTCGATGGTTTCATCTTGTCCGTCTTGCATCGCTTTCGAGATTGTGCGTCGGCTGCAAATGCAATTTGGTCAGTAAATCGATGCCATATGCGTACGATGGTCTTAAGCCCTTTGCAGTCGTCCGTAACATGTGTGAAGGAATAGAGGCTTACGCAAGCAAAAGGTGTAATAACGAGATGAGCATCAGCTTGTTTACGCTCCAGTGTACTATCGCATCATAAGCCTATCGTGCCTCAAATCATCAGCCTGACTCATCCTAGAAACTGCAATTGCCGCGAAGCTCACCCCGGAAATTCGATAAGCCCTGATGATCAGCGTAGCCAAAGTAGCCAAGGTGGGGAAGATCATGGCTTGGAACGTTATCTGCATGACGCGGCTGACGACTCGTCGAGTGCTGCTCACAGAACACCATTGTCAATACCGATATTCCACCAACTTGTCATGATGCTCTAGTGTGCGGGACGTACCGTCGCAGTCCCATCTGCTTCTTACGGAAGAGGGTCATCCACGTCGCGACGCAGAGAACAAGATCGACTATCACGTTCCATGCGTAGTTGATCAACGCCCATGGGTGAACCTATCGTTGAGCGAGAGCATTGCAGAGAAAAGGAAGTTTCCGCCATTACTTGTCGGTGATCAGGTCGTGTCACGACAATGCGGGCCCCGAACGTGAAAAAGAAAAGATGTACGTACTCGGCGGAAGTATGCTGGCAAGTCATTCACTTTGGGACTGAAGACCGAGTCGACCTGTGGCATCATTCCAGACATCCCCGCCACCCTGTTTCATGACATCGACCGGAACCGTAATCCCAGCATCGAGATCAATTCCCGCCGAGCTTGTTTCAGAAACTTGACCGCATGTGCTCGGAAAGGTCGACAGACTTACGAGAGGCTCATCATGAAAGCCGTACTGATCAATATCCCCAGTCCCAGCTTCATCCACGTCTTGTCCCCATTCAGGTTGACGAGGCGCTTTACGTATATCGCCTGTACCATCAGCGATACCAGACCGCTAAGAGGGATGCTGCACCAGACCATCCACTATAAAGAACAGGACCGAGAGTGGGGTTCCGTCAGTCACGTATGTTCCGATGTAGATGGATGAAAGAGGTGGTGCTGAGGAGAACAGGGATTGGGGATCGAAGATGAGGAAGGATACGAACGGTCATTTTGGCGACGTAGTTCAAGTTGGCATGTCCGTCCATGGTCAACCATAAGAGATAGTAGACATGGCTAACGAGGATAAACCTGTTCAACCAGACCCAGCGCAGTGTCAGCCTCTCGCTCCACTCGGATCTGATCTAACTTGATTCTCTCAGGACAGTTGAGAATAAGATCGACTTACAAGGCGACGACGGTCCCAAGGCAGACAAGTGGTTTTTCGTATCTCGGCGTCTTCGTCCACAAGTAAGCGCTGAGCTGTAGAGTCGGTGGTACCTCAGCTTCGGCATCGATGCGAGGAGCGAGAGAGGCAGCGACTCACGAGATGCAGGAGGTAGCCCGTTTCGATCGTCTCTGCAAATGTTCCGATGTAAGGACCGGTTCTATACAGGTCGAGAGGAGCGGGCACCGGGTATGAGTACGATACAAGATTGCCCGTATCTGATCCTTCGGACTGACAGCGCTTCGTCGATGGTATCGCCCAATCCGGTTGACCCTCCGGCTCCGATATTTGACATGGTCTCCAGAGGCGTGGCAGCCTAGCAGGGTATACCGTTTATGATAATGACGAGAACGCAAGGTGATATTTGCCAGATAATGGAGGATCCTTCGGGGGAAGGGAGTGACTCTCAGGGGCTTATATCAGCGCCGGAATGTGGAGTCATGATCGTTGGAGGCTTGGCGATCAAGGCGTACTCCTTTAGATATCATCAGTCGTCCAAAGCGCTTTGTTGATACGCTTGGCCATGATTGGTTGACGACAGATGATGAAACAAGATGGAGATGCAACCCCTATCCCCACGAGCATGTTCCCATCTCAACTTTGATGATCCTCGCATTCGAGACGATCTTCGCGCCTGCCTTTCGTGTTTCGGATGATCAAATCGGATCCTTCCGTGAACCGCGTCCTCCTTCTTGCGCTACAGGTTTCACCGAAACCTTGATGGCACGCGCGTCCCAACCCGGATCCGCGCGCGCCGATCTTTGAAACGCTTCCACCATCTCGGTTACCCGGGTGATCACACGGGTGGATGAGACATCCTTCTGTTTCGAAGCGTGGCCGAGGTTGATGATCGAGAAACGATCTTTAAGCTTTGGAAGGAAAGGCATCGGGTGATGACGGAAGATGATCTGCCTTGAGGCCGGTTCTAATCAGGAAGGACCTTTGATGCGGCTTTGATCGAGGCTCGGTTTTCTTGATCTACATATATAGACTGACCGACCTTCCTGTCCCGGGTACGCACGTCATTGTTATCGATGAGATGCCGACATTTCATCTTTAATATCGTCTCCCTTGCTCAACTGGGACCCTCGCGTCGTACACAGGGATGAACAACCTGACCTCGAGAGATGCCTACAATCCCGCAGGAGAGATATCAGGCGGTGGGAACCCGGACGATGTCTTTGCCAGCTATATCCGAGAGGTCTAGTAAGCTGGCAAGCGAATCATTTATATCCTAGATCGCGGACCGCTCATAGATTTTTAATCTTTCATCTGATGGGTAGCCTAGGACCATACGTCGGGACATGGCTTGAGCTCCTAGAACAGGGCTATTGCCTACATCTGGTAAGCCGAGATCAACCACAAATGTTTCACTCGACTCCGCTTACTCATCGGTTCGAACTTCAGCTCGTACGTTATTACAACAAGCCTGCGCCTCGCTATGAGCGCCTAGCAATCGGGTTCGCCAGCGCGGTCGGCTTGTAAGTTGATCTATTAACGAGCACTGTTCGTGCTGGCTGATTACACGCTGATCCGTTTTCATATGGCGATGGAAATTCACAGATACTTGTCGATCAGCCATTCCCAGATGTTGCTCGAGTTCGTAGAGAACGAGTTATTCCGTCTCAATTCGTTAGCCAACATGCACGTGAGTTCCAAGAGTTCCTTCTTGATCCGATCACCGGCTGCTCCCTCCTTTCCCAAGCGGCCACTTTTAGCTTCGATCTCGCCCACATTCGCTGATGACCGCATGCATTTCACTCTGCGCGTAGTGGCAACTATTCTCAACAAACTTCGTCGGCGGTATAGTCCTCTGTATCGTCCAATGCCTCTACGCACACCGGATGGTTCAGATCACCCGGGATCAAGGTCGACGGAGGATATTCATTCGGATCGGGTTGGGGGTGGCGATTGCGCTTTGTCTAACTTGCAATACCATGTGAGTCCCGGCTGGGCTCGTTCCAGTATCTTCGACCTATGATTCGTAAGAGGAGATGAACTGATGTGTCGGCGATCTGGACGGACCCGGGTCGTCCTTCTAGTGCGTTGTACACTCAGGCGGAAATGCCGAGGTTGACCTCGATCTTCGATCCAAAGGTTGCCACCCTCAGCGCCTACTTTGAAAGGGTGAGTCTGCCATCATCGGAATCGAGCAATAATGAAGCTGGTCAGCTGATCCGGTCCGACCCTCTTGTTCAGACCAAACCTTGGATCATCCTGTCTTATGTGTAAGTCACCGGACTCCCTGCTTTAACGACACAAACAACTCATCTGGAATTTCCTGGTGGATTTTGTAGCGGGAACATCGCTGTCGACAGTTTGATTTGCGTGGGAAGCGTCTGGACCATGGTGAATAACACGGCACGCACATCAGAACGACCCGTCGAGTGAGTCCATCTGCTCGCAATCAATGCCTTATAGCTGACCCTGATATCTAATCAAACAGGACCAAGAACGCCATCCGAGAATATATCACCATCTCCGCTAAATCCATGTTGTTCCCGACGCTATGCAGCGCAACCTCGATCGGATTACATACGTACAAGATCTCCGGGGTGAGCGTCGGTACAACATCGACTCGATATCATTATGACGCTGAGATGTCACTTTCGATAGTGCTACGACGCCATCGCCGTCTATTCGATCTCGAAGCTGTCCCTCATCTCGATTTTGCACCTGACCCTCGCGTGAGTTCGATCCTCCTGCATTGACACCTCGACAACCTGCTCAAACATGCTCGTGATCAACCCCGCAGCCGAGAACGTATGCGAGGCCAGCTCAACGACACCGGCGTGATAGATCCGCAAAAAGTGACGATGCACGTCGAGACCCAGGTGGTGTACGAGAGGGGGTCCGACTACCCCTTGACCAAGCTCCGCCATCCCGGGCTTCGGTGTCCGAGCGACACCGACCTGAGCTCGATGGCGAGTCCTGGGGCCAGCGAAAGGTTCAAGGCGGATGGCGAGATGGACTCGTTGCACGGGAGTGGTGCCAAGTTGTTCTGGTCTGACCGGTAGGCAGGTCTTGCGATGGACAGAGGCGATCGATTCCGGGTATCAAGGGGTTCTTCTAAGTAGTTTCTTCTGGTTCGAAAACGTCCGTGACGAGGCCATGGTCCTGAAGCAGGATGCGGGTAGATCAGTAAAAGAGTAACAATAACCATCCACTCTTGCGCCCGACTTGCATCAATGTCAAATTGCGCCCAAGGCCGGTCTTCCGTCTCGCCCGGTCGTCTCGCAACGAATGCGTGTCTGTCGAGGTCAGATCATCGATCAGCTAAACAGCAGAAGGAAACGATCTTGGTTCGCACTGACCTTTCGCCAAATCCTCCGCCTGAACGGAAGAGGACCACCTTGATCGTCTTTGGCGGCATCCACGTATCGCCTAGATGCACTCTTCCTCATCAGTCTGAAGTTATTCACGTGTGTATGCGTCCATACCCACCTAGCTGAGGCATCATCACCGCCTTGTCACCGGTATCAAAGTTCGCCGGCTTGTTCTCGGCATTCAAGATCTTGGTAGCCATCTGATTGGCCACCATGACCGCACATCCATACGTCGTCGACGCCTTGGCGAGTTTCTGCTTGATCCTAGCGGAACGGGGTAGATACTCAGCGGGTCTAACGGGGAACATGTTGCTGGGCTAGGAAGATCTGAGCTCACAAGTCCATCGACCGACGTTTCAGGTTGAGATCGGTATTCGGCTGTCTGAAGTGGTAAGACAATGTGTCGATGACGACCAGCCGGACCTACAAAAGAAGTGATCGATCCGTTATCAGTCGGAGGATCTACACATTGCGATTTTTACGCAACGACCCACCTTATCATGCTCGCTCAACCACGACTCAATCGTATGACAGAAAGCCAGGAATTCGATCTGCGTCGTCGCCCTGACGAGGTGAATGCCCTGCAAGACGTCGTTGACCGAGGCTGTCAAGCAGATAGGTTCAGTCGACCGAGAAACATCATCAACAACGAAGCGGCGTACTTACCGGTTGATGAGTAGCTGCTGAGCGTTACCTGTGCTGCGCTTTTAAATTTGGAAGGTATCAAGCTGCCTTCAGTATCTGTCGCACGTATAACCAGCCTTTTCAGCCAAAAACTCGGTCTACTGCAACATCGCCCTTTGCAACTCACCTATAACCAACACTTCGTCCTCCGTCACATTCCCCTCCACACCAACCCTAGCGCTCATCATCAAGCTCATCATCAGACTCGATTTCCCACACCCGGGCGGAGAAGCGATCTCGACGATCATCCCCGGTTGCAACCCGACCCTGACCATAGGCCTCGAGTTCGACTTCGAGTCTGACTGGACGATCGCCTCTGCTCGTGCGAGCGCAGCGAGCGGAGGAAAGAGCCTGTCGATAGCCGTACTGCCTGATGACCAGGTAGGTTTCGGGGCGGACCTCGAATGGACGAGAGAGGAGACGGGTTGAGATGCGTTGGGGAGATGATGGTGGTTCTGCGTCCCCGTCGTCGGAAGATGTGTGGTCGATGGAGCCGGGGTAGACCGGGGGATCTGTGATCGAAGAGCGCCAGCTGAGGTTGATGCGATAGGAGACGTTCAGCTTCGTGTACTCGAGTGTCATATCTCAGACGGACGAGTGACGAAATATGCTTACCTCGACACATCTCCACCTGTCTCAATACATCCTCCGCTACATCCCTTCCGATCTTCAGATCTACCCTCGAAACAAAGCCAAACCAGAACCGCATTACATCAGCTTCAACGGAAAACTAGTTCGCCCTTCCCTTTCTCCTCTGGGCAGGAAGTCGCTATCATGATACCGGCTTGCAGAGTGGACTTACCATTCGCAAGCTCGACCGCATCCACCCCCTGAAAATCATCCAACGTCTTGAAGCCTTCTTCTTGTAAGGCCTTTTGCAGAAAACCTCTGTATGGCCACGTCCGCCCGCCCAGTCCATCCGTTGGAGCATCATGTAGCACACAGACCGTAGCGAACCGCATCGAGTTCAACCGAGCATCCCAAGTCAAATTAAACCAAGTTCGAAATCGAAATATCAGTCCTGCAAGTCTAACCTGTATGACAAGGCAAAGAGACAGGGTGCAATACACTTACGGTAAAGATAACCTTGCGAATACGTTCTGCGTGCCCGGCGTGGAATGCATCGCTAGTCCCTTGATCGTGGCCTGATCACCCAAGCTTATAACGCCTAGAGTCGACCCCTTTATGGTTGTCCTGAGTTGCTAGCGATGTAAATCTCGTACAGTCTGATCAGATGCAGGGTGTACGAGAGCGTTGGAGGTGTATTGTAACACGTGAGGAGGATGAAGCATATGCTATCTCGTCTGCTCGATTTCGAGATCGGGAACTGATGAAGACGTGATGACGAATTCGCTGACACTTCGATGAAAAAGTAGGATGTACCAGAGTCAAGAACAGCGGTGTACAGTGATGCATGGAATATAGAGCCCATAGATATGAGGATACAGTAGTGTGCATAAACATGGTGTTCCACGACCAACTCTAAGCCGCCTCGAGCACAGGCCCTTCATCCCCATAGATCGGATCCCTGGTGAACCACCCGACCTTCTTCACATTTCCCCACTCTCTACCGTCCTTCTCTATACCTTTCCCCATGCACATATCCCAACCTTCGGCTCCTACCGGGTAAGACCCCACCATCTCGAATTTCCCTTCGTCTTCATCGCCATCCTCGACATCATCATCGAGTTCACGTAAGAGCGCATGCCCAACCCCAGCGGGGACGACGATCACATCCCCCCTTCCTACTTTTACTACCACCTTGCCTTCGTTCCCGCTCTCGTTGGATTCGTTTGACCCGCCGAAACAGACCTCCGCACCTCGATGGGAGACGACACACAAGACCTCGTTCGTATTGCTATGATAATGATGTTGCCTGTACATCGTATACCTCCATGCGGGTCTCACGGCGTCGATCTGCGAGAGGTGGGATTCTACCGCGGTTGCCATCGATGAGGTCGAAATCGCCTTCATTTCAGGGGTGCGATTCGACGAAGAAGGTGTCGATGATGATGATGAAGACGATGACGATGACGGTGAAGCAGCGAAACAGTTGTGATAGACCATCAACGGCCTCTCCGGGTGAATCGACGTATTAGGGAATCCTCGGTAAGCCGGGATATGGTATCTCGAGACCCGGAGTTGAGATAACGGGGTGAGGATGACGTGGTTATGGGTCGCTGGCATGGTCGCTTTTAGAGGAGGAAGGGGACGGTCGCGCTTGTTCTATGAGATATATGGTTTGGATGGATGATCAGCGGTATATCCGTATATGCAGTTGCGAAGATGTATACAGCAGCAGGTGGAGCGCTGGGTCGCCCTCGCTCGGTCAAACCCGATCGATATATATCCCCTCCATATGCAATCGCTCACGAATTCATACCCAACTCTGCAACTACTCATCGACAGACCTAACTGGACCTGTCCCGCCTCGAACGAGCAGTTTTGCAGCGTATGAGCTACGAAAGACCTTTCTCCGAGCGGTCTTGTTGATAATCCTCGGGGCGAGATTCGGTGTTTCAAGCTCAACTCAACGGCGAGGTCAGGGTCAGGGGCGATGTGAAACGCCATGCATGTTTTTGTCATTTGCCATGGAGGTTCGATCGAATCTAACTTCCCGCTGACGCTTCGGTAATACTGTAAGTCATGATCAACAATTATATAAGAAAAGCAAGAGACTTCAGTCGAGAAGGGCGAAATTCCCCCTGATATCGGTGTTAGCGACCCAGTTGGAATGCACGGGTTGAGATAGTTCAGGCTGCTGTTCAGCACACGTCGACGGAATTTCATTCGATCAACGATGGGGAGTCTCCGGTCGATTGAGAGCAACTACGTGGCAAGCGATCGAGTCGCGGCGAGCGGTCATGCCAATGACCTGTTACTTCCTCCCGGCGATTTGACCTTCCTGATAGAGTATGGTATTCATCCACAAGGATCGCGCTGCTTTGGTCTAGCATTTGACATGCGCACATGTTCTTAGCTAATCCCCCTAGAAATATGGCTAGAGGTATAAGGATGTGAGGAATGAGGGCAAAGGTGATCTTGTTGGCTTGATAGCTGGACTTGATCTTCATGGTCTTCTTTTGAGATGTTTTCCCTTGCAGCTACGCAAAAGTCATGAACATAGTCAAAGGTTGTCAAAGAGTAAGATCCATATGTTAGGAGCATGAGGACCACCCTCTTAAAGCCCCCTGATGATTAAAACATAGTCAGAACAGCACTGAGTTGATAAGCCTGTTTCGAGTTACAGTTAAAACGAGTTCCGGCGGTAGAGGTCTGTTCAATGAGGCACTTGAGGTCTGAGGAATCTGAACGGCCCAGAATGTGCCCGCTTTGGCAGGATTGATGCCATGCAAGGTAGTGTTACATTCAAGACAGCGATATTGTTGTATGTCATACCAGTCGTCCCAATCGTCACTCATCCCAGAGGACCATAGCATGAAGCAGCTTCGATGATTAGACGGGTACGTTGGGCGTAAACCAGGCGAAACAACGATACCCTGGATGTCTATGTGCATCGCAACTCGCTGATCCCGACCTCGCTGCAGTCAGGCGTCGAGCGATCTCCAACTCTTCCCATGAGACATGCCCCTACCCTTAAATCCATTTGAACCATAAGATGAATCCCAACTACCCTGCTCCCACTTGAGGTGACGAGGCGGAACAAAATCACCAAGTTATAGCGCTCGCACTGAAGAATTGCACGAACCGACGCTGATATGGCTCGGACGCATACTCGGTCCACGCAAAGACCCTCGTCCATGTACTAATGCATTTGCGAGTCCAGGACGTGCAGGAGGACGCTAAATACTCGATCTCAAAGACCTTATCGTCGGAGATTCACTCGCCTGGTAACTGTTCAATCAGTCTCTTGTGAGCAGCCCTGAACGATATACGGTAGCGAAGTTGTGCTCTTGAATAGGAGGATCGCCGACCGGCCGCCGATCCTGTTCGAGATATGGGTTGCATAGCAGGTGATGGCGAATGCCTTGCTATCAACGTTGATGACGCTCGGATGTTGAAGCAGCTTTGAGATGCGCATTCCTGGCAGGGATCTCGAGCTTAGCCTTGATAACAGTCGCTCTGGTACTCCTAAGCTTCTATGCCGCAGGGTTCATAGCCTCGCAAATGATGTTGAGCGATATCATCGATACAAAGAATAACTGGAGACTGGAGAGAAGAATGCAGATCCCGCCAGTCGCTCTCAAACAGAGATCACACCGTAGGGTTTGATGACCCGAGATCGTGCACCTATCGTGCGCCCGGCTGAAACGCCTCGTTACTCTCATACCCTCGTACCCGCATCCGAGCTCGACACGAATCATCAGAAAGAAAACATCTTTTTGTCGTCAAAGCGGAAAGAAACAGGAGATCACTTGAATTACTACAAAAGGTGGTTCGCAAGTCTGACAAGGATAAAGGAGTTGAGGAACATGAGGAAAGGGTTCAGATAGGGGTCAAAGACAGCGTCTGCCGAGTCGACGGGATCAGATCCGTATGTAGACGGTGAGACCATGTGGGTTCTATGATGGTGTAACAGTGGGCGGCGAAGAAAAGCTTGACCTGAGCGAGACGAAAGTCCGCTGTAGACGACACCTGAATATCAGCGCCGGATCCCAACCCGAAATCCACCTCCCCGACCTTGTCCGCAACCCACCTTGAATCCCCATGGCCGACCTCCTTACAACGCGTCCATGTTGGACATGACGTTCATGACGGTCGCGACGACCTCGAAACACAGGTCCTCGCCGTCCTCGCCTGCACCGGGTTGCATCTCCTTCCTGACCTCCCTGACGAGCTCTGCCACGCTCTCCCTTCCCTGCCCACCGGACCCCCCGGCGAGACTGGTCAAGATCCCGTCCTTCTTGCTCGGCCCCCCACCGATGTTGACGGGTCCGGACGAGGACGAGGTCCCAGCTCCAAACGGCCACTGGGAGAACTCGGCCAAAATGTCGTCGCACCTCGCAAACGCCGCTTCCCGCGCGTCATAGTTCAACCTCTGCAAGGCGTTCTCAAGGACATTGGCAGCGTACGCGGCCGAGACGAGCGCGACGGCCCTCATGCACCTGTACTGGACGTTCTCCTTGTGCAACGCTGCGGGCGGGATCGCCGTCGTCCTCGCCGTCAACAGCGCCAAGGTCCGACGGAGGACGTCCTCCTTGGCGTTCAGGTCGGCGATCGGGTGGGTGGCCATGTCGAACAGCAAAAAGTTGCGCTTCTCGGTCCGTAGGACGCCCTTGTCGACGAGACCCTTGGCGAGTCGTTCTCGGACCTGTTTGAGCTGGTAGCCGATCTTCATCACGTTCCACGTCTCGCCTGAGGAGGCACGCAGCGGGGAACAACAAGGGGGTAAGATACTCGGTCTCTTTTTTCATTCTTTCGAGGTTCATCGCCCCCCACGCCTCGACTCACCGCTCATCAAATCGATCCAAGCGCCCGTCCCATACTTTTCGCTCGTCTTCATCATCTTCAACGCCTCGTCCAAGATCGTCTCCCCCGTCTGTCTCTCATCGATGACCTCGATCAGCCTGTCTGGCAGGGGCAAGCGTTTACGGGAAGGGTCCTTGACGACGGCTATTCGGCGACGGAGGGCGAGTTCGAGGATGATACATCCGCGCAGGGCGTACGAGATGTTGTCGTTCCAGAAGGATAGGTAGCCCTGCGGGTGATGACGTTTCGAGCGTGGAAGCGATTGGGTATGGCGATGAATATTGTTATGGCACATCCGAATGAACGCAAATCAGGTTTCCCGACGAGAGAAATTAAAACCATCCATCAGCACCCATCCATCACCCCAGCCCTCGGGAAAACCCTTTCATCGTCCTCATCCTCAATCCCATCAACCTCTCTCTCACCCCCCGCGAGACTCACCTGCTTGTCCTTCAACCCCAACAACAACACCTCCTCCATAACCGTCAACCTCGGCATCCTCTCCCTCTCCCCACCCATCGACCCGTTCTCATAATCCCTGGGGTCAAAGGCGATCTTGGACCGTCCTTCCACCCCTCCGCTTGTCGAAGATGAACCCGCTGAAGGATTACCTGGTAAGGAGAGGGACCCACGCGGGTTGTTATGGGATGAAGAGCCTGGGTTGGGGGTGGTTGGCTGGGAAGAGTTGGCAGGCGGGGTGGAACTGCCGGAAGGGGTCGGTTGGGCGCCTCGTCGGCGGGTGAGACCTTCGGACATCGTTTCTTCCAAGTCGAATCGAGTTTCGTTTGTTCGTGTCGTTCGCTTTGACTATCTCGCTTTATCTCTTCGCCTTGTCCTGTCTTGCTGGTTTGGAACGTAAGGGAGAGTTTCCGAGGTCCGAGGTAAGTCTAGCTAGATGGATAGATGATAGATGGAGGAGCTGCGAGAAACGTCACGTCACGTCACGACCTCGCTCAAGATCCGTTCGGAGCCTTTTTCCTTGAGGGGGAGGGTCGAGGGAGGGCTAGTTCGGGGGGCAGAAAGACTATTGATAAGGGGGTCGCTACACAGAGGACGATGCTGATTGATAGTTGTACCAGATGCAAGTGAAGTATCTATCGTCCGAGATCGATGATGATGTCCCACAATTCCCACAACAAGGTTGACGTCGAGGTTCCCCTTGCTCCCGGAGCCACGCGCGTCACACACAGCACCAGCCAGCCAGTGCAAGGTCGAACCAACGTTACCACAACCCCGGCAACGTTTATGGAATAGGATCATCCACGAGTCACATCGTCAGGACGAGATACGATCTCGCATAAGCAATCATGATCTGAACCTTGTATTGGGTGGTCAGCTAGGCAGATCAGAGAGGAGTCACTTCGACGCCACTGCGAGCAAGTGATTGGTCGGGCATACATGACACGGACAACCTTCCGGCCGGATCCGAGTGACGGCAGAAAGGCGGCCTACGTAATCAGAATTCGAAAACAGTAGATTTTGGTGACACGTCATAGATCGGCTCGATGGCTTGACTTCTTATCAAGATATTCACCCTCGCCCCGCGCGTCGGTCATTTGCAAATCACACAACTTTCGCTTTGCGCTTAAGACCCGTCTGCGCTTCTTTCTTGGTCATCCATAATTCTCGCGCGCGTCTCGTTTGTTGTCCTGGCTAGGGGATGCTGTCGCTCGAAGCTCTCGCTCGCTCTAGGGTGGGTGACGCCTCCACCTCCCAGTGTTGCTCGCTCTCGCCCGTCTCGCTCTCCCCAGCCGCAACCGCCGACGAACCCCCTCCCATCCTGGAGGTGGGATCATCGACCCTCGAGTTGAACGAGATCGACACCTCAACGCCCAAGAGGACCGTGACCTGTTTTCCGTCTTGTTCGTGTGTTCGGCAAACCATCAAGAAAAAAACCTCAGGTATAGCAAGAAAGAGTGTGTAGTTGCGTGAGTATCGAAACTGTCCCGGCCGGGTTGGAACGAAAGAGACGACGAGCAGCGAGCAGCCAGCAGAGCAGGAGAGAGTGTCAAGGAGAATAAGGAAGAGGAAATGGACCGGACGAACAGATGGATTAGGTGCGAAGACTATAGGGAGGAGGAAGGATAAAGGCGCTGGACGGAAGGATGTCGAACGAACATAAGGACGGTGAAGGAAGATAGGATCTCTGGAACGACCTTCAACAATCGATTAATCAAGCGTGGACGACCACGTTACGACCCAGGACGTACGATACGACGAGCGAGAGCACATAGCCCAGCCTCGTTTCCTGCATCCTTACCTCCACCCCATCAATCAACATGACTTGGAGGAACGGTACGATGAGCTTCTCTCGGATCAACCTGTTCTTGGGCGACCACTTCCGCCGATCCGAAACCACACTCCAGAGATCGGCTCGTTTGCGATTTATCGAAGACGAAACCGAGCGAAAGCTTCATTCTCTTCGCGACAAGCGAGAACGATCGGACCTCGATCTTATCGGATCCATAGGCGTCATCCTCGGCAGATTTGATCACGATCCGGATATTCTGCTGTCGATCAACAAACGACGATACCCCCCACACCGCCCTCGTTCGGCATGCAACACGGTCTTTACCGTTCGATCTCACACTGGCATACCTCGACAGATACGAGAGAGAACCAGGTCACAACTGCCAAGGAGAGGCCGAGAGGACCGAGTCGGAATGGTCGGGAAGGCGGGAAGAGGGTTCCACGGTCGGCTCGATACCTTGACCTCTGACTACTGAAGATATACGGAGTCCAGGTGGATAGCGGAAGAACCATCCAAGACGTTCTCCCGGATTGACACTCGCTGCTCGCTCGCTCGCTCGCTCGTCTACCTGGCCTTTCTTTAACCTGTTACTACGACCACCTCAAGCTGACCATCCCGCATCCTCTCACTTTGCGTCGCTCGCAGAAAAATGGCCCGATTCACCGAATACTCGATCCTCGGCCGATCCCTCCCTACCGAGTCCGAGCCCACCCCCAAGCTCTACAGGATGAGGATCTTTGCCCCCAACCAGGTCGTCGCCAAGTCGAGGTTCTGGTACTTTTTGAGGCAGTTGAAGAAGGTCAAGAAGGCCAACGGTGAGATTGTCGGAGTCAACGTCGTGAGTAGCCGCCAGACGCCCTCTACGTCAAGTTGGATATACCAACAAAAAGGGAATCGCCGGCTGACGAGAAGGACGATGATGTGACGCACCACGCAGATCCACGAGAAGCGACCCCTCAAGGTCAAGAACTTTGGTATCTGGCTCCGATACGACTCTCGATCGGGAACCCACAACATGTACAAGGAGTTCAGGGAGCTCTCCCGAGTCGGTGCCGTCGAGGCTTTGTACCAGGACTTGGCCGCTAGGCACAGGGCTAGGTTTAGGTCGGTCCACGTGAGTCCAAGTCCAGGGTTGGGAGCTTTTTGTTTTGGCGAGATCGAGCGGGGAGCTGATGGAAAGATGTTGCCGTGTAGATCTTGAGGGTCGCCGAGATTGAGAAGAAGGACGACGTCAAGAGGCCTTACATCCGACAACTCTTGGAGCCCGGTCTCAAGTTCCCCCTTCCCCACAGGCGTGAGTTTCGGCGTTTCCCTTGCCCGAAAATAATTACCCGTGAATATGTGAGACTGACTTGTTCTTTCGGGAGCGCTCGTAGGCACCACCTCCAAGGGTTGGTTCGCTGCCAACAGGCCCGCCACCTGGGCTTAAGCGGGATGCTCGATCGAGCGTCTGGTCTCTTGGCCGGACGCTCGTTTTGGGTCTCTCGATTTGGCTTTTAGGGAAGAAGATGGAGTCGAGGATCGTCCAGACCGGATGAACCTCGATGAGAGCAGGGATGAGTGAGAAGGGGCAAGGAAAAGGGAAACGTCCGGATTATAGCGGGGTGGGGGGAAAAGAGAGATCAGATCGGTCATTACATTACGTCTCTGCTTTTTTTCGTTTGTCCCCGTTTGAGGGCTCTCCCTTTTTTTTGTCTACCTTTTGACTCTGATCATGAGCGGATGGGATGAAAAGCACAACCACCAACATTTCACGGGCCGTATGAGCCGTCCGGATCGGATTGCGCTGTGGTGTCCAGAGCTTTGAGCCTCGTTGATATTGTTGTTGCGTTGTTGCTTTTCTTGACTGTTGGGACTTGTACGTCTTGAAGACTTTAGCGAATTCGTCATCACGTCTTCGAGGTCGAGATCCCGATTGAATAACGGAGCAGCGAGCAGACAACATCCTTCTTCTACCGTATTACCATCCCACAACAAGACTCTCAGTACATCAGCCACCACCTCCTCTCACCTCGCTCTTGCGCCATGTCAGCAATCCCACCCGACACGGACCAATACTTCATATTTCACGGTACAGGCACGTCCTCGGCGATCCCCCTGTTACCGTGTATCACCTCGGCCGACGACGTAAGGGATATCCAATGCGGAGCTTGTCGAGCTTGTGTGGATGGGACGGTCCGGGATGGGTGGAAGAATGTTAGGGGGAATACTGGGGGTGTTTGGAGGAAGAGGGGGGAGGATGGGGTTTGGAAGTGAGCCCCGCTCGTTGTTGGGTGGATCATGGGCTGAGGTTCGAGGGGATATGGAGAATGCTGATCGAGAGCTGGATTTCTGGTGCATGTTGATTGCAGGAACATCGTTATCGATGTAGGAAAGACTTTTAGACAGAACGTAAGTCTACCTACATCCTTTCCGCCCGTCTACGATCTTCAGGGGGAATTAGATCATGACCTCGTTATCGATACCCATCTTGATAGGCCTTGCGGATATTCATGGAACATCGGATCAGAACGGTAGATGCTGTTATTCTTACTCACGGTCATGCGGATGCCATCGCGGGACTAGGTCAGTAGGATGTCTCCTCACTTCCAATAACCAGTCCATTATCCTGGCATCTCGACCTTTAGCTGACTGTCAATCCCTATCCTATCGTAATACCCTTAGACGACCTCCGAGCGTTCAACCAACCCTCAACCCCCGGAGGCCCTAAACCACCCCCACTCCCCATCCACCTATCGCAACAGACCCTGAACGCGATCTCGGAGCAGTACCCGTACTTGGTCGATAAGAACCGGGCGACGGGTGGGGGGGACGTGCCGACGTTGGATTGGAGGGTTTGGGGGGATGAGTGGTGTGAGGATGAGGGGGATGACGACGAGGGGCAGGAGGAGATTGTGGTCGCTGGGGTGAGGGTGTTGCCGCTCAAAGGTGGGTCGAAGTGGTCTTTTTCACGGGGATGCTATGAAACGAGGGAAAGGCAGCTCCATAGCAAAGAAAGAGAGAGCTGAACTGATCGATGCCACTGGGGCGATGGTTCTTGGATCACAGTGCATCATGGGAAATACTTTACACCGCCCGAAAAGGCACAACGGCTGGATGTACCCGTCACTCAAGGCAATAACACTCCGGTCTCTGCCAAGAGCCGAGAATCGTTTGCCACTACCACCTCGACTACGGCCGCGAACCCGAACACAGAGAGCAGAGCCGACCTCGATCCTATCACCGCCCCGGTTTCAACGACCTCCACAACCTCGGCACTAGAAGGGATAGTCGGCAAGCTCACCGGGTTGACAGGACTGTCCGGAGTGACGGGCTTGGAAGACCTGGTAAAGAGCACAAAGAAGAAGAACGAGGGAAAGCCGGGAGAGACGCCGTTCTGGTGTTACGGATTCCTGTTTGAAGGCAAGGTCTTGTACCTCAGCGATACGTCGTTCGTCCCGACCAGAACGTGGGATAGGCTTTACAGGGCCGTCGGGGGCGACGATCAAGGACGACGAGGAGCGCAGAAAGTTGGGAACGGTAGCGACGGTACGACTGGGGCGCAGCCGAGATTATTGCCCTTTTCGCACGATGTACCCGATCTCCCGGAAGGCAAGATCCAGACCTTCATACTGGATTGCTTGAGGATACAGGATCATTCCAGTCACCTGTCGTACGTGCAGGCGTTGGCTCTGGCGATGAAAGCGAAGGCCAGGGAGACGCTTCTGGTCGGTTTTACGCATCCGGACCCACATGCGTTATGGGAAGATATCGGACGGGTCGTCCAAGGCCAAGGGGAGGATTTGGAGACGGACATGACATCGACCGGGGAGGGAGAGGAAAGGGAACAAGACGAGCGCGAGTTGAGAGCGGCGAAACGCGAGTTTAGGCGCAAGATCGAAAAGAGCGCAAAGGATCAGGGGTTGGAACACGTCTGGCGAGAAGCGCTCGAGTGGAAGGGGTTCGTCCAGCCGGCTTTCGATCGGCAGGTCGTCAGGTGCGATTGAAGCGCGCGGTCTTTCGGAGGATCGTTTGCTTGTGGGGTTGTGTGAGAAATTACGAAATTGACTGTTCGATAGACTTCTCTAGATGTGTGTCGTGAATCGTACATCTTATGCAATCGCGGCTACATGACCGATAGATACATTACGAAAGACATTCGCGACATAGACATCCATACATTCTCGCATGGTTTCCAAATGCTGATATAGATTGAGGTCTAGCTATATGTATCGTGCTTCAGGCCCTAGAGTTCCTTAGCTTTGCCCGCAATCTGGCCATCTTCATCCTCGTTGTGACCCTGGGTGCGTTCGTCGTCGTCCTGCGTGGCTAGATGCTTGTATCCGGTCTCGCTCTTTTCGTTCCCGTCCTTTTCGTGGTGATCGGCGAGGTATTGGCAGGGTAGTTGTGGATTAGATGAGAGCAGTTGTCGATGGAATTCGAGCGTTTTTCGAAACAAGAAATCATCAAGTTACGCCAGCCCTTGGGAGTGAGCGACTACAAAGCCGGGGTTGGGCCACGAACGATCTCACAGAACGACCGTAGCGAGACGGTTCTCATCTCATCGGATACGCGACGAACCCGAGGTGTTGTGCAATTATAGGCGTCAAAGATGCAGTTGACAAGGACCGTAAGGGTCTTGTCCCCACGGAATCGCTTGCGAACCTCCTGTTGGACTTGCCGGCTGGCAACCAATACCTGCATTTCGATGCGACACACAGTTTCTTCGAACGAGTGCTAGTGGCGAGCTTGAAAATGTGAGGCGACATTTCACAGGAGCAACCAATCTCTCACCGCCGCGCTTGTTGGAGCGGACGACCTGTCATGACGACCGGTGCAGCTTCGCTTACCCGCACATCTGATCCAGGACGTCCGTGCCGACTCGATTCGCCGAGTGAGGGCTAAGCGTGCGATGATGTGATGTGGATTCAATTTGATGCTACATTCGAGTCGTTACAACCTCCCCCCCCTCCCTCCAAGTCCGTCCGGGGCTCTCAGATGGCAAAGGGCTCGTTTTCTTCCTTCTCGAGAATTCGAACTGCCCCGGTCTGTACCCTTGGGGGGTGGGATGATTTCGACGCTGGGTTCTGAGACCTTTGTTCGACCGTCCTTTCCCTCGTCTTCAGGAGGAGTCCGGATCTTATATCCCTCTTCCTCTTCTCCGTCCCCTAGAACTTCAGAGGACCATAATCGATCCTACATCTCCTGCTACTTCCCCTTTTCTCTGACAACTATGTGCTGTTCTAATGGCTCAAAAACCTCCTCCCGACCTTTCTCCTCCGGGTCAACATCCCCAATCCCAACCTCCCCCCCCTCAACCTAGCCAAGAACCCGTGTTTCCTCTTCCTCTTCCGTTGAGAAGGTTGGTATTCCGCTCCGTAGGCTTTGAAGCGGAGTTGTTGCAACAGAGGAGATGGAGATGATGAGAGAAGGCTAAGGCTAGGGGAGGGCGTATGGGAGGAGGTGTGGGATTTGGAGGAAAGGAGGGATGTGGTTGTAGGGGATCGGAAGGTGATCAGCCGGGAGGGGGTTATGAACGATGGGATCGTCGAGGTCGAGGTCGGGGTGGTTCGGACCGAGATGATACTGGAGGTAGAGCTGGATGCGATCGTCCGGCTCGACCGGAGGGACGCGGCGAGCGTCGTCCAAGGTAGTGTACGGGGCATGATTCGAGTCTGATTTAATCTAAAGGTGGTCCGAGATGGAGCAGGACGAGGACGAAAAAGGATAAGCGATCGTCGTCGAGAGAACACGGAGTAGGAATCGTCCTGGCTTGCCTGGATTAGACTACGAAGACGATTCCAGAATACGAGTGGAGATGATAGCTATTACTGCGAGCGAGCGATGGCTGGTGAGAGAAGTTTGACCTTGATGAGGTCGAGGATAGGTATACTGTACCGACCAGGATAACTGTCCCTTTTTGTCCCGCGTCCCCAAGAAAAAGGGACAGTTGTCCCATGTCCCCGAGGAAAAATCGCTAAGATTTGCTTCCGATATGCCGTAAAACGCTAGAATTTGCTTCCGGAATAGCGTTTTCGCTGATTTTCCGGAAAAGGGACACTTTCCTGGGGAAAAGTTGATTACATAAGCAAAACCAAAAAGGGACAGTTATCCTGGTCGGTACAGTAATCCATCGCTCCCTTTGCGCGCTTTTCCTCTCCCACAAACGACAGATTACGTAAGCGGACGATGGTGGGTGTCCATCAAACTTGACCTATTCGATATGACGATGATACTACTACTATGACAGCACATAATCTACAACGACAGGTAATAGTAGATGCATGTACAAACGATTCCCCTTTTTCCTATCCTTCTTGGCGCTGTGCTACCTCATCAACCCCTTGTGTCGATCCGAAAAAACAAGACGTGTCATGTCGTTTATGCGTCGTAGGCGACTCGCGCTCCGCCCCAGGCGAAAGGGTATTTGGACTGATAAAAGTTTCTCAAGCTCGACCGGGATGCCAGGCGGGAGATGGTCGCGAACGATCCACCCAGCTATCAGATCCGACGACAACGACAACGACAACATTGCATCAGCGTTTTCGTTTGAGGGGGAAACGTGTTGTAGAAGTAGAGGAGTAGGTTGGGGGGGGGGGGGGGGGGGGGACTCACCACGACCTTGTGCAACCCGTCGAAAAAGTCGGTACTATACCCCGGGTAGACCTCGGACGTCTCGAACCCGGGCAAACCCTCGAAATCGGTCGAGGTCCATTCCCAAACACCTCCATTATGACCGTACAACGTCCTTCCACACGAATCCACCCGGGTGTTCGTAGCCCTATCCACCGAGTTTTCGAAAAAAAATAAAAATTAGAACCCATTATTGCATTTGTATGTCTTGGACCATGTGCGACCTCGATTCGATCTGATCTGATCGGCGACTCACGGGATGGGGTGCCACCGCTTGACCCCGACGTTACCGCTCAGCCCAGCCGGTCTTGGGCCGACGTCGGACTCCCACAACATCCTCAATTCGGGCTCGGTCGGGATCCTGCCTCCTTTCCACTTGGCGTACGCCGTCAGCTCTTCCCCGCTCGCCATCAGGGGCCAGTGTTGGGCGACGTCCATGGAGACGGGGCCGTAGAGCGTCTTCACCCGAGGTTCTGTCCCTTCAGAGGAGGAGGATGGGTGCCATGATCCAGGGATCTCGGTGATCCCGACCTGTCGCATGTAAATCCAGTAATCCCCATTGCTTATGGGCAGACTGTCGACCTTGAACCCCTTGACACGAGCTACATGTCGCGGGTTCTCATTATCCCACCCGAACTCGTGGTTCTTCCACTTGGTCGGATCTGAGTCCGCGAACAGCTTGTCCTCGGACTCTCGGTCGTCGTGACCCAGTTGGACCTGGCCGCCTTCGATCTGGAGGACGATGTTCTCTTCTCGGGTCGCGTCCCACTGTTTACCGAGTTCTTCCCAAGACGGTCGAGGGAAACCGGGCGGGGGCAAGGTCTTGCTCGACTGGATGAGCATGTAGAGCAGGGTCTGAAGCGATCATGATATGTTGTGTAAGAATCTAGGTAATCAGAACGTCTTGCGAGTTGGACAGGGCTCACCTCGGCGTGGAAAGCTTCGTGCTCGTAGGTCATCCACAAGATCCGGTCGGTACGGCGCGTACGAGCCCTCTTGCCACTTTCCAGATCGTCGTATAGATCGAGGACTCGTTGTCTGACGCGGTCGCGGAAAGACAAGATCTCTTGGAGAGCCGGCCAATCCTCGTCCTTCTCAGGTACAGCTGAATGGTCCTGCATGCATGACCAGCTCGAGTCAGTCACAAACTCCACATTAGCTAGATCAGGGCGCGGGTGCCTGCTCACATGACATTCGTTCGGGTCATCGACGTGCGGATCGATGCCTCGCTCAAAGATGTCCTTGAATCTTTCCGGTTCGGTATGCTTTCCATCGGTCAGGCGGGTGAGGTGGATGTCTTGGAAGGTCGGGCTGTATAGCAGATCATTCAGCAGGAAGTTTTATGGGCAGTGAGAACGCAGTCTTACATATGACCCAGATAGAACAGACCTGTGTACAATCGCCGAGATCCAGATCAGCGCCCGTCAACCGAAAGCCCAAGCTCAAATCTTACATTTGTGCCTAAGATCGATAGGCTTCTCGTGCAACATCGGCTCCGGGATCATGCCGAGGGTGATGGTATCCCAGAGCTTCCAGAGCGCCGACCATTCATCCCTGGTAGGCACACTACCGAATCGCTGATCTTCGAGCGGCTCGCTCCCCTTCTTCGGTGCCAATGTCTTGGCCGGGAAGAAGAAGGGCGGCTTTCTGAGCAGCCACAGTCGGTAGTTGCTGTTAGGATCTTGCCAATACTGAACCGCAACGAGGCCGGCCTGTTCGAACAGCTCGAGCGATTCCGTCATCGAGTACTGTCGGTCATCGAACGCCGAATCAGGGTCAGTCCGCGCCCACGACAAACAAGATCCGTTCCATTACACACCTTCAGACTCCACTCGATGTTCAGCAGCTCGCCCTTGGCGACCGTGACAGACTCGCGACGCCCATTCTTCTCGGTCCAGCCGACTTCCTGATCCTCGTTGGACCCATAGTAGGCTTCGTGTCGACCCATCTTGACGTTGTACCTGCTCTTGTAGCTCCAGCTTTCTCGTCTCAGCGTGGACGATGTGCGTCGTTTGGGCGACGTCGGTATGTCGTCCTCCACAGCGTCCTCCATCTCGAGCGCTTCTGACGCCACATCGATACCGTGCATGATGAAGTCCCTCGTTTTGCCCTTGGGGTCGTCATAGGCGACCTCGACCTTGCGCTTTCCCTCTTCGTACCGGATGTGGGAAGGAAGGTGGCCGTTCACGGCGGTCTCCTTGTCGGAAGAAGACGGTCGGCCATCAAGACCGAGCAGGAGACTGTCGGTCGATCCTGGTCGGAGAGGCAAGCTGGCCAAAAAGGGACCGGCCGACTCTCGGTCAAAGTTGCCGAGAGAAGATCCCAGGAAGAGGAAATGAACCGGTCGACGCTCATCGTCGGTTGAAGTCTGCTGAGGAACGCTCGGCTCGGACGATGATAAAGCTCCTAGCTCCCTAGCTTCCTTTCGGAACAGCTCAATCCGGCCCAAAGCATAGGCCTGCCACCACCGCAACGAACATCAGCCTTCCGGATTTCTTTCGTTCACATACGCATCGACCCGACCTACCAAGTAATCAAAGTCCAACTGCGCCTCCTTGCCGCTGGCGAGCGCCTCGATCTGTTCTTCTCCCTGGACGATCCCCCACAAGGTCCAGAACGCGCTCGATGCCGGACTCCACAACCGGACCTCCCGCTCAAGGGCGTCGATCCGGGCTCGATCGACCTTGGCCATGTCGTCGATGCTCTCGTGACCGTTCCGCGAGTCCATGTGTACGGACAAGTAAGCGCGGTACCACTTTTCACGTTCCTCGGCCGAAGGGTAAGGGCCGTGATAAGTCAACGAGTGCGCATGGGTCTCGTGGTGGTAGTCGGCCTGCCATTCGTGGAAATGGTTGGCGATATCGTATCCTCGGTAATTGGGCGCGGCGTATTCAAAGTCGATGACGATGAGTTGGTGGTGCTTAGGGGCACCAGGAGGGAGCGTCTTTTCCAGCTCGAGGATGTTACCATACTGCGTGTCGTTGTCTGCGGTACATCATCTCCCTCGTCAGCTCGAAATTTCAGGCTGCACCAACCCTCAGACTCACGACAAAACACCCTAGCCTTTCCCTTGCCCTCCTGAGCGTTCACCCACTGGATATACTCTTCGATCTCAGCTTCCAACCTGTCCAACCCGAACTTTTGCAAAAACTCTCTGCCCTCGGGCACACTCTCCAGTGCAGCGGCCGACTTGACGGCCAACGGGATCCATTCTCTCAGTCTCTGCCAGACGGTGGGTTCGGACCGATCTTCGAACCCGAGCGCGTCTAGGTCGACGGAGTGTAGTTCCCTCATCCTCCGGGCGATAAGTAAAGAACATTCGGGGTCCCGCAGATGAGTCGGGGTGAGCGCGTGGGAGGGGAAAAACTGTTCGACCCGTCCGTTGGTAAACGTCCCCTCGATCCTGGGTCCGAGGCCGTAATCGGTAGACAGAGTGTGCAAGATCCTCAACTCTTCGTCCCGTTCAATCAAGGTGCCCGTGGAAGGTCCGTATACCCTGATCAGCAAGGTCGGCGGCGTCACCGCGCTCTCACCCGACCCTGATTGAAGAGACTCGAGACCGGGAATCTTGGGGGTGAGCATGGGTGACATGGTAGGTTGGGTAGCCTTGTCGGTCGGGTTGAACGAGCAGAAAAATACGGCGTTCGTCAACGCTCCAGAGACCTTGAGGAGGTGCACGTTGTGCTTCTTGATCGTCGACGAGGACCACATGGGAAGGCGCTATCGGGGATCGTTCGCAGTTCAGCCTCTTTTTCGAGCTGACAAGTTATTCGAACTCGCTCCGACTCACCAGCTTCCGCAGCATATCCAGGATATCCTCCTTGAACCCATCCCGCTTCCACCCCACCGGGTCCAAACTGACACCAGCATGTCGGACCCCCTTGACCTTCGGCCCAGCTCCAGCCCCACCGCTCGTCTCGCTCCTCGTCGTCTCCGCATCCGAATGATCCTCTTGCAGCTCTACCAACGGTCCGTCGTCCAGGGAAAACGAGTTGAGGGATGACATGCTAGTTCGTCGCCTCGGGCCGGATTGGGAGCGGGATAGTTGGTGCGTCGTCCGGGGGAGGAGCAAGGGGGAGGCGAGCGGTCGGCTAGAACGGCGTTGTTGTTGGGATAGGGTTGAAGCGGCATCTTCAGCCAGCTGGGTGAAAGAAGCCGTACTAGGCGTCCGAGCGGCAGTGGTCGGCGTCACAGGTGCGGGAGACTCGGTGATCCGTCCTCGAGATTCTTGAGCGGCCACGCTAGCCACCCCGTTAGAGTTTCCGAAATAATCGCTCTTCTCCCTCGGAGGATTACCAGGTCTATCTTCGGCCACTTCCACCTTGTCCTGCCGTCCCTGCTCATCTCGACCTCGACCTCCCCCGACCAACCCACCCCGCCTGACAAACTCGATCCCCCTTTCATAATCCCCCCAAAGACCCTTGACCGCGATTTTCCCTCGGAAGAGCTCCTTGTTGGTACTCTCCAAGCTGTCCAGAGTCCGGACGAGCTCGGGGTGGGAGAGGTCTAGGGCGTGGTAAGTTACCGGAGGAGGGGAGGAGTTGGAACTAGGGGGGACGGAGGAGGCGAGGGCGGAGAGGAAGTGGGAGGTCTTTCGGAGTGATCTGTTCGATGTCGATTTTGATGGCGATGGCGAGATTTCGAGTGGGGATTCGGGGTCAGTATCGTCGTCGTCAACGAGATTACACTTGACACTTGAGAGTGTGATTATGACGACCATAACACAACAAAACAACTCACCCAGCACCGAGCTCGACGATATCCCACCCCTTCCCTTCTCCCTTACCTTTTCCCGCAGCAGTCACATCCTTCTGATTCTTATTCTCTCGCTCGCCATCCAACCCTTCTTCCGCGTTCACACCCCCGTTCCACCTCCCTACCTTCACATCCCCCCATTTCTCGTCCGTCTCCCCGTCGTCCTCCCTGTCTATTCGCGGGGAGTGGGAGTCGTTTTGAGGTGGTTGGTCGTCCTGTCGAGGAGGTGGAAATGGTGTTTGATGTGGTGTTTGAGGAGAAGGAGAAGGGAAACCCATCTGCGCTGCGATCTCCCGACTGTGCGTCTTGAGGAGTTGGAGTTCGGCTTGGTAGAGGTAGTATTCGGGTGCTTCTTCTGTTATCTGGTCGTACAGCCTGCGCGCACCCCCGAGACCGATCGCCATACGCATATGCATACAGATACAACATGGTTGTCAGTTTACGGAACACCAACCAGAGCAACCAAGACCGAAACACAATCACACGTAAAAAGGGACTCACCTCAACCCCTTCTCATCATAAAGCACCATCGTAGGTAAACTCCTCTTATACCTCCATTCCTTGTCTTCTTCTTCCTCTCCGGGGATGATATCCTGGGGCGTTCCACGGAGACCTTTGATGATCTCTTCTCGGAGGGATTGGCTGCCACCCCCATTCGCTGGTGCCGAGGAGGAGGTACTGGGGAGGGAGGGGAGGGGGATGATGTCCGGGGACATGGTGCGACGGTGTGATTAGGTCGTGGGTTTCTTTCCTCTGAACTTCAGAAGGTTGTTGTTGTTAAAAGGCAAGAGATCGAGAAGAGTTGAAGTTGAAGTTGCAAGTGACGACCTCGAGCATATGAACATGACATGAGCCGAGGATGAGGTGTCCCCCCATCTCCCCTCTCATCGATCGATTTGCTTCCGCATAATGGCCGTCATCCCCGCTTCGGACGTTTTTCATCTGATCATCCCCGCCGAAGAGCGATCGAAGGAGAGGAGAGGATGGGGGCTACGTCATCGATAACGGCAGAGCCAGCGAGGGTGCGCTTCGATCAGCAATCCAGTGATCAGTAGACCAGTAGATCACCTGGCAGCTGGCAGCTGGTTATGCTAGTCATGCTGATCATGGAATTTGTAGCTCAACGTCAACCCCGCCGAAGACGCTCGACGCTCGGCTCGGACCACAAGAGATGGATGCGTTGGGGGTATCAGCGCCCATGAAAGGGCAAAAAGAAACGAGAAAGGGGTTAAGGGTTTCGAACCGGCGTTCCCCCGCCGACACGCCAGACAACGGTAAAAAGGCATGTCTTTAGTGTTGCGCTATTGCACGTTCAAAAGTCTGACGGTAGATACACAACTGCTAGTAAGAAAGATGAGCCGGTCAAGAGTGTCCTAAATTAGACGCATCATGTAGCCGATAACATCCTACCCGGAACAGCATCGCCCACAAAGAGAGCTCATCGATAGACCCACTATACCACTTGTCCTGCTCCATTCCGGCTGTTCCCAACGAAACCCCACCTGAAACGCACGCATGAAGGCCGGGTATGTATAACAACGAAGACATTGTAAGGTAAGTGCTCGTTTTCTGAAAGCGGGAGACTGTTGTTCGTCTACTGTACCCGTCTTGTAGAATTTGGTCGTTCGGCGCATAGGGATCGTCAGCAGGCGGATGAGATTGTTTTCTAAGGGTTTATTGGTGGCCACGGCGGGGATATAGGGTCGATCGTAGGCGAGCGCGAGCGATTCCGGTTGTGCTCGCCGGGAGCTGGTCGGTTCTGGTGCCACCTATCCCGGCTATATATGTGTATGAGTGTCGATCTCTTTTAGATTCATGGTGAAGGAGAATGAATACCGTGGAATGGTTTTCGTCGACCACCTTCCATCGAACTACGCGAGTTGACTGGTTCGGTGTTTCGCTTTCTTCAATACTATACTACTCAAAGCGTCCAGAAAGAGGGACATAATAGGCGGGTACCGCTCGGATGGCAGGTGTCGAGCTCGCTGGATGAGACAGTACTCATACATGCTGTGGAAGATAAAAACTAGGGGTCTGAGATGTTGCGTCTTCGTATCAGTACAGCCGAAATTGAATCGAGCCAGCACTTGAAGGTTCGAGCTCGTCCCAAACGCTTCATACAGATCCACTGACGATCCGTAGGCGTATGATGCACAATTAGGCTTCACAGAAAGGCGCCTTTATACAAGCTCGAGAATCAGCTTTTATCGTCAGAATGTCTCGTACTGCTGTAACCTTCCCGGTTGTAAAAGAACCAAGACGAGGCGCGCGCTAAGTTTCGGTGGCTCAGCAGAACGCTACTTGCTGCTTGCTACTTGACATTCAAGATTGTCCGTCCGGCCGGCTCTTTGGGTCAAGAATCGATTCTGTCGGTCTACCTGATCGTGCATCGTATATCCTCCGGCTTCTCCATAGCAATGAAAGGATCGCGACGTGGAAGATGGGTCGGATCGTGAGTTGGCGTCAGTCGGCTAGGATGGGCTTCTTAGTATGCATGAAAAAGGAGGCGCATGATCGAGAATGGCATTCTCCGGTCTGGTATGGCGAGGGAGAGGTCTACATATAGGCAAACTCGTGCTCCATACCGGGATTTGTGAAGTCGAGGCAGCTGAATTGGATTTGAGTCGTCATTGTAGTCAAATCGAAACACAGGTATACCGATTACCGCATCGTTTCACCATGAGGTGAGTGGCTATACAGTATAGCATCTCGAGACTGAGTACATGAGAAGAAGCATTGATGAGATGCGCCAAGTATGGTTCGAACAGCCACGTTATTGGCGACTTCTCGTAAGATCCCGTACTGTACAATCCAGACATTATTAACTCGGAGATCGCTGATGCAATTCCCACACCCCTCTTGCCTCGTCTCGGGATGTGAAAATGTAGAACCGGCCGCGACGGATATGCAAACAACTCGTTAACTCTGTCTTATGGTAATCCCAGCGGTAACAATACCGTGAGTACGCAGCATTCGCAAAACACCTACAGACGAGGAAGGGGGCGAGCCCGTTCTGTTAGGCCCGATAGGTGGGAGTCAGGAAGAGGAGGGTAATTCGAGTTCCTACTCTACCCGTTCCGAACGGGAGAAAGCGATACTTATGCGCGCTGTTTTACGATACTGCATAGACAAGGATTACGGTGGAGTTTGAGTGGTGTAGAGACTCAGTATGTTCATGAGCCCCGTGCCAACGCTCCGTATTTGGTTCTGGCTGTCGCTCGCTCATTGATCCGGTCTATTCCCTTTCGATTACCCTTCATGCAACAGAAACACCACGCCAAGCATTGCGTCTAGATCTACTTTTGCCACCTCACTACCGAAAACTTCCGTCGAGATATCGTCTGCGTGGAGGTTGGATAAGAGTGTAGCTGATGATCCCTGGATGTACGAGCTAGAGGAAGCCATGGCTGAAATCGACCAAGAGATAGAAGCCGCCCCACGAGCAAGCGCTTTTGGGGATCCCCTGTTAACAGCATCCCAAAGAGCTGCGGAGAGGCCTCATGACACCTCCGCAGATATTGGGACAATGCACGGAGGTCAAGACAACTCTTCACAGATGCGAAACACTATCGGATGGATAGATGAAGAATCATCGCATCAAACTCAAACAGCGGGACAGGCGTTACTCGTGGACCCCAAGCCCTTCCGCTGTCTCTGGTGCAATGACAAAGCCCGTCACAAGTCTCTCGAAGGTTTCTTCGCCGTATTCAAGCTGTTTGAAGAAGGCTCAAGAGACACATGGCGAGTCACGGACATACGAAACGGTCGACCGGCTAGGGAAGCTCTCAAACCGCGTGCATGTGACGCGCACAAAGCCACACTTGCTAGATTGCTGGTTCGTTGTGTTCAAGAAAGTAATCAAGCGAAGTTCACTTTGAGCGAAAACAAGGGCGAGCTCTGGGTTTTTAACAGGTGGGATCTTTTCAAACAATACGTTGGCGTATGGCAGCGAAGAACTTTATAAATAAGCTGAGTAATCAGCACTCCCGGACGATATCTTATGTGAAGCATGTCTCTATACTGTAGTGCATCTGTATCTCAATATTAATGAGGAAGAATTTGGAGTACTCAGAAGATGCTATAATTTCGTATAGTCTAGCCGGGGCGCATCCAGAGCTCGCAAGTTGATCGACAGTCGAAATGAACCCAGTTAGTCCTTTGGGACCCTGTTGGTGTGACGCATCTCGGCGGTCACGGCGACAGAGAAAGAAAGGATATCAGGGATCCAGGACCGGCATCCTTGCCGACAACTGAAGATTTGAAATGGGTGAGACGATTGAGAAGCTTAACAAAGGATATTCGGCTGTTCATTCGACACCAGCGCATTTCGTTATCTGAGGACCATAAGGCATCAAAGGCGTAGAGTCAGACAATACACAGCCTCTGGTACAAAGGATCCAATCTCCATGTAGTGGCAGCTACCAGCAAGTTAGATCGCGTCATTCATTTATAATTTTATAATCACGCGAGAAAGTCGCAAGGACAGATAGGCTTTTGTGAACCCTCGAGACCAGCTGATTACAAGGCGCCATCGTACGCAATATTGTGTGGCTGACCAATGGTCACACGATTGTTTCGCATCTCAGACAAAGGGAGACATTGATGACGCAAGTCGACCTTGGTGAAGAGAGGGCCAGATTGGATAATGACCTATACATATATACCCAAACGGGGGTTGAGCGATATTGATTGGGGTGAAGAGACGATGAATCTGCTAGCCTTCAAAATCAAAAGTGATCGCCTTCCCTTATCGTTTCACCACTACCGCATCCGCACAACAATGTCTTCGCAGTATGACTCCACAATCAATCCTTCTCAAGGTTCGAGTGTTGCCGCCGATTCTACCCCTACACAAGGTCTAAGTGAAATAATGGCTTTCGACATCAACATCTGGCACGACGATGGAATCGAAGGCGATTGTCAGCAAACCGAAGAAGTTTACGATATCCCAGCAATCCCGTTGTATGAGGAAATGAAACTCTTGCCTGGCCAATATGCCCCAGACGAATGTCTTTTCTGCGAAAAAAAAGGGGGAACGGTCGACGTCGGCTTATCGATCTGGACCCTGCTACTGTGCACCAAGACAAGTCAGTGGTTCAAGCCCTACCTTACTGACCGCACCGACGAAATTGAAGGCGCTCAAGAGTTCCGCGTCTGCGATAAACACAGAGAGTGGATATCACACCCTCAGATTCTGGACAGCTTGCGGGAAGGTCCGCTCTACCTAGGAAACGGAAGAGGGTGGTTCAGCATTCTCTTCCAGCATGTTCCGGGAGACTCCGTTGTCAAGATGCCTCAGCCATCCATTGAAGAAGCAGACTCCATCGCAAAGCTGTCTCAGTGTCTCACCGAAGAAGCAGATTCGAGCGAATGGACAGCGCCACCAACTTCCGTCTCATTATCAAAGGATGGGAGCGAGAGTGTCTCCTTGGTACAAAGTATCGCTACTGTGGCGGATCGCGGCAGATATGGGAACTACCATATTCTCAGGCCATTGAGCGGTATCACATACGAGACTGGACCAAAGGATCAACTCAGGTGCTCAATCTGCTCCCAGCCTGCCGACTTGAGAAAGAATATAGTGAGACGTGCCGACAAGATTGACAAGCGGAGGTCGAACTACTACGGAACAATATATCCACTGTTATTCCCTATCTATCGGGACAAAACAGCAGGCACATGGTACTTATCATACAAGCCATCGCAAAAACCTGTTGATCCACAGGAATCAATGAAACTCCGTGCCTGCAATCAGTTGCATAAAGAGCTTCTTCAGGATCTCGTGAACTCCACTCGCGGGTTCAGACAGGGGGATATCGAGTTGGCCCATGAAACCCTACCTCATTTAACTGTTCAACTCATGACAATGAATGAGTTGAGAGCGAAGGCAGCAGAAGTCAAGGCAAAAGAAACGCAGGGCTGATAACACGGACAATTGTACCGTAACACAGCTAGCTCTCCTCATCCCTTTAGAGTCGTACGTGACCATCCTAGAAACATGTTGTATTATACCATAGAGGTTTCTCTTGTACATAGGCATGACTTATCATAATAATTTCCCCACAGGTCAGAAGATCGTGGAGGCGATTTGCCTGAAGAAGCACGAACTTCGATAAGTCTCAATGTGGAGTAGTCGACCTGGCTAGTCAGTCCCATCGATCACAGACACGCCATGAGCTTGATCTGTCACAGGTTGATTGAACAATATCCACGGGTCCGCCAGAGTAACAACAATGCGCCTCGTCATGGGTTGTGCTGAGAATCAAGTGGCATCGCAGACATAGAGTTCGATGCTGCATAACCTTCTCTACAAAGGATCAAACCCTGCTAAGCTTAGTAGTGACCGGCCGGCGACATCACAAGGACAGATAGGTCACTCTAACTATCGAGACTGACCAACAACATGCCACGATCGCACGCAAGAATGAATCCAGATATACGGTCGGTTTACACCTCCAAGACCTGATATCTCGTTTTTCAACGCCATGTCGATCCCTTTGGCCCTTTGATCGTCGTGCTTACTACGCGTTTCAAGTGCCACGTGCGTTTCAACCCCCTTCTGGGCTTTTCGGCCGACAATGAAAAGGCCGAGAACCGGCTGGCGATCACGCGCAAATAGAGGAGTACAATCGATCATCGTCAGCGGCGGTGAGCTAGCTTGGCCCACTCTTACCAGTCAGCAAAGCGCAAGGGAAGTATCAACGGGCATTTTGTCTAAGAGAGGCAGGCGCCGCTACCAGTAGAGAGATTCATGCCAAAGCGAATGTCCGGACAGAGACGAGGTTGCACGTCACTTAGGCCTTGGAGTTGCCATCAAGCGACCAATCTTACACTTGCCATTTGAGGATAGTAGACATGCACCCAGACTCGTACAATCCTTCTCATACTTCGCACTACCGGGATAGTACAAATATCGGGCGAATCACAAACGAAACCATCATCGTCGACTTGCAAATCGGAGCGCATCTTCGACTGAACTCGAACGTCACACCACCGATTTCACAGGTCAATTAAAGGGTGACAAATATGACGCGATATGATGATGCGCTGATCTACGCATGGCCGAGTTGCGTATATAAAATAATACATCTGATTATACTAGTAATGACCGGTTCCATCAGCTAGCACGCCAACATAAAACAAGAACGAAGCTTCGTCGAGTGGCAATGACCAACAAGTATAGCGCCATTGACTTGCGATCGAGCGATGCAATCAGGGTTTTGCAGACCAAAGAGGCTACTTCGAGCCTTCCGAATCACCTACCCGGAGACGAGATCGAAACGGGCTGATTTGCATGAATGCTATCCAATCACGCGATGGGCTCACAAAGGAAGCCGCCTTCAACGCGATTCGTTGGCAGTCAAGGGGCAAAAGCTCGACTCAACTATATAATAGGGGGGTTGTATAAGAGACGATTTATCCGCTGCTCCTGTTTCTGAGAATAAAATGATTAACTGTCGAGTACGAGTACAATCATCTTTCGATTCAAACCTTTACAATGTCCATACTTCCCTCACATTCCGGCTTCTCTTCTGGACCCGACCCCACCACCGCGGGCTCTCGAGATTCGAGGGCGACTGAATGGCAGAACAGCACCTGTGACACAGATATCCCTGCGCCGCCAGTCCGTCGTGACATGGTCGATCTGGGCGCATTGGCCTCGTTTCGGGGATGTCTGTTCTGTGACAATGAGAATACCACTGTGATCACGGGTGAGCATACCCCATGGGTCTTGCTTTGGCACCGCCAAGAAAGACAATGGTATCGACCTCATTGTAGGGAAGACCAGAAGCAAACAGATGAGGATTTCTATGGCTATTTGTGCTCGCAGCACGGGAACCAGGAAACAGGAAAGATTCAGAGCCGACTGAAGTCGGTTCCATGTTTCTCTATACCGAGCAAGAAGATCCGCAACTTCGATATCTACTTCATCTCAGAAGGGGGGAATACTCTGGACGATGAACGCACACCTGACGAGATGTGTGCCATCTCTGGTACCCAGGGAAGCTCCTTCCAAACTATTGTCGACACAGGCTCCATGAATATTTCAACCATTGGCGGTCCTTCAGCTGCCTCCGATTTCAAGTCTGGTCATGGTGACGACGAAGCCCCGGCGAGCTCGAAGGCAGGGAGCGCGTCGGTAGACGGGCTATCTCATGGTTTGGCAGGGATAATGAAGAAGCTCGAACCGATCGTGTTCGCCAAAGGGCCGATTAACAAACACCGATGCTCACTTTGCGACAGCGAGGGAGAACGCTTGCAAGCTGCCAAACAAAAGGCCCGTCTACCTAAGCGTCTCAACTGCTATGAGCTGTATGCTTTACCGTACAGCGTATCAGAGATGAAATGGAAGAGTCCTTACATGCCCGAAAACCAAACCTCATGGTACCCAGTGATTAGGGCCTGTGTTACCCATAAGCAGGCACTGACGGATATTGTCTTCGAGGTTCGCAAATTGGAAAAAGGTTTCGCGGGGTTCGCTACACAACACACAGTCCTAGAGGATCTGACCGTCCATATTATGGATTTACAGGCCGCCAAGAGAAGCCTTTTGAGTCACAGGAAATAAGGGTCGTCCGACTGACAACAGAATGGTTCCAGCTAGTTCCTTCCCCACTATTGTACATGGAGGATTCAGAAGCATATTGTATCATATCATAGAAATTTCTCTTGTACATATGCATGATTTTACAATCCATTTCTCCTTCGTAGATAAAAACTTTCCCCAAAAGTCAAAGAGGAGCACTGCCTGTATATGGGACGTATGAATTTATTCAACCAACCGGTCTTGCCATCACCTTGAATCACCAAGTGGCGAAATTGGCCAGGTTGTAGGGCTTCAACAATATGGATTATTGGGCAGTATGTATTTTCAGCCCGACTTTTTGGTGGCGTGGGGTTCGATTCTCGCAAAGGTACAATTTGTCAGATGGAGGACGAGAGCGATTACCGAAGCGCTAGCTTCCTATATACCAGGACTTACCCGGGCCTAGAAGCCGGGCAAATCGTGGACATCCCCACAGATGCCGTTCAGAAGGGCTTTGAGTTGTATAAACGATGGAGAGCCGATCAATGCTCAGGTAGACCAATCACTCGGGGAGAGGTCTTGCAGCTACAAGCCCTAAAAATTGATCCTCGGGTCTTGGATCCCATTGGGCATTCCGACTGGAAGTGCCTGTTCTGCGGGAAGCCGAGTGATTCGAACTCGCAGAAAGATAGATCTCGAATCGCGGTGTGGCTTCGCATGCATGAGTTAGGGGATTGGGCACGCCCCCACGTCCCAAAGTGCGAGACCAAGGAAGAATTTCTAGCATTCCACCTATGCGGAGATCACAGAAAGTACTACGCACAGGAAAAACTCGACATCAAAGACGGAGAGACTAGGATCGAGCTATACACACGTCCGTCCGCCTGAGATGTCTATGTTCTGCGGATCTCCGATACCTAGTGCCTGAACTCAGATAGAATTGGTTGAGATCTGGTAATCTTTTTATCATGGACTATTTGATGTATGGCGACCGATAAATTAGCAGCCGGCTGATCTAGCTAATTATCACGAATGAGAACAAGCCGTCATGGAATTCAGAGAGGCAGCTTTGGCGCTGGACTTTCTAGCAAAGATCTTACAAATTACTAAGTCCACTTGGCTTGTCTGGTACAAGCCAGATATTGACCGATATCTCACCTTCGCTAATGATGGTCCCTCTCTGGCTCCAAAACAGGGGCCGAATGACGAAATTGACGCAATGCATGATGTTATCGGGTTTGACGGAGGGATAACAAAGGAAAAGGTTGACTATGATGCCAGGTGACTCGCTGTCATGTCGTCATCTGGAACACCATGTGACGATGGGTCGAAATCATGCTTCTTTCCGGATAGCATCTGATACGCGATGGCGAATTGCCGATCTCCGTTCATTCGCACACCAGATGTCATCCTCGAAATAGTGAGATTCTCACATCAGCTGACGTATGTTATCTGGTTCTATATACGATGATTCTCAGTGACGCAAGAAAAAACAAAGGAATCAGCCCACAGCCCATGTCGACAGGGCGGCCACTTGTGCGCCAGAATCTGTCACGCGCGTACCTAAATCCTTCCTACTGCTGTATATATAAGACGACTCAAATCGTTTGCAACTGAACAGTACAATCCCCTCACATAGAATCGAAATCGCGTCGGCTTTGACTCCAGAGGAAAGCTCTTCACAAATAACTGCTCGATACGAAGAAACACTTGCAGCATGAGCTCTAGACGCGCTAGACGCGATGCAGACCACCGCAACGATCACGATTCTTGGCATCAAGCTAACTTCGACCGCTTTGGAGACTTCGTTGGCAACAGCACGCTCAACAGGTAAGCCGGAACTCAAGCATGCCTTTTGTTCTGCTTATTAGCTGACCAAATCGACGTGCGATCTTGTGTTGCCCAAAGCCATCCATCTCGTCAATCCGCCCACGGATCCATTTCTTCAAGCAGGACCGTTCAGTGAGTTCTGAGCAAGCCGGAAGATCTTGCTATCAGATGCTGAATCCCATACAGTGTCCCTGGAACGAAGGGATACGAGGAGTACGAGGAGTACGAACGAAGTGACGACGGTGCATATCACGGTGATCGATGTTTCAGCCGAACGGAATCTGATCGGCAAGGCTCACTTGTCGATATACGCCAGCATCCTGGGCAGAAGCGTCGACGTGCAAGGGGCGGACCACCAGACACGGAAGACTATGATTCAAACGGTAGAGCAAGCTACAACGACTTTGACGAATACGATGGGTCGGGCTTCCATACCGAATACAGAGGTCAAAGCCCGGGAGTGAAGCCAAATGTGCAAACTTCACCCCAAGCTAGTCACCGGACGGAGACGCTCAACGGGTACGGCGATACTTTCAGTTCCGAAGACACCGATTGGCAAGGTTCACTTCACGATTTCCGCAACCATCCTGGCCAGAAAAGTCGGCACAACGGATCCAGATCCCCAGACGACGATGCCTATGGCCCAACCGGTAGAGGGAACGACGGCGGGCTCTATGACAGCGATTTCGGAGGATACGAAGCGTCCAACTACGATAATAACGAATACCGTGCTGGAGGTTCGAGATGGATGCCAGGCGATCAAGCTCGACCCCACGCCGCTGAACGCGGTTACGAGTACGCCGGTACTGAAGAGCAAGCAACCGGAGGCAATGGGGCTGGACAGAGGAACGAGGCGCCGCCGCAGCCGGGAAGGATCACCTATCCGGGCTATGAGCAGAGAGGGTAGACTCAGGGGAAATGAAGGACACAAGTGCTGCTTGGTTCAAGAAAGCCGAACAGTGGGACTTGTATACTAGGCCGATCGAGCGACTTGTATGGTGAACGTGATAAGTAAGACTGATCTCTGGACATTGACTAGCTTCCTGATATGTATGCATGATATGTATGAAGAGACAATGACCGGTGAGGTCTCTCTGTATGTTTATTTGTAGGATAAACAGTGTCGGTATATGGTTCTCGCGAATCGTAAAGATACAACGATTTCCGTACTATTTGAAAGCCTAGTAACCAAGACGAAGAGTACTCTTAGACGACCCATACTGATAGACGTGACTTTGAGCCAGACGTTCGGCTGTAGTACAGTACTACATATAGAGCCTAGTATCGGGTGCTCATCGATTCGCAAATCAGTAAAGTGCGATTATCCGCAACCTTTCAGGAGCGATCAGAAAGCGAGCTTTATTCAGAAACGGGCAATGTTGACGGCCGGCGGGCTGGACGAACATTCTATCCGTGGGTTGTTGAAGCTGTGTCCGTTCGTAAATGGGATATAACAACCGATCATTCTGATCATGTTCCATCAGGCGCTGCATCCATCGATTCCTCGAGGTCCGCCCAAGAACGTGGCAATGGCCGACGATCGCGAGCATGTGAAATGTAAAAAGTCCCGTCTAACCCTTAAATTCACCTGCCAGGCGTCGTTGTTGGACCAGTGTTGACCTCCTGAATGTCAAGGGGTGTGATGCATCATGGAAGGATGGTCTTGTGCCTTTGTTCCCTTTGTCAAAGGGAGCCTTCGAACGGGCGTAAAGGACCGCATCACAAGAAGGTACTCACGACCTAAACCACACTGGTCGACCTGTATTTCCTCGCTTTCATCCCAAACCCTTGCATTTTATTCCGTCAAACTCACATGCAACTAGTCACATCAATGATGAAAGACAGAAGCCATCCAGATACGACCGGCGCAACGACCTGCCCGGATCAGGCCAAAAGCAGTGTTGCAGCTATCATCATTGCGACGGACCATGGGGAGCGCATGTGTTCCGCCAAACCCAAAGTTTTGCACGAATGTGCGGGTCTACCTCTCATTGCCCATGCAGTACGCTTGGCTGTACATGTCGGCGCCAGTCACCTAGTGTTTATCGTCAGCCCTTTGACGCTGGCACCTATCCGTGCCGCTATGCAAGTAATTTTCCCCGAAGTGCCGGTCATCTATGCTGTGCAAGAGGAACAACAAGGCGCATGGGATGCTGCCCGCGTGGGGCTGCCCGCCGTACCGCAGCAAGTGCAACAAGTGGTGATATTACACGGCGATATGCCGCTACTACAGCAGAGTGACCTAGCCGTCTTGAAAGAAGCTGCAACTTATGCGCCTCTAGCGTTGCTGACCGCGCGCCTGGATGGATCCACTGGTTTCGATCGCATTGTGCGAGACGAGCGCGGCCAGGTGCAGCACATCGCTGGACAGCATGTCGCGACGAACGAGCAGCTGAGTGTTAAAGAGGTGGAAACGGCGGTATATTGGGCGGAAGTCAACTTCCTCCACCAAGCGTTTACCGACATCGATGACGACGTTTCAAAGTCGAAACCCGCTCTGATCAATATCGTTGAGCTTGCTCGGACAACGGGTACCGTGCAGTCGGTACAGGTAGCCGAAGTGCAAAATTTAAGGACGATCAACGACCGGGTCGACCTCGGCGAGGTAGAGGGCATCATGCGTGACCGGCTCGTCCGCAAGCATCAAGCTGCGGGCGTTACATTCCTTGACCCGAAACGCGTCTACATCGGCATGGACGTCACTTTAGCTGAGGATGTGACCGTTGGTCTTGGCGTTGCGTTACACGGCATAACCACCGTATGTCGCAATGTCACTATTCTCGGGCCTACAGTCATCATCGGTTGTCAGATCGAGGAAAATGTGCACGTCAGTGCGTTCTCTCACCTGCAAGACTCGCGGGTGGCGCAGCATGCGGTCATAGGTCCCTACGCGCGAGTGCGAGCGGATAGCTCTGTGGGATCCCGAGCCTTTGTAGGCAACTTTGTCGAGCTGAAGAACGCTGTGCTGGCCGAGAATGCCAAGGTCGGCCACCTCAGCTATGTTGGTGACGCCAACCTGGGTTGCCGAGCCAATATCGGTGGCGGCACCATCACTTGCAACTACGACAGCGTGAACAAGCATCGGACGACCATCGGCGAGGGCGCGTTCGTAGGATCCAATAACACGCTGGTCGCACCACTAGCATTGGGCGACAGATGTTTCACAGCCGCGGGTAGCACTATTACCGAAGATGTGCCTTCGGAAGCTCTTGCCTTTGGTCGAGCCCGTCAGTCGACCGTCGAAGGTCGTGGTAAGGTCCTGCGCGAGCGCCTCGCTCATGAACAGGCAGGCGGACGGGTCAAGTAGCGACCATTTGTGAGGCAGACTGGCCTTTGGGGCATGAGCCAACTTTTGTAGCATAAGTATCTGCGATGGGCATCTAGTGAAAAGTTTCCCCATGACATGTGACATCGTTGCGTCAGTTGGCGATCCCTCCAGCAAAATTAGATTGAATACCAACCCCAGTCATCGTTTATCTGAAGAAGGACTCTATGGACCGTCATCAAATTGTATTCATATCCGTGTCTAGAGTGATACATCAGCCATGGATTCGTAGTCGCCTCAAAAGGGGGAGTTCGAAAAGATGCCGAAGTTTGTGGTCGAAGTGTCTGTACAAGTAGGTGAATTTCTCAACCTCGAAGTGAGATGGTGTATAACGATCGACCAGATCTGTGCCACAGCGGTCGGGCCGCGAGTCAAGCAAGAGACGCTTAGGATACCTCTATCGCAATGTACCATACTGTACAACGATAGGTTGTCTTTTTCATCGCGTCATGCTGTAGCCATCGCCGAGGTGACGGCTTTGCCGGTCGTCTGCAGGTGAAACAAGCCTATCTCGGAGGCAAAGTCCTTTTTGCTTTCTGGCCAGAGCGACGCGCAAGAACATGAAACGCGATACGTCACCGGTCAGGAGGTCAACGGCGACCCCCTGAACAGACCGCTCGCAATACAAAGGAACGTACGAGACCCTGAGATGTGAAAGGTGTGGAGGACTACCGATTTGCTCTATTTCACGACGAACCTAGGTGTACAGCCTCAAGAACAGCCTCACATAAATACGCAGACGACAGAAAAAGCGACGGTTCATTCGCTTGTTAAGACGGATCTCGACTCCACGGTATATAGTTGAATCCACCTGCCCAATGTCTTTTACAATCACGATAGAGCCTAATTCTCTTCTGGGGAGAATTCTTTCGCTCAGCAGTTCGTCATCATCGGCCAGGACCCGATCCAGATCTTTCCGGGAGAGCCTCCGGCGTAGGGAGAATGAAGACTATTTAGCGTTAGTCATTGCGCTCGCGTATGGCCCCGCTTGGTACTGACATTCTACTACTTGGCAGATACCTCGCATCTAGTAGTAGATCTGGACATCGAGGGCGCGAGTCTCGTTACAGCACGTACTCATACCCTGATGAAGACCAGTATTCTACATACTGCCCCCGGCCTTCCGCCTGCAGAGTGCGCAATGGCGCGAGGACACATCATGAGCCAAGGCGGCGCAAGCATAGGAGAACGAGACCCGTAACGAGTCCCCCCTTCGCTACCCGTGACAATTATCAGGAGCAGCAATACAGGGAGTCAGCTGAACCCAGATCGCCACGACCAGCCAAACCGCATTCTCAGTATGCGCACGATGATTCCTATGCAAGTGGAAGGGTCTCGCCGGCTTCATCACATGAAGATTTCGAGGGCGAGGAGACTCATCAGTACGAAGACCATTTTCTTTGCTTACTGTGCAGAAACAATGGCAAGGCCCTCTACCGCATAAAGGATCGACGGAACACAACCGAGACCCGAGGCCTACCGTACTTCGTCTTCTATGATCCCCAGACACATCGAATCCTGCCCCCTGACACCGATCGAGGCCCGTCTGAAGAGAGAGCAACTGACGGTCATGCTTGCGACGATCACTTTGACGTGTTGTCTAGAGCAGCTTTGCAACACGGCTGGAATGAAGAAGCTCCGACACCTCGGAAGATGGATTACTCGAGTATGTTTTCACCCAAATGTCAAGTTCGTTCACTCGAGCGAGTATCTGACACTGCATTCCGCCAAAATTATTCTGCGCTTTTATAGGCGAATTCGATCTGTGGTTATTCCGATCGTTTGAAGAGTTCGTAGATTACTGTAGATACGACAAAGACCTGGGCGGCTGGACGGGAGAGAAGAATTGAGGACTGCAATGGATTGTTGTGTGACTGAATATGCTGTAGCTATGTTTCAGTGCCTTGTATACATGGACATGTTGATTGATCCCTTCGGATCGGGCGAAAGTATCGACTTGAAGTATGGTAGGACATGTATTCTTACCGCTCCCGGCGTGATGTTCCGCTATATTGAATTTTCCCGTTGGCGTAGCCGCATCTACCGTTGCACAGCTCAAAAATCGCGTTACAAGGTGCATTGCTGCCAATAATCAGACAACCGCTTGAGACATAGGTTGAGAAATCCACGATCCCCAGCATCAGACCCGGAGCATGTGATCAGCCGCTATTTATGAATCTCGTCGACCGCGATAGCCAAGACGATGTCCAGTTCCAGTGGGCTCACAGGCGGGTCTCGTAGCGCCGTCCAAGAACGTTGCCGAGCGAACCTTTCGAGCTGTTTAAGCCGGGCGGAAGAGAAGCCTGATGTACCAATCAGCACAAGTCACCTTGTTCAGCTTCTTGCTGCTCCAAAGTACGGTCAGATGATTCAGTTGATGTGAGAAGCCGCGCGCGTGATCGACGATAAAACAAAGGGAAAGACCTTTCGCTACGCAAGGGTGCCCCTTATCGACATGAGACAGGTGGCGAGGCCGTGCGTGTCTCCGTCTTCTCCCTGGTTCTCAAAGGATAGGCCTATCACAGCTTTGTGTATATATAAATCTACGTGACCATCAGTAAGCGGACGATAATCACTTTGACCAAGATGCCTGTGCAATAAGACTACGATATCGATCGCGAAGATTGACCAACCAAAGATGCCTCCACCATATGGAGTCGATAGGAGGTACCCTCCCAGAATCCAGCTAGTCGTTCCAAGTCGACGCCCTGCATATCCTCCCCAACCTCAGCGAAGCCGATACGACAATCCGTCTTTTGAGTAAGGGTGAGATTTCGTACGGGTTTCTTGAAGCCCTGAGATGTGGCTGAAACACGAAATCTCGTCCTTTACATGTTCCGGCGTCAAAGATGGACGTCAAGCAATGCTCCTCTTCCAACCCCTTCATAGTAAGGCTTTGTTTGCTCGATGCATCTTGCGCTTTCGTGATCTGACGGGATTGCGTTGAGCTCGCAGCTATCACGCCCCGTCTTCCGATGTCACACCGGCTTCTTCTTCGACGCCAGCCCAATATCTAGTCTACGGACCTGATGGCAGTACATACTTGCAGAATTCTGCTCAGACACATCGCCATCCCGAATCGCGTCATAGAAACTCTTCAGAACCGTCGCCGCAACCGTACTCCTCTATTCATACGGGGTATCCACCTCAACCGAACTTCATAGCGCGTGCCCCGCGTCGATCAGGATATGGTCCGGACGACAGACTAGAAGCAGAAGGTTATCAGCGCACGCCTTCTAGAGGATCCTCTCGGTATTACAATGACCTTACATCAGATGACAATTTCTCCTATCAATCACCCTATCAATCGATCAACAGGCCTGATGGCAATCCACTGGAGTCCTCTCAATGGGAAGGCAGGGGACCGCCTATGTATGTAGGCCCTTCCCTGAAGATAGATGCAGGCTGCTGTGCGATATGCAATGAGAAAGGTCGCCAATTTCTCCGTTACAAGTATTCGTCGAAGATCCGGCCTTACTTTGTGTGGTACAACCGAGAGACGCGAGTGTTTGAAGCGCAGCACACGCGCGGATCAAGTGAACCTTCCGACGATTAATTCTTCTGTAACGAACACAGCGGCATGATCAGCCAAGAGATCATGAAGAAGAGGAACGCTGACAAGCTGCGGGAGGAGCCTTATATAAAGGTCTTTCATCAGCCAGGATCAAACTACTATCTGTGCTACTTTGAGAATGCAGTTGATTTTGATCGATACGTAACATCGATACACGAGTACATGAGCGATTTCAGATACATTCAAGCCACATGATATATGCCTTCGAGTCGTTCACCAGTCCCGCGATGATCTATCTGCCTCCGGGCACATCTCGCTCTGCGAAATAATGACCTGTGACAAACCCACTCATGCGCTAGTCAGCCCTGGCTCGAAACTTAGTTCAAGGTTCAACGGCCACCGGACCTAATGAGAAGGCCTGAATAGAGAAGCGGCCACGTCGCCAAATCGGGATGTCGCGATGTGATTAATGGGTGCGATTCTGTGTCAAGTATGCTGAAGGATTGCCGCTTTGTAGAAAATGTTTCCGTACCCAAAGTCATGTTGTGCTCCTCTAACGTGACAGTCCCGGTCAAATCGACGGGCGCAGGCGCAGCGAACAGAATTTGCTGTAGGGTGCACCGCGCCGACCTGAGAGTCGCCTCGCGAGAAGTAAATGGCAACGATCTTGTCCCGAGCACTTCGCTCGGCCCAGGTCCGACGAGCCCTCGTCTGAACGAGTCGGCGCGTTCGCATCTCCTTCACAAATGACTGATGTCCGAAAGAGACGATCAGGCGGAACGGTCGATCAAGCTTAAGACTTTAAGCGTCTTACCAACTCGCGCCGCTATTCCGATCGTACTGAGCTTCTCTCTTCCATCAATGCAAAAAGACCCAGACGACCTCTTGATCAAACAGCCAGACCGAGCCGTCCGAAAGTATATGTATGCATATGAATCATGATCAGACTCCGCTCGCAGAGGATCAAGATCGCCAATAATCATCCCTCGGTCTTTCTCTAGTCCAGGTACGTCTGGAGGTCGCACTGCGACCCATCATCAATCGTCAAAGTAGTCAATCCGAAGTCTAGTCAAGAAGTGTCAAACAGAAATCCAAGTCAGGGTGTCGTTACGCCTCTTCTTTCCCCATTCTTGGTAGGTGTTCCGGATCGGGTTGTCAAGAGGTAGTGTGGTGGAGGAGATTGTGTCGTGAGGGAGAAAAATCGTGCAGATTACAGTTAGATCTAGATTAAAATCTAGATCTCGTCGCAGTACGGCAACGACTCTTCGTCTACGCAATCCGGGGATTGGTCGCCCTCTTCACAGTATTCCAGCTAAGTTTGAGACCAGATATGGAGAACGTCAGTAACAAGCCTGACTTAGGAGTAACAAAAGAACCGAGGACTCACCCCGCTCACGCTCGACGTCTCCGAAGCACCCTCTGCGGACTGGGTGACGGTCGCCCAAACCTCGGCGGTGCTCGTCACCACATCCCCACTGTCATCACTTCCGGCATCAGGTCCGGCGGTAGGGACGTTCGTAGGCAAGACCGTCGAGGTCACCGAAGAGGTCGAGTCGGGGGCAGAGGTGATGTTGGTAGGCAGGACGTAAGGGTAAGGTTTGGACGCTACGCAGAGGACTTGGTTGAGGTAGATGTTTGTGCATTCCGAGTTGATCTGCGGCGAGGTAGGTGTGCGGAGAGGTCGTGTGTGAGAAGTTAGGTATTCGATGAGGATAACGTTTCAATCTCACCTGCGGGTTGTTCTTGTAGAGTACGGTATCGTCTAGGTCGTAAGTGTCGGCGAGTCCCAAACAGGTGCTGCGAAACGAAATTCATCGACGAGACAAGACCAAGCAAGACAAAACAACCTCATCAGCATCCTAACCCCAACCCTCTCTCCCTTTCGCTCAATCGAAACTCGAATAAAACCATAACTCACTCTCCCTTGACGACCACATGAACCTTGCTACAATCCACCCCCCGCTGCCCAAGACAGACTTCTTGGCCGATCATCAAGTTCGAACAGGCCGCGTCCACATCAGGGTTGGCGAGCGCGAATTGGAAAGTCGGGGAAGCGTATTTCTTGGAGATGCCGTCGCAGGTGTCTCCGGAGATTACGGTTGCGTTACGGGTGCAGTCGGGGATGGTCTGGGCTTGAGCTGTTCGAACGGCAAGTAGAGTCGCAAAGTCAATACGAGAGCTCAAGAGGTGTGTATATTGTGAAGCGGGGCGTACCCATCAGACCCAAACCGAGGGCGGCGGTCAAGACGGTCTTGACGTTGAATCCGAACATTGTTTGCTTCTTCGAGAAAAAGTTTGGTGAGGTAGTTGAAAGTTGTTTGTGGTGTAGTTTACGTCGAGTGCAAGGGCTAGCCTTTTGGTATATCTCGAATAGAATAGGTTTGGATTGAGGAGCTGAAAGAAAGAATGTACATTGGGTCGGTCGTCAGCGACGACGAACGGTCGAGTGGAAAAGGTCGACGGCCGACGATTGAGAACGTACTTGATAATGGAAGGAAGAACGGAAAGGGAAGTCGGGAAGTAGTTTGGTGTCGCGGCTTGCGTGTGGTGGTATTCAAAGAGTGTGGTAGAACGAATGTGGGTGGCCGAGAAAACAAGAACGGGAAAGGGAGGTCTAGTTGTGGTTGTGAATGGTAATGTCTATTGTCGGGGAGGTGGTTGAGGGTATCACTTGTGGTAGTTGAGATGTGTCGACGCTGTCGGGTAGTCGTAGGTCGGTCAAGCGAGTGTGAGGTTGTCTGTCGGTGGCGAATTGATGATGTCGAGAACGAGGATCCCTTTGATGAGGTTGTTGTCGTCGTTGATTGATGGAAACACCTACCCCTTCCTTCTTTTGTTTCCCCCTACTGGCCGTCTCCGCGTTTCGACCCCCTTGATCGCGATCGAAAGCTTTGTTGTTGTTTGTTTTGACTTTCGGTTACGTTCCATGTTTGTTATTGTTTTGATTCATCGCAGAAACGCCAAGGGAGAACACCGGCACGCGGCAGGAAGAGCGAGGAAAGAACATTCGAATTAAAAAGCCACCGCCTCACGCGCGTGATGCCGGGGGGTTCGGTCTCGGCTGGCCGGCTGGGTTTGTCTGTACGCGTCGCCCCGAGAGCTCGGCCATCACGCCCACGCTGGGTCGTTTCGGTGGGTCGCAAGCCAAAGGCGAAGCGGTCCAACGCGATCTCAACGTCATCTCGTCCCGATTCAAAGGTCACCTCGTTTGGGTCGACCAATGCGTCGGCTTCATGGAGCAATAATCTCGAATGATCGCGCTTGGCAAGGAAGGCTTGATTTCGAGCCAGACCTTAACCCGACCCACTAATGCCGTGCCAAACTTCCACCTTCCGCCTCGCGTTTCACAATATACCTAAGCTGACGCACTCTATCTCACAATCACCGAACGCTGATCTTGATAGGAATACGGGGACGAGCGGTCTCGTTGCGACGGTCTCGTTGCGACGACTCGACCGGCCATCGTTCTCGATTCGTTTTTGGTTCGCTTCGATGATAGGTCGTAGGCCTAATAACCGATGGGACGGATCGGACGGGCGGAGACTTTCCCGAGGACGGGTATTCGAGAGACGTCGACAGGCGACAACAAAATATGGAAATGGTCATTCCCGAGAGTCTGTCCAAGGGAAACTCGGACGATATGATCTGAACACGGGACTTAAAGCGTGAAAGCTCTCTTCCCGGGCACATATATGAGTCGTCTCAACCACTAACGGATCGATCGTCGGCTTGTCAGTTGGAAGTTTCTTCGAGATTCCGAGGGATGAATCCAGATCTGAGCTGTATTAATCAGGAATTGTATACGGAAACTTTGCATGAGCAATCAATACAAGCGCGGTCTAATCTAATATTTATCCTTCGGCCTTCATCAGTCAATAGGCGGGATATTTCAGCCGTCTAGCTGAGACCCTTCCCTGGTAATGAACTCTGCCATCTCTTCTGGCGATCCGAAGAAGTACAACTGTTGGTCCTTTGTGAGGCTAGTCCATCGTTGGCCACATTCGTCCGTCGGCCGCCTAGCGATGTCTAACAACTCCGCCTGGTGCTCCTCGGAGCAACCTCCATGGCTTGCGCTGACGTCCTTCCAGTCCACCTGCACCGTCCCGTCTTGTTGCTTTGACGTTGTACGAATACACAGGGTGTATCCAGGAAGGGGTTCCGCTGGCTTGAGGCAGCCATTCATGATACAGATCGTCTGGCCTCCCAAGCGCTTTTCGGCGAAGAAAGCTGAGTACCGTGAAGTTTTCCTGCGGCAGATAGACGAGGGAAGGTCAGACGAAACCGATGGTAATATAAGAGAGGCTAGACGGAAGACGGGTCAGCTTACTTTGGCATTGCAAGAGACTGATGCGAGGATGAACAGCTGCTTCCATTCTCCTCATGACTAGGTTCAATTCGATTATACTCTCCGGCACTGCGGATACTCTCCGTGAGCTCGTCACCCAAAAGGGAGTATTCGTCAGCAGAATCTTTCTGTCGCTGTTTTTCCATTTCATCAAAGAAGGAGCGATAGCGCGATTCAGATCTGTGCTAGGCCAAGGATCATGGAGACGAATGACCGTCAATTTGGTCCATGCCAGCGGGAAGGATCATTGGACTTACTTTGGCATCTTCGAAGATCGCAAGGATGTACTCATAGACCCGGGTTGTCGATCATCGACATTGTCTTTCATCTTGTACTGGTCTTCAAATCACCACCGAGGAGAAAAGATGCGCCGTTTTCGTTCTAGCTGACTTGATTCGGACTGTGTCGAGTCCGGAAGTGAGAATGTTTCGCTGAGAATTTCCTGTACGAAAGTTCCAAGGAGGAGACATTGGTGTTGCCCAGGTTTTATAGTTCAGTCGCTTGGTCTGGATCGCAGCCCCAACACATGTGTTTGAACTTCCTTTGATGCTGATCCCGTGTCTCCTTGCCAAGATATGTTGTCATCGGGTATATTCATATGCCGTAGATGCTCTCCTCGCGAATCCGGAAGAATTTGAGGTGGTGAATTCCAATTTGTGAAAGAGTTCAACAATCTGAGCTTCTGCCATCTAGAGGTGATAATCGACGCCAATCTGCCCATGCCAAGCGATCGCACGATTGAAACATTGGAGAAGGAGATGGCCCTGGGAAGTAACGTGGAGCGGGTGTGCAAGTTGCTGCGCAAACTACACATCCCCCATGCCGCTCAGGTCGAGTGGGACTACAATGCGATGTACAAGAGGAAACTGAGCGATTATCTGGCCTGGGCAAAGTTGTTGCCGGGCGAGAGTACGGTAAGTGTTGCCACGGATGTCGTCTCTCTCTCAACCTTCATTCATCCTTTGTTCTTACGGACCCACAGCCGCTTTCTGCAAGCCGCAAGCCGAATCCAGCTTATTGTTTCACGAACGCCTTTTGGTTGAACGATTGCACCATCATCTCATCCAGTCTCACTTCACCTGATCTATCATAATCACACGCCGAAGCTCGATTTGAAGGGAGACAGGCTACTGGCCATAAAGTTCAGTGAAGTCTCCTCTGAAATTTCGTTTCGGCCGTTTCTTCATGAGGATTCCTGAGAACGCGCCGGGAGATGTCTGACCCGCTGTTGTACAGTAAGACCTGTCAGTGATGCTCTGGAATAGGCAAAAGCTTTCGGGCAGCTTGCGCTTAGAATCCAAGACGTCACAGCTAGTGGAAAATCTCATGATCGGGAAGCTTTGGGCATCTACTTTTTTCGTCGTGAAGATTTGTCCATGCAGACTTTCTGATGGTCTTGCGCAGCGAGTAACTGGATTATATATCACTGATATCGTGGTAGGCTTGCGCCTCGTGCGGGACAGTTGTACCGTGAGGTTAGGAACACTGATCAAGTTACCTCGAGGTTGTTTGTTATCCTGCATGGATTTGGGAGATTGATGGCAAGGTCATGCATCTTTGCAGCCGAGCTTGCTTTGCGGCGTTGGGCCTTTTTTGGCGATTTCAGGTGGAAGCGCGCGGTAGATAACCGAATGTGGTCGATTGTTGCGATCCCGGGCGCAATAGGGGATGTGTACGGAGCAACGATCAGGTTAAGGAGCTTCTCTTTGATCGGCTGGCGCGAGAGCTCTTGTGATGGCACCGAGCAGGCCAAGGCCGTTACAAGATGTAGCGTCGAAACGCTGGTTTGTATCGCTTCTCGTTCTGGATAGCTGTCTTGAGCTTGTCGAAGATCGTCGGATGCTTGAGAATGATTTTGCGCACGCGAGGAAAAAGGATGGATGAAAAGTCTCCAATTTGCAAGCCTGACAAAGATGACGATGCTAAGGTATGAGACACAGGAAGTCGTAGTGACATCTCTCTGGTACAATTGGAGTTTCATCGCTATCGATGCTGCCTATCTCAAGTATGTTCTGAAGACAGCTTCTGTGTCGAACCACCATAAAGCATAATTGCCGGATGTGAGGACTGCACCATAGCGCTTTTGATTCCTTTTCAGCATCCTCATTTGATCTTCAACTTCCTGGCCATGTGGCGGACAAAAGTGTCCATCGGTAGGCTGTTCCAGTCCTTGGAAAGGTTCGGGTGGGATGAAACGGTCCGTGATCGTGTCGTGCCAGATGAAGTATGGTTGCAAATCATTGTGGCAAAATCGTTCACCCCGCTTTGTACAAAAACACCAGTAGCGGTGTATTGCTCGCGGAAAGGGCTGGCTTCCGATTTCGTATGCGTCTCTTTGGTTCTCAGATCGATCGCAATTCGGAGGGAGGGGATCCCCAAGGTCAGAGTATGACGGTTGTTGCCTATCATCATCACACTGCGTATCAGCTTTCCACGGGAACAATCTCTCGATGATGTGACAGCGGCGCTTGTTCCACCGGGTGAGCATTGGGATTTCGAGTGAACATACCCCACGTGACCCTGGTATTCATGAGAGAGAGGTCTTGATGTATTCGACGTCGAGGTCGTCAAGTAGGTAGAGCCATCCGGGTTGGTCACTTGAAACTGTCGAGTAGTGTATGTCCACGATCGGGGGCTGAATGGGCAGCAGATTCAACTCAAAGTTACATGTGGTGAAAAGACATCGCAAGCGTACTAATAAGAGGGAGTAGGGCTCTCACTTGTCGTGTATCTTGATGATGAACGGAAACCCAAGATAGACAATCAGCATGCCACAACCTGAAAGGGACTTTCACAAAGCTTACGTTGAGGTGCAATAAGAATCATGGACTTTGTGCAAAAATGACGCGGTGGAGCGATGGTTAGCCGATCGTTCGTACGATTCCGGGCCAAAAGCTCTTCTTGACATCGTCGACTAGTCAGTTGCTTGATGAATGATCTTGAGCAAGCATACTGTGGTTTGGCGTTAGTCAGATCTACTTGTGAGTACTTGCTCGAGAGCGGATCTGTCCGACCATGAGCCACGATTCTCTCTGCCTCTAAGTCTTGCGATGTAATTACATGCATCGTGTATGGCCGTAAAGTTGGCGATCCTTTGATCAACAGGGGATGACGACCGATCTGTCGTTTTTGGCCTCGTGCGCGTCGCTGTCACACGGCATCAAAAGGCCTTTCACGGCGTTTCACTATCGGTCACGAGCAGCCAAGGCATATGGCACCATAGACGGGCATCTCAAGGTGGTGTTACGCTTTCTGATCAATCAGCAGCTTACATCCAGTAAATACGATCGAACGGGCCCTATGGAACAAGATGTGTCGCCCCCGATCATTGCCCTCTTCGAAGGCAATGGCAAATTATGCTACAAGTCGAAACCGTATCGCGTCCCAAAAGAGTCTGGTCAACCGACCAGTTCCCAGTGCCCAACTACTGTGCAGTATTGTCAAACCCTTGCTCTAGGTATGAGTGGGTAATATCTCCCGTCCCACTTCATCCCCGCCAGACGAATAGGCTGGTCAGTCCAGCTCGGTGGCGTCTGCATATCCCGCTTAGGATGGGTGATTGCGGTAGTTGATTATAGGTTTCCCGGTGCACGACGCACGGGCGAGCCCAATTCTTCCGAGCGGGCTACTACTGTAGCGCGCTGTCAACGATGACTACCGGATACCTCTACGTAGTGTATAGTGGCGGGACTTGTCCTTCCGTTGGACACGACACGGCAGGTCCAGGCACTTGATCGCCACAATGTGCGTTCTCGAATCTGAATCCAGTCGGATTGTCGGCCTTTCGAGCTACCCGTCCATCCTCTCCAGCCCATCCTCAATCACATCCTCGTTCCCCAACCCGAACTCGGAACCCATATCGAGGGTGTGTCTGTGAAGGCCGATCAACCTTTCCCGGATTTCCCGCTTGGCTAGCTCGTCCAACCTCCCCGTGGGGCTCTTGAACACCTCGTCCATCTGTTCCAAGGATTTGCCTCTACTTCGATGCGCCAATTCCAAGCGTTAATGCAACCGAACCAGACGGAGAGCGTGAAAGCGATTGAGTTATAAGCTCAAGACCCTCTTTTGATTGCGGAGGGAGAAAGAGGGACTTGCTTGGTCTCGGGCACAAAGTACCAAACCCACAAGCCGGATGAAAAGCCGAACGCAGCGAAGAACAAGAACGCCCCGTACCCCGTCTTCTGGATCAGAGGCGGGGTGATCAGGCCCTGAGAGCGCAAAAAGAAAGGCAAAACACGATCATTCCGGTCAGTACGAAGCGGACATTTTCATGTTGATGTTGTGACCAGATTGTGCGAGCTTACGACGACAAAATTGCTCATCCAGTTCGTACACGTGGCCAAAGCGACCCCCTTTGAACGGAAAGACGAGCTGTGTACTTCGGCGGGGATGAGCCAGCCCATCGGGCCGAACGAGAGGCCAAAGGTAAAGACAAAGGTGAAGATCGCGCTGACCCCGATCCAGGCTTGGATGGGGTGAGAGGACCAGTCGTCAGAGTATTTGCCTGTGGTTTCGCAAGAACACGTCAAGCAGATTAGCGGTCAGCTATGATCCTATCGCGTAGGGAGAAGAGTTCAAGGCTCACCGATCATCCCGGCTACAATGACATGCGACAAGGTCATCCCAATCGAACCCATGAACAACCACGTCTTCCTCCCGAACCGTTCGATGTAGACCAGGGCGATAATGACCGCGACGAGTTGGACGACGTTCATGATCCCCGACAACGAGAGCCGGCGTTCATAGTCCAGCCCTAGCGTTTCGAACAATGTCGGACTGTGGAAACGGCAAGCAATATTAGCGAGCTGGTCTTCTGTTAATGTATTTCCGAGACGAAAGACTTACCTGTAATAGATCAAGGCGTTTATACCGACGAACTGCTGGAAGAACATGATCCCCATCCCGACATGCGTCCGCTTGATCACCTCGAGTCCGAACATCTCCACCCACTCAGCCCATTCCTTCTTGAGATCGGCAAACATTCCCCAACCCAACCCAGTGCCCTCTTTACCACCTTCCGACTTCGGCTCCAACTTCGACAACTCTGGATGACGCTGGGCGAACGCTCGACGTGAATGGATGGCTTCCGTTCGGATGGAGATCCATTCAGCTTGAACCCGAGGATCACTTGGGGGGAGCTTGCGCAGCCGGACGAGTACTTGGAGGCAATCGAGGTCCCTGCCTTTTTGGCTGGCCAGCCAGCGGGGCGAGTAAGGGAGGAAGTAGAGCAGGCTGGCCAGGAGCAGAGCGGGGAGGATTTGGATGAGGAAGGGGAGGCGGTATGACCATTCTCCGGTGATGTGGCGGGTGAAGTAGGTCTAGAGTGCCGTCGTAATACATTATAAGAGTAGAAGATTCGGTACGAATTCCGAAGGGACGAGGTCGAAGGCAGACTCGTAGCTCGCACTCACGATGTAGTACATGACTACGATCCCGAAGACGATCATGAACTGTTCGACGACCAAGAGCGTCCCTCGGATATTCGGCGGCGAGATCTATGAATCCCGCCACAAACCAGACCATAATCAAACCAAAACCAAAACCAAACCAACTTTTCTTTCAGTACACCGTCCGGGGGACCAATTCTTTAGACTTGAGACTCACCTCGGCCACATAAATCGGAGCCGTACTGCTCAAAACCCCAATCCCAACCCCTCCCAACCCCCTTCCCCAGACCAAGCTCAGGTAACCCTTAGACAAAGTTTGGAGGGTAGATCCGGTTATGAACCAGCAAAGACCGAAGGCGATGGAGAGCCGCCGAGAATGTTTGTCGGAGATGTACCCTGATAGGAGTGCGCCGAGGAGCGCGCCGAGTTCTAGGGTTGCTGTCATCAGGCTGTAGTTTTTCAGGACGACAAGTTGGCGGTAGAACGATGAGGCAAGTCGTTGTTATCAGTAGGGTATCGTAATAAATGAGCACCGAATCAGAGGAGGTAAAGCGGGACGTACCCCTTGTTAAACTCCGCCCTTGGAGAAGTAACGCGATCGACCTCGGGAAAAACACGTAGGAATTGAGGCATGACGAGGACGATCGAGAGGAGGCCTTGGTCGAACCCGAACAACAGCCTGGTACACAACGGGTTGTCAATGAAAACAAAAGAATTTACAGGATGAGTATATTTATGATTGGAAAGCAACGATTGACTGAAGAGGGTCTGATGGAAGGAAGTCGGACTTAAAGCTTACCCGCCTAGACATGCAGAGATTGCGCAGATCACTACGATCCGGCTGCTGAATACGTCTTTTAGGCCTAAGAGTAAAGACGAGTGATCGGGACGAAGCAGTCAATAACGATGCCGCGTGATAGCGACTTAGGGGTAAGAGGACTGACCATTAATCCCGAAAGCTTCGGAGAGAGCTTGGTCGTCTTCCAACAGACCATAGGTATCTGGATGTAACTCGATACCGAAGAACTCCAGCGGGAGTAGGTCGTCCTCCGAATTCCGATCGCGCTGATGAGGCTTTGGATCATCACTCGTGAATCTTTGATCATCTGTGCTTCTAGATAGACCGGAGTTAGAATGTTCGTCATCTTCCCTGTTCTGGGAAAGCGGTAGGTAACCCGTCTGTGGTTTCCTGGACGGGTTGAACCATCCTTTCAGGGCGTCCATCTCGCGAGATCAGGCTGAGGCCGATGCCATCCGTGAGCTTGCGATTGACGAGACCGATTGCGGTGACTCTGTGTCTTGATACATGAGAGACTAGCGGTCTGAACTGGCATGTAGCTGTATATAGGAGTGATCGACGAGGTATGAATCAGATTGATGATGCATGATGCATGATGTTGATCGAGGTATATACCATCATCTGTTGACCCTCTTCGGCGATCCCCGTGAGATACAGAGCCGAGACTCGTCGCGCTAATCTTACAAGGCGTTTCAGCCTTTCGCCATGTTCTCCGCTAGTCGGCGAACAGACCTCTTGTAAATCAAGATGAGATCCTCCCTTGTAGGTAGTTGATGTTCACACAAATCTTCCTTCTCCTTGCTTATATGAAAGAACGAGCATGCGTATCGCTGCTCAGAGCTTCTCTCGGGGAGAGGTGGAGTTGCACTGATACGCCGGGACCATGAACGGAGGTAGGACTATTGGGCGCCGACATGACGAAAAGGAGGGGTTGAGAAACGGGGAACGACACATCGAACGACGATAGATCGCTTGGCGCCGTCATTATGGCCTATCTCAACCAAAGGTGATCTCAGGGGAAAGCAGCCTTTCTATACTGACTCAGGGCTTCGACGAATAACATCAATGGACCTTGGACCGATTGCGATTGGCCACTGATCCATTGAAGACCAGGCCTACCATACAGCATAGTTACATCGGGCTAAGACGACACGGCAAGCCCGATGATTCGCTAACAAGGAATTCTGATTGCCACACGGACCTGAATGAACAGCTCAAAGTGAGATCAGACTCTACGTCAAAGGCCCCAGCCAGTAAATCATACAGAAAGCGGGAGGAAGCTCGATCGAACGCTGATAGGATCCAATTGGCCGGCTCCACTGTATAACTTCTCGCTTAGTACAATCCCGAAACCAATCTGGAGGTAGTATAGTGGATCGATGGTCAGGGTGGTCCATTTTCTCGCTTTGAACTCCATTCGATCGAATGATCAAACAGCCCCCGTGTTCCAGCTTTGACTGGATAGATTCAAAGGTGGGTCCAAACGTTTTGCCACCTGAACTACCCCTAACCTCCTAGAAACATCCGAGCTTGGTCATTCAGGCATGTCACCCAACCAGGAAAGTTGCGCTTGGCAAAGTTCCCCTTCCAATTTGTGGTACAATTCCACAATTTTTGGATAGCATATGCGGATAAGCAGGTCAAGAACCTCTTTGAACCTCTTCAATAGTTCAGGGGTAGTACAGGTGGTATAAAGTCCATGCACAAGTTTAACCGTCCCCGATTTGAGTCAACATGTCCAGACTTTCCCCTTCTCTACCAGGGACAAGATGATTGTACAGGTACTGTTTGACCCGGCCTAACAGGTCTTTGAAAGAAGCGGCGATGAAACTGATACACAAAATCAACGCTATGAGCGTGAACTTCAAGGGGTAAACGGCAGCGTGGTGCTCTCGTCGGCGCAGTCAGGTTTCCATGAGAAGTCGACAACTTCTAACTGGCAAGAGCCTGACCGGAACCGTAGGGTGAAGACTCGGCGATTTTTCTCCGAAGTTTGGTTCACGCATGATGCGGTATGAGCCTTGGTTGCCTGAACCTTGCGTTGAAGGGAAATCCAAGCGTCAGCCAGTTCTCATCGACCGATGCCGACGTGCCCACCGGCCACTCACGTCCTTCTTCCCCGGTCGTTTTGGGGTTGACACTTCAAGTCATGTTCAAAGTCTAAAATCCGGCTGCGACTCGATCGAACACTTTCTCAAGTTTGTTCGCCCAGTCTGCGACTTGAATGCCAGTCGAAAGATCATCATCGGTGTCATTTCTGGTGCTGTTGGCCACAAGCTGGTAATATTTGTCCCTCGTTCTTGCCGTATCACACTGGCAAGGGAGCACCCAACCAAACCAGTACTTCAGGCAAGAGATTACTCGCTCGTATTTGGCTTTCAGGCTGGGTTCGACAGCCTCATTGTCCTCTAGCCTGACGAATGATTCCGGCAGCTCGATATCTATCACGTCCTCGCCCCGGTCTCTGGGGATGTAGTCGGCATACAGTTCGTTGTGCCTACTCATCTGTATGTTCGGGTTCCGCAATGTGTCCCGGTATTGCCACTGGGTAGAGTACATGCAGTGCCCTGACTGGCGTGCGCGTTGACTCACCGGTTGTCGACGCATGGACCCTGTGTTGCACCACTGTATACCGTGCCATATCCTATGCAAAGGTGGCAGTCCCGCTGATCGTGAGGATAGGCGCCAAGCTCCTTATGTCTTTGTATGTCTCTTGGGAGTGAACAACATGTTGCAGATCGAGACATGGTCAGCTGATGGTCGGGATTTGCTCAGACGTACCGTCGAGGGCGTTACACTGCACTGGAGAATCAATCGCGTATCCGGCTTCCGGAGGACTTGATTCGAGAGGAGGAAGTTCAGATAAATAGCCAGGCTGGAATTGCCGCTGTCAAGCCGTTCAATGAGCAAGATGAAGAGGAGGAGGAAATGAACAATTGCCCGAAGCTTGAGCTTGGTGCAGTCCGATGTCATTGGGAACGCTACGGCTACAGGTGTGTTATGGGATCCATCCAGGTTTCTTGGCCGGCTATTCCATCGATCTCTTCTACCGCGAAGAACTTCACGGTCTCGAGACACAGTCTCGTCAGAACAACAAGAAGAGCGTGGCATGAGCTAAGCTCGCCACACGGCCGGAGGCAAGTTCCGTGCCTTGTCGAGGATCTCGAATTTGGGATACTTGTACGGGAGGGACAAAGTCGTTTCTTCCATTGGAACAATCGATCAAATCGATGCTCATCGATTCGATCAAGGCAATGCATAAATCGCTATTGCAATTATGCTACCAAACGGACAATCGGGAAGACTTCCCGACTTCTCCCGCCCATCGACAACAGATGAACGATTGCTCCTTACTAGAGGATTAAGTCGTGAGATCGATATGAAATGACAGTGCTTCCTGAACGACGTCGCTCGCAGAACGATTAAACATTAATACAACACGAAACTCTAGATAAGACGTGCCCGTCAGCGTCCTTAACGATCAACGGTCTCACTCCAGTCAAAACCCTAGAGGCCTGTTGGCGCTGTTCTTGGGTCGATAGTCGTCCTTGTAGATGGCGGTCTCGACCTGGCTATCGACCCGAATACTTCCTTGGATCGGGGTGACGGGCGCACACAGTTCAAAGCTGATGTGAGGGGTCGCATAGAGCTTTTCTCGGAACGTGTCTCGGCTGAAGGAAAAATCACAGGATCATCAGCTTGAGTGGGGTTCTCGCCGTCTGTCAAGAAATTTCCGAACTTACTTGAGCAACAAACAGAATAGCGAGACCAGAGCCAGCTTGTGCATCGGCCAGATGGCGCTCACGTCCAAGCTCGACTGTGATGACGAAAGAGATCAGCTTACAATAGAGAGGAAATCATCGAGAAAGAAAACGCGAATAGGCTCACTTGACCGGGTCCAGCCTGATGCATGATCATGGCGGCGATACTAGCAACGAACGGTAAGGCCATACCTTCCACGCAAAGGATAGCGTATTGTCGGAGAAACTTGGCGGTCCTACATCGACGTGTCATTCGATTTTTCGTTAGCCGAAGGTCGCTCGATGCGTTTTTATGGGGTCATGGAGCTTTTCTTACCTAGTGGTGACTTTCTTGATCGATCTTCTAAGGGTGATCATGGTGACGGTGCAGACGACGAAGTCGACGATCATGTTCATCACGTACATCATCATGATGATGGGTTTGTACTGCAGCCCGGGCAATCGACGAGTCAGCGATGCCCAACGTCAGAAGCGGGAAAGTAGGGTATGATCTTTTTTGCTTACTTTGTTAAGTAAACGATAGGTTTCAAGCTGTTCCTTGATATCAGTCTCGTCTTGAGGTTTAGGTACGGCAAAGGAGACGATCGTCGGGCTATCACAAGACATTATCGATTTAGCGTCACTTCCACAATATCGTAACATCCGATCGTTTGGTTGCCCACGAAACAAGAAACTGCGGGATACGGGGACTCACCCTATGTTCGCCATGAGCCCGACGATGATCAACGTCGACATCCCGGTCTTCATACAGATTCGATCTCCGGCGAGCTGCAACTACCAAGCCATCCGTCGTCTCACGGTCAGCCACCGCGTTCCGAACGTCCTTGACCGGGGATATCGACAAGCAATTGAGGAGGAACCAGAGGCAGGGGGAAGGGGCAAGGGGGAAGGGGGAAGGATGGAAGGAGGGGAAATGCGAACTCGCCTTGATGCATCGATAAGCGTAGATCGACTGGACCAGAGCGAGGACCAGACCATTGAGCATGAACGTGCATTGAAAGTTCCACTGTCATCCACACACGGTATGAATTGGAATGATCAGCCCGGATGTGATGACTACAATGAGGGTTCATGCGACGCGGACTCACCCCGAATCGGACCACCCTGTCCGCGTTGCCTAGGTTCATAAACGCGACATCCAAGATCTGGTGGATGTGTACGAACGAGTTGACGCTGTGCAGTCCCAAAAGCACTCTCTTCAGCCCATCGACGAGGTGTATTTCGAGTACGAGATGGGACGTAAAGGCTTACGCTGCGATGAGACAGGCCGCATAGACCACCCGTCGCTCGATCACGGGTCGACCTCCCGTCTTGCAATACTTGTTGAGCTATCAGACACGTGTCAGCTACAACAGATCCAAGCGAGTGGTCGTGACGCCGGTGTCACAAGGGCGACTTACCAGATGAAGACATACTCCTCCTAATAACAAGTCGATGTACGTGCCCACGAAAGGACCCACTCTGACAATTCACAAAGCAGACCGTGTTCAGTCTCCTGCTCGACCGACGCGTCTACCCCTCGTCCACGCGGCCGGGATGTCGTTGGCTCACAGTGCTGCATCAACGCGTTTCCTCAGAGATAATTGTTCGGCCAGGGACATGTCGTAGGATCAGGATGAAAGTTGTAGCATGCGTGATATCGAAGCGAACTATGGATGTTGACAGATGCAGAGTCATGGGGAGTCATGGAGTATCCCGAACTGCCGAGCTGACGAGCCTGGCCATATATGATAAGACAGATGAATGATACACGGGGGGAAGAGCCGTCGCCGTGACGACAGGGCCAAGTGATAGTAAATAGAAATCGAAAGGAAGCGAAAAGGCGAAAGGGACAGGCGAAAAGTGGATCTCGCTCATCATCCCCGTCAAAGGAACAAAAAGAGACGATTTGATGGCTCAAACGTGATTGATGGCGTAGGGCAGTGGAGCCGGGGCAAGAGGGAGGGACAGTCGGGGAACGACGGGTCTGAAACGCGCGCGATAGGGGGTCAGAAGATCCGCGGCTGAACCCCGTGGCCGCCCCTCTTCCATATCGCAGGGTTCTGCTTCCGCGTCCCCCTTTCCCCGTTCAAAGGGGGCCAGGAAGCGAGCGATGAGAAACAGAGTTTCAGATGATCATCAACGTTTTCCATTCGATCGTCGCGAGGTCTCGGCCTGTGGCCTGTGGCCTGTGGAGCTCAGCCCCGTGGCTGCGTTCCGATGATGATCCCAGGTTGCAAATCGCCATCGTTGGGGCTGATCACATCGATTGCGATTCTGTGGAAAGGAGGGATTCCGTATCCAAAGGGATCACCTGGACCCACTGGACTTGGGAGAGCTGTCGCGACGGAGCAGTACATCGTGGCTGATCAGCGCCATCCGAACGCAACACGTGTATAAGACGAGCCGAAACCTTCTTCTTGGTTACTCACGATCCCCCACCAATCCTTGACGCTCTGGTTGTACGTCTCGTCCTGCATCGACGTCGTGCTCATCAACGCGATGATGATCCTCAACACTTTCCCACGCTGTCGAGTTGAGCACCCAAAGCGAGGTCGTCAGGGTCAGCAAAGAAAGGCCTTTACGATGGATGGCATGGGAAAGGAAGGGAGAGACTCACGATGCTCTCTCCGTTCATCGCCAAGTGCTCAATCGGGATGCTGTCAAGAAGGGGGACGCGAAGATCGGCACTATCAGATAGTGTTCTCGAATGATAATCTCGGAGGCGAAGTCGGCACTCACGCCGATAACACCCTGTACGAATCCCTCGCCGCCGCCTCCCTTTCCTCGGCGATATCCAACTCTGGTACGATGAGCGCCTTGAGGTCGAGCTGTCCATCGTCGGGTCGCAAAGTTCAGCTCCCAACTCCTTCGCTTCTGGCCGCAGAACCGACCCGCTAGACTCGTCGACTCACCAAAGCGAAATCAAGACTCGCGGCCGTGATCAATATATTCGCCCTCTGCGTCCCGTACATGACCCGATCGTCTTCGTCCTCCATCCCCTCCGGGTGCGCCTGCCAGGCCGTCGGCATCCCGAGTACGGTCTCCCTCAAATCCATCCTCGCCCCATCGACCCAGTTCAACGTGCTATCCGGGTCCGCGGCTACCCCGGGGGTATAAGAAAACGTCCGGTGGCGGAACAGGCATTCGGAAAAGATTCGAAAGAGGCGACATGACATGGCGAGGCCCGTCATCGTCGATGGACGGGTGGCCGGTTGGGGGAGGTAGCCTTGAGGGGTGATGAACTCGTCGTCCACTTCGAGGGGCATCGGTGGGACCCCTTCGTAGTCCGGCATGAGCGAGGGTAGTCCCACAGACGCCTCGGTTCTGCGTCACATCGTTCGCAAACAGACTCGTCAGCCCAAACGCGCCTCTTCTTCGAACCCGCCCGACTGCGAGACACGAAAACGCACTTGTCCGTCTGGTACAAGATCCAGAACAACCTCCTCTGCATCTGAGTCTGCAAGAAATCCCCGCCGAGGACCGATTTCGGGCGATGCAGGCCCAACGAATAGCTCATCCGGACGGCTTCGGCGAGGATGATCCCGGACAACTCGGTCTTGCCCAGGGTGGTACAGACCGCGACGTCGCTACAGAGACCCCGCGACACGAGCGTTATCGAGTCTTTCCATCAGTTGCTAATCCCCGGCTCGCTTAGAGCAAATTCCCCAAAGAACGAAACTCGGACTCACGCGTAATGAGCGATGATCAACTCCAAGCTCGGCTCGTGGTGATACTTGACCTGGATCGTCCTGCTCGCCTGATGACACCTCACCTGCAGGCGTTCTAAATCGGGTTGCGTGAAATGGGTGATCATCTTGCTCTTCGGGACTTGAGATATCACGTGGGTGACTAGAGCCGTCCCCCCACAAAGTGAAATCTTGTTCAGCTCTTCGCCCTGACGCGGTTTCATCCCCCGATGTGCCTCGTTGTCGGAGGAGACCGTCGACTCACTGAGACTGAACAACAACCCCCTGAACACCTCGTCCGTCTTATCCCGCCTATCGACGATATCTTTAGCAAAAGTCGGCTTGTGGACGAGCGGCATGAGCGCATGCTGATACTTCAAATAGAGTCGAAGGAAGAAGGCGGCGTTGGCCCAGGAGATGACCTGTTCCAATTGCAAGACCTGGGAGTGGGAGTGTGATTGACGGGTGTGGTTGCCGGTGAGCGAGTGGGGGAAGTCGGGTACGACGTAGTGGTAAGACGAGCCCGAGGGCGGGTGATGTTGGGTTTGATTTTGCTGTTGCTGTTGATGCGAATGCTGTTGATATTGTTGTTGATTATGATGTTGATTCTGTTGATACGGATTCTGCCCTTGAACCCCATGCCCCTGCCCCTGGCCCTGCGCCTGCTGCGAATGTGGATAACCCTCGGCGCTCCCAGTCCCGGGAATATGGTTCCTCAAATGCAACAACCCACTGAGCGCCGCCTGATCGTCCGGCTGACTACTCGTCGATACGCTCAACGCCGAGGTGTGCATGTCCCCTCCTCCACCATGTCCTCCTCCTCCTCCGTACGGCAAGGGCGTGTTCACGCTAACGTTATTATTATTATTTGTGGTGGTGGTGGGATCGTAATAAGAGGAAGAGATACCTAATCCCGCCGGACCCGGGCCTCGTATATCGATATCCATATCCATCTCTTGATGATACCCGATCCCCGTCCCGCCCGGCCCGTTATTTCCTATCCCTACCCCCGCACCTCCTCCCACTCCCACGCCGACTCCCACGCCTACTCCCACGCCTACTCCGACTCCGACTCCGACTCCAGGGCCGATCCCTAGACCAGCGGATAACGGCCCGGAGACCAGATCCGATATCGAATGCGCATGATGCGAATGCGAATGCGAATGTGGAGGTGGGGGTGGTGGGGGAGAAGCTTGATGGTGGTGGTGGTGCGGCAACATCAACCCCGAAGAGAATTGAAACGAGGACGTCGTCGAGGTTTCTTCCGGTGAGACCGCATGCGCATGCGAATGCGAATTCGTATTCGTATGATTATTGTGTGCACGTTGAGGTTGATTCTGGAGATGAGATGGACGGCGTTGAAGATGAGATTGGGAGGAAGGACTGGAATGATGGTTCGTAGGTCTCCGACTATTACTACTACTCCCAGGTCCTGGTCCGGCTTCGGGGTGGGAAAACGAGAGGTCCCTATCTCTGTCTCTGTCTTTGTCGTTGTCGTTGTCGTCGTTGTTGGCGTTGTTGGACTCTAAGCGTGATTTTTTCAGCTGGTTGATCACCCGGCTATTCGACGTTCCCCCCGAGTGTTATCGTTCCATGGTATGAAATGAAAAAAGTCCGTCAGATCAGCCTTCCCCACCCCCCTTCAAAATCCAAATGAAATCCGACGAGTCAAGTCGAGTCGAGTGGGTAGTGGCACGAGCACGAGCCGGAAAGAGGGGACTGGAAAGGAATGGAAACTTGAAACTCACGTAGTCTTCCTCCCCGCCCGTTTCACGACATACTCATAAGTACACGGTTCGTCCAGGTTGTAACACCCTTTACACTTTTGGTCTTCGTTATCCGGGATGTCTGGGGGGAGGGTTACGCATTTGACCTTGCGGTTGCCAAAAAGAATAAGAGTATAAATGGAAGAAGAGGGGAGTGGGAAGGTGAAGAGCGAGGAGACCGGATGCAGCAGCAAGAACGAAACGTAAAATTCAGCATTACCATCGCCTCCTAGGAAGATCAAACTCATCGAAACTGATGATGAAGTGGAGAGGAAACGGAACCGGAGCGCACCTTGCGTTTCCTACACCGATCGCACGTCGTGTTCTTCTGCGACGACATTGACATTGACGACGATGGTTGTCTCGCGGAAGAAGCAGAAGGTTCGCCGTCCATCCTCGGCTCGGTGTGGCTCGAGAGCTCGATCCGAGAGAGTCACGGTTGCTACGTTTGGCTATGGTAGCTGGTAGAAGATCCTATATCTCGATGTGGTGTTTCGAGGATCCGAGGATATGGTGGTCGAGGTTCGATGTCCGATCTCTTTGGAGCAAGCGACAGCTGACCCCCACGCGTCTCGCTCGACCCCGCTCATCGGCATTCGGGGTACGACATGCGGAAGCAAAATGAATCACAAGCGCGTGCTCACGGACGATATTTCGCGGGATTGTTCGGGGTTAGCCGAGTGCTGGGGGTGACACCTCATCATCGATCACATCCTGCATCATCTTCGAATCCGATCACGGCCCTATGGGAATACCCAACAGCCACATACGAAACACGCCGGTACCTATCCCACACTCGACTCAACTACTCCCGCCTCTCGTGGTGTTACAGGGATTCACCACAAGCTGAAACGTACAGATACAAGAGATACAAGAGACGTGATGGCGGACGAAAATCGACTCTTGGGCGTGGCCGTACTCGGCGTTGGGAGGATGGGGAGACGACACGCTCTCAACGTCAGTAGTAGTATTTCGAGGCCGCTTGCCTTCTCCTAGTCATGGCGATGTGCTGCACTGGTATACATGCCATACAGGAGTGATAATGCTGATTCCCTCATCGAATCCCGATTCCCATCTTGATCCACCGGGCATTGATATTGATACATGATAGACGGCCTTCTTCACACCCCGAGCGAGACTGGTAGCCGTATGTGATCCTATCGAAGCGTGCCTCCAGTGGGCCGAGGAGAACTTGCCAGCGAGCGTCCGGTCAGTGGTATTATCTCCTTATCTCCTTCTTGCCTCTCTGCGTGGATTTCTTACTCTCTTACTCCCTCTCTCTCTTCCTCTTTCTCTTTCTCTCTCTCTTTTTCGCTCACAATGCATCTCTTCTGCCACTCGCTGACCATCACATCACCTTGATTACCTTTACTTTGTTTTTCTTTATGTTTCACCACGTATCGAATCACCATCACCGTCAACAACAAACAACGAAGAACAGCCGCCAAACGGACTTTCAACAAATATTCGACGACCCGCAAGTACAGGCGGTCGTCATCGCGACCGAGACGTCGAGCCATGCGAGGCTGGCCGTGGAGGCTTTGAGGGCGGGGAAGGTGCGTCTTGCTTGGTCGTCCTCTCTGCTCGTTTTATCGTGCGAAACCACGTTCAAGTTTCTTGGATGACTGAATGCTGAAAATCCCACATTTCCATATCCATATCCGTATCCATATTCATACCCATACCACGCGATACGATACTACGATATACGATATTACGATACAGCACGTCCTCCTAGAAAAACCAATCTCCATCAATCCCCGCGATTCTGAACCCGTACTCGCCGCCGCCAAGGAGAATGAGGTTGAGGGGTTGAAATTGAAGTGTATGGTCGGGTTGAGTAGGCGGTGTGAGTCCTCTGTCTTCCTCTTCTCTTCTTTTTGATTTCATGGGGTCGGCTTTTGCCTGACACTGATACCAAGGTGTATTATATTGGAATTTGGCCTCGGTTCTTAACTTGCGGCTCGACCTTGACCTTGACCTCCACCTCGATCCCGGGCGACTGACTAGTCGACGAATCATATAAAGAGGTCAAGAGACAGATCGACGCGGGACTGTTAGGGACCCCTTATCTGATCAAGTCGGCTACGAACGACATGTACGATCCGTCCGGTGAGTCCAGTGTCTCTCGTTCCGCCCTCTGTTCCCAGCCGTATCGTATCCTACAGCGAATAAGCGTAAGGATGGGGACCTGTCGATCGGAAGCTGAGCCGATGGTATATCATTGTTATATGTTGGACTTTACCTTGCAGGCTTCTTTGTCAAATTCTCCGAAGCTTCCGGCGGGTTGATAGTGGATTGTGGGATTCACGATATCGACATGGCCAGGTGGTTGTTCGGCCTCACCACCGCCGTCACCACCTCCGATTGCGACGACGCTCCCCGAGTGAAGAGGGTCTTCTCCACAGGTCTCTCCGTCCGTCATCCCGAGCTCGCCAAGACGAACGATGCCGACAATGCCATCTGCGTCGTCGAGTTCACCGGTGGGAAAGTATTGGATTTCCACCTCAGTCGGACGGGGTTGCATGGGCATGATTGTTTAACCGAGGTCTTTGGGAGTGAGAGAAAGGTCATCGTCAACGGGGTGAGTGTGGGCGCGTAAAAGAAGATGAATCGGTGTAGGGTCCGGCTGATGGGATTGACGTCAACCTCGGCAGAACCCGACGATCAACAGGGTCGAGATCCGTGATCAACACGGCGTCCGGACCGAATCTACGTGAGTACAACCCCTTGTCTTCCATTTCCTTGTCGCCAGAATCTCGTAGAGCTAGGGGCTGATCTCGGATCTCGGGGGCTGTTGGAGAATAGTCCGACGTACTACGAGCGCTTCCGCGAGGCTTTCGTCACCGAGGTGAACGAATTCGTGGCTTGTTGTTTGGACGATACCGGTTAGTCCGCCTTTCATTCGGACCAAGCCCGTCGCGAGAAGAATCGTGCGCTCATCTCATCTCGTCGGCTGTCATATTCGCTCAGTCGTTCCGGTCTCTCTGGACGACGCCGTCCAGGCGGGCAAGATCGCCGATGCGTTGACTCACGCGTTCAGGACCGGGAAACAGGTCTTGTTCGGGGACGACGGGGAGGCGATCTACGAGTGATACATCTAGAGCTATAGGAAGGAAGCGATATGAAAATGGAATCGGAGACGGCAGGCGGAATGTAAATAGTCGTTTGGGTAGATCGTGGTACAGCGGCGCTGGAACGGATGGCACGCGCGTAATCGACACGTGGCGTTTTGCATTTTCTGTCGGTAGGGTGGTGCAAACTTGTAGCATATGACGATTCATCTTTCTTATCATCAAAGTCATGAAGTCAAGGCCGACGATTCCTCTCTCCCGAACAAGTTCATGTCGAGCCCCATCGGGGCTGTGTTCAAACCTACTCTAAACGGGTAACCTCAAGTTCCGGACGATTCACATTCTCTCTTAGCCACAAGCACGGATGGGTAAAACAGCGCTTTCCGTGAACAGTCGCATCGACAAAGCCAAAGTTACGACCGGTTTACAAGAGCTTCAACCCCGTCTTTAGACAAGTGCAAGAAGCGATGGAGAGGAACATGCAAATCGTACTGCATGAAATCGACATGAAGGACGCTTACCAACATGTCGTTCAGCCTTCCTGGCGCAACACAAAACACACACTTTTCTCCCATCTATTCTCGCTTGGGCCATCGGCCGAGTGACATGGCCTATCCCCAACGCATCTCTGCTTTCACCGAGGTGCATGATATTAAGGGAGGTATCTTCAACAAAAGAGGTATGCTGAACAAAAGAAGTATCTTGGATAAAGGACGTCGCCTGCATGAAGGGTATCAGTTTTCACCATAAGGTGAATGTAATGAGCGTAACGAAGTTGGGTCGAGTGTATATACACGGAAATTGGGAGGGCTTCTGACCATACCGTGTCTCAACAGCTGCAGAATCATTACTGCCTTTGCAACCGAACCATCATCTCGACCAATACACTTCAGAGAAGAGCCATGTCTTCCAAAGATACCGCCTCCGGTCTCTCGGGTCAATCGTTCGCTCCTTCGGTATACGTCACAACGGCGTCTGGCACCCACAACCAGCCGACTGTGGACTCTGAAATCACCAGGGAGAACGTGAGCGACATGCCTCTGATTCCAGCTCCCAAAGACGTCTGGGCGCTGCCTGCCGTGCAATTAAGTGATTTCGGAGATCATGTCAGAATCCACAACAGTCAGCGATGTTTGTCTTGTGGAGAACCAGGTGAACCAGTCGTCTTTACGAGGGACACATTCGCCTTGGTACTGTTCAAAGATGGAGACACTTGGCTTCGACCGCATGTTCCCCAGCGCGAAACGGAGGAGGATGCAGAAACAGCTCTCCAGGACTCATTGAAAGGATATCTTTGTCACTTTCATATGAGCGTCTTTGAAGCTACCGACGCAGAGCGACTCGTTGAAAAGGGCGTCTCAGTCAAGCTCAAATTTGGCGACCTCTATATCCTTTTCGTACCAGTGGAGGGCGACGATATATACTTTGAGGACACCGAGACCCATGGCGAGCACGAGCTTACGGGGGGGAGCGAGCAGGAGATCACCGGCATTATATCGAGTCAAACGGATCAGCTGGCGGAAATCCAGTCGACGGAAGAGGCGTCGACTTATCAAGGCGCAGGACACTGGAGAGAGCTCAAAGCTATCACCCATGACGTTGGCCCCTACGACAAGTTGAGATGCACACTCTGCAGCGAGCCGGGATACCGCTTTAATCCTGCTGGACGTCCGCCCAAGCTCGTTTCTTTGCTCTACAATGACGAGACAAAGACATGGATGAGGCCTTACATGTCCGCAGCAGCAGGCTTCTCTGAGATGATTTCTCCGGATGTCAAATGTTGTGGCAAAGATCATCGGGCCAAGTTGGAAAGCCTAGTCAAGGCGACTCGCGGATACGGAGGCTTTGAGCACGTGAAAAGGTCCTTGCCTCATGCAAGCATAGGCGGTTTGACTGTCCATCTCATGACCTGGGAGAGCGTGCACAGTACAGTAGCGACTGCCTCCAGAGGATCCAGACAGGAACAGGATGACAATACTGACGGATCGTCTTATTCCCATAGCTGTGTATACACAATTTGACCCATGTTATGTCATAGACCATAGACACTGTACTTTTTCATACGTGCCATTATGACCGCAGGCCTTGATCTCTTTGAGACGAGACATCAAGCGAGCTCTGGCGACCTTAATTTGGGCCTCGGTTTTAAAGTCGCTACTGTAGATTCATTTCATCTGTATGGGCTTACCGCGACGAAAAAGACGGAAGCCCCTGGACATCAAATTCTCCGATCTCTCTAACCAGCCGCTCAATTTCTCGCTCATCGTGGTCAGCTCAACTTTCCAGCAGCGCCTTGGGATGGACGATTGGTATCAACCCATGATGATGGCACCGGCAGTAAGTGTGCAGACAAGCATGCTTAGCCAGTCATTTACCTATCTTTCGATCTTTCCCTCTCCTCTTCCTTGCGAGTGCAGATTAAAGTCTGTGATAGGCACATCTCGCTCCCTTCGAAGAGGCCTTCAATCCTGTGGTGCGGGAAGCAACAAATTGTGGTCGTCAGATTTTGCCCTTTTGATGAGGCAGACATACTCGGGTTCTGTGAAAGCAATCAGAGGTATTTTGCAAAGTTCCAAGTCTTACATTGGTTCCAAAGACAACAAAAGCCTAAAATCCAGGACATGTAGACTCTGTACTGCACAAAGTCTAGATGATGCTGAAGCGCTTCGAGTCTTCTGACGAGTGCAGAATTCCAACTTGGTGAATGAGAGGGCAGGGTTGGGAAGTAAACCTCTGAATTGAACATTATTTGCCTATCCCTTGCCAGCTTCTTCATTTCCAGACACAAAAGACTGGGTGGTGAATATACAGCTTACCTACCAATCACAATTATCATTGGCTACATGGTTCTGCATCATAAATAATGTCAGGCTGTGCGCGACGCGCGACAGGGACATTACAGATGGGAGGAGTGATGATCACACACACATCTATCACCACCTCACCCAGGTGATAGATACACACCACCATCATCACCACCACCACTCTCAGTGCAGGATCTGTCAGCTGGAGTGTCTGAGAAGTACCCTGAGGCACTTGGGGCGCTTTCCGACGAGACCCGGCCTTCGAACGACACCGGACGACTTCGACTCGACTTTCGCCTTTCGACTTTCTCTCTCGACGACCACGGCGGTTTTGACACGACAACGACACTACGACCGGCAACGACATTTCACTACCCATCTCATATTTCCCCCCCCCCCCTGGCACCAGCCACAGCGTCTTCCAGGACTACACAACCTCACGAACGGCTCACCGGCCCAGAAAAAAACCTGATCCCCCCCTCGCCCCCCTCCTTTTCTCGATCAACGACACACGGCTCGCGGGCCAGTTTGTTGTAGTGAAAAACTGCGCGCGTCACGTGACGAGGGAACTTTTTGCCAGCAATGCGAAGTCCCCTCGCCTTCCGGCCTAGAGGAGATGCCCTACATCGATCTCTACACCACCGGCTGAACACGGCCGACGTACCGCAAGGCATTCACGCATTACCTCTCTGCGACGACTCCTCATACCTCAGAAGTTGCCACGATCTCCCCACGACTTCCCACATCTGCCTACCTACCGTACGAGACACCCTGCCATGGGTCGACCTGCGGGCTCGAAGAACAAGGAGAAGTTGGACGAGAACGGGATTCCGATTCCCAAGAAGAAGAAGACGAAGGTAGTAGAGACGGGTAATGACGACGACAGGCGGAGGATTCGATCCCAGGCGGGCTCGAGGGCTGGAGGATCGGTTGTCGGAGGGGCGGCTTGCCCTGACGATCAGCAAGGAAAGGACGGAGTGCGAGGCGAGCATGAGGCCGACAAGGGTGGGGAGAAGCCGAGCGACGAGGACGGGGATGGGGATGAAAGTGAGGAGGGGGGTGACGACGATGAGGACGATGATGAGGGGGCACGAGCGACACGCTCGGCTCACGCTGGGGGTTCGATGGCACGTCGAGCTCTAACATCTGAAGGGAAGGGGAAGCAGAGGCCGGTCGTCCAGGACGACGACAGGTCCCAAAAGGGGGTTGGCAGGGATCGTGGGAGGACCCTCACCAGGTCCCCGCAACCGGAGCGGCCCGCTAGGGCGAACCCTAGGCCACCTAGCAGGACGAAGTCCCACAACTCTGGGAAGTCGGGGAAGTCGAGGAAGGAGGACGGCGACAACCGCTACTACGAATCCGATGGCGAGTCCAGAACCAGCCGGCTCGACAAGGTCGAGGACCAAATCTCCCAGGTCCTCGGGCTCCTCAAGAATATCCAAGCCGGACAAGCCGAGGGTTCCGGGCAGAAGAGGAAGAGGGTGGTCGAAGACGACGATCTCGACCTTGATGACCCGATGGATCAGTGGAATGGTGAGTCTAGGAAACAGGTTGGGTCTGTGATTCCGGAATCCCTGGTCGTGCAGTTCGGATTCATGGACGAGGAGGTCTTGAACGACGCCATCGACGGGAAACTAGCCCCGGAGGACCTCTGGAAATGCCGGATCTGTGATCTTTGCCCAAGCTCAAAGTATCACCTCCATCCGGTTCAGAACCTCCTTCCAGTTGTCTTGTTCGCCAGCATTTGGCATGTCGCCGCACCGTGGTTTGGCCACAAACATTCCAAGCAAGCGTGTTCGAGCGCATATCCTTGCGTCCCGCATTTTCCGCTCCTTTGCCATTTGGGGCAGTAGGAGGATTTAGGCCTTGTTGGCTTCAATCCTCCCGATCCACTAGCCACTGTAGTCTTAGTCTTTGCCGGCCCAGCTATTCCCATGCCGCGAAGTTCCAAATACTTAATCCGCATGTTTGCCCACTGCCCACTCGGTTTGTAGAACTTGTTCAGATCGAACAACCCCGACATTCTCTGGCAGACCCACTCGCACACAAACGTCAGCACCGATGCCTGTTAGACGTCGAGAAGGCTCCAGGGAAGACCAGCTCAATGTATACCTGTGAGGACATATCCGGGAGTAATGTAGAACGTAGGGCTAGGGTATATAGATGTAATAACAGATGAAAGACTATATACTACAATGAGAATAGAAAGTGATCATGTTATAGCCATCACGTGACACATCACTACTCCCGCGAGAGGCCCCCTCGGAGGTCCCTTTGGAGACACCTCTCGACATCCCCACAGGGGTCTACTTTTACATCTCCCGTAGGTGCTTATTATAATAGGCTCATTGTATGTATATACTTCATTTGTTATCACACCATTACCCTTAGACCCAGCCCCGTGTAGACTGTTAGTCCTTCCCCCTCATAGCTACCGCCGACCCGTAAAGATTATCGAAGATCTTACCAAGCAGTTTGACTGGGTGGAAGACGACATCTTCGACCTCGCGGCCGAGTTCAAGTTCCCGCCAGAAGACTTAGTGGTGTTGGTCAATGACGAGTTTGGATGGGGAACAGAGACCGTCAACATAGAGGAGGGTTTCTTTTGGATGAATGAGCGGGAAGATATAGTCACGAGGCCAAAGGCAAGGGGGACCTTGCTCAAACAGAAGAAGCTCAAATTCCCCATGAAAGGAATTCCCACCCCTCAAGTCTTTGTTGTGGCTTTTGGCAACCTCATTGTACTTTGCACCGCCAGTCTCCAGGATCATTTGGAGATACGGGAAACGATCCGGGGTAAAAATAGGTTCTTGAAGCATATATTTGGACTATCGTAACGGTATACCTGGGCCTGGCAGGGGTCCCCCTGGACAGGCTGACGAGACGCAGGAATGAGGCAAGGTTTTGGGTAGACATCTAAATGTTATAACGGATGTAGAGCTATTACAGGACTAGTTCTACATCAAAACGATAATACCGAACAGTATCCCCCCGGGGGACGAATGCGGGAGTCGCATACGGCGCATCCAATGCGTTGTGGGCCAATAAATCCTGTCACCACAGCGTCACGTGACACCTATAACAGAGGAAGAGAGGACTGGGGAATCATCTGGATTGGGAGGAGGAAGACAGATTGACGGTCTTGACGTGGTTCCTGAAGAGGACAGTCCAAACTCCGACCATGGCACGGAGATGGAGGACATGTGGCAGGACATTGGTGAGGTCGACAACGCTGTCAATGGCATGCGGAGCGACTTTGCCGATTCAAGGAGCTGCTCATGAAGTATTTTGGGAACGGGAACAAGGCCCAGCCAGACAAGGCTGGAATCCCAGACGCTGACAAGGTGGTACCAGTTGCGTTCGGAGGTGAGTTCCCGCACAATATCCGGGCTCAGTTCAAGTGGGTTGACAAGGTGGCCTGGGAGGCCATCACGACCTTCACCATGAAGCCAGAACACCTCCTCAACCTCATCCCTTGGATATCTCCTTGACCTCACCCCCCAGGAACCCTCATTCTACCAGCCATCCAACAAGAAGACCCTGGGAGTGGTTCAGATGACCAAGGACAGGATGCTCATGTTTGAGGCAGAAGAGAACAAGGACAAGGAAGCGTTCAAGCGACTGCGCCGAGGTATCCCCGACAAAGTGACGTTCTTGACTGCGTGGTTGAGTCTCATCACAATAGTTCACCCACTTCTCCCACCAAATGGAGGCAGTCAGGGCGCTGGCAAAGTTTGCCTACAACCTCATCGAACTGTCTCGGTCCTACAATTTCGAATTGGTGCTCTACTACTACGCCGAGTACACAAGCACAGTGTTCAAAGGAAGGTGAGATGCAATAAGGCGGTACGAATCGGCCAGCGCAAAATCCCCCAAGTCCGGCTTTTAAGACACAAGCAGATGAACATGGCAGCGATAACAAAGAACGCGACTGCAGGACCATTGACCGAGACGCCAAAGGCGTACGATTGCCCGCTGGAGACTGTCTGCAAGAACACAATCGAGGAAATTGGAGGGTCCCAACAATTCAGGGAAGTGCGTACTCAGGCCATATGATATCGTGCGCTCATTTGGTGTCTTGCGTTGAGTTCCGCTGCTGCACTCCCTCACACCTGAAACGCAGATCGTCGGCGACGGAGCCAACTCGAATCCACGCGCGAGATATGCAAAAGTCAATCGCCTTAGCAATCAGGATTCACTGCAGAAGCGTTATCGTGTTGATCTATCGATGTTCGCGGGTCATCGGCTCCGAACTACTACATCAAGCCATTCCAGCCATCGAGGCACGTCGTAAGTTGCCTTGATCAACTCGATCTTTGCCGCCCGGCAGTCGATATCAAGCCCTTCTGGCGATGACGGCCTGATCTCAAATCGGATGTCAAAGTCGACGTCAGAGGCTCCAGCGATCAGAGGCGTGATTGTGACAACGGCCATTTGTAAGGTCGGACTTTTAGGCTGAGCCGGCAAGGCAAAGCTCAGTTGTAAGGATCCGGTCGTGCGTTGGACAGTCACCGACAACTCGGTAGTCGGCAGCGTTTCCCCTGCGAGCACAGGCAAAACGCAAACGCAAGAACCTGATCAGCTATGAATGTAAGTATGTGAGGAACATGGCTTGGCATACCAGACATCAGAAGCTCAAGGTCTGCATCGAGGGCTTTTTCACCTCCATCTATAACAGTAGATGCCGGTTGATTAGATCGCATTGAAGGCTTGAAGCAAGAGGTGTACAGTCGGTTCAGCCATAACGCTCGTTGCAAGGCCTGTCATAAGGAAACGAAATTAGTACAGCCGATGCAACGACGGCTGACGCTATATGATAACACTGACCTGTCTGATCGGCGCAACCTCTGCGACCGCTGAAGAAGCCCGGGGTAAGGCAAACCTAGACACCTTGAATCCAGGTATACCGCCCCTCATGTTGACGTATCGCTGAGTTCGACGGTCCGAGCGGGTAGGCCGGTGCGAAAACTCGATTTGATTTGGCGATTTCAGCTCGGTCTGGAAGAACAGGCGATGAGAACGGGAATTATTCGAAAAACATTCGAGATGGAGCACAGCTGGAAGAAGACTCACAACAAGCAGCTCGGCGATATCAGTTCCACCCCTGCCGGCAGATGCACTCTGCGGTAGATCCACAGCTCCGGTTGAGTCGGAAAAGAGATCTTGTCCCACCACAATCTCTTCGTCGATCTCCAACATCCACCCGCTAGAATCTAGTCGACTTGCGTCTTGTCTGGGCTGATCGACCTCCATCCCTTGAACGTCGTCGGCCTGATTCTTCTTGACATATTGAGACAGGGCTACCGGTCCGTGAGATTTCGGAAGAGGTTGCAAGGAGCAGGTCGGGCTAGGCATGGATTCCGCTGAAAACAGGCGAAATTGCGGAAAGACGCTCCGTAGCTTCGGCCGGTGTACATTACCCGGTAGGGACACCGACGTTTCGCTACCAAGCCCCGGTGATAAGCGATCGCAACACCACAAAAGGCCTTTGCATTTCACAGGAAGGGTAGACTCACTCGACCATCCGCCCAACCTCTTCAGCCTCGACGAACCAATTCCTCTCCCCATCCAGTTCTTCCACTGTCAAAGGCCGGGGCGTCGCAGGCTCTGTCGATGTCGATGTCGATGTCGCCTGGAATTCTACCTTTTTCATCCGTTTATCCAGCAAGGCGATCTGAGCGACGTTCTCCCCAAAGGCGATGATCACGCGTTCTGCTTGCAAAGCGAGGGATTCGGTCTCTTCGGCAAAGGGGATCGAGAGGACCGAGTCGTCATCCTCCCCCTCCTCGTCGTTGATGTCATTGTTGTTCAGGGAAAGCTGTTCCAGCTGGTACGTATTGACGATCCCGATGTACCGAGCGAGGTAGGACGACAAGACCTCGCTCATCCGGGGCAAGACGATGGGTTCTGGGGGGACCTCGTTCCCTCCGAGAGGGACGTAGGATACTTCGCACTTCGTCACCTGCCAGCCGTCTTCCTCCAACTTATACCGTCCTGTCATCGATGAAGAATCCGACCGCAGAGCCTGGACCTCGACCTCCCACTTCGGATGCCGAATATCCATATCGACGGCCATCCGCTCCCCGCCAAAACTGAGCGTATCTATCCGGACGTTACCCGGTTGATCGATCGCGTTCCCCAGATCGGGATCTTCGTTGTTCAAATAGACGTCCAAGGGGATGGATACGGCGATCGCTTGCAGGCGTTCGGTCGGGCTGAGGAGGGTTTGAGGGTGTACGAATGGGGTTCGGGTTCCACGATGGGGAGGTGTAGCGAGTTGGGAGAGGTGGCCTAGGGAGGAGGTGGTAGTTAAGAGCAGGGAATCGTGTTTACACCTAATTTAGAAGTTGCTGAACGAGGGTTATTATTGATCGGTTTCAATCATCGGCATTTCTGGAGTAGACCCGGTCGAGGGGGGTATGGGAGGAAAGACGGGCGAAGACTCACCAGTCCATCATCGACCTAGCCACTCCCGTTTTCCGTCTATCCAACTCGGAATCCAAATCCCTCGACACTTGTCCAGTCCCGTCCGACTGAAAGAATTGCGAATCGACAACATCCTTTTCGGCCGTCCAGGACGATCGGAAGTTTTCTAGCGAAGAACGCAAGGTCCGGACTTTGCCGAGCAGGTCTTTTTGTTGCAGAGCGATATCGCTTGAGTGGGATGAGTAGGGGTGGAGGTGGGCGGATGAGGAGGAAGGGAAGGTTGATTGGAGAGAGCCTAGGACCGAATGGAGCGATGAGAGTACGGAATGTGAGGACGGTTCCGTTTGACCTTGCATTTCGAGGTCGGCCGAGCGTTGGTAGCTAGATGTTCAGAGCCACCAGATTATAGCATCAACATCAGCGAAACTCGGTGCCGGAATTCCGATTCCCCTCCTTTGTCTTCTCGATCTACTCTACTCCATGACGCCCTTACCGCACGCTCTGCTCCGCCCTCAGACTCGCCTTCAAGTTCCTCATCAGGCCTCTCCCCGCCAAAAGGTTCGCCCGGAAACGTATACGATTATATTCGCCGGAAACGAACCCTCGACGGACCAGCCGTTACACTGGATCTCGCCCCCCAGAATCCTCAAAAGAATCTGGGAGCGAGACGGGTGTCCTTGTCCCGATGTGCTGGGGTTTAAATCCGCACACCGACTCGATTAGAGAGAGAGGTTTACCAGTTTTATCCATCATCGGGCGGGGTAGCGTGTTGCGTGTTGCGTGTAGGTTGGAAACGAGAGGGATGGATTCGGAAAGCGAGACCGCTTACCTGTGGCTTCAGAAGAGACTTTACACAGCTTTTAAGGAGGTAGAGCGGTTGATGACAGTAGTATCAAGACCCCCCAGATTCGATGTGAATGTTGAGATTTAAGAAAGATTCAAGCTCGAGGTCGATGTGTCGATGGTCGTCATTCTGCCCTGGGAAAATCGAATATTCGTTATCTTCCCGCGCCCACAGTTCGGCACAATCGTCGACCGAGAGACCATGCCAGGGCATCGCATCGACGTCGATCACATTTCAACCTCACACTCGAGCCAAATCCACGTCGTTGTCACTGCTTCACTAGTCACACCTCGTTCACGCCTTTCGATCAAAGTCGGAGAAATGGCCGCCATCACTCCCGTCGCCGATCCGGCGCCTGCGGCCGGAGGCCAGAACGGCGAAGAGACGTAAGTACCGAGCTCGTATCCAGGTAAAGCACGTTCGATCGCTCATCTTGGAACGCAAATCTCGTCTCCTGAACTTGGATTATATTGCAGGACGATGAAGAAGGCCCTCAAGTATATCATGATCTTTATGGCTTCTCAGAGTCGTGAGTGACTGTCCCCTTACTCCGGCTAGCGTGATTGGAAACGAGCACGGACCTGTTCTGATTTATGATTCTTACATCCGCATGGCGGCAGTGATCTCGATCCTCTCGTCACAGGCAAGCACCCCTGCTACGCTCCGATAGACTTCACACCTGGCTGATCTAGAATGGATTCATGCTTCGCAGTTCGGAAAGACCGCCTCGAAATTCGTCCCCGACGCTCAAAGCGCCGACACCCACAGTCAAGCGTCAACAGCCGTCCCTACAGGCCCTCTCACCCCGGAAACCCGTTACCCACCCATCTGGCCGATCGGGACCGTCTTTTCCATGCTCATCTATACATCGGTGGACGAAGTACCTGCAATCGACTTTGAGACGCAAGCTCCGTTGGTCGTCTTCAATAATATCACGTATGGGGATTGGAAGGCACATAGGGAGGCCGAGGTTTTGGTCGATTTGCCGGGGTCGGTACAGAACAACGGGTCGTTTTATGGGCATATTTATCTGGTGGACGAGACTTTTGTGGAGGGGGGCGAGTTGGCAAAGCCGGAGTTTGGGGGAGGTGGAGGGCACGTCGTAAGGCATACGAAGCAGTTGGCTAGGTATTACGAGCCTGCCAAGGTCAAGAAGGCCAAGAAGCTCATCGGGTCCAAGTCGAATTTAAACTCGGACGCGGGGGCGGGGAAAGAAGAGGAACAAGAAGAGGAAAAGGTGGACGGCGTCGTTGGACCTCGGATCGTCTCGCACTGGGCGACCAACCTCACCCTGACGATCATCACCGACATCGGACCCGCCCAAAACAACCCGATCTTGGAACCTTACATGGTCATCTCCGAGGACAACCGTTATTACCCGATCATCTACCCCAACGACTTTTGGTTATTAAAAGACTCTCAGTTCCCCATCAACAACACCACCCCGAGGGTCCCCCTGAAGATTACCTATGATCCGATCAGTTTCATGAAGTTCAACCTGTACGCGTCGATGACGAGTAATTGGGAAAAGGAACAGGCCAACCCGAACCCGAACCCGCTCGCTGGGCCGGGGATCGACCCGGATGAGATCAAGAGGTTGTTGCTCTCGGCCAATCCGTATTGGGCGGCGGCGACGGCGATCTTGAGCGTCTTGCATATGTTGTGAGTCGGGGTTTCGTCGCGAAAAAAAAGCGGTGGGGGTGTGCTGGAAAAAAAAAACTGACTTTTGTGTTGAGTGCGCAGGTTCGAGTTCCTCGCTTTCAAGTCGGATGTCGGACATTGGAGGAAGACGGACAAGAATCTGGTCGGGGTGTCATTGAGGTCGATCATCACGAATGTCGTCACCCAGGTGCGAGTCCGGCTCGGGTCGATGCGATACAGTTTTGCAGTTCCTGATGCATCCGAGTTTTGGAATGACAGGTCATCATCCTGCTTTACTTGCTCGACAGCGGGGAACAGACGTCAAAGATGATCCTCTTGACCAACGGAATGTGAGCACCCCACACTCTTCCCACAACCCATGCCGGTCGAGCTCAGATCTGACCCTTTTCGACGTTCAGGGGCATCCTGGTCGAAGTATGGAAGATCACCAAGGTCATCAACTTCAAGTACCACCCTCCCGCCCCCGGACAGACTTTCCCGAGCTTTACGTTCGAGGACAAGAAGGAGCTCAGCGAGGATGAGAAGCGGACGAGGGAGTATGACGCGTTGGCGTTCAGGATTGTAGGGACCGTGGCGGTTCCGGTCTTGATGGCTTATGCGGCTTATTCTCGTGAGTCGCGACGGGGTTGGGGGGGAGGGGGTTGGTTGTTGGATAACTGGAGAGGCTGATTGTGGTGGTCTTGCGTTCTGTTTTTTCCTTTTTTAGTTCAAACTCAGTAAGTTCGGCTCGGACCTGCCGGAGATGACTAGACGATGGAGACTGAGACGTATTCCCTTTTTTTCTTCTGTGCTGCAGTGAATACAAGGGGTGGTATTCGTTCATCGTCACCACCTTGGCCGAGGCCGTCTATATGTAAGCCACCGCCCCCAATCGCGAACACGCCGCTGGCAAACGATCCTGACAAGCGGATCGATCGTCTTTGCTTGCTATAGGTTCGGATTCGCTCAACTCGTTCCTCAGCTGATCATCAACTACAAGTTGAAATCGGTAGCGCATCTGCCGTGAGTACTCCGGTCGGCTCAAGGATATTCTCATTTTCGAGTCGACTGACATTCGGACGGGTTCTTTCGCGGGGACGAGCAGTATGAAGGCGTTCTTTTACAAGACGTTGACGACGGTCATCGACGATTTCGGATCGATGATCATCCCTATGCCTTGGCGTAAGTCCGGATGGTTTGGGTCTGGTCGGTCTCGCTTGAGAGAAAGAAGCTGATGTGGCTTTTTCTTTTGGACAGTGCATCGTCTGGCTTGTTTCCGTGACGACGCCGTCTTCGGTACGTCGAAGTCATATTCCATACAAGTTTCTACAATGCTTTTGCCGACTAATTTTCTTCCTTGAACTCTTCCAGTGGTCCTGCTATACCAACGCTGGATCTACCGGGTCGACTATAGCCGAGCTAACGAGTACGGGCAGGTTATGGAGGTGCCCCATATGGACCCGCACGAGGGGACCGCGGGCAAGGTAGCGGCCGACGTTCCGGGGGTGAAGAAGAGCGGAGTCGAAGGTAAGGCAGGGCAGGTGCAAAAAGGGAAGAAGGGGAACAAGAAGACGCAGTAGGCCAGCATGTAACACCAAACCTCGAGGTATCGTGTAATCTATCAAGTTACCGAGGATAGAATGAACCGTGTTTGTTGACAATGTCGGGTTATGTGCGCGTCGATCTTTCCCGATCTCGATCAGCCACTTCTCTTTCGGTGAATCACCTCCGGGAAGCGAGCGAGGACCATAACAAACCTCTTCGTCTTTACGAGTTCCGGATAGAAGCGATATCGATGGTCTTCGTGCTCTAGCAAGACTCGAATAGACGTTCAACTTCGATAGTATGATGCGAATTATATATAGTCGACGCCGGTGAGACCGCCCCACCCACATACAGGCTTCCCTCGCGATCGGCAGGACGGACTACGAACAAGTTAACGGACCTACCGGAATAGGGCGGCGCTCGATGGATGGTCTTCCGTAAGTCTTCCGCCAGAAAAATTTGGCAGGAAGCTCCTGAACCTCGTTTGTGCGTTCGTTCGTGATTTCCGCCTTCCCACAGATGGTCGAGACGGAATGCACAGGCGGGCTCCAGGTGACTGGATTTGACAGACGGGAGGATGCTACAGATAAACGATTCGACAATCATGGGTTCCCTCGATCTCGTAGAGTACCAAGCGGGATGCAGAAGACAGTGGTCAGGAAAAATGGGAATTCGCCGAAAGCAGCACGTCCCATGACGGTCCTCCGATAACCCAAACCCATTGGGTCGCCGGCATCGTCGGTCTCGAATTTGGTACGTCTCGCTCGGAAGACCTTTTTGACTTGTCTAGCTCGGCCTAACTTCCCCGTGCCATCGTTCGATACATAGTGCGACTTGAAGAAATTCCAAACGAGCGATCGAGGATATCGCAAGTCCTCCCGTATTCGCTGCATTGTCGGGCATGTCTCGAGCTGGCCAGGAATCGAAATAGTCCCCCTCGACATGTCGTACACCGACCTACCCGCTCGATACCTCGAAAACATTGTCAACGATGAAATATGGACCCGAGACGATGGACGGTCGTATGAGACAAGCAGATCAACGAGTCGACTGCACCATTTCGTCTTAATCCATCGTTCGATACCCTCTCGACGAATATCTATTATCAAGCCCTAGGTCCATCGATCACCCTTCGGTAATGCCTGCATTACCCCCACACAGCCGGGCATTAATGTTGCGATCCTAATTGGATGCTTCGGAAGAAGGGTTTGAGCATGGGGACTTTCAATTAACATGTGAGTACTAATGCGATCAGCGTCCAAATCGTTTGCTAATTACAAAACACCCTTCGCAGCTCGCGACAAAACCCCATCGATTCCTTCGATAGTCTCGCCATCCCACCCTGGTATTAGTAAATCAAGCTCGAACGCTAGCCAAACATTAACACCCTCGCAAGAACGAACATCACGCGCGCGTAAAAATGATTTTATAAAAATGATTTTTACGGATTGATGATATTTGGGTCGCGTCGGACGTCAGCTAGGTTAACCGTATGGGGATTAGAAGACTGGCGTCAGCGTGCCTCCGCCCGTCGGTTTGCTAATCCCTGGTCGGCTCAGTTAGTATTACAGCGGTCTGTAGTAGCATAACGATAATGATAATGATAGTATTAATAATGTGAACCATGCGATTAAGTGTTAGTTAATAAGTCGATCTTTTATGACGGTGTCGTGGTGGTCTTCGTTGCTGTTGATCTGTTCACCCACGGTATCACGATTACTGATCTTTTGGGGAACGACTCAATGTGTGCTAATAAGTGAATGTTGGCGTGCTGTCGATTCGTTCAGTGGGCTATTCTAATCAAATTTGGGTTTTGGCTCGGGGCGGCGTCAGCTGCTTCTACGACGTTTATTGCGTCGAAGGTATTAATACTACCTTGTTTGTTATATTAGCAGGTCATTTTATTGATGACCTGCTGTGGGCTATCTATTATACGTTTGGGTTGGGCTATCTGTTTGGGTTGGGCTATTCAGGGTAAGGCGGCAGTTGAGATGCGAAACACTGATATGTGGTGACGATAGTTAGCCCTTGTAAGCTTGGGTGGGTAGTTGACATTACTGGTTTAACGTGCAATCATCTGTTCTTTTTAGTTAACAATGATCTACATTGCCGGGTTGCTACCATTTAAATGTGAAGGGGGCGCACTATCGAAATTATATTGATGAGGATCAATTCAACGCTCTGCTTGACCTTGATGTTTGGCGTGGGTTATCTATCAAGTTGTTGATCAAGGGGGATACTTTTAGGCTGGACCGTTTTGCTGCCATGTAGAGGCCAGGTGAATCTCAACGTGTGGTTGGGACTATCCTGACATGGTAGCAGAGCGGTTTTGGTCTCTTATCTGACAGAGCAGTCTTGTGCTGTGAAGTTGGATGGCTGGGTCTGAGGAGTGAATTGCCAGTGATGTGGCGATAGCTCCTCTGGCTTGGCCTTATGGATATGTATTACCCAGGGCCGGCTTGAAGGCCTTGTTAGTGACGAAATGCTTAGCTTTTTTGCCCAGGGCCTGAGAGCTGCTGCCTTAGGGAGAAATTTTAGACCGTCGTGAGACAGGTTAGTTTTACCCTACTGATGGAGTGTTACCGTAACAGTAATTGAGGGTAGTACGAGAGGAACTGCTCATTCAGTTAATTGGTATTTGCGCCTGTCCGATCGGGCAATGGCGCGAAGCTATCAACTGCTAGATTATGGCTGAACGCCTCTAAGTCAGAATCTGTACTGGAAACGGTGATGTTGGTCCCGCACATGTTAGATGTGTTTAAATAGAGCTTCGGCTTGTGAACCATAAATGTTGGCTTAGTAGTTTGGACGGAAAGGTCCTTGTTACTCGCTGATGAATTGAAATTGAGATATGGGCGGGGGTGAATCCTTTGTAGACGACTTAATGGGAACGGGGTGCTGTAAGCAGTAGAGTAGCCTTGTTGCTACGATCTGCTGAGGCTAAGCCCTTGTTCTAAAGATTTGTTCAACTTTGTTGAACTCTTCTCCCTTTCATGACTTTTTTGCCCAGGGCCGGCTCAGGCTTTTACTGGGTTGGACTTGCTTGATGGGATGAAGTGTTTGACTTGGTACTGTAGATGTGTATATGTAGTGATATGTATGTGTATATGTAGTGAGGTGTGTAAGTATGTGTTGATATGTATGTAGTTGTCTAAGTAGTTATGTAGGGTTGTAAGTAGGTCTAGACATGTTGGGAGGCATTAGCTTGAACTTTGCATATGGATGTAGGTTTGACATCCTTATGCAGGGGCCATGCTAATCTTCCCTGTATCATTCCAATTCCATTCATCACATTTCATATAGGGCAGTTTGCCCAGGGCCGGCCTGGATCATGAAATCTCTGACTTGAGTGTGCACTTGAACATTTAGTTGGACACTTTGGACATGTGGGTAGACACTAGTGGACACAGATGGACACTGATGGACACTTGGAGGTGGACACTTGGGGGTGGACACTTGGTGGTGGACACTTGGTGACACTTGGTGGACATTCACTGATGGACAATTCTGAACTTTTAGTTAGACACTTAGTAGGCACTTAGTAGGCACTTGCTTTTTGGATGTGAGAACATGTCTGGGACTTGTCTGGGACTTGTCTGGGACTTGTCTGGGAAGTGTCTGGGATATGTTTGGGAAGTGTTTGGGAAGTGTTGGAGAAAGTTTGGGGAGACTTTTTGAACAACTGTCTGGGGGTGGTCTGGGGGGTGTTTGGGACTTGTTTGAGACTTGAGTGGGAAGTGTTTGGAAAGTCTTTTAGAAGTGTTTAAGAGATGTCTGGGAAGTGTCTGAGACAGCAAGGCTGATAGTTTGCAAAAATATTTTGACCCAAACCCAAAGGGGTTAGTGGATTTTGACCTTAACCCCCTAGGGGTTAGTGGCTAAACCTTTGGGGTTAGGGGTTAGGGGGTTAGTGTGCATGGTCATGTCACTTTTGTGGAAGGGGTTAGGGGTTGGAGAGGGAAAAATGTTGGAAGTTAGCAGAAGGGGTTAGGGGTTAGGGTCCATATCTCGCTCAGTTTTTGTCCGTTCGGGCTCATATTTTGAGGGTTGCTTTTTTGAGCCTGGGGCAAGCTCTCCCAGGGGAAAGTTGAGAAATAGGCGCAGCCTGCGGCTCCTGGTGATACCCCACCCCTAACCCTATTTTGACTCCAAAATATGTCAAGTGCTTCAGGGGAGAAAGAAGGGGGGAAGAAAAAAAAAGGAAGATTCAGATGTTTTGCTGCACATCTGTTGGCCAGATGTGTATGTGTGTTTACCCTTATATAACCATGTCACACTTTATCTTTATCCACGGCCATAGGACCCTGAAAGCACCGCATCCCGTCCGATCTGCGCAGTTAACCAGGGTGCCGCCTAGTTAGTACCACGGTGGGGGACCACGCGGGAATCCTAGGTGCTGTGGTTTTTGTACTTTTCTTTTTTGAACTTGTATTGTAACTCACCCTACATCACTCACAAAGGTTGGACCATGGTACTTGACTGTGTGTGCTACCAGGTAGGCTGCTTTTAGTAAGCTGCACTTGTCATCCTGATCAAAGCAATACTCTAGTACACCAAACATGTACTTTCACCACAACTGTAATGTACCACATGCATCACATCTGTCTTGTAGCACAGTGCTCCTAACAGACTAGTCTTGACAGACTTGCCTTGTGAGAGTCACCTTGTCAGCCTGACAGTGTCATGTCAGACTGGGAAGACTGGGAAGTCACTACAATCAACATGCAGTAAGCATCACTTGCATCACAGCACACCTTTAACAAAGGTCATGTGTTCTCATTTGGATTCAGTGTCAATCATACATATATTTTGCCACCCAACTTGCCACCCAAATGACATGAGCCTACTGATTTGGATTTTGAACAACTTGGATGAAATATGCCCTATGCTGTATTGGCAAGACATATGAATCTCAGACCACCAGACTGAGTCACAGATGGTCATATCATAGAGAGACAGACACATGCAGACCTCCCATATCTTCACTGACCCCTCCTTCATATTTTCTAACCCCTCCCTCATGATTTCTAACCCCTGTTCCTACCTCCCCATAGACCCCTGCAGCCTGGCAAGCCATAAGTGTAACATGTGTGATGGGCATGTTCATAACATGTACCACATGCTGAGTGCATCACAAATGTTTTAAAATATCATTACAAA